ACTAGACTACTCCGTACTACTACAACTACTACTTACTGTACTACTGTGCAAGCACGCACACAAGCACACTAGGTCAGTTGCGAAAGGCCCACCCCCTTGTCCCCTTCACCCTGCCTGCTAAGGTACAGTAGCTCGATCTTCAGCCCACAAGGCCGAGGCACATGTCTACACCATGTACTGATGCGCGGTCCCCACACCCCGTCGACACCTAGGCGAGACCTCGTGGATCGGTGGAATCGATATCTCGCTTTTGCAGATGCACTAAATCTGGCAATGCAACGCTGACCTAAGAAGGGGGGGGCCTTGGAAAGAACATGTTCAAGCTTCCCTCAAGCCGTCAAACCCCATGCGGCGGCTCGGCTCCAACCCTCAGCATCCGGCTGCGACTGTAACTCCTGCGCTGCTCGCCGCGCTCCCCTGGTCGTTGGCCGTGGCACCCCGGTGCAAGTGCCCATCTCCTTCGTGCCTAAGGTCCCTACGGCATTGTCGTACCTGGGCAATCTAAGCTCGAAACCTTATCCTCTTGAGCATACGCCGCGCCGCGTCCCGGCAGTCAATCCTCGTGGACCGAGTGGTCCGTTGAAACACAGAGCACACGCACACTGTTACCACAAGCTCCCCACCCGTTGCAGGAGCACTTCCGTATGGTGACTGTGTGCTCGGTTGCGTCTATCTTCACCGTCACCGAGCCGGATCTCTTCCCTTCACCTCCAGCTCAGACCGCATGGGCCTGCCCCAGGCGGGCTACGCATCTGCCCATAGCTCCTGCAGGAGGGCAAAGGAAAACGTCTGGCCCCGTCTTGCTTTCCCATCATGGTCAGGTCAAAACCATGTATCTCGTCTTTCTTTTTTTTTCCTTTTTCCTCACCTTACTCTGGTCCTCTGGTACCCTTCGCCTCAAGACCTTGTCCCTGCAAATATTGCACGCTTAGGGAGGTTCATGACAAGACAACCACTCCAAGATCCCGGGTTGGATATATAACTCCCGTCTCCTCCACCGCCTCCTTTCCACTCCAACCTCTCCTCCCCCTCCCTTGACTCTATCAGTCTCATGTCCCCAACAGATCTATCCACAAACCACCTGACCATCCGTTCTCTTTCTTACAACAACTCTATCATTGTCACCACCACCATCACCACCACCACAAACATCCACAATATAACATCATTATCAACACCGACCTCCCCTTCCTGACCTCCACAGTCTGGAAGTTATCACGCAGACCCCTTCAGAGGCCTGACAACATGGTTCGACCAACGATCCCCCGTGACCTCGACTCCACCGTCGTCTTCGTCACGCCTTGCCCACTGAGCCCTCTTCCCATGCCGGCCTCACCAACACATCCCGGCTTGCCCGTTCAGTCCATGCCGGTAAGTGCCACCGCCACCGCAGCACTGCAATGCACAAATTCTCGGGCGAGGGACCGTAAATCATCTGACAATTCTCACTTCTAGCTCCCGGGTGTGCGTTGTCCCACCTGCGCTGCCAATGGGAAGGAGGTTTGGGTAATCCCCGGTCGTGCATGTGGAAACTGCGGAACACCGTGCTGTTGAATTCGTTGAGGGCGAACAACAGACTCGACGGGAACGCTTTCGGCCCAACCGTGCCGGCATTAAAACTTTCTCGGGTCTTCTTTCCTTCGTCTATTATTCCATCTCTCTCTTTACGCGTCGTGGGTTTTTGACGCCCACGGGGAAAAAAAAGGGTTCCTGCCGTCTGGTGGCAGCTGCGCTTGTTACACTTACAGAGACGAAGCTTCACGGCAACAGTTGACAGTCCAGGACTGGGTGATACACACCATCATGAGGTTTTCAGATCATCATGAGATTTCTTACTTGACCCCTCACGGGGCGCAAAAGTAGAAGACATTACAATTTCTTTCTAACGATTTTACTACTTTCTTCGCGGGGGCGCGGATCGGGAGAAGGGGGTTTTCCTAGAAGAGAATAAAACTAGGCTGTACGTAACGGGCGTTTTCACCAGTATCTCGATGGGTTGACAGGAGCACGGGCACGGTCATGGTCCTCTAGATTGAATACAGAACTCCCTCTTTCTCTTACTATGCACAAGCTGGCTTCCTTGCGCGTGCTGCACACATGCCGTGTATTGACTTGGCACAGGCAAGAATCATGGGCAAATCAAAGCCAGTTAAACTGCACATCGTTCTTGCCACAACCGGCCGCTTTCAACGGCGACCCTAGGAATTTTCTTCTGCCAGTCTGCACAGACCCAGGATTAACGGCAGCCAAGATCGGACACATGAACACAATCCGCCAACCGGGTAATAAAAGCCACACAAGCAACATTGAGTATGTTGTGCGACGGACTCAGGGCAGTTAGCAAGCAAGGGGTCCACCGAACCCGGAGGTCCACATTTTATCACCTACCTAGGTAGGCTAACAGGCATGTCTTGCCACCTTCTTTTCATGTCTCAAGGGAAAGGAAGCCCCAGCCCTATATATAGTAGATAATATATAGGTGTCTTCTTCTTTTTTTTTTCTATAAGAATAGAAATTTAATAAAAACTTTTTAATCTCTTATAATTACTTCTTTTATTTATTTTATATAGATTATAAATTATATATTTCTTTAATTTTATTATTAAATTAAAAATAAATATTTAAAGTTTTAAAATAATAAAATATAATATATTTTTTAAATTAACTTAATTAAATTTATTATATAAAACTTTTTATAATAACTTTTAAATTATTTATAATATTATTTATTATTTAAAAATATTTATTTATATTAAAATATTAAATTATATTTAATTAATTTAAATTAATATTATTAATTTATTAAAAATTTAAATTATTATAAATTATAAATTATTTTATCTAATATTAATAAGTATTATATATTAATATTATATTTATTATATAAGTTAAATAAATATAAATTAATTAAAATAAATAAAAATAAAAGTATTATTTTTAAAGATTTTAATTATATTTAAATAAATATTTACTTATTTATTTTATAAATTATATTATTTAAAAGTAATTACTTAACTTATTAAATAAATTAAAATATAACTTTTAAATAAAAAAAGTAAATCTTTATTTTTAAAAAAATTATTAATATCTAAAATAATTAATATACTTTTAAATTAAAAAAAAATTAAAAATAAATTAAAATAAAACATTAAAATAAATAAATAATATTTTAAAATTAAATAAAAGATATTAATAGAGGGTAGATAATTAAATATAGTATAGACTTAGTATATATGTAGGTTTATAAGTAGTAGCTGGTATTAACTACTCTAAGCTATTATGTTGATGACCTCCCGTGCTTCTGGACGGGCGGGTCCATGCCGTGCCGGGCCCCGTATAGGACAGAACGGATCGTTGGGCACTAGTCGCGTTGCTCCCAAGCCCCTTTCCTTTCTCCTCCCCAGGCAAAGGACAAGGTAACGAACTTTTTGTTGGCTGCCGGTTCCCGTCCTTGGTCGGTTCCAGAAAGCTTCATCCCGCCTGTCACTGCCCCCCAGACGCGCCCGGGAGTTGTGCCTGCACCCGGGCAATGGCGTTATTGAGGGAGGAGAGTGCCCTAATATGTGGTACTACACACCGAAAGTTGGAGGTGCTCTCTATTGCCCGTCCTCATCTCTGGGATATCCAATGTGAGTTGGGCAGTGACTCGATAATTGCCAGGCCTGTCTGCGCAAGCGTCAATCAGCTGCGCATGATGAGGTACATGTGTAGGAGTTGACTGGCGAATCATCTTGTCTATGCCCGTGGCTTCACGTGTTGGACCATGCCACGCAGCACACCGAGCAGAGCACTTGAGACCAGCCTTCTTAGGGAAACGCTAGTACTCGCGTTTTGCTCAACCTTACCGCCGGGGGAGATCCGACGGATGCAAGATGAGAGAGCAAGATGAGAGAGGCTTACGATGATTGAGGGAACTAGGGCTGCGGCGGAACGGGAGCCACAGCATTTGCCGTTCTGCGAATACACAGTCTGAGAAGGGTGTGGGCTACGGGTTCTGACAATACAGCTAGCATGGTCTATCGTCATCATCGTGACTTGCCTCTTGCTTCCAGGGCTATTAGCTACAACCCCTTCCATCACTCAGTGGCTAATTCTTCTACAGGTAACTAGTAGCTAAGAGTACCCACTATTTATTATAAAGTATAATATATAATGAAGCCGGGGGCGAGGGCTTCGCATCTCGGGGCTGGGGGCCCTCTGCCCCCCGACCTCACGGTTAACGGTCTACTTACGACGAGTAAGGAAAAGGACTAAATAATTACTTCTAGGTACTAATTAAATAAGAATGAGAAGGGATAAATTCTTCTAAAAGTATTTTAAGAGTGAGGTACCTATTTATATAGCTTATATCTAAGGTTATTATTAATTATTACTAATAATTAATAAAATAATAAAATAATAAAATAATAAAATAATAAAATAATAAAATAATAAATAAAATAATAAATAAAATAATAAATAAAATAATAAATAAAATAATAAATAAAATAATAAATAAAATAATAAATAAATAAAATAATAAATAAAATAATAAATAAATAAATAAATAAATAAATAAATAAATAAATAAATAAATAAATAAATAAATAAATAAATAAATAAATAAATAAATAAATAAATAAATAAATAAAATAATAAATAAATAAATAAATAAATAAATAAAAAATAAATAAATAAATAAATAAATAAATAAATAAATAAATAAATAAATAAATAAATAAATAAATAAATAAATAAATAAATAAATAAATAAATAAATAAATAAATAAATAAATAAATAAATAAATAAATAAATAAATAAATAAGTTTATAAATTTTTATAATATAAAATATTAAGTATTTATTATTATATTAAAGTAGTATATCTATCTTTAAATATATAGCTATATAATAGAAGTAAAACCGCCTGTCTAGTTTAGTTACTATTGTAGAACATCTACCACTCCTCGCCTGTAGTAGGATACAGTAAAGGAACTAGAGGATATCACGGCCAGCATTCTATATAAGCAAGGCGACTCAAAGAGACCGCCTGGAGTTATTAGAGCATGATTCTCACGAACAGGACCAATTTCGATACACCTAGCCTTGGATGATCCCCCTCAAGGGCCTATCAATCAGATCCCCTCCCCAGAACATTCTTTGGCTAATACGTCTAATTTGGAACAACTGGTGCAAGACGGCTAATCAAATGGTAGTCGAGCAACATGGCGATATCGAGGGTCTGCTTCTAGTATCACCGGAGAGCTAGGCTGTATTTTAGTAGGTACAATTCCCCTCGGATTGGGTATCATTAACAAGGGTGTATGAGGACCATCTTGTATGCCCGGTGCTGACCTGAGTGCCTAGGTAGGGTTGTCTTGATCTTACAGCTGCATGCATGTAAGAAGAATATGGCGTAGAGTCCTCCTGGCAACTTTCCCCTTCTACAGTGGCTCTAGTTCAAAGCCTGCTGAACATGCTCCCACCTGCTCTCTACCATCCCGGCAAACTCTCGGATGTCTTTTGGGCCCAAACCCCTTCCACCACTCTTCGATATTCCTCGTATCCTTGTCTCACCGGTTGTGCGATCTACCACGACAGTGATGCTCTCGTCACACAGACTTTCCTCCAGCCTATCCGGGTCAACCAGGAGAAAAGATTTGCTCTGACCGACCACTTCTGCCTCTCTCTCATTGAGTAAGGCAGCGGTGCATGCGATGGGCAATCCGCGGACACTTAGGGCCCTGCTCTCGGTCCGGGAGCACAGCACCATCTCCCTATCGGGGTCCCACCACGCCCGCGGCAGCTTCGTGTCCCTCAGTGCCGCTAGTATAGCGATCCAGGCCGCATCGAATGGGTTGCCATCGAACGATACGAACAGCACGTCGATGTACAGCACCCAGTAAGCCTTGATCTCAGGCTCTGCCACGTCTTCGTCGGCGTTGCCCTCACCCTCGTCCATCCTGTCATCCTCGGCGGCGTCGAGGCTCGGCGGGGTGTACCACACCCTCAGGTCGTCGGAGTCCAGCAGCTCGGTGGTGTGCAGCAGCGAGTACACCCTTGTGCTCAGGGTCTGCGCCAGGGTGGTGGGCGGCACGCCAGGCAGGAACTGCGGCGCGCATCCCGTGGCCAGCTCGATGTTGGGCACGAGAAGGTCGTAGTCGCGCAGCTCCCTGGCGCCGTCCTGCCTCGCCTCGGCGTCCCTGTCCTCGACCACATCCAGCTCCACCTTGGTCTTGGGTCTCCTCCAGTGCGGGATGCTTGTGGTCGGCAGGAGTTCCCCTCGCACGCCACAGATGACGCTGGTGTCGCCGATCCTCACCATGGCGCTGCCGTGTGCGTGTGAGAGTGACGAAGCGTTTATGTTGAGCGGGCGGGCCTGGTGCGGCGCGCGGCCGTTTGTCCGCGTTGGCTTGGCCGGGGCGGCATGGCTGGAGGTTGGCTGGAGGTTGGCGAGGACGAAGGGGTGTGGGGAGAGTTTTGCGAAGGTCTGCGGCGTGAAGGTGGTTGAGGCGGTCATCGTGAGTCGTCCGGGGCCCCGGATGGCGGATGGGCTTTGCTTTCGACTCTTGTGTGTGCTGCTGGGATTGTGCTGTTGTCGTGTAATGGGCCTTTGGCGGGCGTGGACATGCGAGGCAGACCAGGCCGCGGCACTGTGGTTGGAAATCCCAGGGCCAAATTTTCGTCCTCGGCCTTGGTGGGGCTGTCGGCAAGCTGGCAGATAATGCAGTAGCGGGCATGCAAGGCCTGGAGCTACCCCGCGGCTGCCTGCCAGCTACCTACCTAGGTACCTAGGACCTGGTAACATGATCGTCAGGGCTCCCTGGCGCACCACCCAAAGTGACGTCTTCGGCCGGCAGAGCCTCAATGTCACGTCTTACTTGCCCAGCCCAGGGCAGCCTCTGCTCTGCTCAATTGCCACGCTCGGCCCATCCCTGGTACTGGCCGGCTGCGGTTCGCGATATCGTCTGCGCAGGTTTATCCAGTGCCTTGCAGTATAAGTCAATGGATCGCATTAGAAAACTGTTCTAGCAGGTCGACGATCGTCGTGTCTGCCCCGCGCAGAGATAGATAGCCACCGTTCCTGGTGCCTACTATGTAGATATGACGTAGAGCTCCAGTCTTTGATATTCGGTCCTGCAGCCCAACCCTCTTGCATTGGACAGCAGTGTTATACCTAGGTACAAGAAATGATCCTCCATGACGGAAGGCCTGAGGGCAAGCCAGGCTCTGCTTGTCAGATTTGCAAAGTGATATGACGTACACGGTCCAAGATGGGATGTGCGGCCAGCTATATCAATGTGCGCGCTGGTGAACGAGTCGCAAGATCCTTCTCTTCCCATCATCATCAACTCTCCCGACATTCCAGACTTGTTGCAGACGCATTCAAAATCACATCCACAGATAACAACACCAAAATCACCATGACTGGCACATCGTCTGTAGGGCCCATCAGCGTTGCCGGCGCCGGTGACCAGCGCAACGTCAAGAACTCTGGGCTTGAGCAACGTGAGCCATACGAGGAGGGCAAGGTCAACTCTCACAATACCAACGACTCCAGTATGTCCCATTAGCCATCCGTCACATCTGTGTCTTCCAGTTGTACTGATCAAGACTGTAGAGGACCAGCGATCCATCGCCAACCGCTTGGCAGCTGAGGAGAAGAAGGACGACGAGCCCAAGGACGACAAGGAGACCGCACTGTCCAAGAAAGACCCTACACTTCCTGTATGTTCAAGTCAAACATATGCATTTGAAATTCGTCAACGCTTCGCTAACATGGTCATGGCAGGCCAAGCACCACGGCAACGAGCCCTCCAAAGGTGCCAAGATTGACGCAGAGCTCCAGGCTGAAGAGGAAGAGGCCATCAACAAGAAGAAGGCGGGAAAGACCGACAGCATGCCCGGCAAGAAGAACTAAGTCCAGTCCGGAGGATGGCATCTATAATTCCATGAGGCGACATTGTCAGAAGGACAGTCATGGAAGCAACAAACGGCACAGGGCATTGGGTTTGGGTTGTCCTGTTTGAGCAATGGCGTTCAAGAGGCATAGATTCGACGTGAAATGCATGGAATAAATTGATTTCTTGATTTCAACTGTGGAAATATGTCTACTGGGCTGCTTGTGTGAGAACTACTCATCGTGTGCTGTGAGAGATATTGGAGAAAGACGAAGCTGCTGAAAGGTCGTGTCGTTTCTGACAGACGACCACCAAAACAGGCCAGCAATGCCAAAGTGCTCTAGAAAAGTGATGGCTACCCGTCATCAAGTCTGCCTGGTCGCAAACGTCCTTGGCCCTACAAGGCGCGAGTCGGCGCAGTGGGAACTACCTGTTTCAGGCCAACGTCAGCAAACGGATTCCGCTTCAGGGGCTCCAGCTGGAAAGAGAGTGACGACTGGGAGATTGGGCATGGGTTCAGAATATGTAAGAAGTGACTATCACTTGGCCGCAAGGTATAGCACAGCAGGCGAGCCGGCCACCAGGCGGGATCAATCGCAAATTATTCTCATCATGAAAGGACAGGCCGTCCCAGGCGTCAAAGGAAATGAAATCGTGGGTTGTAGATGAGTCTTACCGTTGCTTGTCTGATGCTGATATCATTGAAACAGTAGACACCATGTCCCACTCTTGCAAACAGGCACCAAAGCCATGAGGGATGACTGGTCAAGATGCAGGGGGTTGGTGTTGTGGTTGTGGTTGACGAGGTCGAAGCCAAGGTGCAAGAATTTTGCAAAAGGGAGGAGATTTATGTACGAGCTTGGTTCGGTGCATGTTGCTTTTTTTAGTCAGACTACAAGGGCACGGGCCACCCTAACCTGGGACCAATTGGAGGCAAAGCGCAACCCAGCTCTACTCCAAAATCTGAACTGCCAGCTATTTACCGCCTCTAGCAGGGGGAACCTACTTATCACAAGGGGGGACAAGGCAGTTAGCTATCCTTCATGCACAAGACACCCTCCTATAGTATACCTTCCTATAGGACACCCTCCCATAGGACACCCTCCCATAGGACACCCTCCCAAGGGCACCAGGACACCCTCCTCAGGGACGCCCTCCTCTAGGACACCTTCCTCTAGGACACTCTCCTCTAGGACATCATCCCATAGCATATCCTCCTATGAGAAAAGTATCTCAGGATCCCTCTGATGGGATGAACCCTAATAGGATACCTAGGCAAAGGCATAGTGTGGGAAGTCACCCGGGCTCTATGACATGCTGAGTGTTTGCAAGCCTGCAGCACATTCCTATAAGTACTGTATGTATGTGAAAAAGAGCTGCATTGTGATACCAAAGCAAGGCGAACCAAAAAAAAAAAAAAAAAAAATTAGGGAAGCTATGAATCGAACATAGAACCGCCGTCACCACTTCCTACGCTCTGGACATCCTCTGAAGACACCCAGTCACACAGGTTGCAGGATACGTCGCTCTACCAATTGAGCTACTTCCCAAAATGTTGTTTCTTGCTCAGACCAAATTTTTTCTATCTGATATCTGTTCCTACCTAGGTACCTAGGCATGCTCTAAACTAAGATGCCCCCCAGAATTTGCTTGCAATTTCTGCCACCTCAGTGCCCTTGGTAATGCCAAGCTCATGGCCAGCATCTAACACCTCCACCTGGCAAGCATCGCCACCAATTATGCCCCTTGCATCTGGCATGATCTTATGTTCTGGTACAATCTGGTCATGGGAACCGAGGATGAACAGCAACCGCCCGCCGAACAAGCCAGGCAGATGGGGATTCTCCCTTCTCGCAGAAAGAAGGCTTCCCAATCTCTTCCAGTCGTCGTACCGCTCATAGATTGGGGCGTATCGCAAGGTGCTGATGACGGCCGGTACGAAACCCTTGTGGTTGTCCAGATGCCACGACATGATGGAGGCCGCGGTGACTTGAGGTCGGGTCGGTGAAATGATGGCATCGTCCCAAGGGTCGCCAGTCGTGAAACTGCCATGCCCTGCGGCTATAAATTTGGGCTCAAGCCGCCGCCTGTACCAACTTTGAATCAGCCAGTTTGGCCCCCATCTCGAGTTCAGCAGGCGGGTTCGCCAGCCAATGTCACCAAGTCTCTGCAATGATCCAGGTGCGACCAAGGTTAATGACCGGACCAAGTGCGGGAACCAGCTTGCAAAATTAGCAGCAAGGCCTCCACCCAGCGAGTACCCAATGATGTGGAAACCCCCGTTACCTCCCACCATGGCATGGCCCGTCCAGCTGACCTCGGAGCTCGCCAGGACCATCGTGATCTGGCTCGCAAATAGTCTCTCATCATAGTCGACATCCTCGGGGTCTGGTGCGTCCGACCATCCACGGCCAAAGAGGTCGAAAAGCATCACTCGATAGCCCTTGCTAGCAAGAGTGACTGCGGTGTTGGAACCGGAGACGCTAGGCATCGACAGGCCGTGGAGAAACAGGACCCTCTCGCCATCTGACGGGCCAAACTCGAAGACGTGGATGTTGCCGTATGGAGTCGGGACATCGCGGCCGCCCGGAAGGGCATCGGGAGGATAAGGAAGAGATGAGAGCTCCGTCGGGTGAGCACAAGGCAAGGCTGCTTGCTCCCGCTCCGGCGCTTTGATAACATTGCCCGAGCGTGCTGGGAAGAGATGACGGCGCAATAAGAAGGCTGCGGGCAGGCAGACCAAGGCGACACTCGCGATGGACCTGCTTGTACGGGTGTCCATCGTGAGATTCCTGCGCCCTTGGGCAAGCACTGCTCGCGGGCAAGGAGGCTGCCCAACAACTCCACACGACACCCAACACTCGGAAATGGCGCTGGTGTTTCAGGACGACAAGTCACTCATATGAACACAGCTATTAACAAGGAGAAGAAGATACAAGAGTTCGACAAATCAGGTCCGTAATATGTTAGGTCTTTCCCAGGAAGAAGCTGGGCCGCAGGATGACGATACACGAATGGCCAAGTGAAGAGATAAATGTCTCGCGAACCTTTCGAACTGCTCTATCACGTTGAGAATCAAGAGCAGTAGATACAGGCGGAAGTTTCGGTCTACCGCCCAGCATGAAGCTGCCTAATGAAAGGAAACTCTTAAGGACAAAATGCTGTCTATCGCAATAGTAGGCAACTGTACCTCGCTGGGCGGATACCGAGAAAAAGAGAAGAGAGGAAAAACCGCCATTGTTGCACCAGAATCTTCCCTGGAAGTTAGCGGGCTAGGCCCGAGAGTGGGGCTCAAGCCGGCGGAAAATTAGGCGCTCCGGCAGAGCTCGCCCCCCCCCCTCCTGCCTGCCTGCCTTGCTGCCAGCTGCCAGCTCAATTTGGTGCCTTTTTTTAACTACAGCTTTGGTTTCGCGCAAATTTTCTTCCTCAACCACCAACCCTGACTGCACCGCAGCCATCATGGAGTCGCTCAGCGAGACGCCCTGGGACGTTGTCATTTGCGGCACAGGCCTGCAGCAGTCGCTCCTGGCATTGTGAGTAGCCCCCTCCGACCAAACCGTGGTTGCAGCGCAAAATGTCAGCAAGCCCATCTAACTAACCTAGTCTTGCTCCGCCATGAAGAGCACTCTCCCGATCAGACAAAAAGATCCTCCACATAGACCCAAATCAGTACTATGGTGGGCCAGAGGCAGCCTTCAGCCTCCAGGAAGCCGATGCTTGGGCCTCAGAGATTGCTCAAGCACCTTCATCTTCCGTCTTTACCGCTGCCGCCGTGACCAGGCCAGACGAGATTCCCGACGGTGGCGTCAAGCTGTCCTTTCCTCGCGCCTACGCCCTCTCCCTCTCGCCCCAGATCGTCCACGCCAACTCCAAGCTCCTCTCCCAGCTGGTCTCGTCCCGATGCTACCGGCAGCTCGAGTTCCTGGCCGTTGGGTCCTTCTTCATATTCAGGCCTGCCTCTGAGACAACCGCAACGCCGACCTTGGCACGGATACCCTCTACCCGTGAGGATGTTTTCTCCTCCACAGACCTCTCCGCTCGGGTGAAGCGACAGCTCATGAAGTTTCTGAAGCTTGTCTTGTCATATGAGGAAGAGGCGACCCTCCCGCAGTGGCAGGAGTATGCCGAAAGGCCACTCGCCGAACTGCTGTCGGAGAAGATGAGCTTGGACGAAGGCTTAAAGACGTACATCATCACCCTGACGCTTTCTCTCGACGGGCGTATCAGTACCAAGGACGGGCTGGCGGCGATCCATCGACACATGACGTCGATGGGCCTGTTCGGGCCTGGCTTTGCTGCTGTCTACCCCAAGTGGGGTGGAGGCTCTGAGATCGCCCAGGTGGGATGCCGGGCCGGTGCGGTAGGCGGCGGTGTCTACATGCTCGGCACAGGCATCAAGGGCATCAAGGGCGTTGGCACAGCTGACGAGGTTGAGTTGGAACTCTCAGAGGGCACAGTCATCAAGACAAAGACACTGTTCAGAGGGCCTGTCGAAGTACCTGCTGCCAACGGTGCCACGGTCAGCCGGCTGGTTGCCATTGTTGGGGCCCCCCTTGCTTCATTGTTCGAACCTACATTAGAAGGTGCCCCAGCACCTGCAGTGGCGGTCATTGCCTTGCCGCCCAAGTCGGTGAAAACCAGCGATGGATTCGAGTCAACGTATCCGATCTACGCCATCGCGCACTCGAGTGATACTGGTGAATGCCCAGCTGGACAAAGTAAGCCACAACCCCGCCATTCCCCACCCACCGACTTTCATGATGAAAATTATACAATCCTTATCTACATTGCCTGAGCAACAGCTATGAAGTTAAGAAACTCTTACTTCTGACGAAGACAAACCATACCCAGTCATTCTCAGCTTCCTTGAAGACACACAAGATTGCTAACAGTGACGACAAACAGGCATCCTCTACCTCAATACTATCCACATCCCACAGTCCAAGTCTCTGCTCGAGACCAGTGTTGACTTGCTTTTGTCAAGCCTATGCCCCGAGGGCTCTAAGGCGCAAGTGCTGTACCAACTCTACTACGAGCAACAAGCTGGCGGCGTCAACTGTCTCGCAGGGGAGCAGCGCGTCTTCGAGTTCCCGACGTTACCTGTCTCTCTCACACTTGAAGACTCGTTGCTCGATCCGATCCACCAGGCCTGGGCTAAGGCGATGGGAGACGAGCTGTCCGAGGAGGCACTGGCTGAGTATATGATCTTCGCAGACCGAGAAGGAGCTGACGATGACGACTACGAATGATGTCGAAGATAACACTCTTCCTGTTTTGATAGCTCACGATGGCATGAGAATACGAGTTGTAATGAAAAGCGATGTGATTCATGCATTATTTGGCACGGCATTTTATCCTCAGTAATGATTCGTCCCCTTGGTATTAATTCGCACCGACCACGGTGCTGACTTGGGTCTGAAGCTAGAAGCCAAATTGTTCGCTTGATATGCCGGCCATGATTCGCCGCCCAAACATCCTATGCAGAAAAATCAAGATGGTCTCACCCAGCCGCGCTGAGGACCTGATGAGATCCATTTGAGTCGCCCTGTTGCGGGTCAGGGCCATGCCATAATGACCCCTAACGACTCTTCTTCATCCAATTGATGAGTCCGGCGGCCTTGAACGTTCCAAAACTTCAGTCAAATACTTCTGCAAGCGCAACTATGCGCTCCCTTCACCAATGTGTTTGGTGCGTTCGCGCCCATCCATGCACCTGCGACCGTGTCGTCGCCATGGTCTTGAGCACCAGAATTCTGCGTTTTTCTACCCCCCTCAAAGAACAAGAAAGTCGACAAAGACAGTTTTGGGTCCGGCTAGGCTGCCATCGATTGGCCAGTAGCCATTGTCGCTCATGTCCTGCGGTCGACTACTCTTCGCCTTCTCCTCCCAAAGCTTCCTCCGGCTTCCTCGCAGGCGGGCCAGTAACACCAACGTGGATATTGCCGTACGCAATCTTCTCCTCGATGCCCTCTTGCTTGACCGTGATCTGGCCCTTTGTGGCAAGCGCCAAAACATGCAGGAAAGCCTGCGCGGCAACCGGCCTCGTCAGGTCCTGTTCCTCGAAGAGGCTGTCAAAGTCGACCCAGCGGCGATTCTCGTTCCCCCGGTCCTGCTCGCCCCGCTCGAAAGCAACCCGCTCCACGAAGCCGAGAAAGTTACGCCCTTCCCGGTCCAGGGCGTTTCGCATAAACTGGCTCGTGTTGGCTTCCTGGGCGCTACCCCCGGCGGGGGCGGCGAACTCGCTGGGGGAGCTGTGTTCATTTGCGGCGTCGTGTCCCAGACCGTCATAACCGAAGGAGATCACGTCGCCTTCGTTGAATCGCGGATCATTAGCAAGTATGCTGCCTCGTCCCACAAGCGGGCTGCCCTCGACAACGTGGACGCCTGCCTCACGTTCCTTCTGGCTGCGGATGGAAGAAGGAATTAATGACGATGGACGATTCCAAGGCGCGTTGGACGAGCGGTGGTGATCAGACATGGCAGAGCCGGGGTGCTCACGGCCGACCTCGGGCAGTTCATCATCGAACATCATCATCGGATCGTCAATGACCTGGCCGTCTTGCTCGGGCGAGCCATGGCCGATCTGAGGATCCTGCCCCTCGGACTCAGGCTCGGCTCCATGAGTGCGAGGGCGGACCCGTCTGTCAACAAAAACGTCTTCTTCCTCGCCGAAGGCCTCCGAGGCAGATCTGCGGCGACTAGATCGGGCTTCTTCCTCATATTCCTCCTCAGCCGCTACGTTGACATCGCCCATGACAATAGCCTTGAGCTCATCGCCGGCAAAGGATTGAGCCAGCGGGTGATCCAATCCGGGGATGGTGTTGAGTATGCCAATACCCATTATTCCCATCCCAAAGGTGAGGTTGTACGCATTCTTCCTCGCTTGAGCTGCAGTGACTTGCTGGTGAAGTCCACGAGCCTCCACTACGCGCGCGATGTAATTTTCTGACCAACCCTTGAATTCTTCTCGGCTCACATGAGTAGCAACGTCGGGAGAAATGCGTTTGATTGTTCGGTTCTTGCGCTGTTGGGGCTGCTGAGGCTCGTCGGAGCTGACTAGCTCCTCAGAGGGAAGTGGCACTTCGCTTTGTTGGGGATTCAGTTGGGCTTGACCGACTGGAGCTTCGGTAAACGGGTCGTCACCGATGATTATCTGATCATCGTCGCCAGGAACTACCATGGCTTCGTCCTCGGGAAAGGCAGGTGCGCTACCAACTTTCGGTGCAGCTTCGCCAACAATGGCACCTTGGCTTTGCGGGTGTGGAGGCAACTCTGGCTCAATCTGTTCGACGAGGTTTCCATCCGCGTCGACTTGGAGGCCAAAGTCTTCAAATGGGAGCACTTCTTCCTCTCCAAAAGAGATCTCCAGGTCGAAATCGTCCGGCTTTTGCTGCTTGCCTCCAAGAGGAGGGATCCCCAAGCTATCTTGGCTTGAAGAATGGCGGATGTTGAGATCGATGAAATGCGCACCCGCCGGGGGCACAATGGAGCCACTTCCTCGGTCAAGGGGTGAAAGTTGAGAGGACAGTCTGGTACGCTGGCTGAAATCCCACACTGGAAGGAGCAGGTCCCCGTTCTCGTCAAAGTCTAGAGGCGGTAGGTCGAAAGTCGGAACAAAGTTGGGATCATCACCAAGGATAAGCTTGGATCGCCTGGGTTTTGTCAGCAGGAAAGCAAGCAAGTACCAGGTGTGGTTTGTATCCAATGCGTTTTGCTAAGTCGTCGCTTACTTGGTTTTTCCAGCTTTTGGGTCTACCGCATTAGATGCAGAATGCTGGAGAGAACGAAGGAAAATCTTCATGTTATCCCACACTTTTTGGGCGTCATCGAGGAGGTAGTTGTGCTTCTTCAGGTAGACGCCAGACACTCCGTAGAGGAGGTTGCCCTGCAGCCGTAGGGCGATGGGGGCACCAGGAGGCTTTCCGATCGTGTCGCATGCTCGAGGAACATTGACGTTCTCGATAGACCTGCGGTTCACCTTGCGGTTGTTTGTCTGAACGCCAAGGGTGGCAACCAGCCTGTTGAGATTACCCAGGATTAGCAGCTGCCGACGAGCATCGGTGAGTTCTAGGGAGCCTACCAAACCGTTGCGACGCCATACTGAGGGCTCGCGAGAACTTAATCAGACATTAGCAACACTTGGATCGGTGACGGGCGAGTTCAGAGGCCTGACGTACTCTCATGGGAGTAAAACATCGCTGTGGCGGACGCACATACACGTCCGTAAAGCGCAAGTCGCTCACGCACGAGATGAGTCTCGATGGAGATGTTCTTTTCCTCAGTTGTTGGGTCTTGATGGATATGACATGACTAACGGCCCGGCGAGGTTGACGGTTGTGCTCTTGATGGCTGGTGCCAGGTGACCTGAAGATGGCAGGGGATGGCAAGAATGCCAACTCGGTGTGTGTGGTAAGGTTGGTGGAGAGCTTGTGGTGTGGGCAATGGCCGCAATATTCACTACAGCTACCAGGCACTGAAAAATACCTAGGTACCTACCTAGCTACCTGGCAGGTAGGTAGTTGGGATGAAAATCTACTGATGCCTCACTGATGTCACAACACTCACAATGATAGTAGTGAGTCTAACCTGGCAGGTACTGTCGGTTTCTCTTACAGGTATACTAGGCACTTAAGTACCAAGAGGTAGGGTTCTATCAGATCTTACTAATACAGCTTTCCCACCCTAATTAAATTTATAATCTTTTTATAATAAAATTCACTTCTAATAAAAAGTACTTATATTTACTACTTATTTAATTATTATTCTTAAATAATAAGTATTATATAAATTATATTTATAATTATTTTACTTTTAAATTCATATAATAAGTATTAATTATATTATTATTTAAAATATAATAAATTAAAAATAAAATATTTATTATAATATTATAAAGATTTTATATTATTAAAAAAAGAAAGAAATAAAAGAGAAGATAAAAAAGAAAAGAAAAGAAAAGAAGAAGAGAGATAAAAAGAGAGAATAAGGAGGGGGAAGGAGAGTAAAAAAGTAAAAAGGTAGGAGGGAGGGAGGAGAGGAGAGGGTAAGAGAGGGTAGGAGAGGGTAGGAGAGGGTAGGAGAGGGTAGGAGAGGGTAGGAGAGGGTAGGAGAGGGTAGGAGAGGGTAGGAGAGGGTAGGAGAGGGTAGGAGAGGGTAGGAGGGGAGAGGGTGGGAGGGTAGGAGGGTAGGAGGGTAGGAGGGTAGGAGGGTAGGAGGGTAGGAGGGTAGGAGGGTAGGAGGGTAGGAAGGGGGAGGGAGAGTAGGATAGAGGAAGGAGAGTAGGATAAAAGAGAGAGACTAGGAAAGGGGAAGAAGGTAAAAAGATTAATGCTTTTTAAGGGCTGGGTCTTGAATGTTCACCACTGTATGAAGGCGCTATATATATCCTTGGATGTATGTGGAATAGAAGTGAAATTGGTTTAGTGGAGTATTGATAAGTTTAGGATGTGATGAGGCTCTAAGAGTGGAGTCTGGGGTAGTATCATTGTTGAGTAAGGAACAGTGTTTTGGCTGTGCTTGCTTGTCCACTTAATTGAAATCAGAGCCTTGTTTCTTCTAAAGCCATGTGAAGGGTACTCTAAGTGAATCCACAATGGCAAAGAATCAAGCAAGTCCATTAACTTGGTTAAACACAATCCTAGGTGCTTTAGTGTATGAGCCTGAGTAGAGGGCAGTATCCCCACAGAGGAGGTGAATATCTCCTCCTGCTGGACAGTCTTGACATCTCAGGGATTCTTATAATAACACAGCCGCATTCTTGAAATTCCTAAGCCTTACTGTAAAGCCCCCGTGGCTGCTTTGTTCTACCTGGTTGTCCATTAGGTGACCTTATAGGAGATTTTCCACAGAAGAACATCCTACCATATATGATCAAATAAGAGAGTACATATAATAATAGTCCTATCCATGGACTTCAGGAGGTAGGTTGGGGGAGAGACATCTTAGCCGCGGAGCAGACACCCACTCCGCCAGATCAATTCCTGGCTTAACTAGGCTCGGAAATGCCAATACGCATCCGTTGGTGGGGCAGGAGCTTTATTTCTTGTGCCCTCCCGTCCACCGACTACTTGGTAGGACATGGGGATCTGAGTCTCGGGGAAAAGAATAGACGCCGCCGCTCAAATAGACTCGATCTCAACAGACTGCCGGAGCAACGTGCGTCGCGTCACCTCAAGGTTTCATCCGAGCTCGCTCATCTGAATTCGGCAGCGGGCTTATCCGAACCTCAGTTGACGCGGCCTGCATTCGGGCTGCAGGGTCGATAACAACCACAGGAAGCAGGTCGATAACGGGAGACGGCAGATATCAGATCTCAGATATCAGATGGACGGTGAGCCGCCGTGGGGATGTTTATGAGCGCACGTTGAACATGTTCCTGCGGCCCACATTTGATTACTTGGCAGAATGGCTGCCAAAGTCTTGGAGATCGCTAGCCAAGAGACTACGGGCGATGAGGATCTGCCTGGGCTGTAAATCCACCTGCCCAGGTGCCCAGGTGGCCGTGCGAACGAGATCCTCTGCTCGCGGTTGCTTGTCTCCACAGGCTGACAGGGCAACAGCAAGAATGATGTCCAAAGAGCTGGTATGATCGACCCCAGCTTGAAACGGCCGCAGAGAATGCGAGCCCAGAGTGGCACCCACCTGGTCTGCCGGTCCGCTCACCGACATCCGCGGCCACGATGCGGTGCGGGTTGCCCCACAGAAACACCCCCGCCGGCGTGGTTGTGACTGTTTCAGGGCCCCAGTGCTGTCACAGCTCTGTGCCAAGGCCGCCAATGCTTGCCTCCCAAGGACGCTGACTGTCGATCCCCAACTCTGAATGTTGAGGCTGAACTTGGCTTCTGCAGGTCGCCCTCGGTCCCGCTCCAAGGCAAAGCTTGTCTGCTGAGTCGGGAGGGCGATGCGCTGGCCATTGGCCAATCAGCCCGTCGTGTGCCGGGAGGCGTGTTTGAAATGGTTGCCAGTTTCACCAGTCACGAGCTGTCATCCTCTTCACCATGTCGTCCAATTCTGGGACCGACCCTCCGGGACCCTCCGGGGCCCTCCACGTACTCCACCCTTGGACATGAACACTGTGGGATGGCGACCAGACGAGATCTCATCGGCTCGCCATGCCCAGTAGACAGGCACCGACGTAATCCCATCCGGACTATGATCTGCGCTCGCTCGCAGCGTAGTCACAGAGTTCCACCCCCTTGCAGTCAGGTCGTTGTGCGGCCTAGGAGCAGCCAACCAGTTCCGTGCTGTTCGTCCAGACCTTGTTTGATCGTTGAGTTGTCTTATGTGCCACTGCCATCCGGTCCTGTCTGCCCACAGCCCGTCAGGTCTCTCCTCATTATTTCGTGTGCAGGTCTTGTGCGAGTTTTCTTCTCGTCGTCCTGGGCGTAACCAGTGTTTAATATAAATTTTTCTACCCGACCCGAGAAGCGTGCTCTTTCGAAACCAAACCTGCTCAGCCGCCCGTTTGGAAGGCTCCGTACGGCCCGCACTCGCCTGAGCAAGTTCCAAGGTTCCTGCGAGAAACGTGCTCGCCCAGCGCGCACCATCCCCTTGAGACATCCCATCTCTTCCCACACGCCATCATCAGACCATCCGGATGGCTCCACCACCACTAAGCTTCAAGAATGCCTCCTTCAGAAGCTTTGGCTCGTTCTCCACCGCCGCATCGCCACTGAGGAACTCGTTCACGCTCTCATGTCGGTCCCCCATCACACCAACGCCAGAAATCAGGCAGGCATGCTCGACCCCGAGGCATGGGTCTTTTCTGGAGCCGCCAAGATCATTCAACGGGCCGGGCACAAAGGGTGGTCTGTCGACATCGATAGGTCATGGTGGATACGCGTACGAGGAGGACGAAGACGACGCCTCGATAGACTCACCTACAGACCACACATGGTTCCTGCCGCACTCGCCGGGGCTTCCGCCCCGGCCATCACTGGTCCAACAGGATGAAGGCAAGCTTGGCGTCTTGTCCGCCATTAACATCATCGTGGGAAAGACAATGGGTGTCGGTGCCTACACTGTGCCCTCGGCCATCTTCAGCGGCGTTGGGTCCGTTGGCAGTATGTTCTCATCCCAACCCCGCCCACCAGTATCGCCCTTCTTCCCCGAGACTCCTACAACACAATGAGAGCACAAGGCCTCTGCTGACAACACATCCGGTAGTGACACTCCTGCTTTGGGTCATCGGCAGCCTCATCTCCTTCTGCGGGCTGGCGGTATACCTCGACCTGGGCACGGCGATACCGCGCTCAGGCGGGGAGCGGGTTTACCTGGAGCGGATCTTCCGGCGGCCGTACATGCTGGCCACGTGCATGTTCATGTCGTATGTCGTGCTGCTGGGCTTCTCGACGCCCAACGCCGTGGTGCTGGGCGAGTACGCGCTGTACGCGACGGGCACCGAGCCCAACAGGTGGAACGTCCGGCTCATCGCCGCCCTCGCCGTGTCGCTGCTGTGCTTCGTCCACGCGCGGAGTCCCAGGCTGGGCCTGAGGCTGATCAACACCCTCGGCGTGGCCAAGATGGCCATCCTGGTCGTCGTGGTTGTTTCTGGGGTCGCGGGCGGGGTCATGGGCGTCGGCGCAGACCGGGAGTCGGCCATCATCGAGGGCCGCCGGGTCGACCTCGCCATGAGCGGCAACCAGCCCTCGTCGTCGGCGCAGCGGAACTTCAGCAACATCTGGGAGGGCACGTCGACGCAGCCATACGACTATGCGACGGCGCTGCTCAAGGTGATATATTGTTTCCGCGGGTACAGCACGGCGAACCAGGTCCTCAGCGACGTGAGGGACCCGGTCCGCACCCTCAAGGTCGCGGCGCCCGCGGCCCTGGCCTTCGTCAGCGCCGCGTATCTCGCCGTCAACGTCGCCTTCTTCCTCGTCGTCGACAAGGACGAGTTCCGGTCCGCAGGCGTCGTCGTCGCCGGCACCTTTTTCCGCAAGGTCTTCGGCGACACCCTCGGCGAGCACGTCCTGCCGCTGTTCGTCGTCGTCTCCGCCGCGGGCAACATCGCAGCCACCAGTTTCGCGCAGGCCAGGGTCAACGAGGAGCTTGCGAAGGAGGGCGTGCTGCCGCGCTTCTGGCTGACGGACCGCCGCGCCGACGAGACCGCCGCGGCCCGGTCAGCCAGCCCCAGCAAGACACGCAGCCTTACCGCGTCGGAGGGGAGGAACGGCGGCACCATGTCCAACACCCCCTCGCGGGGCCTGCTGCTCCACTGGCTCGTGTCCGTGGCGATGATCGTGCTGCCGCCCCCGGGCAAGATCTACAACTTCCTGGTCGACATAGGCGGCTACCCCGTCTCGTTGATCAGCGTCGCCGTCTCGCTTGGCCTCCTCCACCTGCACAACTCCCGCTCCGAGGGGTGGGTCACCCCTTGCAAAGCGCCGCGGGTTGCCATCGTCGTCTCGGCAGCCAGCAACATCCTGCTGCTCGTGCTGCCCTGGATCCCGCCCGTGGGCGGCATGGGCGAGGACGACCAGTTCCCCTACTTCACATACCCGGCCACCAGCCTTGGCGTTCTGGGCCTCGGCGCAACATACTGGTGCTGGTGGAGGACGACAGAGAGCGCGACCACGGGACGGTCGAGGGCCGGCCGTCTCCTTGTCTCCGGCGCCGGCGCCGCGGCCCCTGCGGAGATGTACCCCGGCTTTGGCGACAATGACTCGGGGGCGCTTACGATCCGGGTCGCGGATGATGACAGCGAGGGCGAGGGCCAGGATGACGAAGACGACGAGGACGACGCCGACGACCGCAGCGAGACGGTGGTTGGCGAGGAAGAGAAACGCCAGAAATCCTTTGAAATGGTTGATGTCAGCGGGCGGGAGGTCTGCGGCTGTCCTGCATGTCCCATGGTTAGGAAAAGACCAAGGTGCGGTTGCGAAGCCTGCCCTTCTAAGGGTCACGAGAGTTGAAAGGGACAGGACCTTGCTTGCCTAGGGAACGGGGTTCCGGGACAACTTGTAAGATTTGAGACACGAAACCTTTTGTATATATTGCCAGTTGTGACGGCATTACATAGATACCCATTGGAATTTACCATGAGTTGTGCTGGGAACATTTGAAGTAAGCGTGGCTGCGTCCACCCTTGGCGACCAGAAATAGCATTGATATGCCAGATACGACTGGTTGTCTTCCCAAAACCCTCGTCTCCGCCAGGAGTAGTAACGACCATCCTGGCGCTCAGTCCTCCGCCATCTTCCCCTGCCAGAACCAGCCTTTCCCTCTCCTCAACACCTTATTCTCCTCCCTCTCCTCCAAAGGCAGGGGATCTTCACCACCAAGCACATAGCGCCGGTGCCAACTGCCGACGAACAGGCCCCTGGGGTCCACCTTGTCCCTCACGGTCCTCCAAGCGTCGAGGTCCTCGCCGTACATTTCCTCAATGTCCTTGACGCTCACCTCGGAAAAGTTCTTGGCCCAGTGTGGCTTCCCGCCAAGGTCGCGCATGAGCCACTCGAATGCCTGGTAGTAGCGCTGCAGCGAGGGCGGATCCAGGTCGTAGGGCCTGTAGAGCGTCGCGTTGAGGTACAGGGTCGGCCCGTCCCGGCAGGTCGGGTCGAGGTAGGGCCGGGACTCGACGCCCGTGCCGTCCGTGTTGGCCAGGAAGGTCGACGTGTCGGTGACGCGGACCTCGAGGGGCGCGTGGACCCACAGGCCGCGGCTGCTGAAGGGGATGCGGTGGTCACAGTAGTCGCGGTCGCCGGGCTGCAGGTTGTTGAGCCAGCACGACAGCCTGCGGATGGCCTCGGGCCCCTTGCTGAGCGGGATGGCCCACTCGTTGACGTACTGGCTGTACAGGCAGTTCATGAGCAGGGCCTTGCGCTGGGGCTGCACGGCCGAGGTGGTGGTGCCGTCGCGGAAGCCGTACTGCATGCCGAAGACGAACCACTCGACCCAGGGCAGGACGCGCGGCACGTAGTGGGCAAGCCACAGGAGGTTGTGGTAGACCAGGTAGCCGAGGGTGCCGTCGTAGCCGTTGCGCGGGGGGTCGCGGTGCGGCTCGGTGGTGACGTTGGCGTCCCAGACGACAGAGCGGCGGGTGTAGGGGAACCACCAGACGCGGACGAAATGGCCGCGCTCCCAGAGGGAAGAGTTCCAGTCGCGGAACATGAGGGCGTCAGAGTCGATGGTCTGGGTCCACCTGAGCGAGTAGGCGGGGCGGGCCTCGAACTTGATCTCGACGATGACGCCCAGGGCGCCGAGCGACAGCAGGGCGGCGCGGAACAGGTCATTGTCGTGGGTGCGGCTGCAGGTGCGGGCCTGGCCGTCGGCGGTGACGATGACGAGCTCGACTATGGACTGGCTGATGAGCCCGTGGCGCAGGGACGAGCCGTGGGTGCCGGTGGAGATGACGCCGGCGGCGGACTGCTCGTTGATGCTGCCCAGGTTGGGCATGGCCAGGCCCATGCGGTCGAGCTCCTCGCCGAGCTGCCAGAGGCGGATGCCGGCCTGGAAGTGGACGACGTTGGAGCGGGGGTCATGGTGGATGATGTCGCGCAGGTCGTCGAGGTTGAGCAGCCACGACGAGGTGCAGGTGAGGTCGGAGGGCGAGTGGCCGGCGCCGGTGGTGGTGATGCGGCGCCTGCACTGGCGGGCGAGGCTGACGGCCTTCTGGACCTCGCGGACGGACCGGGGCCGGATGTAGAGCTCGGGCCTGCTGGTGAAGGTGCGGGCCCAGGTCTTGTGGGCGTGGGTGGTGGTGGCGCGGAACGGGATGCCGTCGGCCGAGTGCTTCTGGATGGTGTCTCGCACCCGCTGGTCGAGGGTTGAGAGGTCCATGGTCGTCCCCATCGCCGTGGCGATCCAGAAGTGGTGGTGTTGGGGATCGAACCACACTCCTTGGTACGGAGCAGAGGAGACTAAGTATGTGCTTGGACGACGCGACGCTGCGAGTCAAGGAGTCCCGCCCTGCTCTCATGCGGCTGTCGCTCTCGTGTGCCGCCTCAAGGCTTGTGGGTGAGAAATTTGCCTCGGGTCCAGACCTCCTGTCGGCAGTCGAATGGGTCGCAAGATGAGACCGGACAAAGGTCGATGATTGCTGCATTACACGAATAATCGTGCATGGTACATCCATCATCCACGTTTGGTTAGCGCCATCTGTCAGCCCTGGGCCCACAGCAGCTGGCCGCCCGGGACACAGGCAAGTTTCGATTCTTTGTAGCGCCTGATGCGTAGTGGCCGCCGCGGCGGTGTGAGCCTCACCCGGGGTGACCCGTGTTGAGCTTCATGTATATTGCTGCCCAGGTGCGTAAGAGCCCAGGTACGTGCCTAGGCTCTTAAGTGGATACTGAGGTACCTAGGTACCTAGGTGAGGTAATTCGCAGTCCATATCGGGCAAGGAGCTTGGGCCCGCTCGGGCTGATGGTCAGACCTCGGCCCGTCACCCGTACATGTACACTACATCCCCATGTCGTGATTGTTTGTCTCCATCACCCGCACAGGTAGTCACCAAGTCGCTGGGCTCCACACAGGCACGCAATGGCTGCAATGGCTTCTCCCACAGACTCGCCCGCGGCCTTCACCACCAGCAGCCCCCCCGTTCCGCGCGGGACCGGGGGCTCTATCCCCTCCCACACCATCGCCACGCCAACCTTCGGCCCGGGCGGGTCCTTCAGCATTGTCTCCTCCATCAACATCGCCGCCCCGCCCGACGCTGTCTTCACCGTCCTGCTGGACCACACAAAATGGCCCGAGTGGAATCGCTTCATCCCCAAGCTCACCGTCACCTCCAGCCCCCCGCCAGCCGACCCCTCGCCCGGCGCTGCCGCCCTCGAGGCCCTCATCCAGCGCGATGACGGCTCCACTTACCTGAAGCGGGACACCAGGATGGTCTTCGATGTCAACCTCAACCCATCCGACCCAAACTCGGGCTCCACCAACAAGACTTCCATACAGGTCACCCTGCTCGAGCCCTACGACCACGCCGGGAGGAAGGGCTGGCGCATCGCCTGGAAGCCAACCGACTACCCCGCCATGGTCCTGCGCGGCGAGCGCGTCCAGGAGTTCGTCGACGACGGCAACGGCGGCACCGAATACACGTGCTGGGAGACAATGTACGGCCTCTTGGGCCCCGTCGTGAGGCTGGCAACCGGCGCAAAGCTCGAGAAATGCTTCCAGTGCTGGGCTGAGGACCTGAAGAAGAGGTCCGAGGCTCGTGTCGGGGCTGAGACTGCGTCTCCTCTGGGCGGGTGAAATGATAATTCCACGGGTTCCATGGTCACGGCCAAGTGCACGCGGGGCATTACGAAAGGTGTGGGCATATGAGTCTGTATTGTGGGTCTCTCGGCTACTGATAGCTGCAGCAGTATCTAGTGCGTGTATATCAAGACGTCTCTTTCAAGACTCAACTGTTGGCAATCCTGCATGTAATCTGGCAACGTCCATCCTTCGTGCGACTTCCTCTAACCCCTCGCGGCGTTGATGACGGGGGCCGACTCGATGTAGACAGTCAGGGGCGGCTCGGACAACCCGGCCTCCTTGGCGATCTTCTTGAGCTCCTGGTGGCCCGGGTCGGCGTCGTCGTAGTACTTCATGTCGTCGAGGCTGGAGAAGGACGCCTGCGCAACCACGGTGACACCCTTGGCGCGCGGGTCGTCCTGCGCGGCCCCGACGCTCAGGTAGGCGATGTAAGGCTTGCCGTCCTGGACAATCATTAGAGGCTACTCAGTCCTGTCCTGGGGCTCATCCGTGGCTCGGCTCTTACCCTGTTCTGCTCCTTGGCCAGCTTCTCGTAGGCGGCGATCAGCTTGGCCTGGTTCTCGGCTCCGGGGAGCTTGAAGAGGGTGACGCGGTTGATGAGGTTCGCCATGTTGTCGGTCTTGGGGGTAATGATACTGGTGGTGATAGTTGGAAGGCGGCTGTTGGTCTCGATGCTTGGTTGTTCTGTGTTCTGTGCTCTGATGCCGATGCCAGATTCTTGGTCGGCGAGGGCTCGATTTATATACACGCGGGACCGACGGATACACACCTGAGCATCGAGAACTGATGGGGTGTAACTGCCGAGGAGTGCGAAGTGACCCTCATGCCCGTCCCGGATCTACAGAGGAAGCCCGGCCAGCACGCACAAGAACACCTCCGGCGGTATCACCCAATGCCCAGGCAGGCGTGGATGCGCACGAAAACGCATGAATCTGACGAGGGCCTCATGTCCGCATGAATCTGACAGCAGGCCGACCGGGATTCTCAGCCTGCTGTTGCGTCAATGCGAGGCAGCAGCAGCGCAGCAGCGCGTATGTGTGCCTCGACCTGCGGCCCTCCGACAGGCTCGGCTCCTAAGCTGCAGCCTGCAAGGGCGCCGACAGCGGGAGGATCCGGGGAATTCGGTCCCGACCGACTTCCACCCGGAGCGGACTTCCCCCACCACCACGGGCGGAGGTTGCTGGAGGCTTCACTCAGAGCTTTGTCATACTGTAATGCAACCATGCGTCGTCTTCGGTTCCCGTCGTTTAACAGGCAGCAATAAGGGGGTAACCCTGACGTAACTACATTTTTTATAACACACTTAAAAAAAAACAAAAAATACTCACCAGGTGGCAGATGGTCTTTCTGTCCCCTTGCTTTCAGCTCAGTCTCAGTACGAGACGAGAACGGCCGAGACAGCCACGGGCCAATTTTCTGGATCGGGGCGCATGCTGTCTTGTTCCGTCTTGTCACTCAAGGTACATACATAATGGAACGAGACCTGCTCGGGCGTCCGCCACGCCGCCAGGCAGGGCATCTTTCTCCCTGAACCTCTTATGGACAATCTCCTGTGGGAAACTATCTAGAGGTCGACCTTCTTTTTTGCTACAGGACATCCATTCTTAATTCCATCTCCTCTCGGATAACCTCGTGAACTTACTTAACATAGAGGATGCAGCAGACGAGAATTATCGCTCCCTGACACTGGCCTCTCGCAAGGTGGTCTGCTGTGGTGGCGCCTACCTAGGTAGCAAGTGGACCCATACCTAGATTATTCCATGACCTGTACTGCCTAGGTGCCGATTGCTACCTACTAAAGTACCTAGGTAGGTCCATATGTAAGATGACCCCATCGGATGCTAACACAACAAATACCTCATATTGGTGCTCCCTTGCTCCGTAAATGTGTCAGTATTCTTTCAGCCTTAAGTAGAATATGAGTAAAATGAGTAGAGATAGTGTTATATATCCAGAGTGTTGTTGCTAATTACCAATCACAAGTAGCAAAGCACTTGTAGAAGCATGTATGGTGTAGCGGTAACATTCAACCCTTCCAAGGTTGAGCTCGGGGTTCGACTCCCTGTGCATGCAGCTCATTCTGATCTAAATAACTTAAGAGCTGTAGGAGTTCGTCGGTTCTGGATTGCTTTTGTCTTTTTATTTTTGTATTTTTGAATTTCCCTGATCAGAGGGAGCTTTTATTTTGTCCACCAGCTCCGTGCACTTCATTCTTTTTTCATTTCTTCACCTGCTTGTAGAAAAAAATTACACAAGCATGCAGATAGTTCTTATTATCAGGTGGTATTTTCAAATTTGGACTCATTGAAGATATGTGCGACTAGAATTGGTGGATGCCGTGATACCTAGCTTGCCCAGGTGTAAAAAAGCTTGTCGGACACAGCTTGTTGAAGCAAGCCGTCTAATGCTTATATGCAGTTGTTTCGTCTGTAAACTATTTGAAGATTAGGAATTGTCTCTTCTTATTTAGTAGCTAGCTGATCATGCTTGATTGTGAAATACAGGCCCTTAGTTCATTAGGTATGTAGTTTCGCTTCTATTCCGTATACGTCCGAGGATATACATGGCGCCTTTATACGGTCGTCAGCACTCGAAACCCAGCGCTTAGAAAGAAATTAAACCTTTCATATATAAGAGTAGGTATGAAAGTTAAAATCTCTAGTTATATTTCTAGCTAAATTTTATTTAATTATATTTTAGTTTTATATCTTAGTGTTTATCAGCCTCCTCCATTAGTTTTACTCTTATTCTATACTTTTATTCTTAATCTATATATATTTTAAAGGTATAGTCACGGTCGCTTTACAAAGCGGTAAACGTTCGAAGACCCAGCGTTTATATACCCAGCGAAATTAAGTTCTTCAATCATGCACGGCCACCTTGGAGGTCAGGATAGATGCTTTTGTGATGTCCAACTAGCCTGTATGGCAGTGCTGGGATCCAGGACATGGCACAAACCCCTCGTGTTGGAATCAAGAAGCCAGTACAAGAAGGGCCGTACCTGCACAGTGTGTGCGGGTGCATCCGTTGTCCACTGTCAAGTTTGTTCGCATTGCATTTCACTTACTCCATGTACTGTGTCGGTCTGTCGGCCGATCCGATGCCCCATCTTAACTAAGGATCCCGATAAGCAGTTGGGTTCCTGGGGGAAGATCTACGTGAGATTTCAGAAGAAAAAAGGGTGCAGTATCCGCTCTGGATCTCCCCACGCCCAATGAGCTTATCGCAGACGGTGGAGCCCCAATTTCGTGATGGTCCTCATATGGAGTACAAATGGATTCTAGCTGGACTTGGCCTATCCCAGGCTTCCGAGTCGTGGCGATGAGGTTTAAAATGCCGTGCTTCCCGCGCAGGATGATTGAGAAGCTGGGGCGACGTCCCCCAGAGCAGTCCATCTCGTTCCTCGATACCAGGTAGCTTCACCAAGGTGCCAAAATGGCCGTCCGCTCTTTTCTTTCGGCCCTCGCGGCGACGACGCTCGCGTCAGCTCAGATCACGATCGACGTGACTGAGACCCATCAGGTGATTCGCGGTCTCGGCTATGCCGAAGCATTCCAGCGGTCTCAATGGGTGTACAATACCATGTCGGAGGAGAAGCAGCAGGAGATGTTCGACCTCCTGCACGACCCTGTGACCGGCGCCGGCTTCTCCATTTTGCGACTCGGTGTCGGTTCATCTGCCAATAACTCCAAGGACTGGATGGTCAGCATTCAACCAGAGTCACCAGGCACCCCTGACGCGGAACCGACCTACGTATGGGACCGAAATGACTCTTCCCAGGTGTGGTGGGCAAAGGAGGTGCAAAAGAGAGGGGTTAACCTCTTCTACGCGAATTCTTGGGGAGCAGATGCGTACATGAAAGACACAGGGAGCACTGACAATGGCGGTTATCTCTGCGGCGTGACCAATACATCCTGTGAGACGGGTGACTGGCGCGAACAGTATGCCAACAAGCTCGTCCAGTGGGTCAAATATTACGCCGAGGAGGGTATCAACATCACCCACCTGAACCCCCTGAACGAGCCTGATATCGCGGTTCCGTACGCTTCCATGCAAGCAGACGGCCAGCAAACTACGGACATTCTGGAGAAGCTCCGCCCAGCAGTTGACGAGGCGGGCCTAGACGTCAAGATAACCTGCTGCGACTGGGCTGGCTGTAAGCATCACTTTTCATCTTTTACGGATCCCCGTCTTTCATGTTTTGGAATGTTCTAGAATACAACACTTCAGAAACCATAGCAGGACTAACTTCACCATTAGGGGAGGACGGCAGAAAGATCCTCAAGGGAATCCAGGACACAGGTGGCGAGAAATATCTGGATGTGGTCTCAGGCCACGGATACGGCCAGCCGCTCTCGGACCCCTACGACACACCCCTGGAGGTCTGGCAAGGCGAGTGGGCCGAGCTCTCGAGCTACTTTGACCAGCCGTGGTACTCTGCCGAGGGTGATCCGAAGGGCACTTACGGAGGTGGTGAAGGGATTACCTGGGCCAATAGAATCCTTCACAGCTTTACTGTTTCAAACATCTCGGCCTTCCTTAACTGGATGGGAGCTCAACCGTCAAAGTAAGATTCCAGATGTCGTTCCCCGGGGAATGCTTTTCTGTTAGGTGTTCCGCATGCTAACGTTTGTTGAATAGTGCTGCGACCCCAGTGATCCGAACGATCAATGATACAAATATTTTGTCAAAGCGCTATTGGGCGTATGCTGCTTTTGGAAGGTGAGCTTTGGTCTCAGCTGGTTTAAAGCCTGATTGATCTCCTTGACTGATTTTCCGCAGATACGCGCGCCAATCCTCGTCTAGAGTGACAGCGACATCCACAACCGACAATGTCACAGTGGCGGCATGGACCCCTCAAGAAGCAGCGTTCCCTGCAGGTGGCAACCTTGCCATGCAAATCATTAACAATGCTGACGAGGAGAAAATCGTCCCAATTACGATTGATAAACTAACAGACATCACCAACTCGACTGCCTTGTTGCTGAATAACGAGTTCGATCTGGCTGAGAGCGATTCCGTGGTTGAGATTAATGGCACAGCTATCACGGCAACCATTCCTCCCAGGTCACTCGTTGTTCTTGCTTTAGATGCTGTTTGGCCGTGAGTTGACTCCATCTTCCTATAATTTCAGGGATTATTTTCAAACACATCCTGACAAGTTTTATCAAGGGACGACATGGTTGTGAACGCTCAGTCTGAAGAAAACAACGCGTCCAAGCTGATTGGTGTCGGCCTACCAACATCAGGAAGCTCCTTGGGCCTATGGATGCTTGCAACCGCTGTTTTCTTCATGGCTTTGTGAACTCAGTAACAGTATACATTTTAATGATAGATGTTAGTTCCCTCGCATATTTCCGAGGACATATATGGCGCATTCATGTGAGGTACACATTTAGGGTATTCACAGTCCCATAAACGGATCACGGATGTCCATGAGTGCTCAGAGAACTGATGCAAATGGATGGTGATGAGAGACACCCTGTAGAAAGTGAAATGCTGCTTTGGATAGTTCATATTTCGGCATGGCTGAATATGACCGCCCATGTTATTTATGTGGTTTTGCTTCTATTCCATAGTAGTATATATCTGAGGATATATATGGTGCCTTCATATGGTGGTAAGCACTTAAGTTAGCGCACCCTATAACACACAACCCTACTAACGCACATGTATTTCCCTTTAAAAACGTCGATTTTTACACTAGTTTATTTAATTTTAAATAAATTTTAAAAATATAAATTAAATTTATTTAAAACATTTTATAAAATTTATATATAAAAGTTATTTTTTTATATAAATTTATTATTAATTTATTATATACTTTAAATTAAAAATATTAATAAAAATAATAAAAAGATAAATATTTATTAATTATATTATATATTTTATTTTATTAATTTAAATATATTAATTAAAATATATTACTTTTTAAAGTTTTATAAGTTATAATAAGAAATACTTTAAAGTGTTTAATTTTATTTAAAGGTGCTATGAATGTTCTTAGATGTATGTGGAATAGAGGTGAATCTAGATAGGAGAATAGGGTTAAGTCCCGAAAGAGGGGTTGCATTCCGGTAGGTAGTTCTCTTTCTTTATTCCGTACTTAGATGTGGGCTTACCGTTTTTCCATCTTTAAACTTACTAAAGATTATCAACCACCCGAACATAAAACTATATCCCGTAAAAGCTCCGCCTGACCGGTTCCTGGCTCCCTCCCTCTCAAGTTGACCCTGCCAGGCGAACAGGAAGAATGCACCACATGATGCCCCACCTGGCCCAACAGCTATATTATCAGGAACCTTGTTATATGCCCACTCTAAGATAGACGGGCCGAGACCCCCTATAGGCAGGTTACACGAGAGCGGCGAGCGCGCTACAGTTGTAAATACTAGGGTATGCAGTGGCATGATGTGCGAGATGTGAAGTTTTCACGAATGGGAGGAGTCAAGTGGCCGATTCCGACTCCCAGCAATACTGCATGCCGCGCTTGATCAAGGGCTATGACTCCGCCACTGGTCGAACCGACCACCTAGCCAGTTGCCTAGGTATGCCAGTGAACGTAAACGATGGATCCGGCGACTTCCGTCAAGCCCCGAAGGCCGTCGAATGCGATATAAGACGAAGCAAGTCCCGGCTTGCCAAGTCCAGGGCTCTCACGATCACCACCCAGGCAGACGCATTACCTGCATAGAGTGACAGCTGGGCACGCGCAACACCGTAACGCCATATCTTCACATCTGCCACAATGTTTACAATCATCATCAACCTCTTTACAGCCGCAGCCCTCTTGCCATGGCTGACTTCCTCAACCGTCCTCAGCGGCTTGGGCACGATTTCAGTCCTCAACTCCAGCTCTTTCATGACGGCCACACCTGACCAGACCATCGGCTGCATCGACGCATCCGGACGGCTAGTCATGGACTCTTGTGCAACCTTTGAATACCGCGACACCTACCCTAACGGAATTTTCTCAAGTGCTGGGAACTGCTCCTTCACAGACTCATCCCAGCCTGCAAACACCGACAGCCGGTATGGCTCCGGTAGTTACGCCTGGTCATGCTGGACTCATGAAGCCGTAGTAACAGACGAATTGTATACCGTCGTAAGTCCCCGAGGGCCTCCACCTCCCTTCATCATCCCATGGCACCCATCCAAGATTGTCATCTGCTCGATTCCACATCCTGGCTATCTCTCGGCTGTGAAAACACGGCTGACCAGAAACAATAACTAGGATGGCTTTGCATATCCGTTTCTCTGCCAGGGAGACACGAATTGTTACTTTGACATCCCCAGTGCGCCTTCCAAAGGGAGTCAGCAGCTGCCTGTCTGGAAGTACCTATGGGGTAGTGCGCAACCTGGAATCACACCGGGTCATCTGAAGGCCCTGCTTCTTTGGGAACCCGTTTCATCTTCCTGAAGGAAAAAAGGGATATCTTCAGGTAACGATGCGATGTAGGGCTTTGTATGAGATCAAATGTTTAAGCATCAATGATGTAACGATCGAAGGAGTCTGGAGCTTACTGTTTCCCTATAAATGGGCTGCTTGATGCACAGTCTTGTATGTGACAAGATAGTATTGACAGGGAAAAGACGGATAAACTTGGAGGCGATCAGATTTACTCTTGTCCTCATGTTCATCGGCAAGGTGCGATGCCTTCTTGTTTCATCTGATCCACCAGTCTCGCAGTACGGCCTGGGGAAATGTTCCTGGGTGCTCCAAGTTTGAATACTTCCTCATTGCAGGAATGGATGATCAGGACCATCTAGGAAGTGGCCTGCCTTGTAGGGGCTGTGGTGCGCCCTGGTATTCGTTGTTTGGTCAGGAACAACTGCATATATGTAGTGTGCCTGCGAGAATTCAAGAAACGCAAGCTATCTATCACAATGAGTCCCGGTGGGCTACATATTTAAGTAATAAACACCGTCTTATTGTATTCTCTCTGTACTGTTATTAGCATTACATTTTTAAAAGCTAGGTCTTAAGCGTTTAATACCGTGTGGAGGCTCCATCTATGTCCCCGGACGTATGCGGAATAGAAGCGAAACCATTTAGATCTCTTTCCCCATGCTGCCGTTAAGTATCCCGTCACAGTGGGTAAGCATACGTGCAGCGGAAGAGACTGGGATTAATGCATCGATAATTTCGTGATCCTTAAGTTTCAAAAAGCCCACGAGAGAATCTTACTTCTCCGCAGAGCGGGCGTACATACTCTATGAGGCCACCCCACAAGTTGTCCAATTTAAATATCTATCTGAGGGAATGAATCACAGGACTCCGAGGTATATTATAGCAGATGGTCTTCTAGGTTCTTGCACTATTAGGAGTTGTCTTAAAGCAAGTAATACCCGTGGACTGGAAGAGTTCAGATCACACGAGATGTTCCACAAGAGTCATTTTACGAAAAAAAAAATACTCTGTAGGAGCCTATTCTCAAAAATAATATCCAATAAGGAGCTGTGTAATAGGATGGCGTCTTAAGGAAGTATGTACTGTAGGATGATGTACTGTAGGATGATGTACTGTAGGATGATGTACTGTAGGATGATGTACTGTAGGATGATGTACTGTAGGATGATGTACTGTAGGATGATGTACTGTAGGATGATGTACTGTAGGATGATGTACTGTAGGATGATATCCTTTAGCAGCTATGCTATGATAGAAGATGATTCTATGGTAAGTCTTCACATAAGTTCAAATGTTAGGAGAACACAGCAGTTGATTGAGAAATCGTATCAGAAGCACCACTTTAGCAATCAGTAGTGAGGCGCGAACAGAAGACTGCTTCTCGATCTCATATGCTGCCGACAGCGGACGAACTGATGCTGGAAACTAGGAGAGGCATGATAGAGGCGCAGTTGAGATGGATATATTTCAAGTAATCGAATTCTTGTCAGTAACCTTGGCCTGTCTCCGCCATATTCCCGTTTTGCATTTTAGCACTTCGCATTCGAGTAAATGATAGCGCTGTTTTGGGCATGATGCACGTGTTATATTATTACAATATGAGGCTAGCAAATAGCAGAGATCAATTCCGGACTCGGAGGGTGTTAACAACAGTTCCTTTCTTCCAAGGTTAATGGCCAGAATCTTGGGCCCTTCCAAATCGAACCAGGTAGGCATAGAGCATCGGTTGGTTGTACTAAGGCGCATAAAAAAGCCTTCGTTCTGGCTTTGTGATTTGACAATCGTGTCTGTTCTAGACTGATTCTCTCATCAGCGGTATTCATTTACCTACCGGAACCTTCGTTGAGTCCGTTCAAGCCCCGCCACGGTAATTTCCACCTTCAGCGACATACCGCATCCACTCCGAGTGGACCGACTCAGTAATTTAGAGGTGCTTCTTCTTAATTTAGGGCCTGTTATTCGATATTCAACTGAATATTCTCGCTTGCGTTATCTTGTTTCAACATCTCGAGAAACTCAAGCGGATACTAATTAAGGCCATGAAACGGCCAAGATTTGACAACAGTGAGCAATCTGCTGGTGTCGTACATCGTTGGCCGTGGATAGCAAAATACTACTTGACCAAGGTTCCCGTAGAATTTCAGGATGAAATTTAGGCAAAGTTTCTGGCCGTTTTATTCGACTAATCATAACCTCCGCACATGTTGTTTCAAGTTTTCCGGGGTAGAGTTAATCAAATTCACGGCTCAGGTGGAGATCCATGAACAACAATCTCGGTAGCTGATAACATCGAATATCAATCGCTGGACCCACTGCAATCTGTGGCAGCACTGTAGGACTACTTCAATGTTGTATCACGGGCCGAGTTTTGACTGCTTGCGTCTGAAGTATAAGCGTAACTCGACGGCCGGTTGCAGAAAATGCGTTGTAGTCGCAAGGGGTGGCAAACCCCAATATTGCTCCAGGTGCAGAGGCATGATACGTCGCACAATACCTCGATGGCGGACCGAAATGTTGTACTCAGCTGCGTTTGCGCGCACATGGCTCACTAACGTACCTGAATCATCAGATGGATACCTAGGTATTACCGACACCGACCAGCCGGGACCTACAAGCAATTGATAAGTCCCTGCCGGAGGATAAATAAAGGTGGCCCTATACAACGTCGCAATGCTGTCGCCCCACTGACGCTCGGTCCAAATGCATTATGAAGGAGTTGCTCGGTCCCCTCCTGTCGGGTCGCCACACGCCACCGTAATGAATAGGTCCATACGAGACAAGTTGGGAACGACCACAGTAGAGTCGCATTCGTCAGATGTTTCGAGTCCTGCTCGCAGCAAGCTTTCAGGGTCGGCCCGGGGACCTTTGGACTGGCCCGTGAGCGGCGTCCCCGAGATCCCACGTGCCCCCAACAGAGGGCGAAACCCAAGCGAAAGTCAGAACAAATGGCGGACAGAGGGCTTCTGGAGACAACAAGTCCCAGCCAGGCACAACGCTCATTGTGTTGCCATGCTGGCATTGAAAAAGGGAACCAAAACTCTCTTGAGATACTCACCGCTCCGTTCAAAATCTTGTGAGCGACTCATGACGTGGCAAAATTGTGGTCGGAGGATTTGTGGCTTCAAAACTGACAGCGCGCGCTGGATCACCTTCTGAGTCTGCCGTCGGAAGCTTGCGTCGCCGCATCAAAACCGCTCCGTGCTCGGTTCAGCCAATCTCTGTTTTCGCGGTCGCCGAGCTGGCCGTTCGGAAGAGTCTATCTCGGCGTGATTCTAGGCTTCGCGGAGACGACTTCGCCATGTGTACAATGCCACTCATTCTGGCCTGACGTAGATCGGACCAACATTTCGACGGTCGCAGGCAGGGCGCGGGCACACGGCAGGGCACAGCGGTATCCATACTGCCAAGAATCTATAAGTGACTGCGAGATCTTCGAGCTCTCCGAAAGATGTCGGCGAACCAGCTGATGTGGGACATCACATGTGCTTTACCGGCAAGTGTCATTTGGTCCTCAAAGCGGGCATTTCAAACCTTGCGTAATTATGGGCATCACCTGCAGAACATTTAGTTTCGACACTTGTAAGAGAAGGGAAAGGACCCCCACCCAAACACTAGGTTGGCGAAAATAGATTGCGGGCACGGACTGATTTTTGCCAGGCTGATCTGGGCTGCCTATCTGGCAAAGCCATGCAATGCAATCTTGGCTGTCTTGCTCAGCTGAGGTTGGACGACATTGTCTGTTCGGACGTGCGCCTTGGCTGGTATTTGATCTGCGGTGCTGTGCTGCGCAGTTGTCTGCCCACACATTCTAACATGCCGGCATATGTTTCGTCTAAATGCTGTCACACTTACAGCATGCGTCGACCCCATGTTGGAGACCAAGTCTAGGGGTCTCAACGAGTCGAGTCAGCTTTGAAGTTTCTTTGACTTACGCGTTACCGTTGCGATTTGTTGATGGGACATGTGCGAAGCGCTGACAAAAACCATTGCCAAGAATTACGCGTGTTCTCTTGTGAGGGTGGGGGGACGACAGAAGGAAGCGGATGTTGTGTGACGGGAGAGGCAAGACGGGTCGGTCCTTGTAAGATGGTCGAGATCGACAATGGCGCTCGGGCAGCGGCCGGCGGCTGCAGCAGCTCCAGCTCGCCGCGCCGGCTTGGCCGCCCACCTTCCACCCCGAGGCAACTGGAGGGCCGCCACACACCTGCCCTTGACGTGCGTGTGTAGGCTAACAAGCTAACAAGCTAGGTCACTGTTCGCATTTCCGGTCTTCCTGCTACCACCAGACAGGTGTTAGCTGCACAGCGATACTCTGTAATAGATTAGACGCTGTTGACATTGCATGTTAGGAGGCTTGCCCACGCTTCGGCGGAGCTCTGAGAGACATCGTTGGCTAATGAGCGGGAGTGCCCAGTGCCCACGCCGCGCGATATTGATTCCGGGGCGCAGCCTGGCTGCACTGAATACAGCAGCGAGCGGGTGACAGCGAGATTCGCACGCTACACTCAGTGATCAAAAGTATCTAGACAGTACAGATACTCCGTAAGGCGAAGGCGGAGAGGGCTACCAGGGCTGCCAGGGTTGCCCGACACAAATGATGTGCGCCCAGGATCGGTGAGGGCAGTACATTGACTATGGGGTATCCTGACAATCGGACAAGCCGGTCCGACTGAGAGATTAAGATCGAGATTCGGCCCCCTGAAGCTCGCAAGCTCTCAGCAGGCTGGAGATAATCGTCTGAAGAAACCCAGTCCCCCAAGAGGCTCTCGCCCAAACCATGACGTCCTCGAGGATGAACTTGACAGCTGAGCTTGGTTCGAGAAGGTGAACTGAGGTTGAACCGTGGAGAGTGATTGGGCGGGCAAGTAGTGCGGTCCGACAGGTCACCAAGACGCCGAGAGGGGTGCACTCAACCACCCCTAACCTTGCAAGGCTGCAAGCCAGGTCGGAAGCGGCGATTTGTTGCAGAGGTGCCGTTGCCGCGACATCCACTATCGCTGGCGCCCGGGCGTGCTAACTCGAGGCGGTCTGGCTCCATCACCCTTGGGGCCCGGAGCAGGCACTCGCGATTATGGTCTGATTGGGGATGTGGTGTAGAATGCAGAAGCCGCTGTTTCTGTGCAACGACTTTCAAGACTTCCAAGGCTTCCCAGCCTTCCAAGAAGGGTCGGATGTTGTAGCGTTGTATTTTGGGGCCGGCAACCTGTTGGATCGTCGCTGCATACGGTCTCCTGCAGTGCCAACCTAGATTGCTGGAGGTCAGGAGTTGGCTGAAACAGAACCTGCTTGCCTGCCTGCGAACGACAGCGTGTCGGAACCGCCACCAAGACACTGGAGGTGATGGTACTGCAGGTATGGAGTAGTAGAGAAAGCGTGCATGCACGCAGAGCCAATGCTGTGGCTCGTGAAGCTGCACGACCACAGCCGTGTGCCTCGAAATCGGGAGCCGGGAGCTAGGAGGCAGAGCTGAGAGCTGGAGGAGAGCTGCAAGCTGCAGGCCGTGAGGAGCAAGCTGCGAGCTACGCAGGATCGGGAATAGCCATCCGTTGAAAGACGGCTCGAAGCGCCAGGTTCGGCGACGTAGCGTACTATGTACAGTAGTGGGATCCGGAACGTTTTGTATCCCGGGATCGAGATATAATAACGCGGAGGTGATATAGTCAACGGCCTCGGCTCAATGGGGATAGTGGCACGGGTTGGCAGAGCTGGCTGGCTGGGGCGTAGGGCTTCGCACCGGACGAGCAACGGCCGGTGCAGTGTCGCAGTGTCGCAGGAGTCGGACGGCGGAGATTAGCTGCCAATCAAGTGTCAAGATGGCAGAGCAAAGTGCTGGTGCAAGGCGTGGACGTGCGACGGATGATTGATGATTGTGTGTACGTAAGGAAGGTGGCACGGCTGGGACCATGCAAAACCGGATTGGCAAAAGGTGACAAAATGACAATGGCATTGTCCCTTCTGGCGGTGGCAAGCCGGGATGGAGATGGAGATTGCCATGGCTGCTGTGCCGGGATATTCTGATCTGACAGCGGGGCCACCCTATCTAGGAGGGACAAGGCCCTTGGGCCAGCTGACCAGAGATTGTCGTGCTGAGGACGGAGATGGCCTCATTTCTCATTTGCGGTGCCCAGGTCTCCTCTGATGAGAACCGTGCTGTGGACGACACAAAGATGGTCACCGCTTGTCAGGGTTAGAGTGATGCCAGCGTGCAGGTCTAGCACGAACAGCAGGTTTGTTCGGCAGGTGACGGTAACGGCAACGGTAACGGCAGCAGTACAACAGTACTTGGGCTTGGGAGCAAGGAGGGCAGGGGCGTGCAAAGGGTGGGGGCCCGCCTGACTGCTGTCCGCCTCAGGCTTGGCATGGGCCCCATGTCCACGCTTCCTCCTACCACAGTACCCACAGCACACATGGGTGTCTGCAACTTGCTTCCCTGTTTCTGAAATGCGCCCATGGGTGGGGAGTGCGCACAGGGCCACGGGCCAGAAACACAACTGCTGCAGCAATATCGTGCCTGCACACACCTGCACAGGTGCCAAAGCCTCCTGGCCTCCGGTAGGCCTTCAAGCCCGGCACCCGAGGAGCAGGGGGGCCGGATGGCTGATGGGGGAAGGAGGGGACGTGAACACCTCACCTTGTTTGTCTGGACTGGTCCATCTCTGCATTTTGCATTAATCCACAGCCCGCCCCTTCCTTCTGCGCCCAGTCTGTAGCCTGCCAGTCTCCCAGTGTCCCGGTGTCCCGCCCCCCAGTCGACTGACCAACCTGGCGGGCTGATGTTTCGACTGACTCTCCTGCCACCAACCATATCGCCTGCATGGGCATAGTCCATCTCTCCCCCTTGCCTATTTTCCTTGGAGCACCGCACAGCACTTGTGTCTCGCTCGTGCTATAGGTGCTGCTTTCTTATACTATAGGTAGCGCTTGCGTTCCCTGTTTCTCTTGCAGCACAGTTCTGCGACCACTTCTCGTCCCGTCATCCGCTCTTTTTTTTCCTGGTTGAGGCTGGCTGGTCTGTCTGCTCCTGTCTAACTTCCAACTTCCAACGTCACCAACCACCGTGTACTGTCCACCGTCCACCGTCCACCGTCCACGATCCACCGTCCACCTTCCAGCATCCACCTTTCTGCCCACGCACGGTTTTGGGTTTTTGGCGCCGCATCGAACTGCTCAAAGCACTCGAGCCCCGGCCACCAGCACCAAGCCCAAAGCACAACAAGTCCGATTCCATCCAGGTCCAAGACCAGACCAGGCCAGGCCAGGGCAAGTCTGTGTCTGTCCAAGCCTGTCCAAGGCCTGTCCATGTTGAGGTCCCAATCGAAACTAGCACGGAGCCACCCCCCGGAGCCGCCATCACTTCATTAATTAATTTACAAGCCAATTGACTTGAACCGGTAAAGCTGGCGTCGAGAACTGGTTTTCCGCCCAGATCTGTGGTTCGCTGCTGCACCTCATCGCCCTACTACATCACTCTGTCCAAATCCCCAAACCTCCCAAGCTCCAATCCTGAACTTCCAGACTCCAGACCAGGCCAGACCGAACCACTCAAACCACATCACATCACCACATCACCACATAACCACACAGCCCACCCCGCCTGCAGCGCGCCGCCCTTGATCCACTCTGCCACTTGACTGCTCCTGTCTAGCCTAGTCTAGCCCAGCCCGTCTCGCCCGTCTCGCCCATCCCCAGTTCTGTCACCGATATCCCTGGTTGGTTGCTGCTTCTCGTCTCATCCCCGCCCATTCGCCCGTCGGCCCTCGACAGCAGCCTTGCGTCACCGTCCAATCGTCCAATCTCGCCCTCATACACCACCACGCTTGACTGACGACGGAATGGCGGCCACATTCCTCGCATGACTACTGCTCCCATCCTTTCCGGCCTCGCAGGCACCACTATATCCTGCCGCCGGCCACCATGGGGAACACTCCCTCAAAGGAGCCGCAAGGCCGTTCGTTCCACAGGCTCTCTAAACCCAGAGTAGCCAGTCACCAAGGCACTCCTCCTCTGTTGAGTCCCAATGGCCAGTTGAACACCTCTAACCGCTCCTCGGACCCGGGGCCCGACCTCTTCAGCATCCCCTACTCGTCCACCGCCACCTCTACGCTGTCCATCGACCTCGACAGGAACGACCTCGACGACGGCGAGAAACGCAACTCCTTCCTCGCCCCGCCCAAGCCGCAGCGCCGCAGGAGCCTGTTTCGGTCCAAGTCCTCCCAGGAGCCCTCAGAGCGCCGCAGGTCCAGGCGAAACACTGTCGTCGGATCACCAGTCCCACCAGAAGAACCCCCGGCTGTCTCAAGGGCCAACTCCGTGAACGCGAATAACCTCGGCGCCGACCAAGACGTACGAGGCTGCCTCGCCAGTCCTGACATGTAAGTTGCGGCGAAACACATCGCTCCTCCTGTGGTCGTCCGTGTTCTAATAACCATTCACAGTGGCGCTGCCGGTGGATCGCGTGCTTCGTGGGCGTACGACTTTTCGTCCTACGAAGCCCAGCGCTTACTGAGCCTCGTGCCCGAGCAGCTGCCTGCTCTTCCTCGGAGCAACACGTTGACTTCGCTTCGCCAGCCAAATCTCGACGCCATGAGGAGACCAGCCCGGCGGCGGGACTCGCTGCCCGTCCAGCCAACCAGTTCCCCAATGAGCCGGTCGAATTCCGAGGTGTCTCTGCACCCACCTATGCGCCGACGCTCCATGGTCCAGACTCCTGGCGTTGCTACACGCAGCGTTCGCCCTGCTCCCGTCATAACTAGGACTAGTTATCGGCATAGTCTCCCGGCCACACCCAACATGTCGAGACAGGCGTCTTTCGAAGGGCCAGACTATCGGGTTGTATCTCTTCCGCCACTGCCACCCATCCCTACTCCGTTTCGTGTTACCGAAGACATTCCTCGCGTAGTCACACCTACGGAGGGTGCTTACAGTACGACCGGTGGCTTCAAGTTTGGCACACTTCGTATTATAAATGGCGACCCCGATCTTACTCCTGACGTACCAGAATCCTATCGAGCTCAGGTCGACGGTTCGAAACCCCTCACCGTCTCCATGGACTACTTCACAAACCCGTCACCCCGCGAGGGGGGAGACACGACGGATCCGAAGATGCGCCACACACAGATTGTAGGGGTTGCATCAGGAAACGTGGATAAGAGCGCCGCCCCAGCAAACCCAGAACCTCTGGCACGACATGATGCCAATGCGCCCACTCTCCCCGTTGATGTCCCGAGCAGCAAAATTGAGATCAGCACCCCCTTGGACCTCCTTTCCGACCCAGTTGAACCTCGGTGCAAAGCTGAAGTCAGCCCGGTGTTGGTAACGCAGTCTAAGCACACCGCGGCTGAGGACCAGTTGTTTGAAGCAGATGACGAGAGCGAGGCTGAAATGCCTACTGCAGAGGTGCTGGACGTCAGAGTAGACCCCAGTGCGAGACGGTTGCCCTCACAGTGTCAAGATGCCTCCTCGCAGGGCGGTGTGCAAGCTATCGAAAGGTCTGACAGCGGTTTCGTGTCCAACGCAGTATCAGATTCTTCAAAATCCCACAGTTCTTTGACCAAGGCCGATTCTGGATATAGCTCGAGTGTCTCCTTACGCTCATTCCGGAGTGAGCGGAAGCCTCTTACGAACGAGAACGACGCAGCGAGGAGCCCGGTAGGACGAGCGAGGGAAGCGACCACGACTCAAGTGTTAGAATCACGGCAAGTCATGGAGCACACGAACTCGGTTGTCATTGGCGACAATTCTGATGATGAGAGGGCTCCGACACCGCCACCAAAAGATACCGTTGTGGTCAGGCCGGTGAAATCAACCGCCGTCGAGAATGGTCGCGCAGATTCGAACAGGAAGGGCAAGAAGGCCGCTCGGCAGGAACTGCCGCCTATCAACGTCAATCGGGCCGAGGGCCACCACACCAGAAAGTCCGAGTCTATGCCCCCGACCCCTGCGAGTGCGAAATCTGATGCGTCTGAGTCGGCCTCTTCGCTGAGTATCGGGAGCACTGCGCAAAAGCATGGGAGACTGCACAGGTTTCTGAGCCTGAGGGGCTCGGCTCACTCGAAGGCGCCGCTGACAGTGCACGTGACGCATGCGGTGGATGGGGAAGTCCCAGCAATCCCCAAGGATGTCGAGAAGAAGCTGCGTGAACATACCGGACGCTTTCCGATGTCTGCAAAGCGCCTTGCCTTGAAGTCGCAGCTAAGCCAAGAAACCCTGAAGACAATTCTCAGTGTTGGGAGCTTGGAGATTTCCAAGGAAGATGAACTACCTCCTACTCCGACCTTCTTCGATGACAGCGACGAGAGCATGGAGGAATACGATGCAACTGCTTCCCGAGACGGCAGGGATAATTCTATCAGGCAGACCATAACCTCCATGCAGTCAAATTTCAAGCAAGCCGCCGCCTCCATGATGCCTCACAAGAAACCGACGGCGGCGAAGGTGATATCAGCGTCTAGTGTGCATTCGCCGACACGTCGACACGCACCTGCGGCCAACACGACGTTTGAAGAGGGTGCGCAATTCGGCCAAATCTCGGCGAGCACAAGTCTAGGCAGCCATCCGTTTATTGTTGCTGAAGCAGGGCTTGATCCCAAGTCTGAGCCCAGGAACTGGTCGGGAAGGTCCATGACTATGACCTCGACGCAGGAATCGCGCCAGCCGTTGAGAACATACAGCTTAAACACTACACGGTCTGACTACTCGTCTCCATTGTCCTGGCCTCTTTCCCCTACGAACCCGCCCTCAAGGGCAAGCTCGCCGTCAAAGAGGTTGAGAAGCCCGCCCCCAGTGAGCATGGCCACCCGCACGCTACACCGGCCTGCCCCGCCACCTCCACGCTCGGCTGCTCGCCCACAATTCCCGGAAGGCCTTGCTGGCCGAGGCTACGAAGCTGGTCGTCTCCCTCAAACCAGCCTGTCAGCTGCGCCTCGAGCCCCAGCCTTGAATGCTCAGCGCTCTCTAGACAGCGTCCGACGGGCAGGTTCGGTCCCAGGAACACTCCAATATCGCACTTCTGACTGGGATCCCCACACGCGTCAGAATTCTCTCAGCATTCGGGATCCCGCTCTGGACCTCGGCCGCCACAGTTCACTCCCAGCCTATGACGACGTGTCCCGTTCCCAGGCATACGCGAACAACGCTGCTGTGAGGCGTCAGTCGAGCAATGATGGATTCAGCCGCAACAGAACGCAGGGCCACCCCTATGGCCCAGAACACGGTGCCTCCAACGGATGGTCCAAACCTCCTTCGGTGCATCGCCGGAATTTCAGCACGGGAAGCGGGCCGCAACACTCTATGGGCAACCCGCCTTACCGCATCTTGCACAGCTACAATTCACCAGCGTACAGAAACGCACCTATTTGGGGCTAGTGCGCTCCATCACGCAACCAGTCGTCAATCATTCATGTTCTTTGAATTTTTTGCATCACGAATTTGCATATTTCTGCATCAAATCGGCGTTGTACAGCATATTTCACCCAGGGCATGTGTTTCTAGTCCATGCTTCCGGCCTCTGGACTGTCTGTCTTTTGATCGTGCCTAGTCGTCACGCGTGTCAGTAGTCACAACGGCTCGCACATGGTCGGTGAGGGCATGGCGGAGCATGCACATTCCTTTTGGTCTCCCATGGCCGAATCAAATTTTCTTTGTCACTTTTCATTTGATGTCTTGAACGAGAAGCCTGTTGATCTTGAACGGAGTTTCACGGATGAAGGGGGCAGTTATAGCGGCCGCAGATGACGGCGAGGTCTGCGGACTTTGTTACGCTCAAGGTGCCATTGTGAAATTCCTACCCGGGGAACGGACATTATTGCTTATTTCGGGTCCATCGCCGACCTTTCTATGAAGGCCAATTTTTGCGATCTTGCCTGCTTTTGTTTGCTGGAGATAACATACAGACATTATACCCCGACGTGTTAGTCAACATTTTATGTTTTGGTCTGAGGGGGGGGGGGGTTTCATGACGCAGTTTCGGTCGGACAACCTAGCAACACGGACGTAAGGTGTACAAGGAAATACGGCATGACCTTGAGCAGCTTGATAGCATGAATGTGATAACTTGTTATATATTGAAATACTGGACTCCTGAAAGGTGCAGAAGTCGAGGGGCCTTCCCCGACTGTAACCATACTCAAGTGCTGCTTAGCCACAGCACCTTAGTACATCACACGTAATGTACCACCTAGGCGGTGCCCACTCCTCGGTCTCAGGAATGAATGCTACAACGAGAGGGCATCCCACAAGAGGCTACACACTAGGGGGATAGACGTTACAAGAGATGGCGTTGTAGGAAAACAAAATGTGGAACAGGACTTTTATAGGTATACATGTGACTTAAATCACCTGCAGGATTCACTGGCGGGAGGAAATGTAAGCCATAGTGGTGGCACAATCATGTTTTTCAGTCTTTGTAAGAAAGTAGTAGCCTTGCTGTCGTAACGTGCATGATGCCATCGGATTGCCAGGGCAGGATAGAAATCCCCCTTGCACCTCTGGTGGTCTTCAGTGACATAGGATAGCTCTCGGAAAGGGCCAACATGGGAATGGTAGTGGAAGTGGAGTTGCGCCCACCGGTGATCTGATGATCTGAGTCGGTGGGCTTTTGGGGGGCCTGGGAGGGGGGCCGCTCCCATTTCTCAGATCCGGGGGAAGCGCCGAACGACGGTACCGACGAGTGACGGCCGTGCTCGATTGGACCTCGTTTGCTGTTGAGCACTTTTACCTTTTCCCCCCGGATACATGCAGGGTCCTTCTTGGCGGGAATGGAGGGTTATAGTCAACTGGTACCTCTTGCCTGCCTGCCTGCCTGCCTGCTTGCTCACAGAGGATGATTCCTTGGTCTTGGGCGCTTCCATGTCACGGCATGTGCGATTTTGCGGTGAGGGAGTGCGCGAGGGAAAGTTTGGCCAGTGGGCTGGAATGTAAGAGGCCAGGCGTGGATGGAGGCCCACTGGTGAGGTCAATTGGCGGATGGGCAGGTGACCGTTTCACAGAGCTGCAGGCGTGCTATAAGGGATGTCACTGGCAGTACCCCGTGGTTAGTGGCGCAGATCAGCGGGTGCGATAAGCCTGACAGGCGGCAGCCGAGCCATGGACGGAGGCTGACTGACGGTGGAGCTGCGGAGTAACAGGGTTAGTCGCTGGTGGTGGCAACACAGGGTTGCGCCCAGCATCACTGGTAGAGCCTCTCAAAGCCTCAAATCAAACCGGGCGGCACTCGACTCGACTCGACTCGACTCGACTCGCATGATTCTGCACAATACAGCCCCTCAACCCCATCTCTTTTGAATCAATCTCACCTCTCCCGAGCTTCACCGTCTCTTATTCTACTTTTGGTGTTGTCCCTTTTCTCCTCACGCGGGAGTGCAGTCTCGACAACCAAAGCTCCCTCGGACTTGCACACGGTTGAGCCGGCCTGTTGCCGCTTCTGGTGGTGCGACAAGAATATCCGACCAGGTGGCTTGCCGCAGTGCCTGAGCCCAGAGCTGAGGAGGCCAATCTTTTACTCTTCCAATAGAACCGGACTCTTGTCGTATTTTTCCTTTTTCCTTTCTCGAGGTCCTGCAAGCCTCAAGATATCGTTCAGGGCCACGGCTAGACCAGGACGAGCCCGAAGCTGTCTCACTACGAGTGACAAAGTGGCGGTCCGCCGTCGACGTTGATCACAACTCGCCCGTCTTGCTCAACCGCCCGCCATGTCGCCAACCTTTGCCACGCGGCCCTCGCACGTTGTCGGCAGGTCGTACGTGGCTACCGAGTTGGACGATCCCGCCTCACACCTGGACTCGCTGCTTGGGGATCCCTACGCCGATGTGGACGCCGAGTCCTTCCGATCGTCCCGGCACCCGGACCCGGAAATGGACTCGATACGCTCCTTACACTCCCGGACTTCCCATGTGGACTCGCTCGTCACCCGTCCGCTGATCCTTGACCAAACAAAGAGGATACCACCTCCGGGACCAAACAAGCTGCATCGCCGTCGCGACCAGTACCCCCACTTCGACAACAGGACCGTCACCATCCCCGAGTCCTCATCAACTGCTTCACACCACGAGAACTCTAGCCAGCAACACCAGGCACACCAACAGTCACAATACCACTCCCAACCACACCCCGGGATGACGCGGTCAAAATCAACAAGAGCCCGCCACGCCACCGCAGACAGCCAGCAGGGGCAGCCAAGCCACAAGAGGGCAAAGTCGTACACCCTGTCCGGCGGGCCGTCAAACTGGCTCCTGAGCAACTCGCTGGTCGACGTGAGGCGGTCCAGCTCGCTGACGGGCGAGAGGCGCGAGGTGCGCAAGCTGCAGAAGGAGCACCCCGCCGGGTCCGCGAGGCCGAGCATGGCGCTGGAGATTGGCGACGGCGACGCCCGCGGCGCCAGCCCGCCGGCAGAGGGCGGGGAGAGAGGCTCAGGGCTTGGTGTGAGGCGGAAGATGGGGCGGCTTAGGGAGCTATACCGAAAGTAAGGGTTGCCAATGGTCCTATTGCGGCATCTCACGACCGGCCATCAGGAGGATCTCTGTGGTGTCTCTTTCTGCATATGGCGCAAGTCGCACGTCCAAATCATCATCATCATCAGCATCATCATCATCATCATTTGTGTCAACATTATGCGTCCGTCTTTTGCGAGCAAGAGCGGCTCGTCCCTCAAGGCGCTCCGGCATTCGTTTGGGACCATTACGATTTTGGCAGGGTCGGGCGGCTGAGCACATTGTGGTTTCATCGCATATCTCATACAAGGGAGTGGCATCGCGCACGATGGCATACGTGCGCCGGGGATTTCGGCCGAGTCTGGTACTCTCAGAGACATCCATAAGTGTGGCGGGTTGCGGTCATCATGTACGTGATGCTCTCTGCTGCCAAGGCGCCATCTGCCCACGCATGCCAAATTGTACAGGAGCAGTCAGACAAGCATCTCAGATCCACGTTGTCTGCTGTCTCACACTAGGGACAGCAGCAGTCGGGTTCGGTCCATTGATCGCTGTGCACTAGACTAGGCGCCGGGAAACATACTTAAGTAGACACTACCTTGGCCTTGGTATCCAGGAGTTTGCCGGCTGATGTTCACGTCTTTATAATTGGCATGCGGGGGTGGGGCTACCTGGCGCACTGCTTGCAGCGTGGTCCTGATACTCACAGTACTCCATCTCCGTGCTCGCATGCACGATGCCCCTGCAGGTTGCTGTGTGCCGGGGATCTTAACATCACAAATTTAAACCACAAAACTCCTGTCGCGTGAGAGGAACATGCAGGGCTGGCAGGCATTCAGGCAGTATTGACTTTGTAATAAAAGCCCTACCCGTTGACTGGTCGGGGTCCTCTTCTCGAAACGCTCGGCGGCCTGGGGGGAGGGTGCTTGGACCCCGGACCGGCAGCACGGATCCGAAGCACCTGCCCAGGGCTGCCAGGTGGGTACAGTACTTACATCCACTTGCCGGCCCCCCCCCCTCCTCCACCCGGAACTATGTGGGCTTCCTGCCATCGTCGTCTCTAGCAAGCACCACCGGACGCCCACGCCTGTGCGACAAAACATGACGGAGCAGAATGGCATTGACATCCTGTGCGACGCTGCGGGCTCCGATCTGCTGCTGTCGTCACTCTTCCCATCCCAATCCCACGCACAGGGCCAATCGCCGCAGAAGAAGGTGAAGCGATCACACCAGTCTCCGCCGGGAGCCGCCTCCGCCTCCGCCACCTCCACCTCCAACCACATCTGCCACATTTGCAAGCGCGTCTACGAGAGGGCAGACCACCTCACGAGGCATCTCAGGTCCCACGAGAACGCGAGGCCATACCAGTGCACCAGGTGCCCCAAGAGATTCAACAGAGCGTACGGCCGCCCACCCTTGCCCAGTGACGGGCCTCGTGCTTGACTGATGGCCCCGGCTGCCCCCACAGTGATCTTCTAACCCGTCACGAGGCCACCCATGACCGCGATGCTGGGAAATCAAAATCATTCATAAGGCGCAGTGACCGAGCTGCCCAGGCCTGCGAGGCCTGTGCCTCTGCAAAGGCCAAATGTGACGACCAGAAACCCTGCGGGCGATGCCGCGCCAAGAAGCTTGCCTGTCAGGCCTCGGCGAGGCGCTCCTACCAGTACAAGACTTCCACAGAAGGTACCCACGGTGCTGTTGCGTAACCGCCACCACGGGCATTAGCTGACTGACCCGTCTCGTGGAACAGGCGACTCGCCGCCCTCTGACAGCGCTACTGTGGCTTCAGCCATGGGCAACAACGTGCCGCCCGTTCAGATCCAAATGCACGAGGCAATGGAGCCCACGCCCTTCGTGCCCGATGTCATGGGCCAGGACCCCTCCTTGATAGATGCAATATCTGACGATATGGTCTGCTTCAACCCAATGAGCAGTTTCCTCCAGGATATGGACTTCACCATGTCTTGGGACATGAATTTCGATGCCTTTTCTATCCCACAGTTTGACCTCCAGGGACCAAGCCCGCAATCCTCCACTACCAATGCGGTCGCCAGGCCCTCTCCAAGAAACACAGTCAGAGACTCTTCACGTGGCCACTCCGCATTCAAACGATCGCCTTGGCTGTGGGACCCGAAGAAGGAAGACTACGTGCAGCAGCAGAAGGAGGGGCTTCACATAGACGAACAGTCCATCTCGCAATCACCCGCCTTTGGGAAGCTCATGGACAGGCCGTCACGGAGGCTCAAGATGACAGCACGTCAACGGGACCGAATATTCTCAATTGTGCTGGCCCAGAATAAGGACCAGTCGAAAGTGCCCTCCTTCCCCACATTGGATCTGCTCAATTACCTTCTCCAAGCACACTTCGTCCAGGACGAGCACCAGTTCGATACCTGGATACACCCCGCCTCCTTCGACCCGGACACCGCCCTTCCGGAGCTTCTGGCAGCCATCATATCGAGCGGCGCGAGCTTCATCTCTGTGCCGGCCATATGGCAGTTTGGTCTCGCAATGCACGAGGTCGTGCGGCTGGGTGTATCGGACCTGGTGAGCCCTTCTCACAAAAGCGAATCGAGGCAGGGCCATGCACACTAATCTCGAGATCATAGTTCGAGAAGCTCAATGCTCATACCAGGAACCTGAGCGCCCTACAAACGTTCATGCTTACCTTGGACGTGGGGATATGGAGTGGATTCAAACGCAAAATGGAGATAGCCGAGAGTTTCTTGCAACCTCTCTTAACGGTCAGTATATTCCGAATATAAGCCGTTGGCGCCCAGGCTAACTAACAGTTGCCAGATGCTTCGACGAGCCGGAGCTTTTTCTGCCCCCGCTGACTCTCCTGCACTACTGCCCCTAGACTCCGATTCTCCAGAGGCTCTCGAGGCGAAATGGAAGAAGTTCATATCACGTGAATCCTACAAGAGGTATCATCTCACAGCCTGTCGTAGCTGTCAAATTGCATCAACTAATCAGTAACTAGACTCATACTCCATCTATTTTCCCACGATGTCCAAACATCCATCTCGCTTCAAAGAAACCCGTTGATCTCATTCAGCGAACTTGCCTTCAGTCTCCCAGCGTCACGCGACCTTTGGTGTGCTCCGACGGCGGAAGCATGGCGTCAGGTTCATCACTCCAAGGCAACCATGCTCAGGCCGCTCCCGCGTGTCTCTGAAGTGCTTCACTGTGTCGATGTCCTGGACGAAGTCGAGGAATTCATCGATATTGACTTATGCTACAGTGCTGTTCTCAACGGCTATTGGGGACAGGTCTGGGCTTACCGCGAGTCCGTTCGATTCTTCTCGACGGCGAGCAAGGGGGGCACCAATCGACTATGGCTCAAGTCACAACACCAGGAGCTATATCAGGACCTCTGTGGCTTTTCATCCATTATCCACACGTCGAGCGCGCCTCGTAATCACAGCACGCTCCTTGCCATCGTCGTTGAATTATTCCTCATGATCATGCACGTCTCCCCGGACGAGATTCAACGCTTCGCCGGAAAGTCTGGAGAAGAGGAGTCACGCCGTGCAGGAACGTCGTTGGAAGAGAACTGGGCCAATACCTCGGATGCACGACACGCAATCTGGCATGCAGGCCAGGTTTTCACAAATGCGAAGAAACTGCCACCAGCAAGCATAAGAGGCTTTAATGCGATCGCCGTTTACCTTGCCAGCATGACCCTCTGGACCTATGGGTTGTTCTGCTCACCTGCTCCACACGGTGATGATGCCGATTCGGGCTACCTTCAATCAGGGGAAAGGCAGCATGCAAATGCGGGTATCAGGAGGTCAGCGTCAGTCTCTGGCGCCGGGCCAGTCAAGCATGTACTCCTCGACGAAGAGGAGACGAGAGACACCAAGGCATTCCTGCAATTTGACCGTGGAGTGCCCGCCTTGACGACTTCGCAAGGGGCGGTAGAACCCCTGTCGGACCCGAGCAAGATCTTGTCTATCGCCAGGAGCCTATTCAGAGAGAACTACCCTGTTCGCACGGAACCACTTCCGCCCCTAGTGGAAAGTCTGGGGAATCTTTTACGAGACCTGGGAAGCGGTCTGGCCGGAATGCCGAGCCGGGTCGCCTCAAGGGTGCATAGTCAAACGGCTAGTAGGATGGGCAGTGAGGATCGATGATGGTGTGGAGTTCAAAAGTTTGATTACACTACACGCATTTGAATGGCCGATACTACTAGCGCATCGTGTGATCATGTGGAAATCTTCATCCTGGAACGGCATTCTTCAGACACACAGTCTTGTCTCGGGCCCTTTGAAGATGGACCGGCTGTGCGTCCTTACAATCAGCACCTGGTAGCATGGCGGCCGGTTGGGATGGTGTATGCGGGGATTGCTTCTTGTTTCCCCACAAAATATCAAGACCCTGCATATTGTTCCTCATGATCAATCAATGCAGTGGCCTCTTGACCTCTGCTCCCCTTCACAGCGGCTCCAGCTAGTACTGTCGAATATGCTCTTCACGGAGACAAACTCTCTCAGCTTCCGATGCCCCTCACCTTCTGTATAACAACCTCGTAGCTTCCCATAGGACAACCTTCAATGGGAAAGTTGCTTTTTTACTAAGATGATCTACAATAGGACAGTATCCTACTAAACAACCTACTCTAGGAGAACCTATGACAGGATAACTTCCAGATGTCTTAGAGGACAATTTCCTTCAGACTGCTTCTTGTTACATAACCTCCCAGCCTCCCAGGAATCTCTCCCTAGTGGACAGTGTGGCTCAGTTAGGATGTTGTTTTCATTCTTAATCCGTATACATGCTAATGGCATAGAGTCCCTCCACACAATGGTAGACTCACAAAGACCCAGTGTTTTTGAATAAAAGTACAATGCCAAGATCAGCGTGAGTTGGGATGTTCATGGGGAGTAATTTAACTGCCATGGGCAGACGGTGATTGAAGCCGACGACTAGTTCAGTATCATCGGAAGATTGCTCGAGTGTTCTCGTCCACGTCCAGGGATTGTGCCTCGGGAAACTCGCGGATGTATGTAAAGATCTTATCCAGGCGCTAATTGATCCGCGTAGGGCGTAAAAAGGTAAGGGGTAAACATCACGGAAGGGTAGGAGCCGCCATTTAAGGAGAATAATAAGAATACTTCAGATTTTATCTTATGAGGTTGCCCTATAGTGGTTATACTATGGAGGCTGTGTTATAGGTCCTAGGTGTACCCTCTGTTTCTGCGGATACGAATCTCCGATCGCTTTTAGAACAACGCCAGCACATTCCACACTCTGGTATCATGCTGTCGGGCTGCACAATCTCGGGCGGAATCGGTGTCCCGAGTAGCTTGGCGGTTCTATACTATCTCATATTTATATACTTACTTGCGTATTTACAGCAATGCACCTGCCCAGGGCTATCTATGATTCGGAGAATGAAGAGAGTTCTTTCCAGAACCAGCAATAAGACGCATCATGCCTTCTTGTCTCCGTTCTCCTCGCCCCTGGCCTCGGCAATGTGGGCAGTGTGAACTTCCTTCAGGGCAGGAATGATGATGCTCTCAATCTCGACCTCGGGATCTCCCTCAGGTAGCGTGCTAGGATCCAGGGGTTTCTCCTTCTCGGTCTCGCTGATGGTCCTCTTATGGCCTGCCGCGATCTGGACGGAGGGCACTCGAATCCACTTGTCCGGCCGGTTTGGTGATACAAATACGACCTCCCACTTGCGGGTGGAAAGCAGATTGCCAATGACGAGATTGTGGCTGTACCGCTCGAGTGCGTATTTTGCCTTGTGCACGAGAATGTCTGATATTTGGGTCAGTTCCGTACAGTAATCAATCCCCTTACCAGAGGAGAAGAAAAAGAGGGGAAGCAGGTCCCATCGAGTGAATGAATTGATTCCAAAGGAGCAGGTGAGTGAGGCCTTACCTGGATCCGTCTCCAGTTTGAAGCTCACAATCATGCATTGCGGGGCCCACCCGTCAACCAGGTTCTTTAAGAATTTCGGCACGGGATCTAGGTCCACCACGAGCCTCTTGCTCCTCGGCACCTGTGGGCTTGAGTCAAAGTTGTCGAATGTCTCTTCCTCGCTCGAGCTCCCCTTGGCCGAAGGCTTTGACCCCTGCTTGTCGGCCGGCTTTTTCACCCCGTCCGCGGCATCCGTGCTTTGGATCTTGTGCTCCGACATCCTGTCCTGTGGCAGGAAGAAGTCGGACGCAGCGGCCGCTAGGTACAACAGTCCGTCCGGTCCCAGGGGCTGCATGAGGCGTGCGATGGCGCGCAGCTCGTGCAGGTAGTCACCGATCGTCACGAACGGCACCGTCAGCAGCAGGTTCTGGCTCCTAGCCGAGTGGTACTTGCGCAGCACTGACAGCATCTTGGGTGTGAACTCGGGCTTGGCGACGACGGTGCCATCTTGTCCCTCGGTCAGGAAGTCCAGGAAGCAGTCCGTGGCGTGGCTGTAGTGGCGGGAGTAAGGGAGCAGGGAGAACTGGCGGTGCAGGAAAATCACCGCATAGCCAGCCTCGAGGAAGTACTCAGCTGACGTGGCACCACGCGTCCCCGCGGAGAAGTTGTCGATGAATCGGACTGTCTGCTTCTCGAGGGGCACGGTAGTACCGCCTGACGTTACGAGACACACGCGGCGGTTGGCGGCACTGTGGAGCTTGATGAACTCCTCGGCCAGGGCAGTGTGCCGGGCCAGGTCTTTTGGAGGAGGGTTCGAGCTGAAGTAGTGGTTCTCAACCTCAGTCGACACCGGCTCTGCCTCGTTTGACGATGCCATACTGGGACAAGTGGATGCCGCGGATGAGAAGACAGAATCGACCGGGGACGGCGGCTGGGAGCCGGTAGCTGGCGTGAGATTGAAGGAGATGGAGAGTGAGGGCGAGGTCAGGTGACACTCGGGTGACGTGGAAGCCCGAGCCGAATGTGAGGCTTGTGAGGACTGCAGCATGATTGTCAGCTTTTGGGCGGGATCGCCGGAGTAAGCCCGTCTTGTATAGGTTATAGGTAGCACAGTGAGAAGCACAGCCGTGTAAAGGCTCTTTTGGCCTGACACACAGGACCAGCCGGTTGCATCATGTCAAGACACGGTGAGGGAGCAGTGTGTTTTATGAACGAGGGCATAATGGTGGCCGGTGGTGGGTCGACATCGGGCAATGGTCGGGTATCAAGGTTGGCCTCCGCCGCAACTCGGGAGTCTGAGGGGACTTGGTCGGGCTTGGGGCATGAGGAACCTCGGCCGTCGGTTGCGGAGTTGAGGGGTTGCGGGAAAAGGGGGGGCACCGGCGCCGTGCTGCACGGCACGGTGGGCCGGAGCTGAGGCCATGTGAGAGAAAAACGGAACGGAGCGTGCGGGATTGAACCTGGATAGTGACATCTCAGATGGCTACTTACCTCGAGGCTCTCGAAGCTCGACAGGATCGGACGACCACTTCGATGTGGTGAGTTGGGTTGCAGGTCAGAGGTCCATCTCGTGAGTCAGATCTCAGGAAGGGAAACGAAGAGCCTCGTCGACTTTGGAGCTGCTGTGCCGTACCTCGGGGCAAAGGAAATTCTGCCGATCGTGCACAGGCGGGAGTCAAAATACGGCGTTGCAACCGGCACGGTCCATCCACGGGTTAGGGGTCGGCAGCAACTGGGTGCGCGGGTGGGTGTGCTTGTGCTTTGTCTCTGTTGGATGACGTCAGCTGCCGCTCCTTCCCCAAGCGTTCAAAGCCTGGAGCAGACTCTTATTGTGCCCATGCACGCCTTGCATCCAGTCAGAGCGGACTGTCAATACTAAAGCAAACCCTCGTGCGGACAGGGCCTGTTGAGACATATCACTAAAGGAACCAGCACTATCTGGGTAGATTCCTAGGTATTGTATAGCACCAGTGTCAAGATGGCTCTCCCACCCATTGTGACGGCCACTGCCCAGAGTGCAGTCCTAAGTGCGACATCCAACATCTTGGCCCAGGCAATCACAGCCTACCGGAGTGACGTATGGCATCTTCCTCCCTGATGGTGGTCGCGACACACACAGACATCGGCTTACTGTGTGTTAGAAACAATTTACAATCGATTGGATACCGGTCTTCCAATTTTTCTGGTTCACTGTGGTGTCGACACCCCCCAACTTTCTTTGTATGTGCTCAAGTATGGGGGGGGTCGAGGTAGTCATGTCATCCGAGTTGTCTCGCTCACATCTCTGCAGGGCAAGATTTTCTCGAGTCCTCATTTCCAGCTTCCAAGACCGTCCCGTCTTCAGAGGCCATCAAGTCAGCTTCCGGTTCCAATGAGAAAGAGCTCGACCGCGAGGCCCGTGAGGGCAAGCTCGTCGAGACCAAGCTCGACGTGTCCAACACGATCATTAAATTCATTCTTGACCAGACTATTGGTGCGGCCATCAACGTAAGCAGCTTCTAGATAAAACGTTTATGCTTTTGAGAACACAAGTGCCCTATACTTAGCCCACATAACAAGGACTTCGGGGGATATAGGTTTCAAGACACATGGTGGCTACATTATAGCTCAGTCTTTACTGTGTTGATCCGAAGCCAATATTTCTCTGGTTCTTTGATGGCTGACTCCTGATGATGTAGACTCTGATGTTCAGCTTTTTCCTCCACAGCATAAAGCAGGCCATGGCTCACCGACCACTGGCCGCGGACCTGTCAGACATTGCGTTCCTGGCCAGTGGCAAGGCCATCGATTACAGCCAGGTTGACTGGAGGCTGGTGCTTGAGCAAGCTAAAGTAGAGTTCTATCCCATCATGAGGGCCGGGCTAAGCCTCTGGCCCATGGTCAGCTTATTCAACTTTGTGGTGGTGAAAAGCATCGAGGGCAGGAATCTGGTTGGCTCATTGGCCGGTGTTGTCTGGGGGGTCTACATGAGCCTGGTGGCAGCTAGTTAGGGTTTTTGTGGGGCCTGGATGTGAGGAAGACATGGAGGAGGCAGCAGAGCCACTCAGATTCGTTGCGTATAGACACAAAAGTGTCTAGTTGGAATCCCTAGGGTGGGAATGTCACTGGCGTGTGCTTAGGCGGAACACCCGTTAGACTAGAACAAATCACATAGAAGTCAAATTCATGAGACAAGCAATAAGTTGGTATAAATGGCCAGGCGCCCTCGTTGAAAATTTATCTGGGGCAGCTTTTTATACCTCATCGGCTGCTCGGGAGCCTTGGAGCCTTGGGTCAGATGAGCAAGCTGAATGTAATAGGAAGCACACGATCAGAGGTCTCAGCACACAGGGCGCCAATATGAGCATCTTGTACTGGTCACCCCATAAGAAGCTATTCTGTAGCTGTCTCCGGAAGAGGTTAGTCAATAGGAGGCGTCCCCGCGGAAGACTATTCTGCAGGAACCTCTCTGATCCCCAACCGGTAATTCTACACAAGTCCACAGATAATGAGTCTCTCGGGAGGCTGGGCACAAGCCCGCCCGGAGCCCCATGAATATCCGGATGTGACTTGAAGATGGTGTCAAGAATGCATTCTCGTAATTCCTTGCCCTCAATTGCTTTCAGTAGGGAGAATTCCCCCTTCCTAAATACACATAGCATACACAAAAGCCTGAGTATTTATAAGGGGTACCAGACAGCCCCAGGTAGAATCACGCAAAGGATGTAAAGGGGTTTTCAGGAACAACTCCGTGATGTGGGCTAAGAGATGAGGTCGGGTTGTCGAGATCTGCGCTGGGATCAGGGGGGTTAATTGGACCTGCAGCTGAACGGGTCCGTCCGAGACCCCGAGACGGCTAAATGACAGAGGTTCTGCAGCGAGGGGCAAGGGCCCCATGATTTTAGTAACGGCCCTCGGACCCTGGAGACATGGTCCTGAAGGGACACGGCGTACCGTGCGTAAGGCTGGGGCGCCTCAGCCCCACTGGCGCTGAAGCTTGAAACGAAACAGACCCCGTCGAGGTCTCCGGACATTTCGTCACGGAACAGCTGTTGCAAGCTGGCTTGTATCTCCGACCTTTCCCTCGCTGCTGCTACTTCCCAATCATCCCATCTTTCTTCTGTCAGCTCCCGTCCCATTCCTCCACTGCTATTCCTCGCCGTCGTTCGCTCCCGATCAGCACACTTGGCATTTCAGCACCACCACCACCACCGGTTTGCGCCTACCTCTCTGGCGTAGCCCACCACATTCGCTTTGACGTCTACACGGCACCGTTGACTATCATGGCTGGGTCAGTCGATGCGGCCACCCGCAAGAGGGTGCTCAAGGTCGTCTTCGTTTCGCTTCTTCTGGATCTGGTACGATCATTATCTGCTGCCCTGCCCCGCCTGCAACCTCTCAGCTGACTTGGCTTCTCCAGATATCCTTCACCTTTATCCTGCCTCTGTTCCCCAAGTTGCTCGAATTCTACCGCAATGCCGAGGCTCCGACCGACCCGACCGCCCCTCCCAGGGACACACTCCTGTCGTGGATCCTCAGCCAGCTCAATGCCTACAAGGCCGCCTTTGCGCGCCCCATCGACTCCCGCTATGACATTGTGCTGCTCGGCGGCGCCCTCGGCTCGCTCTTCTCTCTACTCCAGGCCATCGCGTCACCCATTATCGGAACGCTGTCCGACAGGTACGGCCGCCGCACTGCACTGCTGGCCAGCATGATGGGAAACATACTCTCGGTCTTGTTGTGGGTCATGGCCGTCGACTTCCGCACTTTCCTCCTGAGCAGGGTTGTCGGCGGGCTCTCTGAGGGCAATGTCCAGCTGGCTACGGCCATCGCGACCGACATTAGCGACAGCAACTCGAGGGGGAGCACCATGGCCCTGATCGGCGCCTGCTTCTCCATCGCCTTCACTTTTGGCCCTGCCCTTGGCGCATGGCTCAGCAGCATTGCGACCGTGGCCGCCAACCCCTTTGCGACCGCCGCGGGATTCAGCTTGTTCTTGATCGTCACAGAGACAGTCTATCTGTACACCTCGCTGCCGGAGACGTTGCCCTCCATGTCGGAGGACAGCACAAACGGCAACGCCACCAAGGGGAAGGCCAACGGGAAGGCTGCCCAGCAGGACCCTGTCCAGCGCACAAACTCTCATTTCGTGCTGAACGCCACCCACTTCGCCTTCCTGCTTTTCTTCTCCGGCATGGAGTTCTCGCTGCCATTCATGACTTACGACCTCTTCGGGTACTCATCAGCAAAGAACGGCCGCCTCCTTGGCTTCGTCGGACTGGTTGCGTCGATCCTCCAGGGCGGTGTGACTCGTCGCCTGCCGCCCCTGCTCTCTGTGAAGATGGGAGTCATCGCCTGCCTCCTCGCATTCGTTCTCCTCGGCCGGCTCACGAGCGTGGCCACGCTCTACGTGGCTGCCACATGTCTAGCCACGACCTCGGCTACTGTCGTCACGGGCTTGAACGCGCTGGCCTCTTTTGAGGCAAGCGAGGGCGAGAGGGGCGGAAAGCTTGGTGTGATGAGGAGTTGGGGCCAGGTTGGCCGTGGGCTCGGCCCGATCTTGTTTACTAGTGTCTACTGGTGGGCCGGCAGGGAGGTTGCGTATGCCCTCGGCGCCGCTGGAATCGCGGGTGTGGTTGCCATCGTCTTTGGTGGGCTAAAAACCCCAGCTGGAAGTGAGAAGATTGTAAAGGACAAATCCGAGAAGAAGGCGTAACCTGGATCGAGTGGCAAGTATTCAAAATCGCAGGAGACCATCTAGCATCGGAGGATTCACAATCTATCTTATTTGCATATAACGAGCGTCCTTTACTTGAATTCTGGGCACGATGGTGGATGCTTTCTTGACGGCTGACCTCGCTATACTGCCCCGTCTATTATGTTGATGTACTAATTGTCGAAGAACAGTTAGCCCGGCCGTCTGAGAGCTTCGTTGTGCGGGTGCTTTCGGCTGACTTCAAGATGAAACTTTGATAAATTAGCACAAAACAGTTGTCAGTGGTATCGAAACTGAAGAGAGTAGCTTCTTTCTTTTAGCACTATAATAGGAACCACTATAATAGGAACTACTCTTGCACGCAACAGCTGGGGTGGTGGGTAGGGGCAACTAGGGGGCTGTCCGGCATATTTAGGTACCTAGGTAGTTCTTAGCACCCCGGAGATGGCGACTAGACTTTGTCAAATACACACCACCATACCTCCGTCTTCTCGCACGTTGGACAACGTACAGCTCCCTCCATTCCAGGCTCCAAATTGACGTGCGCGGGCTTGTCTCTTTCGGAGGACCAAACGATTCTCGCTCAGTTTCTTGTCCTTCTTCGGCGTCTTCGGCGTCGCAGGATCCTTCTTCGGCGATGGAGGGTTCTTCTTCTTCTTTGGCATTTTCCGACGCTCCGATCGAGGCGCCGAAGAGATGTCTATTGCCGCCGCGAGACGCGCCGGCACCCCGTCGAAGAAAACCCGAGACGAGAAATACGAAATTTGCAAGAAGGCGAACGAGGACTTTGCGGCCAAGGTCAAACAGTTGACGAAGGAAACCGAGTCGAAGGAAAAGCAGATCGAAGACCTCAACCTCTTGCTCCACGGAACTGGGCCTATCCCGTTTCCCCGTTGTGCCCAAGTGCCGCCAGGCATCACCGTCCACTGTCGCCAGGAGGCTGTCCTCGTCTTCGCTCCCGCCATTGATATGTTTTGGGCTGTTTACTCTGGGGTGGATGTGGCTATCTCTGTCATTTCAGGGGCCCGGGGTCTGGCTATATTATTAGGCTTCAATTGTTGTTTTCAATATGCAAATCAACCTACGTCTAATGGCAGGAAGCCAGCTGCTGCTGTTGCTCTTGGAGGTTCTCAAAATCAGATCGCTCTGGAGCAGGAAATTTCCAATGAGTCTGTTAGCTAACCTTGGAAGGATCACCAGCCCTCATGAAAGTCCTGGGCTTTTCTCACTGTTTTTTCCTTTTCCATATCTTATTATCATGTGTTTGGAATGTGATGCGTAGCCTTTGATTAAATTACTGTACCGGTGTATACTTGGCCGCGGGGCCCACTCTCCTACCCACGACAGACACCTTTGGGACGAGGGGCGGCTAATTGCCCTTATTTCTTCACACATCCGACTTACTATGTTGAACAATTGGCCATCTAGGCTCGGGTCGTGCTAATTCATTTAGAGGGAGTGGGGATATTCGCATCATCCTGTCAACCCTTGGGAATCCACCATGCTTTCAACTCAAAGTAATTACATACTGAAGCCCTTGCCAGCGACGGAAAGTCTCATTGCAACATTCTTTTACCTAGGTTGGGTTAACATTGACTGTGCAGGGATGTATTCTATTATGCCCCGAAGTGTCAGCTCATTTTATAAGTCGAACATGTGCTTTCTGCTTAATTCCAGTAGGCGTTATGAAGTGGTGTGGAGTACATAGGGACTTGGTTGTTTTGTCGCTGCGCAAACTCAGAAGGTCATTCCAGCTGCTCGAGATACATATCCACCTAGCTGTCTTATGGATCATGTTGAGTAAAACGCCCGCAAAGAAGAGATTGACAAGACGAATACACTAGATATAGTAATAACACTTCATGGGTTACATACCCTCCCACAAGGTATATACACAGAAGATTTTAAGTTCTTGATAATGCAAGGTTGTGAGCTGTAAATCCTTTGATTCATTTAATACATTTATTACTAGAGCTTACCATCTTTTGCGCAAATGCTGCTCAACCGTGATCCTATTATTAGAAACATCTACCATATTCGCCATCTAACCGACCCCGTGCGAAATATCCCGACCCAAACTCCACATACCGGATAGTGATGAAGGTTGACCCGAAAGTTTCTCGAATAATAGGTGACTAGGGAGCTTTGTGCCCGCGTTGTAAGACAAACCTAGGTGCTACAGGTGGGCTTCGGCTCCCACTTACCCACTGCTGGCGCAAGGCGTAGGGGAAACGCGAAGGTCTGATCCCCGGGTCTACCCGTGGACCTGATCGGGAGCTACGTATGCTCCGTCCTCTACTGATCTCCATGGATCCAAGGTGTCACCTGCTTACTATTTTGCAATCACACATATGCAGGCTGCTGCAACATCCGTTGGAATCAGAGACACGGCACATGCAAAATCCCAATAAAGACGTTACATGGTCTTGGTAGTGCTTATCACCGGGAGACTTGGCGCGTCCTCAGCATTGCGACCCAGCTAACGCAGCCAATATTTGCTTACATATGACTCGGGTTGGCTTAACTCACGCACATGCGTGACAATGGCGCGTTACTAGAAGGGCTTGGAAGACCCATATGTTGCAGAGCCAAGTGTGAGGGTGTGACCGTAGGATATGCTAAATATCGGGACCGCGGACGACCTTAGATGCTTTTCCGGGGCCCTTCAATGTTACCCATTCCCACCAGCTCCTTCTTCACAATTTACACCTCCCGCCTTCTGCCCCTCTGCCCTTCTGCCCTTCTCCCAGCAATTTCTTGGATCAATTGGTTGCAAAAATGGCACATAATCCTGAGGAACAGAAAAGCTTCAGTGTCCGAGAATCCGATCTGACCTCGAAAGAAAGCGACGTGGTGCCCAGGGATCGTTCTGAAAAAGAGAATCGCTCCGACCAAGCACTAGACTTTCTCAAGCAGCACAAGAACGATGCGGCAGTGGATCTGTCTAGACAGGCCTCGTTCACCCGTGCTTTGAGGAGAAGGGTTGACTTTCGTGTCATCCCTTTTTTGTGTTGCTGCTACACGTTGAACTTCCTCGACAAGGTTCTACTCAATGTAAGACAGTCTGAGAAAAGACGCGGACATTTCATCACTCGAGCATCTACTAACATTGAACGAACGCAGTATGCCAATATTATGGGAATGGCTCCCGAGATCAACCTCCGGGGCAATGAGTACTCGCATGCTTATGCCGACTTCTGGATAGCCTCCCTTGTGTTCTCACTGCCGAATATATGGCTGCTCAACAGATTCCCCGTCGCAAAATTTCTCGGCTGCTGTCTTGTTGGTTGGGGACTTTGCAATGCTTGTCATGCCGCTCTCGAGAGCTATACTGGTCTGGTTGTCTTGCGCGTCCTGAGCGGGGCCTTCGAGTCTGGTATCCTGCCCGCGTTGATTCTGATCGCAAGCCAATACTTTACCTATGAGGAGCAGTCAGTGCGCTTTTCATTCTGGTACAGTGGCAGTAAGTACTTGCAATCCGACTCTGTACCCTATGGTATTTATTCTTTTGAGAAACGAAGACGATTGACAATATCAAAGTGGGACTCGGACAAATCCTCGGCGGCTTGATCTCGTTTAGCTTCCAGCATGTATCGACCGAGGCAGCCTTGAGTGGGTGGAAGACTATGTTCCTCGTACTGGGTCTTGTCACCATCGCTTTTGGAATCCTGGTTATCCTCATGGTCCCGGACACACCGATGAGCGCTCCATTCTTGAATAACGACGATAAGGTCGCCATGCTGGAGCATGTGAAGGTCAACCAGACCGGTATTCAGAACACGCACTTCCATCCTAAACAGCTGCTAGAGGGCCTCCTTGACATCGGATGCTGGCTTCTACTCGTCAACGTGACACTGCAACTCTGCGGCTCCGGCGTTGTCACGGCATACTCCGCCACAATCCTGAAATCGTTCGATTATACTTCTAAAGAGGCCGCGCTTCTCAATATGCCGTGCGGCGTGGTTAACATTATCGCAACGATGTGCAATGCCACGTTTGTGCGGTACTATGGGAACCGTTGGCTTGTCATCACCGTCACGGGGGCGGTGGGCACTGTTGGCGCAGGCCTGCTCTGCTTCCTCCCTCACTCGAACAAGGCCGGCCTTCTGGTTGGCATGTATTTGATCAATGTGCTCCCGGGGGCAACCATCATAGTGTTCCAATGGCTGTCTTGTAATGTTGCTGGGCACACGAAGCGCGCCTATGTCTCGGCCGCAGCCAACGCCGCCTTTGCGGTCGGGAACATCGTCGGGCCAGAGACGTTTAGAGCTAATGAGGCTCCCGGTTTCAGGAGTGCCAAACTCACTCTGGTCATAGCTTGGGCTCTGCTGGTCGCATTTTCTCCGCTGGCTGGAGCGTACTACGCCTTGAAGAACAAGTCGAGAGAACGCAGGGCCGAGGAGGTGACGGATAGACAGGCATACGCCGGGCTGACTGATAAGGAGAATGAGACGTTCCGGTATCATTTGTGAGATGGGCGCCTGGACGATATGAACGAAGTAGATTCAGTGCGCAGCTAAGGTATGTTCGCCGGGGCCCATCTTTAGTTCGCCGTTTAGAACCCAAGGGAAGAAGAGATGCATGCACAGGGGCTCAATTAAAGAATGGGGGAATGCCGAGGGCTCCCAGACCTTCCAGACAGCCACTGTCAAACCATCTCTCGAGAGGGTACTTAAGTACATATGCCACAAGCTGGCAGTAATACTAGTAGTAGGGTATCTAGGTGGAGGCAGTAACCTAAGCATGTACTTAAGTACCTAGGTACCTAGACCGGTTGCTCGTCAGGAACAGTTGGGATCTGAATTGAGCTACCTGCCCGTTTTGCTCCCACAGCCCGCCCCCCCGCTTCTTCCTGCGCGCCTGTAACACAGATCGTGGAGTGGCCATAGCTCCGCAACTACCCCAATTGGGAAGCAACGACATCATACCTCAACCTTGACTTAACCTCACCTGTTCACCATTCCGGACCTTTGCATCCACAGTACTTGAGCCTCCGCTTCCAATACCATTGACAACTGCATATCCTTCAAAATGTTTCGCTTTGTGAGTATGGTCGGATTCAAAAGGCTTAGGGGCAGACTGTGCTTCTCCTTCCGAAGCTGCTCTCTTACTGATCAGATGATACCACCATCAGCACAAGACCAAGGACATTGTCACCCTCTTCCACAAGGCCAGCTCTCCAGCCTCTGTCCGTGTTGCCACTCTCCTCAAGCAAGCATCTGCAAATGCCACCGAGCATGCCACCGAAGACCAGGCCAGCGACCACTCGGCACAGACGACTCCTCAGCGCGCCGAATTCGAGCTGAACATCACCGAGGACCCACCAACGCCCGACCAGCTCCAGACTATTCTGCAATACGTCGGCAGGCCCGCCATTTCATCCGTCGTGAAGGGTGCATCGAGCGAAAGCGAGGCGTTGAAAATCTTCAAGCAGAGCGCAGAGGCTTTCCAGCGGCCCGTGGTACGTATAGCTCATGCTAGCCGCTCCTCCATCGCCTGCCACCCAAGCTAACTCGCGCAGACGGTGGATTGGAACAATGGCAAGGCCATCGCTGGTGCGGATGAGTCCAGAATATTGAAGGTTCTGGGCCAGATCCCCAAGAATTGAATACCGTCTAGCCGCACTGTTGGCAGCTTCTGTACAAAATGAGATTCCCCCTTTCTGGCACTTGCCCGTGATAATTATATTCTGTTGGACATTGTGGGGGTAACAAAAGCTATCGAAGTGAGGTCCACAAGACGAGAGTCCCTGCATGTTCAACTTCAGACTGGAGTAGTTTCTCCGTCGCGGGAACGATGATACCTTAGAGTATCCAAGATCCAAGGGGCGAGTGCCTCGTAATTGAGGGTTGTGTTGCGTCGCTGCTGCGGCCAAGCAGTAGAGACTGGGTGACACCTGCTCTAGAAGTCCGGACTACGCGCTGACTACCATTGTTTTACTATGACAAACATGCTCTTGTAGGATTGCAGTCTGATCTGTGTCCTGCTCCAGCGCTTCCTATCCTGAGTCGTCCTAGGCAAAACCAGGTGGATAGGCTGGTTTGGGGTTGGGACAAAAGTATTGTTTGATGAGTCGTGCGCTGTGTCAGGCTCAGAAGACAACACCAACCCCAAGACAGACATACCAGGGGCCTTTCATCGTCCCGTATGCGAGGTTACAGCTGCCACTAAGTCGAAGGGTGCTGTACTTGATTGTCTACAGCGGACGTCACCAAAGAAGGTTGTTTGCAACGGCTTCTCTACTAATACAAATTCATGGCCTGTCGATAGCAACACCCTCCCTGTCAGAGAAAACTACTTCGAGTGGCCAAGTCTCCTGCGAAATCTCCAAAATCCCAATGAGACTTTTGCCACCAGTCGCACATAGGGAGGCTCGTTGCCGTCGGATGCTGCTATAGAGAGCGGGCTGAGGTTCATTCACAGCTCACTTTGGCAGTCGAAAGTTTTGGCAGAGCTGGCTGTTGTTGCCTGGGTGCCCTTCAGATGGGATTCACTTTGCAGAGTGTTGCCCCATTTCCCCTACCTACCTTGGTACTTCAACCTTGCAGCCTCTGGCAATCACAAAATCTCTGCCCACCTTGGTGTCAAAACAACACCAACACCAGCACCACCTCAACTTGGTTTGCGAAACGACACCCCTCCTTCACAGTCTGAATTTCCTCACTGCCCTTCTGTAATGCGAGTCTGTCGTATTTGCTACAGCCCATCTCCACTCATTCAAGCATTCGCACCGGTTTTGCGACCATTTCCCTGCACCATCCACCATCCACCATCAAATACCCCCTCCCCAAGATGGCTGCCACGATTGCGTCCAACTCGCAGGACTGGATCGCGTCCCAGTTGTCTGCGACAGCTGTGAACGCTTGCCCTTCACGAACCAAGTGGACCTATGTGCAAGATCGCAACGGCATGATGGTCATCGAACCTGTCCTTGGCTTCTACTTTAACCCACCATCTGACGCAAAGTGTCGCTGGTCTACTGAAAAGGGCACTCGTGCACCGCAGGCGATCATCAGAGGCCTGCCCCTGCCCGATCGGGTGTTGATCCTTTGGAACGACGACAGACTCGAGTCCGAAGCAGCTCGCATCCGTGAAAAATACTGGGACGAAATGAAGACGCTGGTTGCCCCCCAACGATTTGAAGATCTCTATGAGTATTTCGACAGCGCCACCCTTTTCATGTCCGGCGCGGTCAATCTGTGGAACCTCATCAACCTGCTCACAAATGACGCCCGCCACAACTGGCGCAAGTATGAGGAGGATGTCGCTGTTGAGTGCGACAACTGGGTCCGTAACTGGCTCACTGGCGCCGCATCCAACCGTGAGGCTTTGATCAAGTGGGACATGAAGAGCGACATCCTCACGGCGGTCACCACCAAATTCGATTGGGACAATGACCTTGGGGATCTCGACCTTGTTGGTCAGCACATCCTGCGCGAGTGTTTCTTGCATCACTTTCAGCGCCTTACTGGCAAGATGCCCAATGTTGCACGCTTCAACACCCACGCCGCAACTCAGAAGCCCATCGCAGCCGCGGCACCGATGATAGCTGCGACTGGTACTCCCGATGAGGCCTCAACCAGTACGTGCAACACCTTTCCTCTTTGCAGGCCTGCCAAACTAACAAACAAAGGGCCTGATGAAGTGCCCATCCCGTCGTCGTCCGCCAAGCCTCTCTCTACTATCCCGGAGGAGAGCGCTGCCACGAAGGGTGCTACCAAGCCTCAAGGCCTTAGAATCGACACGGGCCTCTACCTTCACATCCCCGTTCAGACAATGTCAGCACCTGCGACTGCAGTTCCACGCATCAAAGTTGAGCCACAGCCTGCCAGGGAAGCCGAGCATGTCTCGGAGGAGAGCGATGGCAAAGAACAGACCGGTGACGACTTTTCCACTACTCAGGATCTGGCTGCTCGTTTCCAGTCCACAGCGCGGCAGCTTTCATCGCAGTCGACGCCTGCGGAGAGGCAGGATGCCTTTCTCAACTCCACCACGAGCAACATTGCGCCTCGTGTGGTCTCGGCCACGGATACAGTCAGCATGCCGCTGGACGCACATCGACCGCAACAAAAACTGCCTGATCAAGCTGGTACGGTTCCTCGCAACGTGTGCGGGAGCAAGCCACCTTTTCAGGGACCACCAAAGTCTTCCCAGGATCATGACCCGAATCGCCAGCAGCTCCCGACCACCATGTTCACTTTGGATGGGGAACGCTCGATTTCGCAGCAGGGAGTCTCAACTAGGCCTTCGCAGCATAGCATGCAACGCCTCGGGCCACAAGACCACGACATGCGGCCACCTTCAATCCGAGGCGTATCCTCAAACTTCTGTTGCTTCCCTCACCCAAACACCGACTTCCAATCGGGCGTCGGCATGGAGCAGGTATCTGGCATGAACTTCCAGAAGCAGATGCGAATGCCCTTACCGAATATGGGCCAGTCCCAGCCAGGTCATCCTCAGGCATCTTCTATCGACTTGCCATGTCCCTATACGGGCCAACAGAATGTCGAACCTCCCATGTACCAGCCTAATGGGTACATCCCCCACTCTCAGAAGCAACTTCGTCGTGAGAAGACAGACAAGAATAAGCAGCACGAAGACCGTCGCGACAGCATGACCTCAAATGGCTCACGCAACAAGAAAGTTCGCGATGATCCCATTCACGGGCCCGTGTACTCTTTGAAGCCGGCCAAGGACAGCGACAAGCCGCCTGGAAGGAAACCAACAAACTCAGACGGCTCTGTTGCCCCTGACCCTAAGGACTCTGCGTCTAATCCCAGCTTCGACTGCCTGAACTCCGCGTTTGACCGGCCGTATCGGCAGCCGCCCCCTCCCAAGTTCTTCGATTGCTCGTGCATTCGATGTTTGAGGTCAAACAAGAGCCTTTTTGTGAGGCATGAAAAAGCCCCCGGGGAACAGGTCCAGGCCGCCCTCATGCAATATCTAGGCTCATGGGGAGCCGAGAGGGTAATTATATTTGATGGGGGCTGCGGATCCCTTGTGGTGTAAGTCCCTAAAATCAGATCGCCAACCTTGTGATGTATGAAGGCCCGGGTGCTAACATAGTCTGAGCACAGCTTCAGGAGTGACCATGATGTAGTTCGAGCCATGAGAGACCTTTGCGACAGGCCAAACCGAGGAAGAGATATCCCGGGCTTGGGTAGAGTCTCCAGTCTTTGGTATGCATACTTTTCGAAGCATTACACGTCTCCTTCTCAAAACCCCACTGGTCTTCCTCGACACCTTTGGGAGCCCAAGAGCAATCGTCGTCGCTCGAGTTCAACCATCAGTCGCGATTCGAATGCGTATAGAAACCAGATGCCAAACAACATGCCCTTCAACACCTCGAGCGTTGGAAACTATGGTCCTGGGCTACCGCCGCATTACTTCAGGCACGGCGAGGTAGGTGGTCCATCTGGTCTCAACTTGGTTCCTTTCTATCCGCCACCATCACAGCGTGTATTGTGGGATCCCAATAGTGCGGAACAGAGCCGAAAGACCAGCAAGCCCGAGTCGAAATCCAAAGAGCAGCTTGATTACCAGCCAAAGACCTATCCAAAGAGGCCCGATGCTGTCACCACATTGAGAGAGGATTGGCGATCAAAGCCGCCCGCCGAGGAGGCCATTGAGGACATCTCGAGCGATGAGGCTGTTGCTGACACCTCTAGCAACGTCTCGTCTCAGGGTGCCAGGGGCGTCAAGGTCTGCTTGCCTAACGAGGCCGGGTCTTTGCGTTCACGAAGTGTTTCGCCTGATGCTGAGCGTGCTAAGATGACGGAGCAGGCCCAGAAAGACGCACCAAAGCTGAAAGACGCAGCAGGCTCAGAGGGAGACCAGGCCGAAGGTGGTGCACAACAGGGTGCAAAGGCACAGCTTGTTGCCAAAGATGATGGTGTGGCCACATCCACTTACAGAAAGGCAACTGCAGAACTTGTTGCGCCAGTTGAAGAGCTTCACCCGAGAAACGATGCCAGACAGGCGCAGCTCTTGGAGACGCCGATGCGGAAAGGCCTGACTTCCTACAGCAAGATCTCGGCCGAGCTGACTGATGCTACCGAGGATTTCAATCTCAACACAGTGATTCGACACAAACCTCCCCGAAGCCCTCTTCCAGAGGAATGGTTGGCCACCTCAGAACAAGCTCCATCCAACCTGCAGAGTCGATTCGGCGCTCTGACTGGAGCAATTGAGCAGGAGACTCTTGGCCAAGATGTCAATGCAAGGGTCCCAATTGGAACGAGTGATGGAGTGGCCACCGAGCTTCCAAAGGACGAGCAAGCAGCATCTCACAAGCCCAAGGCAAAGAAGAAGTGGCCTAAGGGCGCAAAGGGCAAGAAGAACAAGTCGAAGGCCAGTAATGGCACTTCTACGTCCTCTTCAGTGACTCCCACGGAAGCTCAGGCCCACGGCGAATCTCGAGACTCTGACAACCGCTCCACGTCAGGAGCTCTGAGTGCTCAACCCGAGTCTGCCGCTGATGAGAAGACCCAGTCACCCACGCGATCCCAGCATCTGACGAAGAAGAAGAACACCAAAATCAAGCAATCGTCGACCGCGGAGACATCTTCGGCCCCTGACGGACAGAACAAGACCGAGGAATCTCCGGATCAGGATCCCAAGGTGTCTGTCAAGGGTTCCCACACAAGTAAGCTCAAGACTCAGCAGTCTGGTCTTGCAAACGAGGGCCTTGTGCAGTCCAAGTCTGAGCTGGCCAACTTGAGAGATCATACAGAGACTGTATCCGTCGCAGAGCAGCATGACGGCCGTAAGGAGTCTGGCTCTGGCAACAAGGAAGATGACCCGCTGTGCACGAAGAAGGACCGGTCGCCGCAAAAGCTTCGAGACCATGGTGGCATGAATGATGAACGAAAGTCACTTCAGAATCAGCCGGTGACGGAGCCGCAGGTCGGGCTGGATCCCCCTGTTGGCAGTGATCTTAACAACGGCTCACCTGAAGCGAACCTCTTCCCCAATCAAAAGTTCACCATTGACAAGGTGAAGAGGGACTCCGCCAAGGAGTCAGACATCCGCCACAGACAGGCGAGCGCCTTGCATACCGCTGCCAATGACGCACGCATCGCTCTGCCCCGTATGCCGCCCAACTCGAAGACATCCGTCGCTTCGAGGGGACCGCGTTCCAAGAGTGACGACCCATTCACAAGTGCGAGGGGCGAGCCGCAGGAGGAAAACTGGTTGAGAGATAAGGCCGTCAGGACTCCACAGAAGCAAAACAGCGAGCCAGCCTCTCATCAAACTTCCCCCACGCCTTCACCTGAGAAGAAGGCGGGCCACCAGTGCGGCAAGAACAAGCTGAACGCCGCTGCCAAAGCCTTTGAGCCCACGTCGATCCCGGCATCCCCAGCCGCGAGCGTTGCCTCGGTCCTTTCCGCCAAGGCCATTCCGTTCCACACTAAGAAGCCCTCTCTGCCCGGCAACAAGTCGCCTGTCGAGCAGCGGCTCGTCACACCGGCGGAGCAGGTTGTCGACCCCGATACAGTCTCTCAGCCCGGCCCTCCCACCAAGGAGAAGAAGCGCAGCGGGCCTGCCCCCGACCGCGGTGGGGACGGCGGCCAGAAGGGACGCGTAAAGTCAATCGGCAAAGCATCGGGTGCCGCGACGAGTAAGAAGACAGCAGCGCAGGCGGCGGCGACGGCCCCAAGCATCGCATCGAAGCTGGAGGATGAGGGGGAGTTCCCCACGCTCGCCGCGGCTGCCACGGTGCCCCAGAGGAGGGCCTCGGCGGCCATCAAGTCGTCCGTGCCAGCAGATTGCGCACGCTCAAAGGCGGCCACTGCTACCGCCCCCAAGGCCTTCGCAGCGACACCCGCACCGAAGCCCCAGGTTACTTCGCGAAACACCACCAAACACGAAGAGGGCGGTGATACAACGGTGCCCGCTGCTGACAAGCAAGGCGCGGGTGTAGGTGAGAAGGACAAGACCGAAAAGACCGACGAGGATCAGTGGACGACTGTGGCATCGGGAAAGAAGGCTGGTGTCAAGAAGAATAATACCGGCAACAGCAGCCGCACTGCTTCTGGCAAGTCCGGTGGTAGCGCCGCAGGACAGGGCGGTAGGGCAGGTGGGCAGGGATCCCGTGGTGGAAAGGCTCCTGTTGGCGAGGAGCGCAAGGGAGGTTGAAGCTCCTGTGAGCGAGACAAGAGGGAATGTGAGTCTAGGTGGGAAGAACGGGAAGAGAAGAGGCCAAGTCCCCGCCTGGGTTAAAGGAAAGCGAGAACAAAGTCCTTCATCAGTGGCTCAGGCGAGTCACCGGGGTACGTACTCCTCCATCTGTTGGAGGAGAACATTCAGTCACGAGATCGCCGGCGACTTTCGGGCGGACTCGGGATGGGCAGATAGATCAACGAAGCCATGGGTTGCATGGCCAAACCGAGAATTGAGACGTGATGGGAAAGACAGGAGCGACCTGGCAGCTTTGGATCGCCAGGTGATCAACGTGTCAGGATAGATGTGTAGGATATCACAGACAGGCATGATCAGAGGCAATTGAAGCTTGGTCATCCAATCGTGTCATTTCTCATGGTGACCATTTGACACGCAAGCCCGGGATGAGGGATTCCGAAGTTGCGTGGAGCTTACTGCCCAGTCATAGCCGAGTACGTACTTCAACTCTCAACATACATGTACAGGCTCTTAGCTGACAACATCATTCCAGAGGAGGACATCTCACAGGTGGATTTATGGGACTGGCTTATCCCGTCACAAAACCGTCCAACAGTTGGGTGAACCCACAAGGGGTCGAGGGGTCAAGAAAGGTGGCTTGTGTCTGCGGAGAGAACATACGGCCTTGGATGTTCTGAATAGCGGGCACTCTAAATCTGCACGCCGTCAAGCCCTCACCGGCCGCATCACACTGGCTTCCGGGACTCTGATCATCGTGACAAGTTGTATTCGTAGCTCTCTTGGCCGGTTGAGACACGGTGACGGCTTTTTTCCTTCGACGACCATGACGCGTCCCGGGCTCTGTCCAACCTCGATTCCGGCCTACAGCTTCTGCCATATCCATCCGCCTCGGTCGCCCCTACGCTATGACGACTCGTTCCTAACCAGTGTGGTGACGGCATCCTCGATTTGCTTGTCGTTCAGACCTGGTGCCCAGCGTCAGCTCATGTTCTCCCTCGTCCTGTCCTCACCTCGCCCTCCGGTCTTCCGCGGCTGGAGGATGATGGCCCCTCTGGATAGGTGGCATACCTTCTAATGATTGACTCTTCTCCTGGCCAAACTCATACCTCGCATACACCTTGGGCGAGGTGCCCTGGGCCTCGCGCAGCATGATGGGGATGGAGGGGTTGTGCTTCTTCATGGTCGGGTAGGATTTGGTGAGGAAAGCCCTGGGTGGGAACGGGCGTGTTAGCCTGTGTGTAGGCCTCATGGTGCCAATTGACCAACCACGAGGCGCCCGGATCGGCTTACTTACCTGGTGGCAGCGCTCTGTTCCGAGGTCTGGCAGAACAGGAAGCGGACCTCCTTGAGCGACCGAGTGAAGGCGTATTTGGTTGCCATGGTTTGAGATGGGCTCTCGCTGTGTTTGGTCCTCGGGGCTGTGGTGGGCGGTGGTCAATTGCTGGATGGGGAGCGGTCGCGAGGGTGGGTGGGCTGCTCTAGGAAATGCAGGCCGGGGACGAGCGTCGTCAGAATGGATTGGAGGCGCCGAAGAGCCTGGTACGTACCGGGGTAACCTCATTAGCTAGCTACCCGCGCGTGCTCTGGCGCAGGCGCAGGCGGCAGGTGGGACGGGCGTCACATTTTCTTATCTCCGGCACGCCCAGCTCCTCCCCCAACTTTTTCCGACCCTACGGTTGACCCCCAACGCTCCTTTGATCGGACCCCGATTTGATCTGACTTCGCCTGGACTGGCACCGCAAGAGACACCACAGTCACCCAGTCACACCAACCAAGACTGCAATCCAGGACAATCCCCAATCCTCCGATCCGGCCAGGCCGTCCAGCAGTCTGCTTCCTCCCCCTCCTCCTCTCCTCCTTTCGAATAACCCCCTCCTGCCTCGGCCATCAACAGAGGTCTGAAAGCAGCGCTCCGTCGAGAAACATGTCTTCCTCAGCCGCCGCCTTCTCCCGGGCATCCCGCCCGCTCTTCTCCTCCGCCTCCGCCGCTGCCCAGACCCGACAGGCCTTCTCTCGCGCCTTCCGCACCCAGCAGCGACAACAATGCGGCCGCAGGTGGCAGTCCACCGCCAGCGCTGAGCAGCAGGCCGCCGCCCAGGTCGGCTGGTTCAAGCGCATGTGGGACAGCCCCATCGGCCTCAAGACGGTGCACTTCTGGGCCCCCGTCATGAAGGTACGTTCTCTCGTCGCGCACTCGCCCCCCCCTCCCCACCCCCGCGGTCCCGGGCTCCCCTGGCTGATGCTTTCAATTCTCTCCCACAGTGGGCTCTCGTCCTCGCCGGTGTCGCCGACTTCGCCCGCCCGGCCGAGAAGCTCTCCCTGCAGCAGAACGGCGCCCTGACCGCCACCGGCATCATCTGGACCCGCTGGTGCCTCATCATCAAGCCCAAGAACTACCTGCTCGCCGCCGTCAACTTCTTCCTCGGCCTTGTCGGGGTCGTCCAGGTCTCCCGCATCCTGATGTGGCGCAACAGCCAGAAGGGCAACACCACCGTCGCCGACGCCGCTGTCGAGGTCAAGGACGAGGTCAAGGAGGCTGTCAAGAGTGCCTAGGAGGGTCGCCAAGTCTGCGGTGCGGGTGGGGCCGGAGGAGGAAGCACTGGTGGTGGCAGTGGCCAGGATGCGCATGATGATGGCCCGCTGTTCGACGTGGCGCGTGGCCCCTAGTGGTTGGGCAGGTGACTCGTGTGTCTGGCGGGCTGCCGAGTACCTTTCCGGCGTGGAGGATTCTCCAAGATGTCTTCAATGGGGAGCTAGAGGATAGATAGGGGGTCAAGCCTCTGTTCTGTTTTTGGTCCAGGGGTCCTTCAGGGGCCGCCATGGGGTGGACAGCGCACTGGGTTTGCCCAAGAGTGGCGCGGTGCGACTTCCTGGATATACAATTAGCAAGTACGAAGCTGCAGGCATGGCCTCTTGTGCGTCTCTATCTTTAGAGAGCTTGGTATATAGAGCATGCTCTACGTATGACACCATCGGGCTATGAACCGGCATGAGCACACAAATTCACACAAATTCACCCCCGGTCACAGCTGGAAGCACTCGAGGGCACATTGCCATCTCTTTCCCGAGCGCTGTTGACCGTCAGAGACCCAACGCGCGCTCGTACTCAGACTGTGCGGTCCCACTACAACAGTTGCTGTCCACGAGCTCTTGTTCTGCGCTCTATTCCGCGCCTAGCTGTCACTCCAAGCACGAAGCACGATCAATAATCAGAGAACGCGTTTGTGCCTACGGTTACTACTACTACATAGTACACCTTGAGTTTATCCGCCAAGTCAGGACAGCAATCACTGTCCTAGGAGATGGGGCAGTTTCCGCCCCATTGGACCAGTGGCCATTCTATCCTTGCCACTTCACACGGACCATGCAAGCTCAATCCAGCTTCAGTTTTGCATTTCCAAAGATTATCAACTAGACTACTACGAGTAGGCAGGTGGGTTTCCTGGGCAACGCGCTCTTTTATCATCACTCTCAAGTCTCTGTCTTAATAGTATGATCCGCAAGATGCCAGTCCTGCCCGCTTTTATTTTCTCTTCCCGCCAAAATTGAGTTCATGACCTGACCGTACGCCTTGTGCGAGTTCCCCTTCCGTAAATGCAAGCCAATCCGATGCAATTATGTGAAAATAGGCAGAATAGAAAGCATGTGTGTCTGGCACGCGGCATAAAGAGAACAAATTGCTCACGCATTTGTAAGACGCGTTGTCCACGGACCACTGTGCTCGCCGATCAATACAGAGCACGCGCTCAAAGATGTCGCCCTCCCGTCTCGTTCGGCTCGAGGAGTGGTTGGCCTAGATGGCGCTGATGCTGTGTTTGGCGAGGGAGGTGTCTAATATGGCGGTGGGGGTGGGGGCGGAGAGGTGCGCTGGTTGCTCATGCGCTCCATCTCAGCCATCTGTGTCGGAAGCTCGTAACTGAAGCTTCTCATCGCAGATAGCATCGTCGGCCGGTTGAGGCTTCGTTGTAGGCTCTTGCTCCTCTGCAATTCCTCCAGTGCTTGGTATCTCTCCCTCACGAGGTCACCGCGGCTTTGCGATGGCTCTGAGGCCATCCGTGGCATACCCAGCGTGCCATTTATGTGTATCCCAGTAATCGCGGGCGGTCTCTCTGCCGCCCGAACACGAGGCGCAGTTGTAGGCGTACCGGGGCGTCCCTGGTGACCCGGCCCTGGGTTCTTCCTTTCCATTGCCAGCCACGCGAGACCATGCAAGCTTCGATACGCAGCCACGGTCATGCCGCCAGCTTCCACATCCCGTGCTGCCGGCACTGCAAATTCGGGTCCAGCACGCGCAGAGAGATCAGGTGCAGCTGTGACGCCCTACATCACGCTGCACTCGCCCTCGTTTTGTTGCCCGATTTTGCTCCGGGTGATGCGCTCTCGTTGCCGCGGGCCGTTCTTACCCGACCGCTTCAGCTCCTCGAGGCGCTCGCGGGCCTTCGGAAAATCCTGGGCTATCGCAAATGTCAGCCATCACCCACGATTCAGTGACCAGAGTGTAGATTGGGCCGGGGGGGGGGGGGTGACTTTACCTGCTGCTCTCCAGTACCATCGCTTCGCATCCTCCATATTTGCAGGAACGCCGATGCCCATCTCAGTGAAATAGCCCATTGCGTATTCCGCCTTGGCAAGGCCAGCCATCGCGGCCTTGCGCGCCCAGAGGTACGCCTCGGTATCATTCTGGCCGAGCACGTTGTCGCTACCTGTCAGGTACCAACCGGAAAGCGCAAGCTCCGACTGGTGCTCACCCTGCTCCGCCGCTTTCGAATACCACATGATCGAGAGTCTCGGGTCGATGGGACAACCGAGCAGCCCATACTCATACGCGCATCCCAGGCGGTACTGGCTAAACTTGTATCCCAGATCTGCCGCCTGCTTGAATAATCTGAAAGCATACGGCTCATCACGCAGGATAACGTCGTTCGGCCCAGCAGACTCGTACAACAGACCCAGCTCATGCAGCGCGTGTGGGTTTTCGCTGTCCGCGCTTTCTGCCGCACGCTTCAACCAGCCAATGGACTCGCGAGGGTTCTTCTGCTGCCCCAACAGCCCTTTGAGCAGTATCATCCCCACCTTGTACATTGCCGGTGTGTCGCCGAGCATGGCCGCACGTTTGTACCACTGGATGGCCTTCAGTGGGTCTTTTCGAGTCCCACCCCCTTCTTCGTTGCCAATCTCGCAACACACGGCCGTACGGTAGGCTGCTGCCGCATGGCCGAGTTTTGCTGCAGACTGGTACATGGTAAATGCTTCCTTGTTGTCAGGCTCCGAGCCAAATAGCCCCTTGCCCAGCCCATCCGCCAGTGTAAACATCGCATCAGCGTTGCCAGCATTCGACAACTTCTTCAAGATCTTCTGCGCATCCAGGACGTAACGATCACGGGCTCGTTGGCGGGACTTTGGATCCGCCACATTCGGCACAAGAACATCAGCGGCTTGTAACAGTCTCTTAGCCAGACGCAGCGCTGTAGCTTGGTCCTGCGGGTTCACCTTGACGGTATTTCTCAGACGCTCCAGCTCCTCGGTCGTTACAGGGGGCTCTGCCTGTGGAGCAGCGCGAGGCGCCCCACCGCCTTGCATTGGGCCTGGTGCAGGCGTTGGTGCCGGCGCCGGAGTGGGAGTACCGCCATAGTTGCGGACTGGTGGTGGCTTGTTGTTGACCAGAGAACCCTGCATGTGGCCTGCTCTCACCGGCAAGGGATGCGACGGCAGTGCGTCTGGGTTGGCGTTCGGCGGCGTCTGCTGGTGGCCTGGGCGGATCGGCATGGGATTGCTGGGGAGACCAAAGCCTCCTTGAGGAGGACTCGGGCCATTAGCCCTGGTAGCGTATCCACCTTGGCCTCCCGCTGGGGGTAGCGGAGGCGCATCAGGTGCCATCTCGAATACTGCCTGCTGTGGCTGGCGCAGATCAGGCTGAGATTTTGCAGTGTTCAGTCCAGGCATCCGACCAGGCCCTCTTTGCTGCTCCGGGGCGCCGGATTGCATAGAAAGATCCAAAGAGTTGCGACCCCGAGGAGCCGCGTCAAAGTTGGGCATGTCAGGTTCATGCGGCGGCTGCTGCTGATAGCCATTCGGCCCTTGGTCGTCATAGTACTCGTTGTAGTAGTCGTCATATCCGTAACCCTCATCCGCGCCGTAGTCATAGCCCTGGCCACCATAGCCCGGCACTGGTTGGTTTGGCGGAGGCATACGTTGCGGCGGCGGGCGGTGGCCTGACGCGGTTGAGGGTCGCGGCGGATGCATTCCTTGACCAGATGGACCGTAAGGCGCAGAGTCTGACCGGTGCGGTGGCGGCGCCATCTCCTGCATGCCTCCTATGTTCGATGGCATCGTCATTGTCCTCGAGGGTGGCCCGAAGCCAGGCTCGGGGTATTCACCGTAGCCTCCTCGGCCGGGCGGCGGTCCTCGTCGTTGCTCTGGGTAACCCTGCGGCGGGTAGTTGCGCGGTGGAGGAGGGCCTCGCTGGGAGTCCATGGACGGCCGGGGACCATAGTCGTCATCGGAAGCGCCACGCGTTGGGGCCCTGCCTTTCGGGACTTTTTTCTTGTTGTCAATATCCAGAGCGCCCATTTGGCTGAGAATCTGCTGTTCCTGGTCCAGATTTGTCTTACGATCCTGGCCTGGGAATGTTGGGAATGGGCTGTCGCCAAATCCTGGCTCTCCTGGGGATTTTCGAGGGGGTAAGATGGGCTGTCTTGAGCGGTTCACTTGACCGTTGTTAGACGTCACCGCGGACAAAAAGAAAATGCAAAGAACGCTGTCGCAACTTACTGGTAGGATCAGAATTAGGAGCCCCGACGTGGGGAGGCCTTCCTCGGCCCGGCGCACCATTAGGAGGATATACTCTGCCAGGCGGGGGCCTCATGGGACCGCCGCGTCCTCCGTTCACAGGTGGCCCTCTCGGCGGACCACCAGGGCCTGGGCCATAAGGATCTCGCTGAGGCGGGCCTCGCGGGGCAAAGTTCCTGTCGTCGTACTGTTGTCCATAGCCTTGATCGTAGTACCCATCATATCCCTGACCGTAGTCATCCTGGTACTGGTCGTACTGCTGGTCGTACTGTTGGGGTGCCGGCGCAGGAGTGTACTGGCGCTGGGGTGGCGGCCGTGGAGCTCCTGGCCCGTTGAATGCACGCGGGGCGGGATATCCTCCGTTGTAAGCCATTTGTGCACTGCGTGTTTGTACACTTGTTTTTAGAGGGCTCTCCGTCTCCCGGCGTGTGGGTAGCAGGAGCGGCGCGCCTCAGTTCAGCCGATCGGACCCGCGTGCCTTGTCCGATTCGGCCCTTGATGCTTTAGGAAGGTCGCAGCCGTATTACTTCCATGAGACGCGGTGCTGGCCTGAGGAGCAGGATGGATACGTCCCAGGGTGTGGTGGTGGACGGGAGAGGCAGGCAGGGTACAGTGCTCTTGCTGGTGGTCGCTGGTGGTTTCTCTTCTTCTGTGGCTTCGGTGGGGACTCGGTAGGTTCGGCGACGACACAAACGAGCTTCCTTGGAGCACACAAGTCTCAGACTACTCCGTACTGTGGGCCAGGCCGGAGGCTGTCTGGTGTGACTGGTGATCTGTTGTGGGAAGCGGGAGTGTGCGCTGTGCCCGAGTCGAAGAGCAAGCCTATCTCGGCCAATGACTAAGAGGCGGCTACGTGCGATGCGATGCGATGCGCAGGCGCTGGACAGCGATACGATTGCGTTCGGTCAAAGGAGCGTCTGGAACGGTGTGGGTATAGACGTCCCACTTCGGCGAACAAAGAAGGAAAAATGGAGGATTGTTTGGGAAACTGAGTAGGGAAAAGAGAGAGAGAGGGAAGGGAAGAAAAAAAAAGAATCATAAAACAAAAGCTTGGAATTGATAGAACGGACCGGGTATCTAGTGGTCCAAAATGCGTACTGTACTGTCAGGAGGCGACATGGAGGTGGAAAGGATGGATGGACGGGCTTGGTGGAGTCTGGTATGGGGCAGTTGCAGGTCGCAGTTGCAGGTTTGGAGGAGGGGGAGGGAGGGGGCTTGTGGCAGGGCATGCGGGCAGGGCCAGGGCACCTGGTACCCGGCAGCTGGGCGTCTGGGCACGATGGCACGCTTCTACTGTGCAGCACAGGCGCGGGAGGAAGCCGCCGTTGTCACAGTAGTACCCAGGTAGGCTAGTGGACAGACATACCCAGGTTGGTGGCACGGCCTCGCGGTCTGACGGGTGGCCTCCAAAACTGGGGAAAACCTAAAGCACGTACATACTCCGTACTGCAGACGCCTGTGGGTGGCTTTGCTGGCACTGAGATCTACACTACTGTGTCCCATTCAATCATCTGCAGTGTCATTGATGAGACTGCAAGGTACGGCACAGATTTATTTATTACATGTCATAGCTGCTGTAGCATCTGAGCATATGCTCGGAAATCACAGTCACGGGCGGCACGGTCAGGCGGTCAGGAGTTGGGAGGTCACAATACAGTCGTCTGTATATTCGCCGCCGCATAGACGACACTACTGCAGGCACGGCAACTTCCCGAGGCCGCTGGTGATCTGATGCTGCACCACAAAGATCTCTACCACCTCAGCTGCCTGGCTGCTCAGCACCTCACACCCCCCCGTCACTGAACCCCCACCACAAGATGGCAGTCCCATCCAATCCGAACGGTCTCAAACCACGGCAGCAAAGCAAAGGCACTCACATCCATGGTGCAGCCGTGGGTGCTCAGTACCAACCATCCAAGCGCATTGATCAAGTGTCTCGAATTTCCACGCCTTGTCTCCGCCAGTCACGAACTGATCGCCCTCGGGCGGGTCTTGGCAAAACCCTCCTCGTCTCTTCTTTTCTGACGGCCGAACTCTCTCTTCAGCTGCCCGTGACGGGTAGGTCAGGTCTTGTCTCCTTGCCTGACGCATTGCACGCCCTCTCCACACGCAATATGTTGGCTTGAAGCGACTTAAAGCGGCTTTTCTCCCCACGCCCCGGGGCAGCCCTGGCTCCCGCAATGCCGAGGGCCTGATTGGAGCTTTGCCTGTAACCAGCACCAGGTTGTCCCTCCCAGACCTCTCTTTCTTCATGCCCCCAGTATTCCTCCGGCCCCGTGACTTGTGGTGCTCTGCGTATCACCGTGTGCAACTGAAGGGGTTCGTTTGAAGACGCCTGTCAAGCCACCGCCACCGACTGGTTGTCGGTAATGCTTCATCCTCACATGCCCCCCTCCTACCCCCCCGTGTCTTCGCTTTTCCGCGTCCACACCTCCGTATGCGGCTCGAAACACGTGGGCTGAGTCAGGCTTGAGACTCATCAGCCGCCCGCTGCGCTGGAAGCCAGCTCTTGAACTCATTCCAGAGGCATCAGAATACTTCGTACAGGCTCAACATGATCTACACGCAGTGCTTCTCGGTAACCTTCCTTGAGACTCCCGTAGAGCTTTTCCTTGCCCTTAGATTGCTGTCTGGGGCCCCCATTGCTGAAAGGGTGTGTTTGGGAGATCCCTGCCCCTTGACTCTGATTTATGAGGCTCTGCCCCCGGCACAATATCTCCCCGGCAGCGTGCTATATATAAGACCAGGGAGGATGGGGGCCTGGGGGGGCAAGCGAACCATTTCCTGCTAATAAACCTGCTAATAAGCCTGCTAATAAACCACCAGTCACCCTTCGTTGGCCTCCGAGCTGATGCAAGAACCAGGGGTGGAGTCCCTCACAAATGGCCTCAGGACATTAGATATCACGCACAGTTCCATATCTCATTACAAACCTGTTACCTGTGGGAAACGCTGATAGTCTTGAAGTTTCAGGACCTCAGCCCTGAGGAAAGTGTCGTCGGGCTTGGCCGATTCATCCGGCCAGCACCAACGGGCACTGAACCTTCCTGCCTCACGGCTGCAGTACTTGGCGACATTGCTCACTGGCTTGGAACCCGGTTCCTCGGCAAACCATACAAACAACAAAGCTAGGTGGTTTTGAAAACATATTCCACAATTAAATTCTCCTTGAGAGACAAGCATAATCCGGCCAAGCATGCGCGGCTGGCTCAGATATATTGCCCGACGATTGCTTGCACTTTTGCAGGCGGTGGCAGGGCCCGAGGTTGCATCGAGCTGCTCAACTTCAGACGCATTCACAAATGGAAGCGGGCGTCTGGCCCGTGGGACTGGATGCAAACCCACTACCATGGCGCGGGTCTTTTGTTTGTTTGTTTTTGCACTGCCTCAAGTACCCTACCTTGGGAGGCAGCCATACGCTGCGACATTTTGCAAGATGGTTCGCAGGAGCGCACAAGCGCCCAACTGCCATTTGTTGTCAGTACGGGGTGCTCGAGCTGCATCATTGTTCCAGACTGAAGCTGCTGTCAGTCAACCTTTGGTTCAACGTCAGGGGGGTGGGCCCCTGGCCAGACGGCCCGTCCAATGACTGAGCTCCCGTCTCCCGCTGACAGCCCGGCGGCAATTGGCCGTCTAGCTGCCGCCATTTTTCAAGGTGAGCGCGCAGCAAGCAATGCGCCCGTGTCAACGACGTCACGACGCCCTACTGTGAGTAGACAGGGCTGATTCGAACTGAAACATCGTCCTGTGGTTTGATATTTTTACCTTACTTATTGGATCGTGCGTGCCACACACCACCAAGACCACAACCATGGCGAAGAAACCAACAAACTGGGGGATGTGGGCAAAAATGGTCCTGGGGTGAGTCTTGTTTGTCAGGCACTTTAGACGCGCGCCCCGGTCTCGACAGGCCAGCCAGCCAGCCAGCCAGCCAGCCGACTGACCAATCTCCGCAGCGGCGGCGCAATCATCGTGGGCGGGCCAGCGCTCACGTACTGGGTCTCCCCGACAGAGGAGGAGCTGTTCAAGAAGTACAACCCGGACCTGCAGAAGAAGAGCCTCGCAAATAGGGCAGAGCGACAGAAGGAATTCGATGACTTTGTGGGCAAGCTGAAGGAGTACTCCAAGAGCGACAAGCCGAGTATGTCTGCCTCATCGTGGTGACAGAAAGGCAAACGAGGTTGAGCTAACAAACTGCAGTTTGGGTCGTGCAGGCCGAGGCAGCAGAGCAAGAAAAGAAAATGCGGCGGCTGCAGGCGAACAAGTCTGCCGAGGAGGAGAGGTTGAGGCGGGAGGCACTGAGGAAGGAAGCTGGTCTGCCGGTGGAGAAATGAAGCGTCTTTGTATGATTGTATTATTATGGCATCAATTGGCATCTGGCGGATCTCACACGGCGTCAGGGAGCATTGGGATCGGGTCATGAGCACTTGAGTACAGGAAAAGGTGGCACGGCTATGTTTGGCTCTTGCAGCCTATCCTTACGGAACCGCCGGTCTTGGTCGGCCCCGTGTTTTCTTCTATTCCGGATGGGCAGGACTATGGTGATACTGGCGTGGAAGTGTCACATACCTACGTATTCTAAGTCGTATATGGCCCATTGAGGCCGATGGCAGAGGTCGGTCTGTGAGGGAGCGCCCTCTGGTTGTAAGGCTCAGGTATGAGAAGGTACCTAAGTATATTTCAGATGCCGCCTGAGCCATCATCCTCGTCGCTCATCCTGGGCAGATGGAAAGCTTTTGATAGATCCCACACCACCGTCCTCACATATATAATCAGACCAATGAATATTTATCTACAGACTCCTAGACTCCTTGACCGTGAGTCTGTCAAGTCTGTCTCATCAAGCGTGTATGAGGTGGCACAGGTGGCCCGTGCTTCTCGCTTCTCGCCTGTCGAAGCTAGAATCCTCGTCTCTCCTCGGCCGCCTTTGTTGGTCTGCCGCCCCAGCTCTGGAGGGGCTACCTCTCCCAGGCGGGATCACGTGGACTGACGGGGGGTCGCAAGTCGCCGGCAAAAATTACTGCTGAGTACCACACAACCCAACCACCCACCCCATCAACCTCCCCTGCGGCCATCACGTCGACGAGCACGAGCGAATTAGTAAAAGTGAGTACGCTTGAATTTTTGGGCCATGTCTTGACGGTGCGATTTCATCGGCGACGGGAAGGTGCATGGGGGATTAGGGACGGCACAGTGGGCGCAGGACCAGAAAAATTATGGAGGCACGGGGCAGGGCGAGACTTGCGGGCACAAGAGCTTGGGTTGGGGTCAATTCTTTGCGACAGCTCGGGCTGACACGAGGCTACAAACAGTCAGGCGAACCTCCCTGATCTCCATCTCCAACCCCGCCGCGAACCCGAAACCCGCCTCTCCCTCACTCACACACAACACATCGCCTCGCAAAGATGGCCGACGTCCAGGAGCGCCTCAAGAAGCTCGGTGCTTCCTCCCGTATCGGAGGAAAGGGTACCCCGCGCCGGAAGATGAAGAGGGCCCCCCAGCGGTCTGCCACCGACGACAAGAAGCTCCAGCAGGCCCTCAAGAAGCTCAATGTCCAGCCCATCCAGGCCATTGAGGAGGTCAACATGTTCAAGAGCGACGGAAACGTCATCCACTTCGCCGCACCAAAGGGTACGTGACACAGGACCCACACCCCTCCTCGACTCCCTCCCTCGCCCGGCTCGAGGCAACGTCCGAGGCAATAGCTCGGGAGAGGAGCACGGTCGAGGCGTTGGCCGCCGCGTGTATGGGGATATTAATACTGATCCAACCGCCCACCAAACAGTGCACGCCGCCGTTCCCGCAAACACCTTCGCCATCTACGGAAACGGTGAGGACAAGGAGCTCACCGAGCTCGTCCCCGGCATCCTGAACCAGCTCGGCCCCGACTCCCTGGCCTCCCTCCGCAAGCTGGCCGAGTCCTACCAGAGCATGCAGCAGAAGGAAGGTGACAAGGAGGCCGACGACGACGAGATCCCCGACCTGGTGGCCGGCGAGAGCTTCGAGGGCGAGTCCAAGGTCGAGTAGGCGTCCCGTCCGGCAGGGGCATAAAACACGCTGCTGGGGTAGGATGATGGGCCCCAAAGCTACCCAAGGGGCCTGCTGAGGAACGAGCAAGGAACCCTGCACTGCTGTTGATATATGGACGTGAGGATTCCACGGCGACTCGGTCTGACGAGCGCCGGCGGTGGGAAGATGAATCGCTGCGAATCCCGCGAGAAAGCATTATCCTGTTTTATAATGAATACGGCCAGGGTCAAAGGGAACGGCAGATCATGAGCTTCGTGATACAACCCTAGCATTTGGGATAACCGATCAAAAATGAATGAAATGAACCCAGTCAGGTACTCATGCTTGAGATGCCATGCCCATAGCCCCGGGACGCCTGTCCGGACCACACTTGGAGTAAGACATGCTAGCCGAGGCAGTGAGCCTGCGGACGGGTGTTAGGGACATCAGCGAGGTAGTTGGGTAGTCGCCGTGGAAGCGACATCCACAAAGCCGATTGCGCAATCACTAGTGAGCATATTCACAAGGAGTCAAGCCCAGAGTCCGCAGTCCACAACCTTATGTTTAAATGAATACTGTCTGGCAGTTTCGGAGTAGGAAAAGGGCGAGAACGGCAGCAGGATGCGAGGTGAAAAGGGCAATGAACTTATTCCTTCTGTCCTCACACGACCATCCTCAATTGGTTGATATCTATTCAAGGCAGCTTGGCCTTGGACAGGCGGTGCCGTCGTGTAGCCCCCTTCGGGAGCACGGTCCCATTCCCACTTGTTTCTTCTCTCGCACCAGATTGTCCCGAAGAAGTGTTTAGAGGATAGCCATACCTTCCTTCCATCACCATTAGCTGCCTGCCCACTTGTCTGTTCTATATCCCGATTTCGGATAGACCCTCTAGGCCTGTAGACATAGTCGAGCTGGCATGATATGGCCAAGACGCTCCACAGAGTAGGGGCATGTCAGCTCAAGTATGAAGACGCCGTGAACCAAAGTCATTGTATCAGGATGGTCAGCCAAAGACATCATCGCCGGTGTTCCTAATCCACCCCTTGAGCGCCTCCCGTCGCACGTCTTCTTTCACCTTGGATCTCATGGTCAACCAGGGGCTCTTCTTATGAGACTCGTACGTCTCAAACGTCGGCAGGATCACGGCGGACTCGGCGTGTTGCAAAATCTCCTGCACCAACAGCCACATTCTCCCCCTCGAGACCGCACTGCCAGCTCGCATATCTGATTGCCTCCGCCCCTGAAGCACGCCACCGATCAAGTTCTCCTCGAGGCCGTTACGAGTCCAAGCCGTGGCAAGATTGCTCGCCACATAACGCACTCCTTCGCTGCATCTCGAGCCACGGCGCGAGTGTTCAAATTCCAGCCCGGTGGTCTGCACCTCAAACGGGCGGAACGCATATCCACCCTCCCATTCCGTCCCCACCGTACCCAGGGCCGCCAGCCTGCCCCGGGTGGAGAAGCATCTCTCAAACGCTACAGCTGAGAATTGACTCTCCGGTAGCACCAGCGATGTGAGATAAACACCAGCAGGCGAGATCAGCAGCGCCGCAGGGGAGCTGAGAAGCGAGACGCACTGCCTCATGGCGAGCTTGTCGGAGCACGACTTGGACAGCGATGGCGGCGCGTCCGCCCGGGCCGGCTTCCGGCGCACGACGCCCAGCTGGCCGAAGCACGCGCGGCCGAGGAGAGCCGATTCCTTGGCCTTTTCTTTTGGCATCAGATGTGGCGGGAGCGGGGCCTCCCACGGGGACGCGTCCTGTTGGGCCGACATGGTCAGCTCCATTGACGCGTCGCCGCAGGGGGCCTCTGAGCAGTACATGTGCAGCGTCACGTCCTCCTTCCAGAAAAACTGGGGCCTGTTCTCAGACGGCTCGTCCGTTGTGGTGCTGGTTCGTCGGCAGACGTACGGTGAGTCCTTGCCGTCGGTGGCGATGGCCCTGCACTCCTGCAGGATGAAGTAGTTGAAGGCGCGGATTACCAGCACTTCGGCGTGCCAGTCATGCAAGACCCGGCCTTTGGCTGAAGACAGTTTGGATGCAGGTAAGCATTTCATGCCGGTTCTGTCACGGGTTAGCATGCCATTTTCACACCGGCGACACGGAGGCTGTCCTGCAGACCCGGCAGTCTCGTTTGAGAACGAGCTTCTTCAACAGCTCATCAGGGAACAGAGACGTGATCACTGAGATAGCACGTATGGACCAGCAAGCCAATGCCCAAGTCGCAGCTCGAGACATGACACACTCGAGTAACTTACGCCAAAGCCAGGCATTGCAGAGATCCATCGCCATGCCTAGCGACTATCCCAGCAAGGGGCACCCATTCACGAGTACCATTGTCACGGGAGGACGGCTTCCTCTTCGCAGGAAGCCTTTCGAATTGTTCTAGGACGAGGGAGGCTACTTCATCTGCCTCGGTTGTCATCAGAGACGGCGGCGGAGGTGTATATGCCGGGGCACGGGTGAAGCTAGCAGCTACAATTTGCCAGCTGTATCAGAATTATGATTGAACAGTGGTTCAAATGAGGAGAGTATGAATGATGCTGAGTTCCGGCCTCGCCCTATAGTCAGGTTCGTGGCCAGCAGTGGATTTCGCCTGGGGTCTCGAGTCTTATCAGTGCTAGCACCGATCACATGCACCCACGGGATGCTGAACTTGGATGGCAAACAGCAGGATGGATTGAGAGCCAACAATAGTTAATTGTACAAGCATTCATTTGCATAATGCATCTACTGATGACTTCGGAACCAATCTGTACACTCATTATTGCTGGCAACATTTTTTTGGTTGTCCGAGAGTTGAGACCGAGACCGAGGACTCCCCAGACAGACGGCGTTGCCAGGATCCAGCTGCCGCCAGCTGCGGCCCAGCTGCAGCAGTCCCAGACACTAAACAATTTGCTGGCGTCCTGTCCCGCCCTGACCATTCATTCGCCCAGGCCGACCCACCTTTCTGCCGATTCGCCGTAGGGTAGTCTCTGCCCACCAGAACAGAATTTCAAATTCGCCTAACCGCCAGCCCAGCCAACCTCATCGTCCCGAAACAACCCTCATCTGCGTACGACCACCGACAATCGGCACCCACATTCAAGATGAGGACCTACGACGACACATTCTCGGGCCAGAGGATCTACCCTGGAAAGGTACGATGAATTCTTCACCAAGGACAGCGGGCGGGATGGCAGGGGGCCCTCGGAGACTGCAAGAGCTGGGAACGAACGAACCAAATGCAGCCGTGTCGCGGTCTCTCGGGCACGGCCTGGCTGTTGCAACGACAGGGCGAAAGAGGGGGCTCCGCAGGGCAAAGGGGACGAACAACACTAGGTGAAGGAAACAAAAAAACGCTGACACTGCGACTGTTGCAGGGTAAGCTCTACGTCCGTGGCGACTCCAAGGTCTTCCGATTCCAGAACGGCAAATCCGAGTCGCTCTTCCTCCAGCGCAAGAACCCCCGTCGCATTGCCTGGACCGTCCTGTACCGTCGCCAGCACCGCAAGGGTATCACTGAGGTACGAACCTGACCCGATTCGCGATCGCATTCCACACGCGCGAACCGCCCCGAGACCAGAGAGACCCACCCGGGAATCTCCCACCCCAAGGACGTCCAACACACACACGACTCCTACATGTGACTGACACCCAAGACAGGAAGCCGCCAAGAAGCGAACCCGCCGTACCGTCAAGTCCCAGCGTGCTATTGTCGGTGCTTCCCTCGATGTGATCAAGGAGAAGCGATCCATGCGCCCCGAGGCCCGCTCGGCCGCCCGCCAGCAAGCCATCAAGGAGAGCAAGGAGAAGAAGGCTGCCGAGGCCGCCGCCAAGAAGTCGGAGAAGGCAAAGAACGCCGCCTCGGCGGCCAAGGGCCAGACCCAACGCATCGTCGGCAAGCAGGGAGCCAAGGGTTCCGCCCCCAAGGTCAAGGCCACCACCCGATAAAGGAATCAAGATGAGCGGGTGCTAGTCGAGTGCATACGTGGACATCTTTTCTCTGGGTTCGGCACTACTTTTGCAATTGAGATTTCAGGGAAGGGCTGGAGTCGGGTTCTCAGTGCTTTTACAGGCCTACAGACGTCTTGAAAAAAAAAGGGACGGGTTGCATGGAATAGGGGACACGATTCCGCACGAGTAGCTCATAGAAATGAGACTTGTGCAATTGATCAAACCGACAATCCTAGCACAGCTGTAGCTGACCGGCCAGTTGAGGCCCGGGGCGCCTCTGCGTTGGCTACGAGTCCTCGGCGAGGCGTTGAACAGCTCAGGGTGACGGTTTCAGGCGTCGATTTCTATTGCTATTTGTGTCTGGAGGGCAACCGTGCCTGGACAAACCCGCAGCTTGGTGTCAAGTTGTGGACGGGTCGACCTCAGCGGCGATGCGTATCTCCCCTAAGTACTACATATCCCGACGACAATACCTCAACGAGGACTACATTGCGTGCCTGAGTGCAAGCTGCCAGATTGGTTGTTTTGACGGGCATCAGATTAAGAGGCTGCTCTATCTCATGCACTGACTTGTAAGTCGAGTGAAGGCATCTAAAGGTCTACTGGGCTTCTTATGACATGATGTAAGGTTGAATTTCCCCGTGGCATTTTACAGCTTGGCCAGGACAGATGCGGCATCGGTGCCCTCGACACCGCCCTTGGCCGCCTGCTCGGCGTAGGTGACCTTGCCGTGGTCGACGATGAGAGCGTAGCGGCCGGTCCTCTCGCCCATGGTCCAGCCAATCTTCTGGGAGAACTTGGTCTCTGGGTCGGTTGCAAAAATCTGGTTTTACATGTCCGTAAGCCCGGGTCCCAAGCACGGACTGTCCCGAGGGTTCACAAGGGGGGGGCGGGCAGTCCACTTACGATGAAGTCATCCTTGACCTCGTTCGACTTGCCCCACGCGCTCATGACAAAAGGATCATTGTACGAGATCACGACAATCTGGTCCACACCCTTGGCCTTGAGGGCATCCTTTTGCTCGATGAAGGTGGGGAGGTGCTTCTCGGCGCAGGTGGGGGTGAAGGCGCCGGGAACAGCAACGAGCACGACCTTCTTCTCCTTGAACTCTGTGGGGACAGGTCAGCAATTGCTGCGTGGAAGAAGCAACAGGCTGGGACAGTTTAGCAAGTGCGTACCTTTGCTGGCGTCGTACTTGACGGGCAAGCCACAGGAGTTGAGGCCAGCCTTGTCGGACGAGTAAGGGATGTACTGGAAGCTGACGTCCTCGGGGAAGGGCTGACCGGCGAGAGAAGCCATTTCGGATGTGTTTGTTTTGGTACTTGAGATTTTTTTTCTTTTCCTGGTGTGGTAGACTGACGGCCTATGTTTTTCTGTTTCAATGTCAAGAAGGGAGCTCTAGGGTTTGGCGAAACAACAGCGTCGGGGAGGGGGAGCAGAGCTTGGGGGCTTTATTAAGGAAGGACGCGCTCGGAGGAGGGGTCTTTTGAGTTTGATCGGCAAGCTCTCCTTCTCCCGTGCTTGTTTGTAGCTCGACGGTTACGGTGCCGCCCCGCCATGACATGTTGATGGACCCCTGCCTGCTGCACGGTATTTGTCAAACAGCTCTAACCTCTCCGAAGCTCGGCATCACGTCTTTGGCCCAACTTGAACAAGCACTCTCGAGGGCATATGCGTACCCTGATGGCATTATGCCTACCAAAACCAACCAAGCCAGTCCTCGGTCAGCGTGGTTTGCCCCTGCTCGCCCTCTTGGTCTTGTCTTGACGGGTGACGTTACTGACGAGTCCACCCTGGATAAATCCGAGCGGATTCCTCGGCCGGCCACCCAGCAACCGGCCCATGGGGGAGGGGAGCACTGGTGGTCAAATTCCAAATACTGCCCAGTAGTGGCCCTTCTGATCCCGTGACATCGCGACTGTGTGTCAAGGTGCGAGAAGACGCGAATGTCTCAGCTCCTCACATGTCAACTGCCAGACTGCTTGGGCTAGGGCTGCTGTGCTGCCTAGGGCTGCAGCTCCTATGTCTGTCGGGATTTGCATCTTCTCGCTTCGTGCCATGGTGAAGCCCGTCAGTCTGGCCGCGGAGATGCTCGGTGGACAGAGTGCCTAGTTCCTTCCAAGGGCGCGCACATTCTGTCCCGGGTAAATAAGCAAACGGCGCAATCCAAAGCCCTGTGAACATGTTCTAGTCATGCATAATGACCAGAGAAGCAGGCCGGGCTGCCCCCACACACTCAAACCCTCCGTGCCTCCGCCCAATGCAGCCCTCCAAATCCCGGGTCCGCGCCGAACCAAGGTCTCGATCCCGGAGTAGTCCACTTCTGCCAACAGTTGCTTACTGTATGAATGCCTACCTAGGTGAAATTCTTCTCGGGAGTTCTCTGTGACTTGCAACCTCAAGACTTATTTAAGACCTGTGGCTTGCCTACCGATGACTCTTCAAGTCCAGCCTCCTCAACCCGCACTCTCAGATAGGCCCCAACCTTGGAATTCATCCACGCCACTCAGTCACAATACCACCAATATGGCCGGTGAATCCAAGCCACCTTTCCCACCTTTTACTCAGGAGACCGCCAACAAAAAGGTCAAGGCCGCCCAAGATGCGTGGAATACAAGGTGAGTTATTCTGTGGGCCAACGACACAAAGTTTCTGACGACGTCCCTAGAGACCCGGCTACCGTGAAGGTCTGTTCACGTTTGCTACTTTGCCAGCAGTTTAGGTGCAGCCGAGGAGATAGCTTCTTTGGAGAGCTCGCATAGCACACGAGACAAGCTCGAACTCAAACCCCGAGACATATCCCCGCTGACGATATTACACACAGCTCGCATACACCCCAGACTCCGTCTGGCGAAACCGCGACCAGTTTCTCCAAGGCCGAGACGCCATCGAGGAGTTCCTGACCGCCAAGTGGTCTGTGGAGACGGGATACCGGCTGAGGAAGGAGTTGTTTGCTTTCACTGATAACAAGGTCACCCTTCTTGCCCCTCGTCAAGTCACCCCGGGTGCTCACTAACACGCCTGGGCAGATTGCCGTCCAGTTCTGGTACGAATGGCACGACACCACCGGCCAGTGGTGGAGGTCATACGGTCTCGAGGACTGGACCTTTGCGGACAACGGCCTGATGAGGAAGAGGCAGAACAGCACGAATGACGTCAAGATCAGTGAGGACCAACGTTGGTTCAAGGACGGTGTAGATGTGAACACTGTGGACATCAGCGAGAAGCACTGGTAGGGGCTTGTATTGACTTATACTTGGGGGACTATTCGGGGTATCTTGGTCCGGAACGAAATTGTACCAACGGCTGGGCTGATGTTGCCACTCCATTATAGCCATCTTGGATGAAGGGGTCTACTCGGGCTGCGCCAGTCACTATAACGTGGTGCTCAAGATCTTGACGAGCTGTATTTTATGACAATGGTCGTTGTGTACGTGGTTTGCCCCTGGTCAGAGCAACCCTTTAGTCACTTTGGTCTTTCTCGAGCCAAAGGCATAGCCGTCACACCAGGTGGTCCACCTATAAATAATCTCAGTTGACCCTTCCACAATATCAACTTTTCTGTTCGCCTTCAAAAGCTTCACTCGTCCAAGCGCGTGTGAGCAACGAAGCGAGGCCCAGTTCATCACCACATTCCCCTCTAAGTCTTTCTTGTCTGCTCGCTTTTGAAACAAGTCATCCTTCCAGATCTTCGCGCACATACGGCCGTCAACCAACACCTTAGTCGCCCGTATCACAAGTCGTAACCGACAATGGGACGCCGACAACGAGTTCCAAGGGAAGAAATGGCTCTGGAAGCCCCGGATGACACGGACTTCAAGCCAATGTCTCGCTGGTGGGCCGTCGTTTGTCGCTCCATCGAGGTACGAGACAATCCACCCCAGAAATAAGCTAGCTCACATGCACTGAGAATTCAATCATAGATCTGCTTCTTTGGTATTGCTTTGGGCCTCACACTCTATGTTTGCCTAAAGCCGAGTGCCACAGGGTGGCCACCGGAATCCGGAGCTCACGGCACTCTGGGTTTCCTCGGTGCTGCAACTGGCCTTGGATTTATCAGCGCGTTCTTTAGCTCCGTCGCTTTGTGCTTCAAATACAAGGTGACAGACGTCTTATCGAAGAATAGCCACGGACTCTGCGGTTTGAGGATGGCTCTCGTGTATCTGGGAGTTGTTTCCGCCGTACTCAGCTGCGGCGCAGCAGCTGTAAGTCAAGATGCTCCACCACTCTGGGCAATACCGCGCCATTATTTCCTCACTCACCAAACCACGGCTAAGCTGATTGGGAGTATTGCTTTAGTACACATTCATGAATATCGGCAATTCCGGGCTGCGTTGCACTGGAGATTCCGCGAATTCACACGAGTTCTGTATCAAGGTGAAGGTGGCTGCGGCTTTTGCCATTCTTGGCGCTTGCGGGGCGGTGGCCTCTGCCATTGTCCAATTCTGTCGCATTCATCAATGGCAAAAAATGCTCCAACAACTCCAGGTCACTCGTAGTTGAGCTCCGTGTTTTCGCCGCGTCGAAACTTCCATCATCGGGTGGTGCAAAGGGGCATCAGTCAGCGGCCACAACCTTGGAAGTCTTGTGAGGAAGCAGGCATGCTGGGGCAATACTCAAGTCAATGAAAAGCCGGGTAGTTAGGTACTTGTCATTTGCACTCACTGCAGTCAAAGATGAAGCACAAAGAAATATTTCAAGCAGGCTTATTTCAAGAATGGTCATTTCGTTGCTCGGAATAACATTGATGGCAACATAAATTGCATAGGTCCATAGGCAGGCACTGGTTAGACAACCTTGCAACGGCACCAGGGAAGTTTGAGTGTAGAGTATCTAAGCCTTACAAATTTTCGTAAAATCAGACCCCGATTCCTTTGTGTGGTTTCGCTTCTATTCCGTATACTTCCGAGGACATAGACCCCGATTCTTTTATTTGCTTATCCCCTTCCCTATTAGACATATTGACTTGATCGAAATAATTTGTATGGGCCAAGCACCTTCTCTCCATCTACAATGGAGATGTTTGTCGCTCTGAAAGTTGCTTAACGCTCGTCACAACAACCTCGACATACGATAATTGGCCTCAAGTGCTTGGTCAGAAAATCGCCGCAGTCACTCTACTTCTTTCGGTCAGCGCGCATCAGTCACTCCTGGTCTGCCACCTATAAAGCCCCCTTCGCCTTTCAAAAAGCGGAAATTGCCCTTTTCTATTCCCAATAACATCTCAAAAAAGCCCACACAAGCACCAGCATAGCAGGAAAACCTCGATTCTGTGTTCCTGCTTACCTCCGCGATTCTCATTTTCCAAGGCCCAGGCCATCCACCACTATACACCACCCGCGCACACTCACTGCTCATTGCCAGCAGCAGTCAAACTTTCGCCTATGGTACGTCGCTACAAGGTTGGAAAGTCTGGTCGTCGAAAGTGCCGCCCTGTTCGTCGTCGAAAGCGTCACTCTGATCGTCGTCAGAATCGTCGCCCCGTCTGGTCCACCAAGCGTCAGCCCAAGAGTCAACTCAAGAGTCAAAAAAAGCCTCGCCTTAAACCTCACCACAAGCGTCGCCCACAGACTCGCCATATGAATCACCCCCAACCTTACCCTGCACCTCCCGCAGCGCCTTACCCCGTAGCTCACGCAGCGCCTCACCCCAACGACTGTCAATACGAATACCGCCGCGAGTCGTTGGGATATGATAATTCAGGTCCTGCCCGGAGGGCTTCAAATTCGTCTCCGTCACCGCAGCGTACCAAGAGCTGCTGCTCAGAACTCGGACGTCGAGGTTTCGCAATAATAGCCCGCGCGCTCGAGGTATGACACGACCAATTTCTATCTACTTTGGCCCTTGTTGAACTAAAGTCCGTTTCTAGCTCGCCTTCATCCTCATATCCTTAGTCCTTCTGATCACTCTTCTTAAGACGACCCCTACACCAGCGTACCCGCCAGGCGGCAGAGGTGACCACTGTTTGGCGCCTTTCTTACTCGTGGTCGGAGGGCTGGGAATCATCAGCTCCTTTTCAAGCTTCTTCGAAAACCGTAGCTATTTTCACTGTTTGGAGAAGCTCGCAAGGGAGGGCAAAAAACGCGAAGCTTTCCGGTACACGACCGTGTACAGCGACATCATTCACATGACGGCAGCCACATGTTCACTCTTTGTAAGTAAAGGCCATTGTCAAACAAATCCACCCTCTTCCAGCCTTCCATTGTCAAGGCATTTCTGACCAGCGGCATGATGCAGTACGCGTGGGAAGGCTTGAGCGAAAGACAGTTGAATTGCTCTCCAGATCCGGGTGCCTACCCAGCCTGCCAGTTTCTGATAAATGCTGTGGTATTCAACCTCCTGGGCGTCTGCATGGCTGCCATAGGCATGGGGATTGACATCTCTCTCATCGGGGAACGGATCTATAAAGAATTAAAATGATCCACTGCCGGGACTAAGTCAAAAGAAGCAAGGAAGAACCTCGGAAGCGCATTGGGCAGACATGCCTGAACGGCACCTAATACATCGGACGGAGACAGACATGCTCTTGCTATTTTTTCTCAATTCAGGCACGAAAGGAGAAGATGGATGGTAATTAAAGTCCAGGTACTTTTTCTTTTTTTTTGGGAGGAGTATGGATCATGTGCAGTTGAGCACGAACTGTATACCTAGGTAGAGACAGGACATGACTATCTAGGTAGAGCTATCAGAGAATTCATCCCAGCACTACTACCGTTGTTGCACACATGCGGGAGATCCTGATGTGCTTTCTGAGGCATAAACCATATGAAGCAACCAGTGTTGTCCGGTCGTGATCAAACCATTCTCAACTGAACCGGATCTGGATGAAGTACTGAAAAATAGTGCGCGGCTGACTGCCCCTCGCTAATCAGTCTTTGCACGAGGGAGTCTCAGTATTGATAATAGCTGGGCTTAGGGAAGGGTTCGATCAGCCAGAGAGCAAATTATACCATCTTGTAGAGCCCTGGTTCACATACCGTCTTTGAATTTTCATTCTCAAATAGCTTCAAGGTTGTGTGGTATGGGGAAGGAGCTGTTCCTGTTGTGATCATTTTGGGTCGGAACTGACCGACACTTAAGAAATCAGCAACCGCATCTTTCGGAATAATTAGGGTGGGACTTTGGTGTCTCAACTGAGTAGTTACATCTAATTGTTGAGGCTTGGAAGCTCCAGGTATTTTGGCTGATCCAGGACGGAAATTGATGGTTGTAGCAGTGTGCCTCAAAAAGAGAGATCCCAGAGTCTAATTGTTAGGTGGAAGGGAGGAATTAAGGGAAACAAATACTTGCAGCATACCTAGGTAACATAGACAGAGTTACGATGCTCTGTGCCAACTTTTCAATTTTTTTTGCTGCCATGCGGTTTAGGAGCGGTATGTATGTGCAGCCCCCCTGGATCGAACCTGTGGCAACGCGCCACTTGAAAGTTTCTGGAATTGAGTTAGTATTTTAAGAATCAAATCATGCCGCCTGACAATTGGGCTACTGGGTTTTTCTCCGAGTGTTAGGTTTCTCTTTAAATGTAAGAGCACAGTCGCTTGAGGGAGGTGCGGTACCTAGGTACCTAGGTCAGGTCTAGATCAAGGGCTGGCCAAGCTGCTCCTCCTGCTTCTCCCAAACTTGCAGGCTCGAGCTAGCCCTATCAGCCGACGATTCATTGATGGGCCAAAACCATCCCCGTCCTCTGTGAAAGAGAGTGTTTATCGAAGGATCTATCTCGACGGTCTCGTAGCACAACCAACGTCGTGGCAGCAAACTCTACGGACGCTCATGGCTTCTTCAGCTTCTGCGCCAGCGGTGGCTAGACCTTTCTACGCCACGATAATACCCTAAGGAACTCATCATAATAGAATGGGATTTTGCGCGGCTAGTTTGAGCAGGCATGAGCAGGAGAGCACCCTTGATCATGAGAGGGGTTTACGCAACGGGCGACTTCAGGATTACTTTGAAAGGTGGCCCAAAGCCTTGGGGCTGATCCTCCCAATCTCACGAACACCACCTTTGGTTGAACACAACCAATGTTGTTTCTGCGTACGTCCTCAATGGCGATGTGATCTCCCAAAATCCCAAACATCTGGTGGTCTGTAGGTATGAATGGCGCGGTGCGCTGGCAGTGGCGTTTTGTCATAGTACCTAGGTAAGAAAAAGACCAAGCTCCACGGCGACTTTGACGGCACGGGTTAATCACAGTGGTCACTGTGCCGCTCATCAAACATAAATGCAAGAACATCCGCTGTTGTACAATCTCATCTAAATTATCTATATAGATCTACCTACTACCTCCTATTTGCCCACTGCCGACAGCCTCCATGCCCTCATCGGCAAGCTCTGCAAGTGTAGAACCTTGGGCCTAATGTACATGACGAATGTCACAACACCAACTGCGACGCACATAATGTTGACTATGTAGTACCCATCGCGGACCATCTCGCAAGTGCCGCCGCCGTTGATGCACCTTTCCTTATCGGCCTGCACGGAACAAGAGAATGGCTGGGTGACAAGCGGGCCCTTGAAGTTGGCAGCTGTGTCAGAGATAGAAGTCGGAGGATGGCACGTGGCGCTTGTGAGCTCGTCGACCAGCCGGAGGACAAAGTACCGCGGTAGAGTGCCGCCCAGGTTAGAAATGCTACACGGCAAGTTAGCAGGTGAACTACTGGTTGCGGTCAGAGGGTCAACTCACGTAGCAAGGAGAGTCATGTAGGTGCCGCCAATGACTGGATCCGCTATCCTTGCATGGAAGGCTGAGACGGCCACAAACATGATGGTGTTCATGAACGTGGAGAAGATGTGTTCGGCAATGACCACGAGCAGATACCAGAAGGTAACGCCTTGCGCAGGGAAGATGATGACTGTGAACTGGGCGAAGACAGCAGCGATCAAGCGCCCCACGAAGCCCCAAGCCCAAAGTCGCATCGGCGTGTACTTCTGTGACCATACCCCAGCATAATACCCCAGGCCGATCTCGAAGGGGAAGTCGATGAGGACCGTCAGAGCCATATTGTCCGTGCCGAAGCCCTTGTCCAGAAGCTTCAGGTTCGTGACGCCGTCGTTGGCCTGGAACCCGATCTTGGCGATGAGGTGAACGATCATGATGGTCTGGACGCTCTTCAGCTTGAGAACACCCCACATAATCTTGTAGACATCCCAGATGCCGTCCTCGTTCCTGGTTCTCTCTTCCCTCTTCAGGGCAGCCAGTCCGATGGTGACTATGATGTAGAGCCAGCCGGCAAAGTTCAGATATCCACCGAGGCTGATGAGGCCGTAGTCCAGAGGCTCGGCGCGGAAGTATCGGTTGGCAAAGTCCTTTGAGTTGAAGGCCAGGAAAACGGTATAGGAAAGGAATTGGCCGGCTGTTAAGCCGACAGTCTGTGCCGTGGAGGCGTAGGAGACGTTGCCAGGGGTCAAGAGCGTGATGGCCCATCCGTCAACCGCAATATCCTGAGTGGCGCACATGAGGACGAGGAAGAACCACCAGCCGGTGAAGTTCCACACGGTGGGGCCGTTCTCCTTGCCAATCATTGCCATCATGTCCTCGACCTCGGAGCCCAGCCACAGCATCCCCATGCCGGACAGGAGCTGAATGGGCAGGATCCAACTCTTTCTCCGGCCGACCTTTGGGCTCCAGATAGCGTCCACAATAGGGCTCCACAGTAGCTTCAGAGAGTATGGGTACGAGGCGAGGCTGAAGACACCAATCTCGGCATAGGACATGTGGCTCTTGAGTAGGAAGGGAACAGAGCCTGTGGCGAGGCCCAGGGGGACACCTTGCAGGAAGTACAGGAGCACAAGCAGGCCAAAGTTCCTCTGGTCGTGCCTGGGCAGGTCGAGGAAGCCATGGTTGTTCAGCGCGGGGGTCCTGGGGACTGGCTCGTCGAGGTTGAAAGAATCGTGTGCCATGAGGTTGTCGGCGGCGGTGGTGGAGTCTGCTTTCACGGCGCCCTTCCTCCGCTGCTCGATGTTGTTCATGTTCTTCTTCTTGCCCTTGGCCTTCCCCTTGGCCTTGCCGTTGGCCAAACTGCCCGAGGACTCGTCCGCAGAGGTGAGCACGGATAGCGGGGAGCCGTTCTCTTGCGAGAACTTGGCGGAGCGTCGGGTTCGGACACCCATAGGAGATTAGTGAAAAGGAGGTAAAAGAAAATAGGTGGCCAAGTCGTTGCAGCGGTCGACGCCGACTGGAGCAGTGGCGAAGGAGAGGCGGGTTCGCGGGTTCGCGGAGGAGCGGCCAGGAGATTTGGGGGTTGAGCGCTGGAGGAAAGTGGGATCTTGGAGTCAAAAAGAAATGATTAGTGAAGGAGAGACGTGAAGGTCAGTACGAGTTGAAGGAATCCATGAAAGACTGTTAGATTGTGTCGCCTTGCCGAGAGGTCTTGCTGGCCTCTTCCGAGGTGGACAAGCTTGAGCGACAGTGAAGTCGAGCCGAGTCGGATCGAGTCGAGTCGAGCCGTCGCCTCAAGGGTTCTAGAATTCTGGGGGCCCTGTCACTCAGAGAGCTACGTTACCTAGGTACCTACCTACTTAGGTAGGTACCTAGGTAGTGTAGATTAACCTGACTGGCCCGAGCGTCAATTACGGCTTACCGTGGCCTGACGACAACAGGGAACGTCAAAGCCGCCCGACCTCGGGTTAGGTCCCGAATCATCTCTTGCGAGAGTGCAGGCCTAATCTGTAGTCTACACACAATGACGGCACGGGAACAAGACAACATCTAGGTCTTGTTCAATATCTGACATGCTTTGCACCCCTGCAGCTGGACGCCACCAGGGCTCTGTCCATAGATATTGCTCTCCTGACCCCGTGACCACCAGCTTCCCATATGAAGATATGTTGATGTATGTGTGCGCTATAGGTCTGGATTGTACTGCATAGTAGCTGGGCTTGGGGTGAGGGTGGGGAACAAGCAGGCCGCTGTTCCCCGTCCAATATGCGGGCAGTGTGAATAGCACTTAGACGCACCCGGCTCGTGCACCAAAAACACAACAAACACTACCACAGTATTAACCCAATCCAAGACTAACAAGACGCGTTCGCACCACCCACGGGCGCGTCCTCTCAACAACGGAATATGATAACAAAGAACATGGCATCCGAAGCAGACATAGACGGTGAGATTGCAGATCTCAAGGCTCGAGGTGACTTGCCCTCCTGGGATTTGTTCGTTCGACCACCTCTGCTGACCCAAAACCACCCAGTGCAAATGCTCAAGGGCCAGGTCCGGCTGCAAGCGAGCGTCCTCCTCACGGCAGGACCCACGCGACAGGCCATCGCAACAGACACCACCGCTGCGGACCTGCAGGACCGCCTGGAAAAGCAGACCGCCTACGATCAGCACTGTCTCTATCGCGCCTGCGCCGGCATCACCACCTTCCGCGTGCGCGACCCGGACCCAAACGCCGTCGACGGCGGCAACGTCCTGGGCGTGCGCATCGAGGTCGTGGCCCGCTCAAGGTTCATGCGCCCCTATTTCGTGCTCCTGAACCGCCCCTACTCCTACGCCCGTGACGAGCCCAGGAGACGCTCCCTGCGCGTGCACCGCCACACCGTCCCGCCCTGCATCCCCATCGCCGCCCTGGCCGCGCGGTACCTGCCGGCGCCCCCGAAGCCCGCGCATCCGGGTGGCGCCGAGGACGCAGCCGCCGCCTCTCGCGCGAGGCGCCAGGACCTCTCGCGCTTTGTGCGGTGTCTGCGCCGCGAGATTGTGCGCTACCACAACCGCGTGTCCGTCATTGCGGACCTGCGCAGGGCCGTGGGCCTGGACGGCAGGCGGAGGGATGCCGAGGAGCTGGCCGAGGGAAGCCCGCTGCTGGCCATCAGTGCCGCGGACACCGAGGCGAAGCAGGTCAGGGTCGACTGGAAGGACGGCCGGTCGGGCCGCCTCGTCATTGGCGACGACGGCGACGTGGTCAAGCTGGTCGTGTTCGGGGACATGGGCCGGGACCGTGAGCTTGCGCGGGAGCTGCTGGGTGACGGCGCGCGGCTGGAAGATGTCGCTCTCAAGTTGGCATCCGTATGAAGGCCGCGCCATCAACGGACAACCCAACCATGCAGCCTGAGCTAGCTGCCACGGTTTGGGTTGGGAGCAGTGCTACGCAGGACCAGCCTCAACAGGGTCTTGATGCCATCAGACAAGCCTCTGCGTGCATAATGGTAAGTAACGCTGCAACATCTTGCCGCGTGGAAGCTAATCATTGGTGCAGGCGTGCTTCTTTGCAGGCTCAGTGTATACTTCGCCGCACAATGTCCAACAGAGACGACCGCCAACATGCTATCACCTCTTTGCGAGCTCAAGGCCGTCCGTCGATATGCCTTGCGCTCTCATGCCACTACTGACTTTCTCTTGTACATTATTCCTAAGAGAAATAATGCGGGTGGTTCTCGCGATTGGGAGAGATGCGTGGTAATATGCCGAATATCAGCCTCGTCCCAACCACCTAGAAAGCGTGACTGATGTCGCTTGGAAATCAGGGCTTCCCCAACCTTTGCGCCGCATCCAATAGCAAACGCCGAATCTGCGAGAGCCGCCCGGCAATGGGTAAGCTCTGGCATCCCAGTGAATCTTCGGGCGGGCAGATGGGATGGACAGTCTACCGCTGTCTACAACAGACGGGTAGGCGAATTAGGGGCACTAAAAAAAGCACTCTACACACACACGAGGCCTTTGACGTGGAAGCTTTTTATCGTCATGCGGCTGTCTTAAAGGAGCAAACTATAGCATTGCATTATATCAAACAATGCCTGCAGCCTTTCCTTCTGGGTGGCTGGGCCCGAAGCAGGGATTTGCCCACTTCCTTCACCTCGCAATGCCTTGCCAGAAGGGTGGTCAGGGCCAATGCATGGGTGACGTCGTTGCCTTGGTCACTGAACAACGGATGAACACGCGAACACGAATACCGCGGTGCAGCCTCCAACCCCCCTTAGCTACCAGTGCGTTTCCGTCCGATTGCAGCAACCCTTACACAGTCACATCCATTGTGACGGTGGAACTGCCACACCTTCAAAAGCTTCATGCTCTCATACTGGAGCCCCTGTGGCTTGTCTGCCTTTGGCTCATCGAAGGTTATTCTATGGACCGTCTAGGTGGAGGCCGTCCCGTAGAGGGCTATCTGATAAGAGCACTTGAGGCTGTCATGTGAGGGTCAACTTCTTACAGGATGTTGTCTTATAGGAGGTCATCTTATAGGAGGTTGTCCTTGAGGGGTTGCGGAGGACAAACCTAGGCACCTAGGTATGCTGCGGCCCCGCGCAGTAGGTAGCTGAGCCGTGTACTTGATAAACAATACGTCACGGGCGATGTTTATAAGCAGTGTGGTGAGTTTGGTGTTCAAGAATAGCTATTATGGCATTTCAATTAGGCTAATTATCCCCCCTAGCTTTGAAATCATTGCCGCTCGCTACCTTCGCCGTCATCATTCAATCCACAAGCCGTGACCATTTGTTTTGTTGGTCTGTAATCAGTCATAACCTCCGTCTCCCAAAATCTTGGGCCAGTGCGCCAGGGTATGCGTAGAGAAAAGAAAGGGGGAAAATGTCTTGATTATAGGTACTACAAGAAGTGAAGAGGGAGAGAAAGAAAAAAAGACGCGGTGCCGCGTCTTTGCGGACGGTTTTCTTTGGTCCATGAAGCGACAGTCCTTAGACCATGGCGGCGAGCAAGGCGGCCAAGGCCACGCCAGCACCGACACCGTTGGAGGCAGCGCCAGCCGTGACGACGGGCGGGCGCGTTGCGGTCGTCGTGCCGTTGCTGGGAAGCGAGGCGGTAGGCCTGATTGATGTCCGTGTGGACAGGGTCGCCGGGGTGGTGGGCACGGGTGGCACGACGACGGGCGTGGATGGGTTTGGTGATGGGACAACGGGCGGGACAACGGGCGGCGCGGGCGGCGTCGCGATAGGAGTTGTCGGGACTGGTGGGGGTGCGACGGGAGGAGTCTGGACCGGGATTGGGATGGGCTGGGTCTCGGTGACTGGGCAGAGCGTTGTCGAGACGGCGACGGTAACTGTGGTGTATTGCTCTCCGGGGCAGTCATCCACGTCGGGGGCACATGATGTGATTGTGTGAGTCTGGGTGGCATAGATGGTGGAGTAGGTCATCTCGCCGCCGCCGCCGCCGTGGCCGTGAGTCTTTGTGTGCTCGCCAGAGTCCTTGGTTGTGCAGTCCTTGTCACCGCCGCCGTGGCCCCAGGTTCGGCCGTTGAGGAACCTCTTCCAGCCACCCTTGTTGCCGTAGTCCTCGCAGTTGTCCTTGTCGCCATCATCACCATCATCACCACCGCCACCGGTACCCCATGTTGCGACAGCAGTGCCGGCCAGGAAAGTGAGGGTGTACAGAGACAGCTTCATGGTGAATGTGTGAAGGGTAGAAGCTATAAGCTTGCTGCTGCTAAAAGAGAATATTGTCGTTCCGGTCTTGGTGTAGTAACAGCGTAGCAAGGGGGGGGGGAGAGGAGGAGTAGGTGAATATGAACAGGAGTTGTGTTGGTGGAATGAACTCGAGAGGGTTGACTTGCTACGGAGTATGCTCGCCTTTTGAACCCGTCGCACTCAACGCCATGAGCATAGACTTCATTTAAAATGTAACCTACCCAGGTAGCAAGGCGTGACTGCGCCGCCGCCGGATTATTCAAAGTGCTATAGCGTGACCCCAGGTGCCGTGTCGTGGAGGTGGCTGGCGTCGGCGTCGGCAGCGCCAGGGGTAAGGGCCTTGTAAGCCATGCCAGGGGGTGGCCCGTCTTGCCCGTCAATCCAAAATAGCACGGCGCAATAACAAAGCGTATGCCCTACTACAGCTAGGGGAGACCTAATGCAGACGCGCACACAGAGGCTGTCCGTCATTGGGCACATGGTTGGTCGATCCTGTTGGCTGGATCCCCTGACGATCTTGGAGATCATGGTAGGCACAGCTTGGGCTATTGGAAGAGGCTGCCGCGGGCGGACGTCCTGTAATGTCCGGTTCTTGTGACGTCGGGCCTGGATAGGTTCATCGCAAGGCGGGCTGGCGGGCTGGGCGGCAGCTCGATCTGCCAGCATCGCGGGGCCTCATCGGCTGCCAAGCAGCAGCATCACATGTGTTGATGTGGTGTTTGCCAGTGAGGCTGCTCGGGTTTGCCGGTCTTGTTTGACATCATCAACCAAACGTCCGAAGTCGACAACCTTGCTTGACGTACGATCTGAAGTTGTTGTCCAGTCACCTGGGCAAGAACTGGCCGCTGCCGGGTCCCCTGGACGTTGGACGATAGGGGACAACAATGCGGGCGTTTAACAAGTGACGTCCAAAATGGTCAGGGGTAGCCTTAGATGCGGCATGCCAGTGCCAGCCAGCCTTTGGCCAATCATTGAGCAGGCCGCGCCCCCAAGACTCTCGTCAATACCACCGCACAGCCTCTCCGATTGGGTTTCAAAACACCGGACGGTTCCCTCCTCGGGCTGCCAAGGAGACGGGCCTTGTTCGGCTCTTATGCTTAAGCTTTTGCAAAAAAAGTGCTGCCGGCCAAACTGCGAGGTATAGGGGGAAGGGGCCTCAAGCCCGCAAGAAAAGTGAGAGCACGGCCTACCCACGGCCCCTACCCACGGCCTCTTGCCTCCTCCTTTATAGACTAGTCTTGATTCGGGTACCAGGAGCAGTTGGTCCAGTGCGAGACGACCGGCCCAGCATGGCAATAACTTCTTGCACGAGCGGCACGTAATTGCAAGACTGTTCAACCTCTCGTGAGCATTCTGTGTGACCCACGTTCGCTTGAAGGCTAATTGTAGACTCTGGGCGCACTATTTCGGGAGTAGAGACCGACTCAGTTCATAGCCCAGCTAGAGAGTTTACTAAAAAATGTTGGTTGAGTCAATCAATGACATGAAACACAAACAATCAACTCCCGGCGAGCATCTACCAAAATGTACCAAAATTAAACTTTCCCGAGAAACTGGGGAAGTCTGTAGCCCACACGGCTGAGTAGCAATGTTTATTCTCTGTTTTCGACAACCCGTCTTGGTACTCCGCCACCGTCAACGCAGAGAAGACGTGAAGGTCTGCCTAGGTAGTAGCCGTAGTTAATAAACCGGCAGGATGGGACCAGTGCATTTGTAGCATCTCAGAATATGGTCAGGACTAGGTAGTTGACAACACAAAATTTTGAAAACATGGAAACTTTTGCCGTCTTCTAACTGCAACCCCAGATCTGCGGCAATATTGTAAAACCTTGGAATGGATGTGCTGCCTAGCGGGATGCTTTGGATCCTGGAGTCCCGGGCCGTGCCTGTACCTACGCCTGTGCCGAGACCATAATGCAGTGCTTGCATGCCACTTAGGCAGAACATTTGAACTTTTTTGCAGCCTACCTCGGGGAGGCTGTGCAAGTGCGACTGTGTCAAGTTTGCCTGCAGGACCACCCAATTGCCTCAAGCAAAGAGGGCACAAAACCGGCCGCGATGGTCTAGCCTAACCGCCTCGCTCACACTAGATATGCGGCTGTCTCAATTGTTGTCAGCGGGCTTACATCTAACCCAGTGTGGCATCGAGCGAGGGGTCTGCTCAGTACTGTCCAATTGATGATGAAGGCTGGCCGCCGAGGCGGTCTCTCGGATTCTTCAATCAGTAGGCAGCACAGCGATCAGGGGGAAGGATGGGCTCACCTTCCTATTCGTCGTGGGGTAATTAGTATCTAGTGTCAATCTTCCATTGGCTTCAACATTCACCCTGATTAGCATTTGGTAGTCTCATCAAGGAATATCGAGTAAAGTTGGTATACCCTGGATTACTGTCCAGGCTGCAGCCATGTCTCATGTCCGAACTGAGCCTCAATTTACACCGGAGACAAGGCCCTTCACGGCCAGGCGGAGGAGCCCTGGAGATGCAAGAAGAAGACATGGCCATCGTGAAAAGCTACGAAATAATGTAGCAAGACGTTTCATGGCTGAGATTCAAAAAGTATAAGAACGACAGCCTTGCTGTTTCCCTGTATGCTAAACTGATATTCAGATCTGATCAAGTCCAAGGTCGTTGCATATCTCTACACTCCGAAGCCCAACACCGTTAACTTGCTGCCGGCAGCTGTGCATTTTCCCGATTGTTGTAAAGTATAGTCGAACCACGACAACCAAGCACCTAATCAATACCACAATGAAGTTTTCCACCTCATTCATCATGCTTGCCAGCGCTGCTTGGACTGTCCAAGCCATTCCGACCGCAATTCCATCGCCCCTGGGAGGTCGAACTAGAGGAGTGAGTACTGAATCTGGCCACTAAAGTCATAAAAGGAAGCTGACCGAACATTTCAGTTGTCATACAATACAGTCCGCAGCATTCATCAAAGCCAGCGCAAATTGGCTCGTCAGGAGACCACGGCCGCGAGCGACGCCCAAGTCCCCGATGCCACGAGCGTTGCCACGGGCGTTGCCGACATCCCAATTTCGGAACCACTTCCTCCCACCAGTGTGGCGATTATTAGTTCTAATCCGGCCGTGATCACGTCTGTTGCGGACATACCAACCTCGGGTCCTCTTCCACCTTTCACCACAGATGTGATCATCTCTGAGCCCACTGAAATCACTTCTGTGGCGGATGTCCCAACATCTGAGCCTCTATCGCCTCCGCCCGCCGCGGACGAGATCATTTCCCAAGCCATTACAGTCCCACAGACATTGCTACTCAAATTCCGGCAGCAATCACGAGTTGCGACCCTTATTGAGGCCTTTTCAGCCACTTCCAAGCCTGTCCTCCCGACGGACATCCCGACCGCTGTCGAGACCATTGAGGAGTCTCCCACAGGTAGTCTCCCGACAGATGTTCCTATCGCTGTCGGAAACTCTGTGGAATCTCTCACGGCGGCCCTTCCTACAGATTTTCCGACCGCTGTTGAGACTTTCATGGCAAGATCGCCCTACACAGACACTACGTCTCCTCCTACCACCACCTCCTAAATCCTCGCTAGGCATTAGAGTGAGCCTTACAGCTGGAAGAATCCCTTTTAGAAACCGTGTTTCTCAAAAGAAGTGACGGTTTTGACGAGTCATGGACTGGACTGACAGTCACGTATATAGACTGCCCAGGTGTCGGCAGTGCTGTAACCGCGAGAATGCGCTCAAAGGCAAGCCTATTAGTAGTTAAGTCCTAGGAGAGTATTTAAGACGAGACTAAAGGAATGGTGCGATGGAACTTATGATACAAGCTCAGTTATAGTAATTTGTCGAATTTTCTTTTATTTTATTTTTATATAGCTTAAGTTAATAAAGTGCTAAGTTAAGTTTCTTAAATGTGTAGTTTTCTTTCTTACCCTTTAATAAGTTAGTAGATACTTTTAAATATAATATTTATTATTAGAGAACTATTTATTTTAAACTTACTATATTTAATTATATTTATAAAAATTAAATATAAAATAATTTTAATTTTAATTTATAATTATAATACTTTTATTTAAAAATAAAGCTTTAAACTTTTATATTTAAAAGAATACTATTAATAGGAATATAGAGAGAATATAATATAAGTACCTTTAGCTAGTCGCTTTATAATATTAAGCTTTTTCTAAAGAGGAGTTAAATAAAAGTATGAAATTTAGACACCGGACATACACATCACATAAGAACAATAGGCCTTTTAGCAATTAGAATTGTATGTCACCGGCCACTCAGGCTAATATTATTTAGTTATAGAACCTAGTGGCTCAGATATGTAATTTCAAAGATAAATATACTTCTTTGATGCAACGGTGGGGTTCACCAATATATGGCACACGTGATTTTATTCATACCAGCTATCCATCGCGATGATAACCATCATATGATGATGAGAGATCATTTCGACCAGAATTTAGGTCATAGGTAATTGAATTGCAATTTGAAATGTGGATTCCCTGGTATGTGTCCAATATCCGAATCGGAAGTTGCCTCCAGTTGAATAACGCCAGCCAATTGCCATGTAGTAGATCAAGATGACCAAGCTGGAACAGTAGTATTTGAAGTCAGACCACAGATGTCACGACGCCCAAGAAGAGGTAACACCCGACGGAATCCGTGTTGCTGCGTGAGCCGGCACGAGCATGTAGCGCAAGGATTAAACAAGCACTCGGGAACAAGGGGATCGACAGCATGATTTGAGCTCGTTGCACAACTAGTCTCTAGGGCTCAATACCAGTCAGAATGTGCATGATAAGTCTCCCGAACAAATTCGGACGCAAGTGCGGCAGAAGGACCAGGGGGCAATGTCCTTTCAGAATCCACCTCCTCTTGGCCTTCCCCCGAGTGAGCCAATATCGGCAGACCAGAACACCCGGGCAGATCGCGCACCAGAAGCAAGTCAGATTCGACTCCTCAATGGAGACCTCCAGGAGACCTCCAGGAGACCTGAACGGAGTGGGTGCTTGGGGTGGTGTTGTACGAGGAGATGATTTGAGAAGGTGGCAAAATTGCTGTCGCTTGGACGCATTCGCGTGCCGAGTGCACCTTGAGAAGTAATCGAGGCGCATCGGCATGACCTCAGATGTTGTTGGCCGCATGACATTTCATATTCCTTGGGCAACAGACTCAATCTACTGGCTGCGGATTTTCGAACCTACAACTTTGAACAGAGCCTGTGCATCCTTCGGATGTTGTGGTAGTTGATCTCAGGTGATTAAGACAAAGTCTTCGCGGACTTCAGAAGTGGCAATAGGTCCCGACCATATGTGATTCGCTGGGGGGCTGCATAGTGCGACAAGCGCCTGTTGTTATGATCCCCACTGTCATCGGCAACAACATAACAGAAGGGAACAAGGGGATGTTGGTGCCAAAGGACCGAGAGTGGTGCGCTAGATGACATGTGGAAACAAGAAGGCATAGCCACCTTTTCGATTGGGTCGGCCGGTCACATGGTAGAGTGTTCGTTAGTCCTCCCCTTGTGAGAGAGTGAAAGAAACTATTTACTGACGCAAATATCGCTCCGGATAATCCATTTCTCTCCAGCAGTAACCTCGCGCCCTTCGTGCTAGAGTTTGAGCCGTGGTTAGCAATACTATCCCGACGAGGCATGGATGAGCCGCATCAATTATCGCCACAGTAATTTCGCAGCCACAGACGAAGGACTCACAAGCATGCAGTCATCCCCGTGTTTGTGAAGCAGAACCATGCCTGTCTCAGGCGCCACGGCAACTTCTTCCTTGGCCACCCTTCGGTCATTGGGAAAGAATACCGTCTCACCGCCTCGACATCCGTCCGCTGCCGAGGTGAGATACAGCAGCATAGTCCACGTTGTCCTGGTAGTGACGGGTTTTCCCCGATCGAATTCGGAGACAATAGTATTGGAATCGTCGTCTGCAATGGATCAGTCACCAGAAAATACATGAATGTCCAGGGCGAGCTGTCTCGGCCTCCAGTGGGGAAGGCGACACCAGGCGTTGACGTTGTGCAACTTCGCGATGGGCAGCGAGGGTAAAAGCAGATGAATAGATGAAACTGAGCGTGCATCGCGATCTGTAAGTGATCAGAGGCAAAGACGAAAATGAATGCGAGGCGTGATCGGTTGGGGGGTTTCTAACGCAGCTCGGCCTGATGGTTGGGGCGAGACGACCCTCCCTGCCCGCAGCCGCTCGTCCCAGAGCCTGCATAGACTTGCCGCAAAAAGGAATCCAAAGGTGTACCTGCCCGTGACCTCTGGCGAGCATACTTAGATATGCACATGTATAGGGAAAAGGGATAGTCAGGGTGGTAGCGGAGGATCGAGCTTGGCGCGGCCGCATCAAGGGCCCAGTCCCTCGAATTTCCCATGCCGATTTCTGGCATTCATACATCGAGATGCCGAATTCGATGACAGGTTGCAGACACTATCTGCAATTTCTTGCATTAGCCGAGTCCACTTGGGTCTCGGCCGGTCCAATGCATTTGTCCCACCCAGGTTCGTTGAAGATAGCAAACACAATATGCTGTGCGGGCGATCTGCGCTCGGCAGCAAGATAGCCGAATAGCGCGACGACGGAAGGAGAAGAGACAGGAGACAGGATCGTGCTTGAGCCCATTTAACCTACAGTGTGCGTCAAAGAATTGTTTCGGCTTGTATCTATATATCCGGATATTGGGGGACAAGCCAACGGGGTCTCCGCCCCTGGACCATTGTGCAGCAGGCCAAGTGTCAGCGGCCGAGGAGAACCATGTGGTGGCTTGACGATAGACACTCACCACAGCGATCTCCAGTCATCGCCCAGCAGCACATCCCGCAGACCTGTGTCAAGCCACAAACGGTTGGCAAAACCCTGGTCGTGGACCTGAAACCGGTCATTCACCCTGACAGCATCCCCTCGTCTAGGCTGACCGGGCGTGGTGGTGAGCGGCAAGGTGCGCAAGAAGGAGGCATAGTCCCGGCAGAGCGACTTTGGCCAGAAGTTCCTGATGAGGACGACCCTGTCATCCAGGAGCGACTCGGGCTGCAGGTCGATTAGGGGGAGCGGGGGTTTAAAGGCAGGCCAGGAGGGTGGTTCAGCAGCTGCGGCCACGCTCGGAAGCTTTGCTTTGGCGACAGATTTGCTGGCCTTTTGCTTGGGCATATCGGATTCCTCGATGGGGAATGGCGATATGCAGCGGGCGCAGGACGGGATATCTGCCCGAAAGCAGGTGGTCTGGTGGTTCGCTGGACAGGGGCCTTTCCGATGTGTCTTGACCTAATGGGTATTTTGCCTTGAATGGGACGCACGCAGCCTGAGTAGCCCGGCGTGGGCGTCAAACCCCTCTGTGGGTGTCGACGACGACGAGAATGCCGGCTGTGACGGAGGACAGCCGAGAGGGTGGAACAGCAGCCTCGATGCTGTTGGTGGAGGGAGGCTGCAAAGTTTTCTTGTCGTCTCGTCGTCTCGTCGTCTCATGCGCCGCACCAGCTGCAGGACGCTCGTGTGGAAGGGGAGAAGGGAGGAATGGCAACTTGTCCTTGCTTCTGTCCTTCTTGTTGTGTCTGGGTTTGGGGTGCGGGAGGTTGGTTGCACGTATGTACAGCCGTACAGCAGGAGCAGGCTGTGTCACCACTGCAGCAGCACTAAGCTTGTCAGACAGGGTCTTTCCTCCACCTGGAACCGCTCCCTCCAACCAGCCCCCTCACATGCAGCGGCCGACTTGCTTCTTCTCCTTGCCACGACCACGTCGACGGTACCTTGGAGGACAGAGCCAGAAAACTGAGAGGATGCCCACAAAAGCATTGCCCCCAAGCTCTCGAGAACACCTGGCCCGCATCACATATAATTAGGAGCTCGTGTGGCACCACAGAGCCCAGACACGCCCCGTTTCCCCGCCTCGGCAATCTCGAGAACGCCCCCCCCCCCGGCCGTTTTTTGCTCGCAACGGCCTGCATCACCACGCCTCCATTGGACCGCCTATTCGGTCTGTGTCGAATGCCAGGCAGGCGCATGGATTATGCTATGTAGGGAGCAAGGCTCCCTGCGCCCCTCTATCTTCTTCAGCAGTAACACACGACGATCAGTCGCCTGCAGAAATCTTGTCCTCTGAGCCGCTTCAGGCGCTCAGACCTGGACGGTGGGTTCATGTTTTGCTTTTCCTCCCTGGCGGCAGCCACTGGGCGAACGCTTCATAACAAGGGCAGGCCATTCGTGAGTGGTCCTTACCCGGAAGTCTGTGTATGCATGCGCTTCAACATCTCGCTGCACGAAATATTCGAGTGGAGATTCGACGCTGCTGGGAGGGGAGGCCATGTCCTTTGGTGCAGTAAATTTTGGGATTCATCAGGCGTCGGCACTCAGTAGGGTACATCTTGTGACGTCTGTCGTCTCTACAGCTCGACTGGTATAACATCCGCAGCTTCCTGCTAGCCGATCCACGAGGCTGGGACGCCAGGAGTCCATCGTGAGCCTAGATCCCTCCTGGACCCCGATCGTCTTGATCCCCTGGCCATCGTCAACATCATGAACTTTAGCACCCTAAGAGACATCTACTTGGAGGAGAGCCTCCGTGTCCTAGGATACGGTGACCCAGATCGCCAGCCACAGGACTTGCCTTTGATATCTAACCAGTATGCTCTCGACCGGCTCGACGAACTGCCAGAACTGGGGTGCATCGCTGCCCTACAGTCCAGGCAGGAGAGGGCCAGACCGTCGAATGAGGTAGAGACGACCCTCAAGGCAGTATGCTGCTGTGCCGGGCGGCCCCTGGTGGAGGCTTTCGCGGTAATTGCCGCTCTGAAGAGGCTTACGAGGGCAGGCAGCGCCGACGCTATCTTCACAAACCACCAGCATCTGATTAAGTGCCTGGTCCAGGTGCGGGAGTCGCTCGCCTACTGGGAGGAGAGCATCGGCGCCGCGGCCTTCGGCAAGAAGCACACCCGATCGCGAGACGTCCGGCATGAGTATCTAGGACACACGTTCCGGCTCGTCTACGTCATCGCCGATGTCTCATTCCCCGAGAGCCTCAGGGAATATACCGAGGCCATGTCAGAGGTGCTGAAAGAGGGCGATCTGCAGCAGCAGTTTGTCCTTGACAGCGAGGTCACATACGCTCGTTCCAAGGAGCGGACAAGAGCAGGGCTGATCTCACCACACCATCAATGCCCGCGACGTTTTGTCCCACATGGACTTCAGAAGTTGACGCCGCACTTTTACTACAACCCGGACCTGTACGGGCACCTGCAAGTGGCAAATGAGGCCTGCATAAAGCAGCGCAAAGGTGTGTTACCCGGGATGCGCTGCCGACTGACGAGGTCGAGAACTGGCTAACCCATGCCGCGTAGACCCTCCCGAAGCATTCCTGAATCTGGGGAGGCTCAACACGTGGGATATACTCTGATGGTGGGCAAGGGCCGGGGGTGAAGGCTTGGGTGCGCCTGGGCATGCTGTGTTCGATAGTCTGATAGTCTGGTGGTCTGGTGGGTCTGGTGGTCAGGGCCTGTAAGTGAAGTGCTGGGGGTGGCTTTGCTCGAGGGAACGGTGGATGTACGGAGTAAGTGGTGTGGTTGGTCCACCTCTGTAGTTTCAAAAAGCACGACAGCCCATCTGTTATGCGATCCCTGCCATGTGCTTTTTTACTTAAGCGGTACTTGCATGTAGCGCGGTTTGGAGTCGCGCCTCCCCCAAGCTACCTAGGTGGCTAGCTTGCTGACCCCAACCGCGAGGGCAAGCTTGTCGCCAGACCACCAATCCAAACAAAAAGTTGCGAATCGGACGTGCTCGTGACGGTATTCGAGATCACCCAGCCCGGTCCCCGCATCTGCCGCCATTCCAGAGCAGGATGCCTATTCTGGCGAAGCTCCTCTCGTCCTGGCTTGGGACCGACGAAGCGGCTAAACCGCCCTCGCAACAAGCCGTGCAAGCACCACCTCCGCCGCCACCACCACAGCCGACCTTGCAACCCCAGATCCATGAGCCGCAACACACGCCAGAGGAACAGTTCCGCCGCTCAGCAAAGCAATTAGGCCTATTCGCTGCCGGGGCTGGCTTCCTCACCCTCTCGACCCTGATCACGCGGCGGGCTGTCGCGCGCAGGATGGTCGAGTCGGCCCCGAGGATGTTTCAGCCGAGCCACCATGGCCCAGGCATACCACCGCGGGGGCAGAAAGATAAGGGAGACGACGCGTTCGTGGCGGTAGAGGCTCTCGGCCTGGCAACGCTCAACGTTTTCAGCTTCGGGGTCATGATGACGGGCGGCTTCATGTGGGCCTTTGACATCTCCAATATAGAGGACCTGAGGAGGAAAGCAAGGGCATCACTGTACGGAGTGAACGGCGTGGTCGACTCGGCTGCCGAGCAGCAGGTCGAGGAGTGGGTAGCAGAAGTCCTGTCTAAGAAGGAGAAGCGCGAGAGGGAGAGAGGAAGCGATGGCAAGAAGAATGGATGAATCAGGACCGCCTGCTTCGGCCACAAAGCCTGCCTTTTCACAGCACTTTCTCAGCTGGTCTGCCCGACGTGGCGGCAAGGTCTGTCCAAGTGCTAGCGGCGCGCCCGGAAGCCAGCCACAGGAGCCCATCTAATGAACCCCCCCTAATTGCATACGAGGCACCAGTCGGTCCATGCGTGCTGCGCACCCTCGACCGGGCCAGAGAAGGGCACTGGTCGGACGGGAAACCCCTCGTGGCGCTTGGGATGTGCATCGTCCTGCCATTCGTGCTGGGCTATGGACAGCGGCCCCCGAATTTCCGGGCGTGTCGGCCTGATCTAGACTGGATCCAGGATCGCTCCGCACTGATACGCAGCGGAGCTTCCCATCGGTGCAGACAGACGCTTGCCAACCACACATTGATTAGTTCGCCACAATGGCTTGCTGTATGGCTTCTGGATTCTATGTCAAGGGTCTCTTTTGAATTGCTTTTCGCTTCCTTCCACACCCAGTAGGGTTACTCTGATTGGCCCCGGATCAGTTTCCGTTGTTGATGGCTGGCCGGTGTTCCTCAATATCAGACTCCACCAACCCCCCGGTCGTTGACTTTAGACATGCATTTGTCTTGTCAGACAGACTGTGCGCTCTCGGAATCCATCTGTATACTCAGACGCACGATAGGAGATGGGTGGAGAGCATGTACCGCCATAAATGCAACCCATCCTGGACCCGGGTTTTGCCGCCATCTGGTTATGGGACTCCCCTCGCCCAGTCTCTCTTCGGATACACTCTCTCAGGCGTGTGCCAGTGCCAGTGCCGTTGCAAGCCAACATTCAATGACCAGTCATGACGGTCGAAATCACCATCGAGGTCGAATACTATCGCCCTGTCCACGTCGACAGCTCTTCCACAACGCTCCTTCTACAATCCCCCGTCTCTCCCGAGCGCCAGCTTGACAACGGGATTCTTGTCCGGCAGGACCAGGGGCAATTCAAGAACGCGGTCAGCTTTAAACCAGCAGCACAAGTGCACAAAGTCAGCCGTGGCTATCACAGGACATATGCGCATGGCGTTCTCATCCAGTCCAGTCCAGACCGAAGGTACCGCAAGGGCGATCGAGTCTGGCTGACGGAGACAGCCCACGAGGATAGAAACGTGTCAGTCCAGAATCAGACTAGCATCATCGCCGTTAACTTGCGCACATGGACGCCCATGACCATCGCACTGAGCCACGTGTGCTGGGTTCCGAAATTCCGCAAGATCGAGCGCGGTGAAGATGAGGAGGAGCTCTTGACCATCTCCGGCCCACCAGTGAGAAAGCAAGATAGAAAATTGTATCTTCTCGCCATTGTTCAGCGTCTCAGACTGAGTAACGACAGTACTGCTGTTGAGAGAGTTGAACTACGAGAAATTATCGAGCAGGACTCCTTCAAGTACCAAAACCTAACAGCACTTCCCGACGGAAAGCGGACGATCTCTGAATTATTCCATCGCAGTCTTGCAGCCGTGGCACCGGCCTTCTTCCAAATGGGTCCCCAATCATCAACCACGCACCTGTCAAATACGCCAATGCCACAAGTCGGGAGAGCCCCAGACCAGTCTATGAGTCTGGTTACCCCGCCGCCTGAAGAGCATCTCACCCAGGAGGGCTCCCCTGACTTCAGCATCAGCCTTCCGCACATCGAGGACGAAGTTGACCCGGACGTGAAGAGGAAAATTGAGGAGCTTCAGCGTGTGGTCGAGGCCAAGAAGGCCCGGAAGTGCAAACCCCTTCTGCCAGCCGCCCCGGTAGGTCAACTTACTGCCCCTGCCCTGCGAGGGGGGGAAAGGAGCGACGTGGCGCACGTTGACGAGCAATGACCGGGGCACAGCCCCCAGCAGACATGTGCAATCTCGGGGAACGGTGCCCCACTCCACACCGCGTCTTCTTCCACGCAAACCGGCCCAGCCTCGAGAACCCGTTCCCACGACACCACCACCGGCCGGACCACGAGTGCCAGATCGGCGCGGCGCACGCGGTCCACTGCGTCTTCAGGTTCCTGGAGGGCAGGAACGTCCCGGACAAGAGGCTGTGCATCATCCCGGCCACCGTGAGGCACCACTGCTGCGAGACGAACGCGAGGCCCGTCAACAAGACCTTCCGCCGCAGGCCCGAGATGATCGACGGCGGGCACGGCAGCGTCCAGGTCACGGGCGGCAGGGGCACCGTCAGCGTGGTGTCTGGGCAGGACCTGGAGACGGAGCAGCACTGCGGTGTCCCGTTTGAGGTCCGCCCGATGCCGCTGGTGCCTGAGCGGGATCTGGATGAATTGGGGTGGCAGCTGTATAATAAGGTCCGGGGGTTGGCCGACGGCGCCGTGCGGTCCTCACCCGTCGACCACGCCGGTGACTGTGATGAAAGCGACGACGAGGCCACCGATCAGTGTCAACTCCATGCCGTCCCTGGGCTCTCGCGGGAACACGAGCAGATCCACCAGGGTCGGCCGTGCCTGCTGGCCAACCCGTCCCCCGGCGCACCACCTTCTGCCCAGACCTCGCCGCCACCAGGCATCGGCTCGGCTGCTTCCCGCCCGATTGTCCTAGATGGGGAAGATGAAGGTGGAGAAGAGCCTGACGCCTTTGGAGAACGGCATTTCTACGGGGACGATGGCTTCGACGAAGAGATGGAACTGGATGAACACTGAGACTGATGTGGATGCGTCCTGGAAACGGACGGACGGGTTTACACTCACTTCCGAGCTTGGGGCGGCACCCTCGCGGTTTCCATTCGGACTGGCTCTGCACGACGACACACGTCTTGTCTCCTTTTGCTTGCCTCCTGAATGTTTCCAGACATATGAGAGGTGTCATGTTTGGATTCCATGCGATACACCGCAAAGTTGACACATCGGGAACGTGAGCTGAGAAAAGCGATCTTTTTAGTGGCAGCATGCCGCCAAACAAGATTGCCATGCTCAAGGGGTTTCCAGTTTGCGCCCCTGAAATGGGGTTGGTCCCGACTTATCATGCTTGTCTATTAAATGCCTCTTACTATGTTAATGTCTTGTTCTACCTAACATCAAAAGTTTCTGCATATTATTGCTGTGGTGTATCATTTGACTGGAACTCTACACGCTAGAGTGTGCCCGGGTATGCGAACGATGTCGCAGACGCGGTGCCAGGGTACTCCATGACGGGCTGCGGTGTCTCGACGCTATCGTCGAGACGCCCCTTCATTCTGCTCTCGAGGCTGAGGCTCTCGCTGCCGCCCTCCTCGAAGCTGCCCCTTCGGCCCCAGTTGCGCGGCTGCCGCTTGAGGAATGCGCCGACGGCCCCCAGGTAGCCCTCGTGGCGCAGGAAGTAGGCCTGCTTGGCGCCCTTTGACCAGAACTTGATGGCGTACGACAGCGTGTTCATAGTCTGCGGGTGGCCGCGGATGAATGACCCACCAAAGTAGATGCGTTCCAGCCCGTGTACTTGCGACTGCAGGTAGGCCAGCTGGCCGATGTTGTTGGATATTGCGTAGAGGAGCGAGCGGGATACGTCGGCCGAGGAGAAGCGGGACGTGTCTGCTGGTGCCGGTTGGGGTGCCCCTGGGCCTTGTGATGATGACTGTGGTGGCTCGTGCTGCTGGTGGTTCTGTTGTCGTTGCTCGTCAAGAGCGTGGTCCAAGTCGCCATTGCTTAGGCCGCCCATGTCCTCGGCCTCGCTCTCGGCCTCCCGCTTCATCCTGAATACCTTGCCGAAGGAGCTAGCGATGGTGGTGCTCTTCAGGCCGATCTTTCCGTAGTCCGTCCCGTAGATGTCACCCACCAGCATGTCGACATGCGAGTTGTCGCCCTGTGCGGCGTTGTGGAGCATCTCGTCGAAAGTCCTTGCGCCGGTAAGCAGGCTCAGCAGCCCCCAGAGGGTGCCGCCGCCGAGGCTTGTGCCGCCCACGCGCTGGTACTCCCTGGGGCCGGAGACCTTGAGCATGGACACGCCAGAGCCGATGTTGACCAGCAGGTACGGGTACATGTTCTCCTCGGGGCTGGCGAAGTGCATGGGGTCGGTCTCGCTGTAGGTGAAGACCTCGCGTGGGATCTCGGTGATGAAGAAGTCCAGGCCTATTATCAGACACTCCATCTCCTCCTCCCGTATGACGTCGACCCCCAGGACGTCGCGGATCTTGTCGTAGTACTTGTAGGCGCCACCGCCGGTGGCCATGACGGTGAGCTGGCCGGGGTTCGAGCCATTGAGTGTCTGCTGGTTCTCCTTCAGGTGGCGCATGAAAGCGATACAGTCGTCTATCCTGTCTGTCTCGAAGATGGTGAAGTTGAGACGGCCGCCGGGCTCGGTAGAGAAGCCCTCGCGCGAGAAGTAGACGAGCTTGGCCAGCGAGCCGCCGATGTCCACTGCTATGTGGCTCACCACGGCTGTGTGGTTTGGCAGCCTGATGTCCTTGGTCTGGTGATGGTCGGGCGAGCCCCTCCCCCCGTTGAAGCTCTGGGCGACGGGGGTTGCCGAGTCCTGCTCCACGATGAAGGCGCCCTTGACGTTGATCTTAACACTGCCGGGGTGTATTATGGTGCTGTCAATCTCGGCCGTGGTGGTTGCTGTCCTGGGCCTCCCTATCTGCTCGACGTCGACGGCGCAGTCCTGGGCCGCAGCCGTGCCGCGACTTGTATCCCCGCCTGTGATGATGCCGGCGGCGACCCCAGACCCCGATGCGGCTGGGGTCGCATGGTCGGGCGTGTGCGACGGCTGGGCCCTCCCCTCAGTCATTGTGCCGGTTTACCGTCGGGAGTCTTGGGCTGAGGAGCAGTTGGGAGGAGGGGGGGTGGGCAATGCGATCTCTGCCCACTCAGCGCATGTGTTCGGAGGCTGTGGACGGTCGGGTCGAGTGGTCGCGTCGATAAATCTGGGTGGGGCGAGGGAATGCGACGGGGGATGATGGCCGTGAGTCAATTGATGGGATCGGGAAATGAGGAATGAGGGATGAGCGCTGGGGGATGGTCAGCCACATGTCGCATGCAGTTGGAGATGCACTCGGCAGGAGTTCAGTCCATATTATGAAATATGTACCACGCAGGCGCAGCGACAAGTACAAGTCAAGGTGGCCATCAGCTTGCTCCGGTTGACCGGATGGTCGTCTCGAAATTTCCTGGTTTGCGACCCCCGATCGGATCTCCCAAAAAGTTGCTGTGGAGCTTGGAGACCCCGCCGAGGGCCCGAGGCACCACGGGCTCGCTTGGGGAAGCGCCAGGGACCAGGGGTCAGCGCCCGGGGGTGCCCGCGGGGCTGAGGAACGCCCAGGAAGGTAAAGTGCTTGCTTCATGGACTGGCAACGTAAGGCGTAATCAACACTCACTCCAGGGCCACACCGGCGGGACGTTGGAAACTCTCCGTTTGGCAAGACCATCTGCTGAAACCCAGGTAACCCCCCGAAAAGCTGTCCTTGAGCCGAATCTCCTCCGGGTCGTTCGGTCATGATCCCAACCGTTGGTATTACATCCCTTTTCCATCCCCAATGAAAGACCACAGCAGGGCATTTGTACACACCCCAAGTATAACAAGCACATAATATACATACAGAACGCCTTACAGTCCCCAAAGAATGCTCCACATGACAACTAAGACTATTTGCCCAACGGCCAAAATACCCCGAAACATTGACACAAGACTCCGAGCCAGTTTTCCCCTTTAGTAAAAATGACCACCAGGCACACAGACAAAGACCGCAGCTAGTGCCCCGGCAGACACCACAGCCACTATCATGGATTGCACGAAGATGGTGTCCTGGATGCTCCTCAGCGCTGGCTCCTGGATCCACACCTCACGGTCAAAGACCTTGCGCACGACATTCCGCTTCTGGTACTTTATGACCCACGGCTCATCCTCGTAGCTATTCGAGCTCCCGAAGCTGTCAAACGACTTCTTGCCAAGCTGCGCCGCCTTGCCGGCGCTGCCGCTGGTCGAAGACATGTCGTCCAGGACCTCCTCGTCGACAAAGAGCTCCCAGGGGCGCACGTGTCTGTGGTGGAGGCCGTGGAGCACGACACACATTCCTTTGAGCGCCGCCACCTGCGTGCTGACGCCCAGCACGAGGCCCGCGGCGGGGATCGCACGGTAGCCGCGTGGTACGGACGACAGCGTGAGCAGGATGAATGCTGCTAGCGAGCCGACGATCAAGAACGCCCCGAGGATGTTGGCGAACTTGACGCGCGCCGTATTTCCGTTGCAGATGCTCCCTAATGTGCGTGAGTGAATCTGTGCGAGGCCCGGGTGGACTGTTGTATCCTGAGGATGCCAACTGGTGGAACAGGAGTAGGTTTGTACTCACATCGGATGAAATTCGGGTGCGCCTGCATACGGAGGGTGCTTTCCACCGACCACGCCACCTGGCGAAACGCCGTTGGGTGTGTTGTGTGGCTCAGGGCGATGAGGAGTTGCTTGCGCTCGCGCGCTGACAGGTTCAGTTCTCTCGGCGCACCGTCCATCACGTATGTGGCTATCACACGGTCGATCTCTTCGCGGAATGGTTGGATCGTGACTGTGATATCTCCTGTCAGCACCACTCTGTCTTGCAAGGATGTACGCCTGCAGATAGGAACCTCTAGGAGCAAGTGCTTGTTGTCACTTACAAGGTGCCCTGGTCCCCGCCGCGGCAAATGCCTCTTGGGCTTGGTTGCGGTAGCTCGTTGAGTCTTGGCCCGCGAAAGTCGACGTGGTATCCCCATTGGGTGTCCGCGGCGGCGTGTTGAATGGATTATTACTTGAGAAGATGGGCACTGCCTTGTCCATGCTCGCAGGGCTCATGGGACCAGACTTTTCGAAGTCCGTTCCTTTGAAGATACCGGCTGTGGCCGTTGGATCTCGCTTGAGCCCATCGCGATGTTCCTTTTGTAACTTGTTGAAAGTCTCATTCTGCTCGTCCTGTGTCCATTCTGGCGCAAGAGCTATGTCACTGGTGGTCGCGCTGTTGAAGCGTTGGACATAGTCCCGATGCCACAAGAAGAACTGCAGGTTCTCTGCTGACATCTCAACGTATATGAGGTAGTTCATGAAGTCGCGGATGGTGCATGGCTATTCATGACCTGTCAGAGATCCAATGTGTCTTGATACGTATTCTTATGGGAACATCTCACCGGACAGGTACCACCGTCGATGATCTTGTCGAAGGTCAGAGCAACTGGGATGCCGGCGGAGGATCCAGAGCTACCAGACCGGACAGAGTCATCCGTAGAAGCAAGAGACTGTCGATTACTGTCGACCCGGGCTGGTCGACGATAGCCAAGGCCGAGCAAACCCATGTTGAGCGAGTGTGGTGATCTGCGAGAACGAAGGCAGACAGCGACAGATCATAGGCAGGAAGACGACAACAAGGGAGAGACAACAGAGGCAAGAATACTCCAGGGCTGCGGTTTGGATGAGAGTGTAGCAAACGAAGGACTTATGAAGGCGGCGCACACAAGTGTCAACTTGACATCTCAATGTACCCAGTTACACGCAGATAATATGGACTACTAACCAGCCACAAGGACGCGGGACGGCGTCTACTCATATAGTTCATGGCCACAACTCCACCGAGACTCCACCGAGACTCTTCCCTCCATCCATCCCTATCAGTGGCAAGCGTCAAGAACGAAGCTAACTCAGGGGAGTGATGACGGAAAGGGTGGGCCGTTTAGCAGAAAAGCTAGAATGTGGATGGGGTCAAAAGACGAACTAGATCGATCGGGAAGGCGAGGTTCAGGGGTGATGAGCTTTTTGGGAGATGCTCACAAGAGATTCCCCATGCCCCAGCGCCCATATTGGCTCGACGGTCGAGTACACAGTGGACGATAGGGCGCTCCTCTCGGGACCCATGGGCGTCCAGAAGCAGCTAGCTGCCTAGGTACGGAGTATGCAGCCTCATCCTGGGCGTTCATCTTGGCCTTTCGCCCTCGCGATGAAGGGTGGAGGTGGGCGTAGGGATCGCCCAGACTCCGTTTTTCTTCTTCTTCCTTTCTGTTCTCTGGCTCTGTATCTGCTCGGACCAGCTGCCGCTAGGCTGTGCAATAGATGCAAAAGTTTCAGGCTTTGGGACCTTCCAGCCCCGGGCAAGCCTCCTTCTTCCCCCACATTATCAAGGACCCACCCTCGAACAATGTTGGTTGCCTCGAGTTCAGCTCGTCTATTTGGCTTTTCCCGCTCTCCCGATTCGCCGGTCTTGGCACTATCATACCAGGCTAGCTGGTCCGCAATAATAATAATAATAATAATAATAACAACAACCATAACCATAATCATAATCATAATAACGAGGAGGTTTGATGTCTAATGGAATTCCCTAGTCCGTGACTTCTTGGCCTCGAGGCTCCAGATCATCCACGCCCGTGCATCTGACAGCCCCTGGTCCTAGCTCCGGCTTCTTTAGCGGGAGGATCGGCTGGGACCGGTAGGTCAGTGATTGGACTGCATCTATCTCAGCATGACATGTTGAGCACTCGGCCGCGCATTAGTCTCCTAGCTCCAGGGGCGAGGGCTGCTTCTCATTTGACGGGAGGCGTTCAACACGAGTCCTGGAAAGGGTAGGCGGTTGAAAATCCAGCTGTGAATCTTGGTATCGTTGGGCGGGGAGGAGGGAGATGACCTTCTTTTTCTGCCCTGAGCAGACACGTTCTCCCATCCACGCGGCCGTCGTGTGAGGCGTCGCCGGCTTGGTCTGGGAGGTGGCACAAGCGACGGTGTGGACGGCGAGTGTCTCTGGGTTTGCGGGTGAATGGGTGTGATGGCCAAGTGTAGAGCCGCAGAAGATGAGACGTAGCCGGTGGCACGGTGGTATTGTGGCAATGCAGATTGTCCTGGCAGCTTGTCCGCGATGTAACCCAGGACCCAGGGCGCTGGAAATGATCAGAATCGGATCGCACCGCTGATCGGTACTGAGATCCGTGAGCCAGCCTGCCAGCACAAGCCAGCAAGCGTGCACGTCCATGGTCGATCCGGTTCCTCGTAGCCGTGGGAGGGCGCAGTCTGTTCTCAACAAGGCCTGTGCTTGTGTGGGACAACGGACAACGGCCGACGGTGTTGTGTGGCGCCAGACGTAGTACTTGCGATCTTCGGGATGGACGAAGGGGTGGAGGATGTTGTTGAGGCCGTCCAGGTTGACAGTTCAAGAGCCGCCAACGGCATGGCAGCAGCCACATGCCGACGTGCAGGTGATGCAATGCAGTGACTCCAGCGAGTGCATCACCTGCTCGTGCCTTGCCCTGACAGTAGACTTTCGGAGGCAGCCGAGTCACCGTCAAGGGGCTGCAAGGTAGGGCCTGGGAGCAGCACCAAGAACACGACGGCAGCCTGTGGGTTGCTGCATCTGGACGGAGGACGCAATGCGTCCATTGGGTGGTGGTAGAGAGACTAATAAGAGAGCAGAGTTCATGAGAGAAAACATGCGGGGCCAGGGAGGAAGCATGTGCACTGGCCACCTCGTTAATCTCGCGGGAATAGTGGACCCTGACAGGCATTACCGAGATCTCGTCACCACCTCCATCCCTGCCAGTCCCTGGTCTCGGGTCACTCGCCCATCCGTGCCATCACAGTGTGCACGCACAATAGCCTTGTCATACCCACACCTACGACACGACGCGATTTCTTTACCAGAACAAGACACGAGCCAAGCCTCGGTTCCTGGTTCCTGGGTCTGGGTCGTGGCTTGGAGATTGCCTTTTCTGCCCCAAGCCAATTGTGGCCGCAGCCCAGCGCCATGAGTCGTCCATGCTTACGGAGTAAGTACTTGCCTTGGGTTCCTGGGTATGGACCGGGTCCTCGTTCATCGTAGAGTCCCAGCAGATGGACGAGGAGGACGAGGAGGAGGGGGGGAGAGAAGAAGAAGCAACACATGATCCCTCGCGGCATTTCCGAATTCAAGGAAAAAGACTACTTCTTCAATATCCACAAGTCGAGGACCCGCTCCCGCTGCCCGGTTCGTTTGGGATTCACTTCCCTGGTTGGCGCTGCAGGCTGTCTGTCGGGCTGCAATTTCCAATTGGTCTGGCGTCTCATCCTCGTCTTTTACTCTCCGAAGAAGGTCGGACTGAAAGGAGCGGGCACCCACCATTCCAACAAGCCTCATCCGGCTCTAGAGGCTCGCACCCTGGCAGTCCTGGTACCTCGCAAGGGCTCTTCTTCCCGGCAGCATCAGGACCGCCCCTCGCATGGTACGTGGCAGTTGCCGTCCGCTCGGGTCGTCGTCGATGAGGAACTTCCCTGAACGTGGCGAGGTTTCACGCAGTGCCGACTCGATATTCCATTCCTTCATTTGTTTTGCCCTTGTCTGCTCTGGCAGTCAGCCTGTTGCTCCTCAACGACCCACGACTAAGTAAACAAACTTGGCAGGTAATGTTTCCTCTAATACAAAAATTACAAGAATAATTACTGACAAGATGCCTACGCGCAAGTCTTACTACACTACACAGTCCATGCACACTCAAGCCAGCATGGATGGCACCGAGTTGGTGTTTTCCCAAGGTGCCACAATGCGTCGGGGTACCTAGGTAGGCCAGCTGCGGCCAGACCTTGTCCTCAAGTGCTTTTGATGAAAGGCCATGTCGATGGCTTCTCGCAAGGTGACCACCACTCTGCATCATAGCAAGCTAGACCCCAGAAATCGAGCGAGTAGCTCAATTGCCTGCTGTCTCTCAAGACCATTTAAGTCATCATGGTGCTCCCTGAGGACATAGTATTGCTCCGGCTGCCAAGCCAGTCGTTCAAAAGGCCGCCCCGAGCCGATAAATAAAGCGGAGACGCATCCATGCAACCGGCACCGGACACACCCACTCGGCAGTGGTGCTCAGCGTCATTCATTATCAGCAGCCTCCAACAAGCTGGCTTCCATGATGTCCTTGACGGCATACTCGATTCAGAAACGGGCGTATACCCCGATTTCTCTCGTCGCATTTAAGCTTCCTCAGGCTTGGTTCGGTCCAGTCCCCCAAGCCCATCATGAGGGGCCACGTGAACAGGCCTCTAATATCACAGAGAATGCTTCTGTCCCTGCTCCTCTGTGGCTGCCAGGCCGGCTCAGCAGCTCTCAGTGACCCGTTCGACATCAGAGAAGCCACTATCGATGGGATACATAATGCCCTCTTTACTGGCCTGACAACTTGCCGCGAGGTGGTTTCAGCACATCTCGCCCGTATAGAGGCCTTCAACCCTGCTATCAATGCCATTACAGCTTTGAACACAGAAGCACTGTCAGTGGCAGAGAGCATAGACCTCAGGATCTCGCAAGGGAATATTACAGGTTCCTTGCTCTGCGTTCCTGTCCTTGTCAAGGACAACTACGACTCCATGCCAATGAACACCACGGGCTCTTGCCTCGCGCTGGCAAACAATACGCCCGCAGAGGATGCACCGACGATCAAAGCTCTCAAGGCATCCGGTGCCGTCATCCTGGGCAAGACGAACCTGCACGAGCTCGCCCTTGAAGGCCTCAGCGTGTCGTCCCTGGGCGGCCAGACCCTCAACCCTTATGACCAGACTCGCACCCCGGGCGGCAGCAGCGGCGGGTCCGGGGCCGCCGTGGCCGCCAGCCTCGCAGTGTTCGCCACGGGGACAGATACAGTCAATAGCCTGCGCAGCCCTGCGGCGTCCAACTCGCTGTTCAGCTTTCGTCCCACAAGGGGCCTGATCTCCCGTGCGGGCGTCATTCCGATTAGCTTCACGCAGGATGCCGTCGGCGCAATGGCAAGGACGGTGCGGGACCTGGCTTTCGCCATGACGGTCATGGCTAGCGTTAAGTATGATGAGCGCGATAATACTACGGCTTCGATCCCGCCCGAGGTTGCCGGGATGGATTACGTTGCTGCCCTGCGTGGGGGCCCTGTGTTGAATGGGTTGAGGCTTGGTTTGGTCCGGGGCTTCTTCAACTTTACGGATTCGTCGGAGGTGACGCCTGTGAATGAAGTCATGGCTTCCATGGTGTCAAGACTGGAAGCGGCCGGCGTAACTGTCGTGAACGTCATCGAGCCCGTGTACAATGCCACGGCGATCAGTTCAAGCTTGGACGTCCAGGCGTACGAATATCGTGAGCTGTTGGATGAGTATCTGGCAGGACCAAATTTGAGTGGCGACAAACCCGCCAGCTTCGCGGACCTTTACAAAAGCGACAAATTCCTCGTCATTCCAAACCAGTACTCTTTTGTCAACTTGTCTCTTGTCTCGTCCACTTCCAACACCAGCTATTTCACAGCACAACGGGGTATACAAAACCTCGCCAACGCACTCCAGAAGACCTTCTCCACGAACAAGCTCGACGCGCTTATCTACCCAGAGCAGAAGAACCTTGTCGTCAAGACAGGCTCGCCGTCTCAGTCTGGACGCAACGGGATTTTGGCAGCGCTGACTGGCAGTCCCGTTGTCGTTGTCCCGGCAGGCTTCTCAGCCCCGAGTGACGACGCACCCATCGGCGTCCCAATTGGGATGGAGATTCTCGGGTTGCCTTGGAGCGAGGATCGCCTGCTCAGCATCGCACAGCAGATCAGCGAGCTGATTCCCGTCAGAAAAATGCCAGTCCTGACGAATAGGACCGTGCACTCTAACTCCGAGTATGAGAGTGTACCGACGGTGACGCCCCTGGCTAATATACCTGCCGAATATTCTATCGGGAGGTTGATTTGATTGTTTGTATCTTTATTTGTGCATAGGTTTCCATTTGCAACTTGACCTGGTAAATAAGAACTGATAAGAGAAACAATTCACCTCACCTTACGCTGAAAGGGTTTCCGTCCTCACGCCAGTGTGTTCAGATGTCGCTCCAGTGCTGGTGAAGAATAAACGCGTGCGCCTTGACAGTCGCAGCCAAATCTGCACGTTCTGAAAATTTAGTTTGCAAACTTTCATATACTGAATAAGAGATACCAGCACCCTGGTTCACTTTGAAATCATTATTCGACTCTCAGGTTGCTTCATTGTCTGCTACTGTCTGCAAGCCCCACATATACTTTGTATGCATGCGCGTTGAAAACGAAGCCACTTCAGTTGCAAAGCCGCATGTGAAAAACTTCCGAGGTTGGTTACAGCCCATGTTGGCGTTTGCTGCCCTGGTTGGCTAGACAGATCGCCCCATATCCATCGAAGGTCTCACAGAATTAGAAAATCGGGCATAGGCTCTCCAGGTCTCACCAATGATCGTGTGGCAACCCCGCACGTTATCATGGGACTTGTCTGTATGCCCAGGTGTTGGCCATTGTCAATAGATGAGAGAATAGTTTCATCTCTCCCCTACCGCTGATTAATTGAGAGACAGTGAAACTCCTTGTCGTTCGCCTCTGGACTGCTTTACGGTAATCACTCCCCCTTTGAGGATGTTTAAAATTATTTTCTCCATCCCTCCGATAACATTTGAAAATTAGAATGAACCCTGGTGGAAGTGATGTTGGCCTACCTGCCCATTTGCAGTTCTCTGAAATCCCCATGTAACTTTTATTTACTTTACGGGCATACTCTCCGTTGCTGATGTCTTTCCTGGAAAACAGTCAACTTGATCCTCAAAGCAACGACCACAAACCATGGTGGCTCATCCTTCCCAGCGTTTGAAGAGCGTCACTTGCAGCGGTTCGATGGTAGGCGACGCAAGACTGGGGCTGCTGTTGTCGTTCTTGTCACCAGCCTGCGAGATCACCCACGGATTTCTCCGCCGCGGGGCTTCACCTCGGAAGCGATGGACTCTGTGTGGGGAGGTCGAAGAGGTGGGCGCGACTTCAATGGGCCTTGCCCCAGAGATCGCTGGCCTGCTTTCTGATTCTCCAAGACTCAGTCACGCACTCGATTCCCTGACAACAGCTATGTTGAATAAGGCAGATCAAGGCTATATCTTGGATGTGGAAGCTGTCAAGAGTATCCACAGAGATCTCACCACAGAAGCCTTGGCCTTCTGGAAATCTCAGGCCCTAATTGTTGCCTATAGAGCTTGTCCCTGGAAGTATATCGAGTCCAGGTAAGTCCATAGTTGGGCCCTTTGGAGGCACTGTCGGCCTCTCCTACTCACAGCAGTACTTAGGAATCTCGATCTAAGCTTGATCCTGCCACACCTTCAGCATACTGCAGAATTTCACGGAGATGGTTTGAAAAGCCTAGATTCCGCCGTCAGAGTCGACTTTATTCTCACAGTACTCGAGGCCTCACGCTTCCCCACGATGGCCTGGAAACGTTCCATGATTTCCCACGCGGATGCGGCCATGAAATATCTGAACATCAAGCATGGCGAACACTGTTTTGTGTTATTGCGCCTTAATTCAGCAAGGTCTCTGCTTCACCGGCTTGAAGGCAATCACGAGATCGCTGTCGGCGAGGTCGACAAGCTCGTCAATCAGCAGCAGCAAGCTCCTCAAAGTCAACGTGACAATGCCGCCATGGGCCATGTGGTGTTGCAGCGGGCTCTCAACTCGATTCAGGTTGATGATCTCATCCAGGCCGAGCAGATCCTAGGCCATTGGCGCCACCTGGGCGACGACGAGCCCTCGCTGATGGAGCATGTCGTATACTTTCGCAGGGACGTGATGCTTGGTCGAGTTCTGAGAGCCCGGGGGAGGTTCGCAGAAGCACACACCCATCTGAAGAGGTCTTACGACCTAGCCGCGCAACACCACGGCCTTGATTTTGACGAGGACCGCCGGGACCTCATCTCCGAGCTGGCGGATACGCTACTAGAGCTCGACAAGCCCTACGACGCCGAGGCATACCTGCGGATCGAATTCGCCCGAAGGTCACGGGATATGAATGACCCGGCCAAGTCAGGCAAGTCCCTCTTGGAGGCTTCCATGGCCGAAGTGCTACTCGCACAGGGACGAACCGAGGAGGCGGAACACGTTTGTTCCCAGGCAGAGGCGCGGTGGGACGAGCTCATGAGGCTCGGAAAGTTTCGCATCTGCATCGTGCGGGCCAAGATTCATCACACGAGGTCTGATTATGCGACTGCAGTGAGGTACTGGGACATGGCCTTGCAGCAGGCCTCCATATTCCAGGGGGAAACGGGGGCCACGACTCGCATACTCGTGCTTTCTAGGCAAGTGAGTAGGCAGGCTTCAGGCCTCACTGATCCCGAGGCCTTTGAGCGGTGTACGGACCTGTCAACTGTGCCGGTGAAGCCTGGCGGAACTCTCTACTGGATCGCTGGCATGCGTCACTGGGAGAATTTTGTGCGCTCGGAGGCCGCTCGGACTCGGGTCTGACTTCAAACTAGCAGATTGAGTCTTTTCCTACACTGAATTTCCACAATTTTGATTATCCTCAAGTATTCGTACAACCAGAGTAAGTTTCAAGGCGCGTCAGTGAGCATGATCAGGCTTTAGTTACTCGGGACCCTAGTATTACCTAGCAGACTGCTGTCTTCACCTGTTGCAGAAGGCGTCGAATCGAGGCAACTAAATCGTCCTTATTATTTCGGAAATACCACATCAGGGCTCATATATACCTCAGAATTTCTAGCCAACTGAAAAAATGCTACCGCTGCCCCGATACCATCCGCAAGCGATTTCTCGCCCCATCATCTGTGCTTGCCTGTTGGGGACTAGCAGTTGCGATCCCCGTCACATCGGTAGTGCTCACATCTGCACTTGCCACCTTCCCAAAACTGATTCCCTTCCCTGTGTGGAGCGACCTTTTGGTAGTACCACTGGTCTTGGATGTGGATGATAGACTGCCACTACTTCCCCGCCTGTCTTGAGCAATGTCCAGGCCCACAGAGAGGGAGCTCTTGTTCGGGTGGAGAAGGTTCGGGCTCCTCGCACCCGGCTCACTCGTCTCAGTCACGTACGAGTCGTCATCGCTGTATTGAAAATTCCGAATGACTCCCTCCCGAGCCTGATGCGGCAGCTTCACGGCACTGCCAATCGCGCTGTCGACATCGCTTGCGTTAACATCGCTGCCGTTTTGGGAGCGCGCATTCCTCCAGAACGTGTTGCTTCTGCTCAGACTCTGGTGCCTTGCGCGGCGGTAACTTTCGAACTCGTCCTTGGTATGCTCCGCATCTGTGAAGCTGTCGAGAGCATCGAATACGTGGGGGAAGACTTGAGCGGCAACGTCCTTTGCCCAAAGGAAGTCGAGATGCTCATAGTGAGGGATCTCGGTGGCGACTGTGGTTGGTGGCAGCTCCCGGAGCATCGCCTTGATATCAACCAGCGAATCACTGCCGCCGTACACCAGCACGATAGGCGTCTTGATGTTGCGAGTGGGATATTTTGCCACCTTTGTAAAACGAGAATTCGTACCGATGGTCAAGGGTGGGTCGTCATCGAACATCTGGAAAGACTTGGTGCGGATGATTTGAAACCAGTGGACAACGGATTTGGTGGAAGTAAATGAGTAGAGGTGGGGGTATGCGGCGAGCTTTTGAACTTGGGCGATGTTGTTGCCTTTCCAGTTGAATAAGAACTTCATGCCCATATCGAGGATCTTGATGTACAATGGAGGGTAAACGAGTGATTCCCACAGTGGAGCGGAGCTGAGGATGGACCGGCGACCAAACATGAGGAACAGGACCTGAGGTGACGCCTTGATCAGAGCATCAGCGATTCCGTTGGCCAGTCCCGGAGGCGACATGGCTGGCGCCAGCGCAATGAAAACGTTGACCTGCTGATTCAGCTTTGGGTGGATGGACAAAGCCGCAAAGGCCTGAGCTGTCCCTTGAGAGAAACCAATGTAAGACAGTGACGGTTGTCCGGTGCTGCTCAGGATATACTGTATGCTGTTTGGAATATCATGAAAGGCGAATTCGTCGATGGAGAAGTCCCAGAACTCAAGAGATGTCGGAGTCGAACGGACAGACTTCTTGGAGTACTTGTTGCCCCGGTTGTTTCCAAGCTGTTGGGGGTGGTCAGCACATCTGCGCGGCTTCTGTGTCAGTTCATGACAGCGACATACCCAGACATCAAAACCTCTCTCCACCAGGACAAAGGGCAAGATCTTTTGAGCGTCCGTGAGGCAGACCCAGACCTCACTATTCATCAAGAGACCATGATGCATGTAGACGACACGCTTCTGAACGCCGGTGGGACCGGAATTGACCTTGACGTCTTCCTCGCCTCGTTTCCATGCGAGCCGGTGAACGCCCAGTAAGTACCCATCATCAGTCTGCACTACATGTTCCTCAGCTGTATAACCGAATAGCTCGCATAGTTCGACAAAGTCGGTCGCGTTTCTTATGGATTTCGACACCTCTAAATAATACATCGTCAACGGGGGATCCTGATGGTGACTGCTGGCAGAACGTGGCACGGCGACGAACCATTTTTCCTCTCCGACTCCTTTTTATGACTTTCTGGTCCCCATTTGTTAAACAAGCGTCGAGAAGCCCTGTAGCAAAGGGAAATAAGAGGTGACGCTGTTTCGAAGTCAGGGGGGTTGAATCGTTCAAGGGGTTGGGACTCGGCGCACGCAATGCGAAAGTGAGGACTCGGATGATGACCTCGAGGCCGACAAAGATGAAGGACCCTATGACGGCAACATATTCGGTTCTTGCGTATGATGTCAGAGGCTCGAACGGCACTCCCAGGTGTTTGGCGCTGGAGCTAGGAGCTTACATGGCGAGGCGCCCAAGGAACGGGACAGGCATCGTCGTCAGCGCGAGTTGCGGTTGCGAATCACGGCGCAATGATGCGCGAAACCGGTGGGATTATCTGTTCGAGTAAAGGTTCTTGTTTCTAAAGGCGCGACATGATGCGATAGGATGACGGTGAGGGGAGCGACGAGAATCGAGGTCTAGCGTGTGGGATTGTTGGTGATGAGCGTACCAGTCTATTTCTGTCACATGCGAAATCTACATTCCTCGAGGCGAGTTGCTGTTGCACCGTTGGGAACCTTGGGAAGGGTAAGCGGGCACAGGCACAAGGGGCAAGGGTCTCTCCCACGGGCCATTCGTTCCTGCAACACCCCTGACTCGTAGTGCCAACGGGGGACCTTGCCTTAATCTCGTGCCCAACTGCAGTTCTCAACCTGCCTGGGCCGGAGTGGGTGATAAATATTTGATCAAATTTAAAGGATTTGACGATACAAAATCTCCAGCATCCATGAGTATTGGGGAAATCTTGTGTATCTGCACAATTATAAGGGCCAAATAGGTGGTGCAATTCTGCCAATCCCGAGAATACATTGGCAAGTCTGTTCTTGACTACCTAGGCACACACACATGCGTGTTTTGCATGTTATTGCTTGGATTATGATATCTAGAGTTTTTAAGTATCGCTAGTCCGTTCTTAGTTGGTGGAGTAGTTTGTCTGCTTAATTGCGATAACAAACGAGATCGTGACCTGCTAAATAGCACGGGCCGACAAGGGGAGGACTTCAGGATGCGTAGTAGCCGCATCGGCATATTCTCTTATCTCATCAACCACAGATGGAAAACGAGAATCAATTAATGAAACGAAACATCAAAAGACAGAGTGGCAGCGCGAATATAGCTGGGACCAAGCATCTAACTTTGAAGCTTGTCCCACATCCTGAACCTGTCCAGTTGCTGCAGCGGGGTACAGGCCTTCCTTGTGACTCTTCCAGCCCATTGAGCCTCATCTCCCCCCAATCACGCAGGTATCTTTGCTGGGCAGATGCTCGCTTTCCCACTTTTATATACTTGGGTATCTGTGTGATTCCAAAAATCATATCCGTAGTTGGATCAGTTATCCTCATCGGCCCACTGTACTCTAGATCCCATGTCCGTGTTCCCCGCCTCCACAAGAGCAATGTCAAACACCGCAGACGCCTTGGAGGCTGTGACAGCCACAAATGACGAAGTTGGAATAGAGAAAGCACTTCCTTCAGACGCGGAAGCAATCAAGCAGATTGTTATCGCTGCTTACTCGAAATACGTCCCGCGTATGGGTGGTCAAAAGCCAGCACCAATGATCGCCAATTATCACGCCATCATCACCTCCCACTCCCAAGAGGTCTTCGCGCTCCGCCGGCACGAAGACGGCAAGGTGATGGGATCTATATTACTCTCGGACCCTGGTGATGGTTCCGTCAAAGTTAACAATCTCGTCGTTGATCAGGCTGCTCAGGGCCGTGGCTACGGAACATTGCTCATGGCCTTCGCAGAGCGAATGGCTCGCGATAGAGGCCGGGCGGCGCTGACGTTGTTCACAAACGAGAAAATGACGGAAAACATTGTCATGTATCCAAGGATGGGGTTTGTTGAGGTGGAGAGAAAAGTAGAGGACGGCTACTCTCGGGTATACTTTCGTAAGACACTATGACCTTGAGCATATGTCCCCTTTCCCAAGTGAGGCTGGGGTTTTACAAGCACTTTTAGATTATACAATAAGATTGGGTCGACTGCGAAAGACCCTGCGAAGACTCTTGAAGCCCTGAGAATATTAAAATCCTTCTCACAGTGTGACTGCCGGCAACCCTTTCTGGGTCCGACAAAACGACTCCACTCCAAACTAAGATAGCCGCCGAGAGGGTAAGCGTTGAAAAGGAGATACTATGGTGGGAAATGAGTATCGAAATGGGGAAACAAATTGAAATCTCTTGATGATGACGATATCGCGAATCGGTGATGTAATAACAACCTTGGAACCCCAGGTGCCCTTGAAGTGGTCGCTAGACTGTGTTCCATGGCGAAAGGTCAGAGTAAGTAGCTTCCATTCAAACATTGCCAAAGCAATAGTGAGAATATAATGGCAACGTCTATGATCAATCCTTGCTGAAATGGTGAAAGTATCCTCGATGGACACTGATGTTCGAGGATGGAAATGGATCTTCGAGCCATCTCCGGATCAAAACGACAATCATTTGGGAAGACAAAACCATGCCACGCTGATTCATAGTACACCTTTTCTAGAATAACATCTGGATTCGGTGGCGAAGAAATTGAAGAACTTGTCCAAGTTTGCAACTGCGACAAAGTCAGTTATTCAACATTGGAGTTGGATTTCAAGGACGCACCCCTTTAATGAAAATGGAGTACCATATTCGGTGACGAGAGACATTGGGTGTCTTGGAAGTCATACAGCAACTTTCGGGGCATGAAAAGAGCTCAATGGCCCACTTCCCAGTGCTTTGCGCCTGGGTCATTTTCTTCTGATCCCGAAGTATTGCCTCGGTCTGGAGCCCTGCATGACAATGCCCAGGTGTGATACCGTCAGATACTAGCAGGCCCTCTATTAGCAGCAGAAAGCACGTATTGTGGCATCCAGCGTTGTCATTGATCTCTTCATGATAACACAGCACCATATGTGCACGCCAAAATCGTCGAGCAACCGTCTGTCAGGTCAGTCTTGTTGGTTTGCTCATTGTTTCATTAGTTTCACGGTCACACTAAGCCGCATATTGTCACGCGATATGAGTGATGTGAATATTATTTGGTTCTAGGCCTTGAGAGCTCTACTCCGGTCCAGTCATTATGCTGAGAGGCCCGGTCCCATGAGTGCGAGCTCGGTAATCGTTCTTATCGGATATTGATGAGACATTGGCTGGGATATGTCCCAGCCGCGCGACGTGCTGACTGCATGACACCCCCGTAGGAATATCGTGCTGAGATGGGAGGAGCCGCATAAGAAGGCAAGATGCTGACACACGGATTACCGTTCGCTCGGCACGGTTGACAGCTTGATAAGTCTCTTCCTCGTCAAGCATGTCCTGGCAGGGCTGTATTGAGCCCTAGACGGCCTATCTACGTGGCCTCGAAAATCCACACTGACTATGTCGTACCCAGTGCTAATCGTCGCGAAGTTGAGCGGTCTTTTTCTCTCGGTCGGGCTCTTCGAGTGGGCTGCGGGAGATGGGCTAGTCCAAAGCTAAAGCCGTACAAGGTCATAATTTTCATGCTTGTCTTCCTGCACACGCACCTCATTCCACTGAAGCTTGAGACGTCCTTGGCCGTGGAGAGCGCGGTGTTGTGACACGGAAAAACGTGAGCGTGGAACCATGGACAGCCTGCCCAGAGATCTTGCACCACATCACCACAAACTCGCAGAAGGATGGCCATGCGAAATGATCATCAAACCAAGGCAGGCAGTCCAGGCCCTCCAAACCGTTAATCGGAAAATCCTACATTGGATCCTAGCGGCTTATATGCATGATTGGACGCAGGATCAGGGGCAGGAGATGAGCTGAGCTCTTGGCCCCCACCAAGAGTGAGCAGGCCCCTTCCGGGCGTACTGCAAGCCTGCCTGGCTCAGAGGCCAGGATATGAAGGAAAATGATCTCGATAGGACAGAAGGTACCTCGTGGTCACCTTCTGTCTCATAATATCTTCTTCGCTTTGTTCACTTGAGCAATTCAAGCGGTTGATTTCGAGGGAGTTGCCAGTCACAATGGCCTCACACTTGCCATATCTTATGGCGTCCGCTCTTTTCCTGGCTTCACTGATCGCGTCTGTGTCTGCCGCAACCCCCTCGAACGGCGTCGAATTTCTGTTCCCAACTCAAGGCGCGACCCTCCACTATAACGATTATGTGCAGGTGCAGTACACCTCAGAATTCGAGGCGCCATACCTCTATACGTTTTGCAGAGCGGCAAGTGGCAGTGTCTCGCGTAAGTCTACTCCCTCCGAGGCGACTCTCCGGGGGAGGGGGATTAGTGCTGATGATTCGCGACAGAAAAACAAACCCAAGGCGTGGGTGGCTTCAACAGCACTGCCCTCATTAAATTATCGTGGTCCGGCTCTGACACGCCGTGCTGGTTCAACTTGAAGCCCAGCGCAGGCGCGGCCGTGGGCAAGGGCGCCAACTCTGACAATTGGTCTTTCGACATATCTGAGCGCGCGGCAACCACCGTCGCTCTCAGCACGTCGGCGAGTCCCACCGCGACCCCATCGATAACGTCTCTGTCAAGCATGACAACAAGGACGAACCCGGAGACATCGACAGAGGCTTCCTCCGACGTATCAACGGCAACATCACCGGACGCAACCACGACAGCAGCCTCTGCAGAGTCAACGTCAAGGCCGTCTGACGAGACGGCGGAAATAGTGTTGGATGGCGTGGCTGCCTCAACGACTGCGGCGACGGCAGAGACATCTTCAGCGTCAAGCGCTGGACTGTCGATGGGGGCACAAATTGGCACAGGGATTGGAGTGGCCATCGCCGGTATACTTATCGGAGTTGGCGCGAGCATTTGGTACATGCGCCGAAGACAGCAGAAGGCGAGGCAAGGCGCCTTTGCCAGAATCGAGGCCCCTCCTTACGGTGCAGGTGACTGGAAGCCTCCTGCTTTGTATTCGGGAGAGGTGCCACGCCAGACGCCGCATCAGATGCCACAGCAGACACACATGCCAGTTAGAATGGCTGAGCTGCGGAGCCCTCCTCCACCGGCGAGCGAGCTGCATGCCACTGGGCCAGTATATTATGAGCTGCCGTCGCATACGACCCGGTGAGCCGGCGCAACGGCTGATGCTTCTAAATGCGGGCGACGCAGGGCCTGGGGCCTGGGACCACGGAGGCAGTAGAAGTTGACATGTATAATAACATTGAAGAATTGCAATCGATCGGTGTGTATTGGAGGCGTCATGGTAGGGAGGAGCGTTGGGAGTGTAAGCGTGTGATAGAATCAGACCACTCCTGACAGGCTGCACGCATCCGCTCTCCCGAACGAAAGAGCTTGGGCCACCGAGAGTTCTGATGTAGCCCGCCCAGCCCAGCCCAGCCGCGGCCCTGCTCTGCGCCTGCGACAACCTCTTGACCACAACCACCACAGGAATTTCTGGTTCTGCAGATCTCTGGTCGCCATGCCGAGCTCATGTAAGGAAATAAGTACGCACCTGCCAGCCCTAAACGGGCCCAACCCCGCGGAAGCTTCAGGTCCCCCAGCTGACATCAGCCCACCTCTTGCCAGGAGCCGCCCTGGCGCAATGCCTCCAGGAGTCCGAGTGCGTCATGGTCCAGCGGAACTCGGCCTCTGACTGCCTCCGCTCACCACTCGCCGAGACGCTCCCCACGAAATGCCAACAGCTGAAAAAGGGCTTTGGCGAGTGCCGCCGCGGCATGATCGACATGCGCAAGCGCTTCCGCGGCAACCAGCCCGCGGCTTTCAAGAGCCTGCAGGAGAGCGACAGCACGGGCGAGGGATACCAGCTGTACGCCGGCAAGTCTGCGTTCGGCGGCACAAGAGGCGAGACATCCGGCGATGGCAAGGCACCACCAGACTGGAGGGACCTGGAGAACGCAAAGTACCGGAGCGAGCTCGAGTCGAAAAAGTCGTGACCAAGGAAGCACATGGAATGAATGCCTCCAAGAAGCTGCTCAATGACGGCAGAGAGTCGGATTTGGAGGTGCTTGCATGGGATGGCGCTGCGGGTTCCTGGAAAAGAAACCTTTTACGTGCCATGGGATGAGCTAGTATCAACTCTCCGCTCGCCAGTGGACCAAGGTTTCTCATGCCACAACCGCCCGGGTCGTTCATGACCACACAGGGGCAAGAGGGAGGAAATGGGTCTGTCAACCCTCTTCGGGATGCAATTCGAGTCCAACCAGTCTCGCATCGTGTCGGCCGGTTTTGTTGTGAAAGGGCAGAGGCTTGAGTGCGTAATGTGCGTGCCCTGCTTCGTATTCAGACGAATATGCGTTCACACCGCTAGAATCCTTGCCCAGCAAGGGGTCTGTGCCTTGTTGCGGTTGATTTGGTGGGCAGATCCGACCCAGCCATGCCGCTCTTTTCTGGGCCCGATTTATGGACTATGCCTATACTTGTACTTGGACATATTGGATGGGAAGGCGGCACCTGCTTATGTATACTGAGAGTCATCATAGCCAGATTTTTGCGAATAAAAAAGAAGGGCTCTGGAAACAAGGACCCGAGCATTCTTTCTAACCTAAGGGCATCTGTGATGTTGCCAGAGGTCTTCTCGTACATTGATTGTGGTCGAATTGGAGACCGGGTCTGAACCCAGCAACCCCAGCTGCCAAATCCGTGGTACCAGGCAGTCGCGTGGTCCCTTTTGCCTTATGGGGCCGAGCCTTGTGGAAACCAACCGAGCGGCAGCCCAGGCAGCCCAGGCAGTCCGAGAAAGTGGCTGATGATCTTGGCTCAATTTCTCCTCACAATGTCAACAACATTCATATCCTGCTGGCAGGAGAATGCCCGGGCTCATTCCTCTTTGCTGACTGCAACATTCTTGTTGGTGTTTGTTCTCACATCTCGCGATTGTGTCTGACTTCTTGTTGCCTTGTCTTCAACACCAGTCCCTTCTGCCTATGCTTGGACATCGATTTTCATACTCGTAGGCTTGCTTGCGCCCGGGAGTTCGGCACACCCACTCCCCACGGACATCCCGAGGTTTCCAAGTCCGTTGTATGACCATATTGGCCTAAATGTCAGCAGCTACACCAGCATTATCACGAACCTTGCCATCGACATAATTTGGGAGTCATACTCCTCGCGCCTGTCGAACATCTTGCACCACGTGGTCTCTGCCCACCCTATGACGACGTGACGGCAAACGTACCGTATCAGCCTCGCCTAAGCGCCGCCCGCGCCACCAAAACACAACCACCATGTCTATATTCTCCGGGCACCACTCCTCCTCGCGACTTCCCCGAATCCTGATTGCAGTCCTCGCCATCCTGACCTTCACACTCCTCCTCAGCTACAGCAGGGTATCATCCACTACATACTCGCTCTTCTGGCCCGAGCCCGAACCATTGGCTATCGAGCCCGACGACGACCTGTCGTCTGTGTTCGCCGGTATATCAGCCATGAGCTATGGCAATTCACACAGGCCGCCGATAAAAGGGATGCCGGATAAGATCGTGGCAGAGCTACCCAAGAAGTTCATACCCAGTCGGGATGGGCAGACGAGGCGTCTCGTGATCGTAGGCGACGTCCACGGCCAGAAATCGGCGCTGGACGACATCCTGGCAAAGATCCACTTCGACAAGGCCCATGACCATCTGATCCTCACGGGTGACCTCATCAACAAAGGCCCAGACTCGGCGGGCGTGGTGGATTTGGCGATCGAGCTGGGCGCCCACGCCGTAAGGGGCAACCACGAGGACCGCGTGCTGTCCGTGCTGGCGACCATGAACGAGGACCCGAAGCCGCAGAAATCAGCGATCGATGCCGTGGACCTCGAGACGAAAGTGTACGACAAGGACCAGGAGGAGAAGCAGGACGAGAACGACCAGGGCAAGGACCCCAAGGCCGCCAAGGAGGAGTACCTGGCCCACGAGGCCCTGCTTGACCGCGGCGACAAGCCCGAGTTCCAGACCGCGCGCTCGCTGTCCAAGCGCCAGATCCAGTGGCTGTCGCAGCTCCCCGTGATCCTCAAGGTCGGCCGTATCCCCTCGGACAAGGGCCTGCCGCCCACTTTCGAGAACATGGTCGTCGTCCACGGCGGGCTCGTGCCCAACGTGTCCCTGGCCGACCAGGACCCGCAGGCCGTCATGTCGATGCGCTCGCTCGTGTACCCCGTGGACGAGCTGAGGCGGAAGGCGGTGAGAAGATTCCTTGAGGATAAGGCCAATAACCGGAAAGGCAGGGGTAGCATCGCCGCCGCCCAGCAGATCGACGAGGAAATGATCGACGAGTTCGTGCAGAAGATCATGGAGGCGGAAGGCATGAGCTTCGAGCACGGCGGCGACGATGTTGCGGTCCCCACTGAAGGCAGGGAGGGCATCATGTGGTGGAAGGAGTGGAACCGCTTCCAGCAGCGGCTGGCAAAGACCACGCTGGCTATGGAGGAGGAAGCAGAGGAGGAGACCCCCCCTGCCGCCGCCGCCGCTCCAGACGCGACCAACGATGGCCACGATAGGCCTGCGCCACCAGAGAGCTCGCAGAAGAAGCACAAGAAGGGCAAGAAGGCGCGGGAGCAGACCGACGTCGAGAAGGAGCTGAGCGGACTGACAATCGTGTACGGGCACGATGCCAAGAGCGGGCTCAAGGTGCCCGATACCTACGGCAACGGCAAGGGCCACACGTTCGGCCTAGACTCTGGATGCGTGTACGGTCGGAAGCTGTCGGCGCTGGTGATAGAGGCGCGCCCCGAGGGCATTGTACACGGTATCACGCAGGTCTCGTGCGCTAAGGGCACAAAGCCATGAGCGAAAAGAGATATGAGGTCCACCAAAAGGGCGCGGTTGAAGAGGAAAATTGCATCATGGGCTTTGGAACCAGCGTACGAACAGGAGGAAGTTGGGCATTGCAGGCGTTCTGGGAGGGTTTCGTAAACAGGCCCAGGCCCGGTTTTGGATAATAACCGGGCTCAAAGGATTGAATCGAATTGATAATTACAGGTATATGAAAGACCAGACCACTGTTAGAGGAGAACTTAACTGGCATTCCTATTAGTAGTCTTCATTATACAAATACAGGCACCACCATGAAGTTGACTGTATGGAATTCCTGTCAAGTTCCCCATCTGATCACTAACCAGATCGACGGGCTTATTCAAAACCACCTCACCAAGATCTTCTTTATACCTGATGCTTTCTGGGATAACCAATACGTGTTGGCCTTGCCCTTGGATGTGGGAGCACGGCACAGGCGTGTGAAGCAGCACTCGGGATCGTTCTGGCAAACCAATTGATTCAATTTGGGCCATAGGAGTCTTGTTGACATCCTCTTAAGCAAATGCTATATACGGTATCATTTCCCATCCTCATGTTTACTTATACCACCAATCAACTTTTTGTTTTAAAAGAAAAGCCCTTATGCCTGGATCTTGGACTTGATGATATCCTTGAGCGTGACGGCATCAGCGGCGAACTTGCTGATACCCTCGCGCAGCTTCTCAACGGCCATCTGGTCCTCGTTGAAGTCAAAGCGGAACAAAGGCTCGTTGCTGATGTACGACTTCTTCTCAATGTTGAGCGAGGAGGCGGCGGAGGCGTCCAGCTTCTTGGGGACCGAGGCGTCCGAGTTCATGAGCTCCTCGAGCAGGTTGGGCTAGGTTGGCAGAAACGTCAGTATCTCTTGTACGAGGACTCCGGGATCGGAATGAGGTGGGGCGCGTGCCCCCCCTCTTCAGGGGAACTTACGGAGATGGTCAGGTAGTCACATCCAGCCAGCTCGGTGATCTCGCCCGTGTTGCGGAAGGAGGCACCCATGACGATGGTCTTGTAGCCGAACTTCTTGTAGTAGTTGAAGATGGCCTTGACCGACTCGACACCGGGGTCCTCCTCCTTGGCGTACTCCTTCTTGGTGTGGGCCTTGAACCAGTCCAGGATACGGCCGACGAAAGGAGAGATCAGGAAGGCACCGGCCTCGGCGGCAGCGATGGCCTGGGTCAGGCTGAACATGAGGGTCAGGTTGGTGTTGACACCGTGGTCACGCTGCAGGATCTCGGCAGCCTTGATGCCCTCCCATGTCGAGGCGATCTTGATCAGGACACGGTCCTTGGAGATACCCTGTTGCTTGTAGAGCTGTTGGGGTGAGGCGTCAGTACGTGTGGGGGTTCTTCTTGTTCTCGCAAGGCAGGGGGGTGGTCGCTCTCTGGTCTTACGTCGATGATGTGCAGGGCCTTCTCAACGGAGGCCTTGGTGTCGAAGGAGAGGCTGGCGTCGACCTCTGTGGAGACCTTGCCGGGGATGATGTTGAGGATCTCCTTGCCGAACTCGACCAGCAGGCGGTCGAGGGCGGCGTCCACCTGTGTGTCGACGTCGCCGCCGGACTGCTTGGCGTACTGGACGGCCTCGTCAATCAGCTTCGCATACTCGGGCTTCTTGGAGGCAGCCAGGATGAGCGAGGGGTTGGTGGTGGCATCCTGGGGCTTGTATTTGCCGATGGAGGCGAAGTCGCCAGAGTCGGAGACGACGACGGTGCCGGCGGCCTTGAGCTGGTCCAGGGAGTTCGACATGATGAATGTGCGTGGGGTGTTGGGTCCTGGCTGGGAGTTTTGTCTTTGTTGGGTTAGGAAGAGTGGAAGGATGGGACAGAGATGTGGACTGAGTAAGGTGTCTTGACGGGAGTGCGAGACTAGTAGGGAGGTGCGACAAGACAGGAGAGGTATTTATTGATTGATGGCGGGGTGACTTGGAGCTTCTGCCACCTGCTGGGCGTCCTATGCCTTCCCAATGGCCACACTTCTCTGGCAAGTCAGATTTACGGGCCCATGACGATATCGCCCCCCCACCATGGCTCTGACACTGAGCTCGGGGCACCTCGTGTGTATGGAGTACGGAGTACATGCAGCCAGTATCTATACATCCCGTACCTAGCAGGCCCTTGTGTCAGTCAATTGGGCGCTGTCGGCCAGGCCTTGGCTATACTTGTTTTGCACCGTGGTCGTCCCCTGATTCCACATCCCCTCGCGGTCCTCATTTCATGTGCAACAGACCACAGGTCCAGGTGTCGGCGACAACCACCTCAGACCAGACCGTTGAGGGGCAGGGCAGGCCGGGGTCACCCCGCCCCAGCAGCCTAGCAGGAACAGCAGCAATTTGCATTCCGGCACGGGTGCTAGTTGCGCTTCTCCACGGACCTGTTGGGTATGCAGATTAGGGCCTCGACTAGCCCTTCCCACGGTTACGATTCTTTCTTGGTTGCCAGCCGTGTTCTCTGTCTGCACTACCAGACTGCACGCACCTTTCCACCCTTCAAGATCCACCGCGCGTGTATCACTTGGGCGGAAGCGCGGAAGCTCCGGGACAGCATGTCATTTATAAATACCATGGCCCTCCGCTGGACCACTTAGCTCGGCCCTCCTAACCCGAAGCGCGAGCGTTGAGCCGCTCGCCCAAACCTGCCATGCTAACACCGGACACTCTCACCCTGGGCCGGATGAACGGGCTTGGCAATCATAATATTTCTACACACTACTATGTAACAATGCCAAAACGATGCGATGCAATGCTGTCAGAGCTGCCTCGCTAACTTTTATTGAACTGGAGCTGCGCAGGGTCGAGGGTTGTGTCCCACAGTCGCAGGCACCTGATGATCTTCATGGGTGCTCCCGCCCGCTTCCAAACCCCCCCAACCCCCAAATCCCTCATCCCGCGACCTCTCACCTTGTTGGAGGCCGTAAGTGTAAGTCTGCCTCTTTAGTCCTCAGTGAGATCGCCATACTCCCAGATTCCCAGACGGTCGTTCTTGGCTGCGGTCTCGGCCTTCTTGTACTCCTTCAGAGTATCAGCAAAGACCGGGCTCCTCTCCCATGCCTTGAGCTTCTTGGGCACCAAGCCCAGCCCGTTGAGCAGGACCTCGCGGTTCAGAGACTCGTGCGGCTTGGGCGATCCGCTCGACTCGTAGATCGTGATGTAGCTGACACCCTCCTTCTGGTCGACAAGGTCGAACGAGGCCACCATCGTCTTGCCCTCCGTCACCTCCCCGATGAAGCCGATCGTGTCGTTCAGGTACTCGGGCGCCGTGGGCAGTTGCACCAGGGACAGCGACGCATCGATGGCCTGAGCCCGCACCTTCTGCGTGCCAAACTCGGCCTGGTTGAGCGGCCGCAGCTTCGCCCAGGGGATCTTCTCCGTGTTTCCGTAGTCAATGTACACCACCTCCGCAATCTTGTTGGCCCGGTCGTTGGATCGTATGCGTGCTCGGTACCACTGTCCATCCTCAGTGAACTTGGCCGAGACAATGTCGCCCGCCTTGGGTGTGTCCTTCAGGCCCACATTGTTCTTGGAATCAAGGTGGAACTTCCTGAAGGTGGACATCATCTGCTCAAGCGCCGCAGTGCCCTTGCCAACCTCCTGGATCTTGATCTTGCCATTCTGGTCAATGTTGGTGATGACAATGTCGCGGTACTCTCGCTTGATGTTGACAGGAGCATCGGCAGCCGCAGTCTCAGTGGGGGCGGCCTCCTCCTCCTGCTCATCCTGAGATGGGTCCCAGTCGTGCCAGATCCCCTTGCGTCCCTCCTTGGCCTTGCGCTCCGCAGCGTTCAACTCCGCAGCGTTGCCGGACTTTTCTGCCGAGTACTGGTGCACTGAAGCAAATCCCTCCTCGACAAGTAGCTTGGCAAAGCTCTCGCGGCCGACGTACAGGTCACCGATGAAACCTCCGATCTTGTCCGTGTCGTGGATATCGACCTCGACATCTCGCTGGTTGCACCTCTTGTTTGCAAGATCCAGGGCCTCGTTGCCGAAAGGCTCGCCCTTCTCTTCGGGCGAGCGGCCTGCTCGGGGGGCACGGATTCCGCCCAGGACCAACGTGAGTTTGACGCCTTCACGGGGAATGAGCACGGTGAACCTGGACCCGGACTTGCAGAAGTCGACCACTGCGGGGATCCTCTTTTGCCGTTGAAGGGAGCCGAGGTTCATCTTCGCTCTCTGAAGGCTCTCGGAAGCGTCGACCAGAACCTTGGATTTTGGTGGCTTGCCGGCCCACATACCCTTCTTTTCCTCCTTGGCCTTCTCCTGCGCGGCCAACAGCTCATCATAGTTGGAGGCACGGTCGGTGTCGTCCTTGCGGTGGCGGATGACCGAAGCCCAACCCTCCTGTACAAGCTGTAGACCGATGTTCTTGCCGTTCTGGGTCACCGTGGCAACTTCTCGCGCTTCGTACCCATCTGAAGCCGGCTTCGACCCGTCAACTGCCACTTTGACGTGTTTCCCGATCAGCTTCTTGCGCAGGAATTCCTTGGCCTCATCCCTGAACGGGGCCTCGGATGACTCGTTTGTGCGGGGCCCACGAACGCTGCTCAGGTTGATTCGCTTTTCCTCGCCGTTCTTGTTCCTCACAATGATGGTGTCGGCGCTGATGATCTTCGAGACTGTCATTTCGGATTCCTTTGCCGCCTCCTTGGCGACATGGTGCTTGTGCAGCTTGAGATTGGATGACTGGGCCTTCTTCTCCGCAGCGCGCAGGGAGGGCATCCTGTCTCCGAGCATGGTGACGTGGAAGTCATTGCACCGAGCAAGACCTTCGGCGAGGAGGAACTCAGCGATGTTTCCGTTGGGGTGCAGAACCGTAGCAATGAGTTGGCCTTGAGGGCTTGCTCCTGCAACCTCCACCTTGACGGACCGCTGGAGCAGCCGCTTCTCGACGAAGGCCTTGGCCTCGTCGCCAAATTCTTCGGATGGCTGCGTCTGGCCCGTCGAGACAATTGTCCTGGCCGTGGATGGAGTACGTATACCAGCGACAAGCGTCATGACTTGCAGGTGCTTCTTGTCTGAAAGCAAGATGCGAACCAGGAGGCGATCACCGCTGAACACACGCTCAACAACGCCATCCAGTGTCTTGCCTTTCAACCCGTCCAGGAACTGCGGGTGACCAAGGTCATTCTGGACCTCGATCACGCCGCCTGTGCCGGCCCAGAGCCCGTTGCCCTCATTCTTGGCCTTGGTCTCGAGCTCGCGGAGCTGATCGAGTCTTTGCAGAAGGTCCTCGTTGTCTTCCTTTTTGCCAGCATCCTCGCGGACCTTGACCCAGCCATTCTTGACCAACTCATCAGGGAACTGGGTACTATCCTGAAGCTCCGCAGTGCCGTACTCGCGCCCCGAGGTCGGTACCGTGTACAAGACGGTGAACTTAATGGGCTTTCCCACGACAAGATTCCTCAGGAACTCTCGGGACTGGAACGCAAATGGCTCATCGCCATCCTTGCTGAGCCGAGGGGCGCTCACGTAGGCGAGAGAAAGAGTCCGCTCAGCTGTTGGGTTTTGAGGATTGGCAAGAATCAAGGTATCCCCGCTCAAGACGGACTTCACGGTAGCAAAGAGAGGCTTAGACATGGCGGCGATGGCGATGACTAGAGTCAAGGAGACCTTGAAGAGTGGAGAGTGGAACTGGCAATGGTTCTTGACAAAGCCTGTAGATGAGTCAGTGACATGCTGGTATATCCTCCCGCTCATGTATGGCTTGACAAGACAAAGGAAAACAGGGACGAGTGCAGCCCACAGAGCCTGGGGTGGTGCTGGACGCATTCCGAGAAGGGCTTCAGCCGGGGAATCTTGAATGCAAGGTACATTTGTATAAGGTGCTGAGGGCAAGTGACTGGGCCACACAAGCTTGGACCTTGTCAAACGTGGGGCTTGGGAGGTGAAGTGTTGTCCTGTCTGATGTGGTCCTCCAAAAACCCACTGCACCAACCAAATTGTTGATGGTATCAAATGCCACTGATTGCAGGCACAGCAGTGTATGGACGGTGGTATGACATGGTTTGGGCCATGTAGACGCATTGTTCTAACACCGGGCAGAGCGCAGTGACCCATATTGTGGTAGCCCTGTGGAAGGGGGAGCCAATGGATAGGAGAGTAGTTGCTGTTGGCGCGGGCCACAAAACAAAGGAACAAGGGAAGGGAGCTAGACAACTTACCGGTACCAGGTTTCCAGACAGGTAATGAAAGGGTGATCGGTCTGGAGATGTCAATGAAGATGTGAGGAAGTGATTGACTGCCAAGTGACAAGCAGCTTGATTGAAGAGAGAAGGAAGGGCGTGGGTGTTATGAGGTGACCTGGACGTTTGATGATGGTGTCGTGTGCCTCCTCCCTTCTGGTCTTCTGGCCAGATGTTCGGCCGCAGGGTCCAGAATTCTGGTGGGCCTGCCTGGAAGCTCCGACCTCCAACGTGGGGTCAACGTCTCGGGACTAACTGAGCATGGTAGCCGGGGGCTTGCCGCTAGTCCCTACTCGGCAAGCAGCTTTGGATTATTCAACTGCTCCCCCAGGGGAGCTCCGAGTTATGAGGTGAGGGGCAACAATCGATACCTAGGGTGGGCCAGCTTTGAGCACCTCGGATTCTGCGACAGTCGTATGGAATTTGGTAGAAACCCTTGACTACAATACTTGTGGAGATGCCACATCAGGTCTCCATCCGTTTGCTTTGTTACTATGATTCCTGAAGCACTTTGCTAGCATCATGTAGAAACGGCCTCAGCTGTGAGAGCTTCTGAGCTCAGTGAGCTCGGAGCTCGGAGACGGGCATGTATCAATGCCTCAATCCCTCAATACATAGCACTGTGGGAAAGTGATGTATAATTCTGCATAGTGATGTGGTCTACAATGGTGTAGTGCATCTCGCAATCAGGTCTCTTATTTTTGAGGTTATTTCTGGCGGCTACCTAGGTGGTGTTTGTTTGCCGAGATGGGCTCGAGCCGGAGCATTTCTGGCGCCATCCAACGTGCCGAGCTCCAGCACAGCTACGCTCATCTCGGATACCATGATAGGGACGAGACACTTAGTTGGAGATACCAATGACACCACAGGCAGGGCGGGGTCCGGCGTTGCCAGTCTTGAGCGACTCCTCGTTGTCGCCCTTTCCAAGGTCGTCAGTGCCACCGTGGACAACGACGGTTCGCTAGAGAATGTGTTAGCACGACGGTGGTTGCGGGTCAAGTATATGGCTCTCGGGCCGGGAGAGGGTGATCACATACGCCAATGACGGACTCGGGGCCAATCAGCTTGACATGCTTGTCCTCGACGCTGCCCTTGGCGTTGCCCTGAGCATCGGTCTCGATGTTGCCGAGGTCACCAACGTGGCGGGCCTCGTCGGAGGGAGCGCCGTGGGTCTTGTTGTGAGGGTTGACTTGAGAGGGTAGGAAGACTTAGTACAACAAGAGTCGAGCATCGAGAGATCGGATCACTCACAGTGGGGGCCGGCAGATGTGCAGCCGTTGGTGTTGTCACCAAAGGTGTGGATGTGGAAGCCGCGCTTGGCGTTGGGGTCGTTGCCAGTGATATCCCAAGAGATGGTGGTGGGAGCAGACTCGGACTCCTGCACGAGGGTGACGGTACCGGAGACCTTGGAGTCACCACGGACGACGGCAACTGCGGGTGAACGGACACAAATTAGCCAGCTGCCTCATACTGCGGCGCGCTCCAGGGGTTGCTTGGAGGCGAGCCTCAACGACATTCCTCGTCAGACATGACGGGGCGCCTGTCCGGCGGCAAAGCGTGACCATCCGGGTGCGTGAGCACGTTTCTCAAAGCCCATCAGGGTGCTTTTGGATGGGCTGGATGCACCCCCTCCTTTGAGTCGCCAAACAGCTTGACGGCTGTGCGGGGTCTCCTTGGTGTGTGTGTGTATATATATCCAGGGTCTGGGGTCCTCTCACCTGCTTTGACCATTTTGGCTGGTTTGGTTGAAGAACTGATGTTTATGGATTCTTGGTAAGGGCAATTGGTGATCTGGCTTCCTTGCTTGACGACGAGGAGGTTTGGCAGGAGAAAGCGGTAGAGGCTGGGGACGGTGCAGTTTATGCCCCAGGTGGAGATCCGAAGTCGTCTTGGTAAGCTTCCCCCCCCCGGGCCTCCCCCGATCGGCCCTCGCTGTTCAATGAGCAATGAGGGGAGCGGGCAGCTCGCTTTCGTCATTGGGATGCAGCCCCACCTGAGGGGAGCCTTGACCTCTACGGACACGGCCGTACTAATAAGGTCCTTACATTGCAGAGACTTCAACACCCATCGCGGATTCTATGTCGCCCGCAATCATCTACGATGCAAGAGAGCCGTCCACGAAGGCTGCGGCGGATCGGCCATTGTTGCACTCATCCTGGGTGCTTCACGGTGATGCGCAGCTGTTGGAGCTCGACGGGAGCCCCGGTAATAAGTCGTCGGCTCGGGGTTAACGGTCAGCAGCGCCGGCTCCTCTGCCGATGGCCGCAGACGAGCGTCTTATCAACACAGTAGTACAACTAGTGGTACCTAGGTACGGAGTAGCAAGGGATCCCGCCCCTCGCGCAGCTGTGGCTTTTCACCACCACCTGGGCAGACAGAAGCTCCGCCTCGAGGCTGAATGCCCGGCATAGAGGCAGCCGGGCAGCCGGGCTGGTAGGATAGGTGTATTGGAAGCACCCAGCTGCTGCTACCGGGCAGCAAGTTGCCACCAAGGTGGACAGATGAAGACCGGCGTTCAGTTCAGCCTCGGGACGTTTCATGTTCTGCCTGGCAGACAGCCTGCCTGCTGAGCCTGCCTGCTGAGGCGGCCTGACAGGTCAGCCTGGTCTTGTCCCCGACCCGTCTCCTCGGTAAGATCTAGGCCCTTAAACCTAGGTAGGGCCTGGGACCTGGGTAATACTAGCCCTGCGCTATGGCTGGCGATGGTGCGCCTTGAAGCCGGCTTGAGCTGCGCCGTTGTGAGCCAAATAACCCACGGGCCAGCAGGGGTGCGCTCTCTCCTAACCGTTATCACAGCTGGTGAGGCCTCGGGCTATGGCAGGATGAACAGAGCAGAGTGGTTCCAAGTACGCGTGTGGCTCATCTCATCAACAAAAGATTTCATGGGTTCCAAAAATCACCCTTAGACTACCAGGTTGGCCGGGCTGGCTGGTTTCATCTAAGGCCGAAGCTGGAGCCCACGGAACCGCAGTGCCGGGTGCGAGAGCGCAGGTAGCCCGACCTTGTCTTGACGGTTGGTTCTGACAGTCCTGACAGTCCATTCCAGACAGTGCAGTAGAATAGACGGCGGGGGCCCCCAGGTGCCGATCCTGCCAGTGTTGCCAGGTTGTCAGCTCGTCAGAGCATAATGGAGCATATGGGGGATAATTACAGGTTTCTGCCGTGGGTTCCAGAAGATTGGTGCTCCATGTTCGTAGTTCGTAGTTCGTATGAGGGCCAATTGATGACAGTGGCATTGCTTCAGAATCAGCAGCTGGCTCTGGGCAGGGGGACCAGTGGCAATGCCCACATAACGCAGCGAAATGCACCGAAGTACAGGTGTCCAGGTGTCCACAGCCGGCCAAGTCTTCCTGTTGTGGTGTCGCATTGCTGGGCATGTGGTCTGAGGCGGCCGAGCTGGGCTTGCTGGCTGGCATTTTGTGTGCCTAGGTGCCTACTTGTATGTACTACATAGTCGTTGCAGGACACCAAGAAACGCCCTGATTGGCGGGGTGGCAGGGTGGCAGGGTGGCAGGGGGGGCCGAGTGGGCGCCGATGCCCGCTGACACTAACAAACCGCCCAACGCTCACACAGGGTTTCCAAGTTGCTAGCCAGTCCGCCAGGCCGCCTGGCCGCCCATTGATTCCCATTCCCCCACGCTCCCAGGTCGGCTGCGTGCCATCTTCAAGACGTTCTTTTTTACTTTTGCATTCCATCATCATTAGTCCACGCTGTGGTCCCATCGAAAAGCCCATTGCGTGGCTCTGTCCCGTCGCCAGTTTCTGCCTTGCCCGTTCTTTTGCTGTGCGAAGGCCGCCTGCTTTCTCCTCACCCCCAAGACCGGCTGCGCGACTCGATACCCAATCGTTTACTCGGTACGGAGGTACGGCCCTGCAAGACAGCTTGCAAGGCCTCGTGAGGAGCTGCGGGAGGGCCCTCCTTCTCGCCCAGGAAGCAAACTCCACGCACGTGGGCCCGGCCATGAACGAGTCTTGAGAGACCTCCTCAACGTCTCGACGTCTCGACGACGTCTCGAGGTCGTAATAAGCCACCTGCCGGCGAATCTGCATCATTACCCTGCCTCTGCGCAATCCCTATCTGGTATCCGCAAATCCCACCGCGGACCGCGAATCCCCATCTGGCCCACTTGCTCCCGGACTTGCGCGCTCACCCCAGCACCTGGGGCTTATTATTAGGTGCCTGCCTTACTTTTCGCCAGCGCCGCTTCATACGACCCTCCGCGAAGGCCTGCTCCCCTCTTCCAAACCCACCGATCGACCGCCATCCCTTCCCGGCGACGAAGCAGGAATCCCTGTGCTCGAGTCTCTCGCACGGCGACCGCACCGCCATCACCAAATCCATTCTGATCCCCGCGACCCCGTTACGTCACGCGAGGGCTGCCACCGCAAGTACTCCCAGCTTGTACACTCTCGGCCTGCGATCGCGACTTGGATAGCTGTGACGGCGGCGGCGGCGGCGGCGACGACGACGACGGCGGCGACGACGACGCCATCAACTCCAAAAGCGAGCCCCCCAACATGTCATTCCGAGGAGACGGCGGTCGGCGGTATGGCCATGTGCCTCCCATACAATATCCCGTCCCTGGACAGGAGCAGCACGCCTACCCTGCGAGGGCGAATAGCTTCAACGCCGGCGACGACGCGGCCCTCATAGACCACGACCGCCAGGGAGATGCCGACCCAGCCAGGCAAGCCGAACTCTTCATGGCCAGTCAGACGGCATCCTCCGGCCATCAGCGATACCAGAGCCAAGCCCCCCCGACCCCGTCGACGTACAACCCACAAGACTTTGGAAGATCGCAATCAACTCTGCCCTACCACCCCGCTTCAAGGTATGCTTCACCCGCCGCGCCCGCCGCGAACAGCTACAGCCCCCAGCCCGCGAGCTACACACCTCCCACATACGATCCCTCGGCCTATGCAAGTGTAGCTTCACCCCAGCGCCAACCGCCCTACCAGGGCTACAACTCATTTGCCCACAACTACACCAATTCCTCAGTGTCCCAGCCCTCGACCACCCCGTACGGCCAGCCGGCCAACCCTCCCTACAGTCCTACCTATAGCCACGGGAGCACGTCCCCACAGATCCTTCAGTCACCAGGTAGTAATCCGCAGTACGGGAACAGCCTACCCAGTCCTGGCCAGTATTCAGCCCATTCCACGCCGTCTATAGCCTCGACGGGCTTCCACTCGACCTGGACTGGGAACTACCCTTCGAACGGCACCACATCTCCCCAAGGCTCCTACGCAGCGCAGGCACCGTACCCGAACTACATCTCAATGCCCGTCGGGCCAAACTACTCCGCGGCAGATCCCAATGCTTTCATAAGCGACAACAGGTCTCGCTCTAACTCGCAGATGTCGGCGCTTCCGTCACCTCCTCCACACACCCAGCCCGCAGGTGTTACGAGACATCCAACAAACGCGCCTCTTCCGAGCCGACCAGTAGAATACGCGCCTGAAGATGATGAGTGGAACCCTATCGACGACTACATGACGCAGGATAGTCTTATGCAGGACATCGAGGCTGAACTGGGAGGGAATGCCAACACGACACGGCCCAGGCCGATCAACGGCAGCAACCTGTCTGATGACGATCTGGACCGGCTTAGGAGGTACGATTCGCGTGCCTCAACGGTCCAAGGGACTGGCGGCAACGGTAGTGTCAGGCGGTATGATTCGAACGCGTCGACCTTGAACCATGGCAACGCGACGGCTACCTACGACTGGGAAGACGATGAGAGCGACCAGGAGGGCGCCGCGGGCCTCGCGCAGATGGAGCAGGACCTAGAGGAGGAGAGGAGATTCAGCGGCACTACCCCGCTCTCGTCCGCGTCGTCCGCCCTACCCATCATGGGCCAGAACCTGCCGACGCCCGCGGAGGAGCAGGTTAGCGGCAGTGACGCCGAATATGCTGCTGGGATGGATATCGGCCTCTTCAGCGGTGGCTATGCCGGCAATCTGGCTTATGGAAATGACGTGACCCCTCCTCCGATGAGGACAACCTCGCTTCAGAACCGGGACCGGCCTCTACCGCCTCCACCAGTCGATCAAAATCCACCTTATCCTGACGACGACGACAGCGATGTAGACTACGGCGCGGCCATGGACTATGGTGGAACCGGTGGTTTGCAAGCCCCAACTACCCAGCGGCTCAGTTTTGACGAAGGTGACGAGCGTGTATCTCTGCATTCAAGGGCAAGCGCTAGTGAATCGCCTGTTAAGGAGGATCTTCCTGACCTCTTCTTCCATCCCGGGCTCTCAAATCGGCCATTACCTGCCTTACCGCCCGGTTCTGATACGAGCTCGTTGCTATCAGTACAGTCACCGAACCGCGGGGCGTATCAGCATAGTTACTCGCTCAGTGCCGACTCAAGGGCAGCTGGCCCCGACGGCCAGCTCACGACTCAGCAGCAAGTTGAGAGGTCGATATCGCTGTCTAGCCACAGCAATACGCCGCATGTTCAAGTGCCTGGGCGGTCAAGAACAGACGCGGCAGAAGAGAGAAAGAAGGCGCTCAAGGCCCAACAGCAACAACACAATGGGCTGCATCCCGGGACTCTTCACGAAGGGTACGAATCCGGCACACCGTCCTCGGTTGCTTACGATATGATAACCCTGCCTACCGGACGCAAGAAGAGGTTCGTGCCAGAGAAATTGTCCTCTTCAGACATCCGACGTTGTGTCGAGCCCTGGGCGCTGAGCAGCGTCGCCGCTTGGCTTCGGGAGATGGCCGAGGGCGAACCCGACTTGAAGCGAAAAGCGATCGAAGACGGCCTCATCAAGCTCTTTACTACCAAAGTTCCGACTATGAATGTCGCGGATGCGGAGACCCTAAGCACTATGGTCACGGATCGACTATACGACGCCGGTATCCTGATCGAGGAGGAAGAATGGGCCAAGTTTGGTCCTGGATCTTTGTCCGGTGTCCTATGGCAATTAACAGGATCCGGGTGCTATGCGCCAAAGCTCCATGAAATTGAGATATCCAGCAGATGCTATTCTCACCACTGCACGAGGACGCTCAAGAAAGCCAGTCTCGACGATCTCATGACAGAGGAGTCGACAACACATGCTGATTGGGCTACTTACTACAAACTCGACAAGAGCATGGTCGAGGACAGGACCCCGAAGGAAATCGAACGGCAAAATATCCTCCACGAAGTGGTTACTGGCGAGGAAGACTACATGAGCCAACTCGACGTCATCCGGCTTCTCTACAAAGATCAGCTGCGTGCATGGCAGCCGCCGATCATCCCTCCCGCGAAGATCAACGGTTTCGTGGAGAAGGTTTTCGGGAAGTTTGATGCCATTCAACACGTCAACAAGGAATATTTGCTCGCCCAGTTGAAGTACCGTCAAAATGAGCAAGGGCCGTGGATCGTCGGCTTTTCTGATATTTTCCGAGAGTGGATTCGGAAGGCAGAGCAGCCCTACTTGGAGTTCTCCACTGCCTATCCCCTTGCCCAGCTAGCAGTGCGAAAGGAGGCCACACGCAACGTACTTTTTGCCCAGTTCCTGGAACATGTGCGGGGTCACAAGCGATCGAATCGTCTGGGCTGGGACACATTTCTGAAGTCGCCTATCACGCGTCTGCAGAGGTACAGTCTTCTCTTACAGACTGTCTTGAAGAAGATGGTCCAAGACAGTGAAGAGAAGACAAACTTGACCAAGGCAATCGACGAGATCAAAGCTGTCACTATGAAGTGTGACGAAGCGGTGGCCCGCAGCAAGGGCAAGGTTGATCTCCATACCCTCCAAACAGCCCTGATTCTGCGGCCCGGTTTCCAGTCGGTCCTTAACCTGGATCATCTTGGCAGACAGTTGATACACAGAGGCGACCTGACTAGAATGGGATCCAAAGGCGTCCGATGGGTCGACACACATGCTCTGCTTTTCGACCACTATTTTATCCTGGCCAAGGAGTACCCTTCCAAGGATGGTCGAGACAAGAAATATGACGTGTCGAAAGAGGTATGCTATCATGTATTCCACCTGCGATATTACTGTGTATTGACCATCACTAGCCAATTCCTATGCCTTTGCTCTTCCTCGAGAGTAAAGATGACGCGGCCGTATCGAAGCAAAAGGGAATCACAGCACCTTTGGCCCGCCCCGTTGCGAACGGCCCCGGAGTAGCTGTCAACAAAACTCTCACCAATGTCTCAGAACGCCCTGTACTGGAACACAGCCAGTCAGGGTCCTCGATGAGCTCCCTCACTCGCATAAATACTACGCAATCTGATGCGGACAACATATTGTGGCCGTTCAAGGTGAAGCATCTGGGTCATGAGGTTTATACTCTGTATGCGAAGTCTGAAAACGAGCGCAACGCTTGGTGCACCAAGATCATCGAGGCCAAAGAGCAGCATGCGCGGGCTCTACACGCACAGAACGCGGAGCCCTTCCGTCTGCGTGTCTTGGCGGACGGCGCCTTTGCTTACGACTCATTTTCTGTGGCGGGTAAGGCACCGGGTGTTGCAATTCAGGGCACTCCTCTGGACCGGGCAATCCGCGAGATCGAGCAAGTTTATGGCACTGGCCGGCCGCCACCCGTATGCAGGGCTGTTGTAAACTGTGCCACGACCTTCACAGCGTTTGGCAAGTCCTTGATCGCAATAGGGACGGACTATGGCGTTTTCATCTCCGAGGCCTCGAATCCGCGAGGATGGACGAGGGTAAGTCTCAAACGAGCCCTGCACTTGTACTCTGGCGGAATACTGACCATACCCTCAAAAGTCTGTGCAAATCAGTAGGGTGACACAGATCGCAGTCCTCGAGGAGTTCTCCGTCTGCCTAGTCACCGCCGATAAGTCCCTGATCGCATATCCTTTGGAGATCATCGCACCAACGTCCAACTTTCCCGCCACTGGTAATGACAGTGCCCGGAAGGCACCGCAACGCTTGGCCAAAGACGTAACCTTCTTCGCCACTGCGCGGATGAAGGAGCGCACGCTCGTCTTCTACAAGCGCAAAGAAGGCATGCACACGACTTTCAAGGTCCTCGAGCCTGTTTTCCAGCGATCCTCGGAGAAGCGGCCACGGATCTTCGGCGGGCGGCGCGGCGGAGCCGGCTCCACGGAAACGTTCCGCGACTTTGACGAGTTCTACCTCCCAACAGAATGTTACTCGCTCAATCTCTTCCAGTCGTACATTGCAGTGGCAACGGCCAAGGGATTCGAGATGTTGACCCTGGACAAGAAGCAGACAATGTCCGTCCCTAGCGGGCTGGATATGCCTGCCATCGCTAACATCGCCAACCGGATACGGGACCAGCGCCCGCTGGGCATGTTCAAGCTCAACGACCAGGAGTTCCTGCTGGCATACGAAGACTGCGCCGTGTACGTTGACAAGCACGGCGAGGTCTCGAGGACGTTGATCATGGAGTACTCGGGTAAGCAGAAGAAGGCCAGGGGCGCGACCATGTTCGGGCAATACCTGCTCCTCTTCAACGAGGACTACGTGGAGGTGCGCAACGCCGAGAATGGGCGGCTGAGGCAGATCGTGGCCGGGCGCGACGTGCGCGTCCTGGACCAGGGCTGCCGCGGACCCACGGGCCTTGGGGGCATCGGAGCGGGCGCTGTGACGGCCGGGTCGGCCGACTCCAAGGGCACCGTCAAGATCGCCATGAGCCACCCGGAGCTGAAGCCAAACTCACCTGGCGTGCAGATCGTACTAGAGCTGGTGCTCAACGAGGGGCACGACAAGGCTACCTAGTGGGCGGGCCGGGTTCCCCGGAGGGTCGCAACGGTGTGATGTCGGACCCGTCCGATGTGCAAAGGAAAGGGTAATATGACATGATGAGCTGATGAAGTCTGTGGGAATTCCACGCATCTGTGTAAGCATCGGTGGACAGGGGGAATATAGCATATTTGGGGTGGGTGTCCATCTGGTGCTGGCCCCTCTCACACGCTTCATCGAGCGCCAGCATTTTGCTTGTGGTGGTTGGCGCCGTGTAAGGATAAGCATTGGCAAAATATGCTGGCCAGGCATAATTCGTATTAAACTTGACATTTACTGACGGGCCGCCAGGCCGCCAGGCCGCTTGGATGATGATGATGATGATGATGATGATCACCAACCGCCAAGATGCATACATTTGTTTGTGGGGAATGGGAAAGCCATACAGGCAGCTCAGACAGAGGTCGGCCTTGTTGAATACGATGAAGAGAAGGTCTTGCGGCAGACTTTCTCTAGGTCGGCGCCGCCTTTTGAATGGGCCTCGTCACAGTCCATCACGCATGTTTCCTCGATATCTTGTTTGCGTGACGTTATAGGGTGGGCCTATTCCTAATTAACTGCGATGAGCGAGAGCTCATCCAGGGCTCCGATAGTATCGACTCGGGGCGAAGGAAACCAGTCCTGCCTCGATCCCCATCTTTGTTTGAACGTGTGTGCGATGAACCCATCTCGTCAACCAGCAGCTACTTGTCTTCCGAGGCCGCTTGCTTACTTGCCATGAGCCAATTGCTCTTCAAGTCCCCTACTCCTTGTGGATGGGGCCGAGTGCTGCGAACAGTGGGGTTATTGACCATTTCGTAAAACGTTCCACTTGCATCTCGACATCAAGCGCTAACCAATCCACATCGGCGGTATTGTATGATCGCTGTCAACTCCATCATCGCACAGCGTACTTTTTAGCCATCAGACTCAGCTCGCGCAGCAGAACTGGTATTCTTATTCCAGGTTTGGCATGTGAAGGGGCATTCTGAGCCCCTGGGATGATCGACCCCTCTTATTAACTCGTGCTCTTTGGATTCCCTCTTTTTTTCGGAAACATTGTCCATCAATAAGTCCTAACAAAGCGGGACACGAAAAATGTACTCCTTGACAAGAAGACTTCCCAATTTCGAATTCTCTCTCCCTCCAGATACAGGCCAGAACGCAGTCAAGGTGCGACCATGCGTCAAAAACACCTGCATCTCCTCGATCCGCACCTCCCTTTCCATTCTCGCCATCTTCCTCCGTATCGCGCGCGGGCGTTCAGCCTCGAGGTATCAAAAAGTCTCAAACACAACTCCAAAGAGCCCTGGACAGCCAGGGCGCCAACGTAGAAAGAAGAGAAAATGGGGTGCATAGGTAGTTAAATGTCGTGTAGCGGATAAAAGAAATTTCGTAATGTGTAGGTGTGAATAAACCCGCAATAGGGCGAGCTGGGTATCTCGGGCCACATATCTCAAACTTTCGTCCCCAAGTCCAGTAATCGCAGCAATTCCGACGCAGGCAAATGCAAACTCGATCCAAATCCGACAGACGAAGATTCGAGAGGCTTCTTAAAAGAGAAAAAAAAAAGGATGAAAACAAGCGGTATCTCGGGCCTTTTGTCCATCAGGCGCACGGAGTGTGTGGGACTAGGTGCGCCCCGTCTTGGTTGTGTCGCATAACGGGTCGTTACTTTATGTTCTTGAAGAGGTCGTCTCCCAAACTGCCCTGTTCGCCGTCAAGGTCGACCTTGGACCCCAGGGCCTTGAATTCCGGGATCATGGGGGGCGGCGGCCCCCTCGACTTGGGACTGGAAATGCCGGGCTTCTCGTTCTCGTTCGAGGTGGAAAGTCTGCTCGGGCGGGTGTTGTCTGTCGCGTCATGGGAGCTCCGGAAGCGGCGAAAGAAGCCAGAGGCTCGCTTGGACTGCTTTTCGGTAGTGACGCTGGCGTTGCTGCGGCTGGTGGGGCGGCTGTCCGGTTTCCTGAGGGCCTGTACGCCAGCATCTCCTGCTGCGGTGTCTCCGTTAGCATAGGCCGAGTCTAGTCGGTTGCGGCTCAACAAACGTCGGATGCTGCCCTGCCCGGTCCTGATGGAGGTTGGAGAGCTGGGTAGAGGCACGTCCTCTGCGGACCGCTTGGTGCCGTTGGCGTTGGTCACAGCTGGCGAGGTGCCATTGGTCGCGGTGGAGGACTTCGCGGCGTCCTCGGCTGCTGGCTTTGGGGCTTCTGGTTTCTCCTCTTCTATGGGCGACGGCAGAGGTGGCGGTATATCGGTGCCCTCGGTCAGGGAGCCGAACTTGAGGTCGAGAGCTGGCAGCTGGAACTTGCCATTGATCAAGGACGGCATGTTTGCTGGATGACTCGATCGAATGCAAGGAGTGGGCTGATGACTGGGCACGGATCGTCCGTCTGATGGTGATTGTGATGGTGAGAGGAGGTCTCGTGGGAGAGAAGGTGCAAATGTCGTCAGGGGTAAGTCGGGGCGATATGAGCCGGAGTCAATGCGTCGAGGCAGGCAGTCTCTGTTGGATTTGCGTCCTCGTCTTCGGGCCAGACCGAGAAGGCAGGGCTACGGTCGAGGTGGTGTGTGTGTGTGTGTGTTATTAAGGAGAGTAGCAATGGGCAGCAGGGGCAGCGGGTTCCAAAACGGGACGAGGAGTGCACAGTAGCAGCCGTGAGAGCGCCGGTGAAACCTCAGCAGGTCATGGACTCGATGGACGAGAAATGTTTCAGAATCTCCAGAGCGGGCTTTCTTCCTCTGTCCCGGGCCTGGAGACGAGTGACAAGGACGGGACCAGGGACGATGTCAGGCTTCCAGGAGGGAGCTCAGACGGTGCTGGGGTGGAGCGACGCTCCAGAGGACCCTGTCGGCCAAATTGACGAAAGAGGACCCAAGATCTGGATTATGGCCTGGGGTGCTGGAGCCCTGGGGGGGGGTGCCAGTTGCTGGCCGATGCCAGGTGGGGCGTCGGGAATTATTGGACAGGTCAAGTGCGCCTGCCTGGTCTACAAGTGCGGGCGTGAGGGTGAGGGCGAGGGTGCGAGGGTGACAGTGGTGGTGAGGACCTTCGGATGGTGCCCCAGGTCTTTGAACACAGGTCGCACTGGTCAGCTCGGATTGGCAATAACAAGACGGATGCTTGAGGATGGTGTAGTGTTCTCGACCCAGCCATGGGTGGTGGGGAGCTAGTCGAGGTGGGCGCCGAGGTCAATGGCAGCAAGGAGAGAAGTCACGACAGGAGGGACCACACAACGGGCGGGTTGATGTGGGTTGGTTGTTGGTTGGATGTTGAATGCTGACTGGTGACGGGCGCTGGGTCGTGGGAAAGGGGAGAGGAGCTCCGGGGGGACAGCTGAAGAGAGAGAGAGAGAAAGAGAGCTAGCTGCTATGTACTGTGTAGCTACTGCTAGCTTGGAGGCCTGAACAGGAAGGTGGAGAAGGCAGGAACTGGGTTCCAACCTGTAACGCACTGGCATGCAGGCATGCAGGCATGCTGCACGCCTAACGCTGCTGCGAACCACCACAAAATCATCGCCCATCCACCAAACAAAAGTTCCGCATGCCCTAGCCCGGGCGCCACTCGGCTGTCACCATCCATGTAGCCCACCTGGGTGCCTGGCCTGGCCTGGCTTTTGATTCCTGCCGTCTGACCACCTCCGCGCCCGGCACCCGGTGCCTGGTTCCTGACCAAGCTGCAGGCAGGGCTTCAACGGTCAATGGACTGCCGCTTGATGATGTTTCGGGTCCTGTTTCCACGACGCCCGCGGCCTCAGGTGCCCGAGCAGGCGACACGGAAATTGACAGCTGTGCCCCTGCCTACCTAATAAGTAGGTACTATGATAATTTAGTACAATTCTTGTCTATCTCAGAGTGTCATCGGGCCTCGTCACTCGAACCCTCGCGCTCGGCCCGTAATTAGAAATGGGCAGCCAGCGCCGACGGTTCGGGAGCCCAGATGCCTGTTGGAACCCACCTGCTGCTAAAGTTGCTGCTAACGCTGCTGCTGCTGCTGCTGCTGTTGCTGCCCCCCTGATCCTTGGTGCGCCCTCCGTGCCAGCCTGCCAGCATGCCCTACACAGTACCTGGGTAGGTACATAACACAAAGCATCAATCATCACACGAAACACAGCATTGTCTGCCACTCCCGTCGAGGCCCAGCAACGCAACACAGCAAAAGGGGGCCGCTGTCATGCAATGCAGGCCGTCGTTGGCTCTGGTCGATCCCGCCACCCTCCCGCACCAAGGGTCTCCCTTCCTTGCCCTCCAAGCCCTTCTGGGAGCGCTCCTCGGCGGGAGATAGGCTCGAGATCCCGCCCCGCTCAGGCACGCTTTCGCTCGAGGGCACATGATAACTCCAGTGCCCCCAAACTCGACGTCAGACAAGCATCATTAGTAATAACAGGTGGATATGCATCCCACCGCGTCAATCAGTTGTCAACATAAACACCCTCCACTCTCGCTTAACAAGAAAAAATTGCCTCCGCTTTGCATCTCAAGCCTGCCATAACAGCAACTAGTAGTAACCCCTTGGTCTCGTTTCCTCCGTCGACGTCCTCGCGTCAGGAGCGGGTGCACCTGCCCGGCAGGTCGAAAAGCTGTCTCAGACAACGGCGCCGTGCCGACATCGTGTCCAGCCTTCTGACCATCATCCATCCCACCAATCTCTGTTCTCCGAGGCACTGTGTGGGTCTTTCTCATCTGGAGGGGGTTGAGTACTGTGGTACTATACATTGCTCATATGCCCTGGGGTTTTCATCAGCCCACCCTGATCTTACGGCTTTCCAGTTGACAACCATGGTTCCCGAGTCTGTTCTGCAATTTTGTACATCAAAACTCCGAGTCAGGAACAGAGTATTCCCACAGTCTTTCTTTTTTTCACACGCGTAAATTGACACTCAATCACCTGCGAGTCTCGTGATGGTCTGAAAGCCCACTTTCCACTTCCGTAAAGAAAAAAGAAAAAGGATGCAGACTGTTCCCTGTGGCTTGGCTTCCACTGCTCTGAGTTGAGATACTTGTGCCGTGTAGTCCAGCCCCCGAAAAGTAATTTCCCAGGTTCAACAGCTGCGCAATGTCTACTCCACTGTGCTCATGTGTTACAAGTTTGTGGAGACAACCAGTCTCAGTATATCCATGGTTTTCTAAGGGACATCTACCACCTAGGGCTTTACTATGAAAGTATTGATAACAATGACGGCTACTGCTTAATGGCTTTCCTGGGCTCCAGAAAAGGCAATAGTCTGTATAGCATTATGCCTGCACATGTGATAATTGACATCAATATGATAGTCTTTGATTGACTCAGGTTTCAGCTGGATTGTGATAAAAAGACAATGAGCCTGGAAGAATATCAATTTACACCTATCCCACAATTTCTATTATTTTTCAGGTTCTTCAGAAGAAATTCAAACTAGGCAGAATAAAAGGGGAATGCTATTGCACCTCTTGGGGTAGTCATACTGCCCAGGCCGTTCTTTTCTTAGGCCATGAAAGTCTCGAGTCCTCTTGCGGTCTTGTGTCCATGCTGACTTTACAATCTTCCACCCACCCATACATACATATATGTATGACCCCTAGCAGATCGAGTCGCAGAAACAGACAGGGCTCTGTTCAAATCACTTGAATATTGCAGCCAGCCAGGTCCGTGGGAATCAACACCTTCAAGGGGCTCAGGGGTAGGGGTGTGTCTTGGATGCTGTCCAGAATTTGCAAAGCCTTTCAGGAAGTGGCACACCCTGGGAAGGGCTGCACAGCTTCCCGTGGAGAGTTTCCTTGCGGGGATGGTTGCGGCCCTGTTATCTGAGTAACTGACGTGCTACCACAGCCTGAGCAGACCGGCATATCTCCCTTCTTGGAATCTCCATCGTCGATCGCCAGGCAAAATGACTTTGAACAGTCTCCACAATTCCAGTTGCTGTACTGAAACATGGTGGTGTCAAGTTGGTGGTTTTGACTTTTGATGATACGAGGCTGCTTTTGGTCTGGGAGCTAGTTACCTAGGTCTGTTCACCCAGATTTGCCAATAGGTCCTGTTTCCTCGGAAGCACCCGTTGAGATATATGCACAGTGTCCCGTGCTCTCCCGAGCAAGCCTTTCTCTTCCAGTCTTGGTTATCAAACAAAGTCTTTGTGAAGCTATTGCCGCAACCACAATCGTCTCCCTCTTTTGTCCTGGTCCACTCTAGGGTACCTCTGGGTGCAGACAAAGCAAGGGCCAACCTGTGCTTTCAGGCGGCAGGGACAAGGTAGAAACACTTCAAGCAACGGGATGTACCCCACACTGGCTCATCTGATCTGGCTTGCAAGAATCTATACCATGAAGGCCCGGCCCTGGCAGCATACGCAAGAAGGAATGGGGCCTCTCCAACCTTCATCACTTCTATTACAGCGTGGATGCTGTGTTGCCACGTGTACAACCGTGTCTTGTCGTATGCCCAAATGGCCACAAGGACTTCCGGCTGTGCCTCCCCCATCCTCGAGTCCTCCACATCACAGCCAACTGTCTGTTATCTTCCAGCCATCTTCCAGCGAGCAACCATGCCACCAACAACACATGAAAACATCGTCACCGGACCATGCCTAGCAACGCTTCCAAGAAGATAGACCATTGCCCACTGACTCTGAAGCCCATCGATTGTTGCGTTCCACCCCCTTGGGTGGTGGAGTCCGGCGCTCCTTCAAGATCTCGTCTAGGGTTTTATCGAGTTGTTCCAGGTCCTCATCCTCGGCACCGATCCACCAACCCGTCCTGGCTGGCTCCTCCTCCGCTACAGCAGTGTGACCAGGGGCAGACGGGCGATCAAGGCGCTCCTCCTACTTCTGGCCTGTCGCATATTTCTGTGTCCACTCCCTGGCCGTCTGAATAGCGGCCTTCTCATCCTCCTTCCATGACTTGGCGACGTCTGCAGCAAGCGGGTCGTCTGGGTTGGGTGCGCCGAGGAGGGCTTGGATTGAGAGGAGGATTGTGCGGATCTGGAGGGCAGGAGACCAGTTGTCTAGTGTTTTGTCAGCTCGAGTTCACCATGCTGCCAGCAGAAGCCTGGACAGGAGTGGTTGTCATATGCGCACTTTTCAGGACGTCAAGGCAGATACGACCAAGCTTGTCGACGTTGGGGTGGAAGATCTTGGTGAGGAACCGGATCTTGGGTGGTGTCATGGGGTAGTCGTCCGGGAGGAACAGCTCCAACTTGAATGTGCCACCTAGAATTCACCAGTCAGCGCCGTTCGCCTGTCTTGCAGTACCGGACATGCCGCACCTTGGTAAGGGGAGGAGTCCGGGCCGTCGATGGTGACATCAAAGTAGCGAAGGTTCTCCTCGTGAGGAACCGCACTGATTCCGGGCACGCTGGGAAAGGGAGTCAGATCAGGAGTTGGGGCCTACGCCACTGGGTGGACAGGTAGCATACGGCTCAGCCATCAGACGCTCGGTCTCCTTGATGATTCTCTTGGGCAAAGCCATGTTGAGATTCTACTGCAGTGTCGCGCAGCAGGCTTTTGTGCGGTTGGTAGCTGAGGGGTTACGTAGGAAATCCGGATCTTCCTTGAGCCAGAGGACCACGGGTCTTATCTGGAATCAAGCGCACGAGATGCGCAGCTTGGTTTGGACCAGCGTGGCGCAGTCCGACACTGCAGGGGCACGGCAGTAACTAGCCCACGAGCGGAGGCGTGGTATAAGAGAGAGTTGTAAATGTGGGTTGGGTTAGTAAGTGGTGGAAAAGAGGAGTGGTAAGCCTGCAAACGGGGGAAGACTAGAAGCTGAAGTCGACGGTGATGGTATCATTGGTTGCTTTGTACCGACTGTTCCAAGAAGGCAGCAAGCATGCTTGGTGGGATGTCTGCCAGTCTGCCAGGGAGGGGGCGGGCTGATTAGATAAGAATTTTAGTACGGAGTACCCCGGTACGTACCAGCTCAGCAGGAGGCGGCTCGAGCAGCACCAAGGAGTGAGACCCCAACCCCCTGGTCATGTCAACCTCAGCCTGTCACCTGGTGCATGGGCGCAACTTTGCCATGTCCTTGAGATCGATATTGACGAGATTCCTATTCCCAACATTGGCTTCGTGTACTTTCCCATTCATTCTACGATGACAGTCTGCCTCAGACACCACATGATTCAAGGACTTCTTCCCATGTGATTAGAAAAAGCAATGGTCCCCCAGAGAAGTGCCACTCCTAGGGCACTGACATAATGCCTCTAGCCTTTGACCAACTCAAGGCCTCGCCGAAAAAGGTGAAGACTATCAAATCCGCTTATGAGAGCGAGAGCTTTGATGCAGATGGAACCATCCATGTGGATGGTGTGGTTGGCTCTGCCACAATATCACCATCCGGCCGAGACGTCGCTCTTGCGTCCCCGGAAGGATTGGCCATTATCGACCTCGACTCTCCCTACAGCCCGCCTCGCCGCCTGAGCAGCCATGGACTCCCGTGGCTTGTGGTTGACGTCCAGTGGTCACCGTTCGCCGCGCGGGACTACTGGGTCGCATCTACCGCCAACCATCGATGTCTCGTCTGGAACTTGAACCTGCGCGATGACTCGACTTCTGGTGCCATTGAGCACTCGCTGCAGGGGCACACCAGGGCAATTACTGACATCAATTTCTCCGCCCATCATCCTGACCTTCTGGCAACTTGTGCCGTAGACGGCTACGTCCATTGCTGGGATCTGAGGCGGCCGAGGCAGCCAGCTCTTACATTCTGTGACTGGTTTGCTGGGGCCACCCAGGTCAAGTACAGTCGCCAGGATCCATTCATCATCGCATCTTCTCACGACAGGTGGCTCCACATATGGGACGAGAGGAAGTCATCTGAGCCATTGAGGTCCATCAGCGCTCACACTTCCAAAATTTACGGCATCGATTGGAATCGCTTCACTCCAACCGCTATTGTTACCTGCTCATTGGACAGGAGCATCAAGTTCTGGGATTATAAAAATACCGAGGACGTTCCAGAAAGGGTCATCAGGACTGAGTTCCCAGTCTGGCGTGCAAGACATACGCCCTTTGGAAGAGGGCTCCTCGCCATGCCCCAAAACGAACCGGGACATCTGTATCTTTTCGACCGGCGCATGGGCCCTGATACCCCTGTTGACGGACAGGTTGAGCCAGTTGCAACATTTGAGGGCCATGGTAATCACAAGGCAAAGGAATTCCTCTGGAGAGCCCGCGGTGGCATCACCGAAGACAGTCTCGACAACCGCGAGTTCCAGCTCGTATCCTGGGGCGAGGACAATAAGCTCCGTTTAACACGTACGGATCCTCACGTCCTGGAGTCAGTGGGCCATGTCAAGGGCATGGCGGCAAGAACAAATCTAGTTATAACTCGAAAAGGTGCCACATACAAGACCTTCCGGACCGTAGACGATGGCAATACCCATCGGCGGACAGCGACCATGAGCGACTCACGGAACGGGGCGTCTCGCCAGAGCGCACTTACTCTGGGTATGAAACTACCATCGTACCGGACGGGGCCTTCCTGGAAAGGACCGTCCATGAAAGCTAAGAATTCGAGAACCGGCAAGGTGGATAGGAGCCAGGCCCAGATGAACTGGATGAGAGGTATCACGATGACTAAGAGGAAATCGAGTACCGACCTTCCGCAACGAGCAGCATCTAAAGATTCCTCGATGTTCGGGCTAGTTTTTCATGACGACCAGTGGGGCGACCCAGAGTCGCTACAAGAAGAGTTTGTCCGGATCAGCACTCAGTTGCCCAACGTCAAGTGGGACAGTATCGACATGGACACGCTTATACTCAACGCCTCTTTGAAGGGCCCGTGGGGCGTGGACGGTGATGAGATCTTCATCAAAGTCAAGGCTGATATTCCTCATGCCTACCCCAAGAACAAAGCACCCAAGTTCATCATCGAGAGAAATGCCTTTATGCCGCCCGGTGCTCATGAAAAGCTCGAAAGCGAGGTCCACCAGATCGCTCAACAATTCTTGAAACGAAAACAGAACTGCCTCGCGGCAGCCTTCTCGTACCTGCTTGGAGAGGCCGACCTAACTCAAAGCACGACTTTTTTCAAGAACGTGCGCGACCTCGACGACGGCATAGATGTGCTCGCCGACGAGAGCTCGAGCGATGATTCTGACAACGACATCCCAGCTGGGGCATCGGCATCCATGTCCATGTCTCAGGAACTGAGCGCCAGCACCGAGATCGATAATACTCTTGCGCCGAGCCACCGTCCAGCCATACCTCCAGTGATCAGAACGTGCGGCGCTCGCTTTTCAAATGATGGGCGACTGGTCAGCTTCTTCCCAACAAAGGAAGCCAAGGCTCTACTCTTCAGCCCTAATGAGAATTTCAGAGAGCGTCCCAAAGACCAGCCCACCTTCGCCGGCTTTGGCCGTCTGACTCATGAGTCTCCTCCGCGGCAGCGTTACCTTGATGGTGACGCCTCGGTCAACGATGATGCATCAGCCATGTCAGACGATTCAGATGACTCATCGTCTTCAAGCGATTCAGAGATGACCACCATGCATAAAATCAGTCTGTGGTACCGTCCAGGCCGCCGCCTCCACAAGACCTGGAGTGCGAACGAGTCCCTCCGCTCGAGTGGCGGAGGGACTGGCGCAGGTACAGGAACAGGCACAGGAACAGGAACCAATCGTCGCCGGACCGGACGACCGAAGAACATAGTGTCGTTGCACGACATGCGGGACATGCTACCGTCGAAGAAGCAGTTTGCCGAAGAGTATATAATCTTTGGCGACGGCGCGTACGTCTGCGAACACAATGCTTACGTGGCGGAGAAATATGGCTACTACGATTTAGTCAACATATGGAGATATGCGGCACTTCTCTTGAGATCAGACATCCCGCTAGAGTTACATGAGCATCGCCACAAGGACAAGTCTGTCCTCGTCATTGCCAAAGATGCCCTTTCGAAGTACAGGAGCGACGAATACAGTGCACGTAGCGACGAGCACCTCAGAGGACGGGTCAAGTGGGGCCATCACCCACTCGCGCAAGATTTTGTCCATGATTTGTTTGACTATTTCGAACAGATGGGAGATGTACAAATGTTGGCGATGCTCTCGTGCATATTTGGAGAGTCATCTGCGGAGGACAGTGTGGCGTATGCCGAATCTCGTTTGACACAGCCAGAGACACCGCTGCCGATGAAAGCGCCATCGTTCTCGTTGGAATACTTCCCGACAGATGCGGCAGAATGGAGCATGGAGCGGAGGAGTGGCTACAGCTCGGCAGTAACCACACCCCGAATGTCGCAGACGCCTATCGTGTTTTCTGACCCACAGAGCCCGGATGTACTCTGGATGGGAGATCCATCTTCACAGTCGTACTCGACTGGTGAGACACCGCCACACAGGTTCTTCAAAGACCATCATCTCAGTGAGATAGACCACACTCAGAGCCTTTCCACATCACCAAATGATCGCGCCATTCGTCGGTCTCAGTCCGCTCTGGCATCAACATTTACTTCGGGTATGCCACGTGGGTTCACTTCGTTAGCTTCCTCATCTCCTCCAGGGCGTAAGCGCCCCAGTCCGGCTGAGAGAATCATGGAAAATATATCCCATATCCATGGCAACATTACTTGGGGAGGTTCAACCTATTTCGGAGCGCCATCGGAAGCGACAGAGACAGCAAGAACGTCAGTATCGGATGACGAATTCCGCAGAGATGAGCTCGTCTCCACGATACCGGTTAGCGTAACCGTAACCGTGGAAGACGAATCAGCATTTGATGACGATGGGTGGCTGGCCACGCCTCTCCTGGACCCCAGCCGTGGTCTTGATTACGCGGGATATCGATACGCGTATGCCGAAATGCTGCAAATGTGGTGCCTCCCACTCGCGCGGTTGGAGATCATGAAGTTCAACGTCCTGAAGGAGGGCAGCTGGAACGAAGGAGCACGTCTCAGCGCTGACAGCAGCTGTATTGAATCCGCTATCCATGATGTCAGCCAATCCGCTACAGGTACGACCTCTCCTACAATTATACTTGGTGGTAAGCGCGAACAACTCCATACCCTGCAAGCATCTGGCCGCGGTCTCGACGTAACAGGGATTTGTCGCGTCCATGAGATGCAGCTACAACCACTACAGTATTCCCAAACCCCCTCTCTGGGTGGGGCTGTCGGTGTTTGTGAGAGGTGTAGGCGCACGCAGACACAACTTACGTGTGTGTTCTGCCACGAGTCCATAGACGCGCTCTACCCAGCTTGCCTGGGCTGCGGCTGCGTCTTCCATGAAAATTGTCTAGCTGAGTGGCACAGCATGGGGGAGACGGAGTGTCCTGCTGGTGATGATTGCGAGTGTGTCACGGAGGCAGGCAAGGGTCAGGTAGAGACCTGGGTGGCCATGAGGGCGGCTTTGGGCATGGGGCGCGAGAGGACCGAGACTTACGGCCACTCGAGGGCGAAGACCAGTCACGGCGAGAAGGACATTGCCAGGGAAAGGAGTGGCAGCGGCAGCGGGAGCGGGAGTACTTTGTCCTCTGGAGCTGGACTTGGCAAGGCCGCGGTCATGGTGAGCAGACTCCGACGAAAGTCGGCGCCGGCGCCGTTTTCGATAGGCCCCGAGGGCGATGCTGATGATCAGTCTTTCACCCCTGCAGCCGGGCCGGACTCCCCTGCGAGCGTCTCGGGCTTTCAGGTGAGATCACCTCTCGAGCGCGAGAGTGACGGTGACAGCCTCGCCTCTATGCCGTCCGCGAGCTCAGCGAATACGCCTGCCAAGCCGAGCCCACTTGGTCCTGGAGTGTCTGCTGCGCGCGTGAGCCTAGGGAACAGACTCAAAAGCCTTGAGGCTAGACGTCCTAGCGGCTTCAGGCGGAAGAGTGGTGACAATGATGGGGGCCACAGTGCCAGCGGAAGTGGCAAGAAGGGCAAATAATGAGCAGTCCAATTTCATGTAAAGGGACTGTGTTGTATTTCAAAGTGTGTATGTTATACTCGTGTTTTATAAGTTTAGACTTAGTATCAATTACTTTATATACTTTTACTTTTATTCTATATATATTTAAGTATATATATAGTGCCTTTATATAGTAGTAAGTATTTAAAACTTTATATTTAAAAAGAAGATAATATTAATAATAATAATTTTAATTTAATAAATATTTCTAACTTTAATTTTATATAATAAGTTTATCTTTCTTTAAGTTTATATTTTTATTATTAATAATTATTAACTTATTAATAATATAAAAAATATTATAAAAATAAAAATAAAGAATTAAAAGTTTCTTTAAAAAATACTATAAGAATATAGTATAAAGGAAAAATATAGTGTGGCTGAAGCCCTAGGTATATGTGCCTTAAGATCTCTTAGGCCGTAAAGACATTAGTCTTTCTAATAAGGATGCTCGCATCTCCAGTGTGGCCAAGTACAACCGATTAACTCCCTCTACTAACACTGCATGTGACCCAACCACGGGTATGACGACAGAAATGGCAAAACTTTGATCTTCTCCGTGAATCAGAGTCCTCAAATAACACAAAAAAGGGAGTCTATCACAGTTCTGTATTCCAGTGTGAACTGCTAAAAGCTTTTGTATGCCAACCTTGCCTCGAACAGAATAATGTCCACAGTCGTAGTCTGAACGTGATGCAATGGTGGCATCTGAATGCTCTGCCCTGGCATGTCTTGAGTGAGCGCGGACGAGCTTGGGCTTATGATAAACGACCAAGGCCAGCGGCTTCACCGTGGAGACCACTTGAAAATGTGGTGGTTGTTGAATAGTCGTGATGATCTCTGTTATAGGTGGAACCCGCAGAACTTCAAAGAACAAGGGCGACGGAAAGCATGGTATCCATTCGTTCTTTTTCACTGAACAGTTGTAACGGATCGGAGGCTCTGAGGCTTGTTGTGTGATTGTGCATTGTCCCTGGGTCTTGTTTCGTATGTTCCATGTGATTGGATAGGGTGGTGGAAGGGCCCCATGATTTGCGTTGCATCGAAAGCCTGGCAGCGCTCTTTTGAGGGATTGGGGGCGCCTCTTCATCTGTTTGGTGTAATATGGACGTATGTGCCGCCGCCGGTTCTGGTGAGGAAGAGAGAATTGCACATGCAATGGTTGTCGATTCCCGTAAGCAGGGAGATGGAGGACGCAGCGAGGTCTCTGGAACACGATCTTCCGTGAATATTGTTTGAATATCCGTTTGAAAACCTGAAGATTTCTGAGATGCCGCACGTGTAGCCTTGCCTGGATGACTCAGTCTCTGAGATCGAAGTCTGGTCATTCCCAGTAACCTGTGAGGCCTGAACCTCATGCTTGATTTGGATCTTCGAGAGTCACTCATGAGCTCTTTTCTCCACCGAATATACTCGTCCATTGTCGGTGCGCAGATACATATGAGTCCTATCGCTATTTCTATTTGACTTCGCATTGTGGTCGAGTGGTTAGCAATTTTCTTTAAACACATGCTGATAGAGGGGGAAAGGAAAGCCCAAGACAGAATGATGGTTATGTTGTCATTGACATACGCGAACAAACTCAGCCTCACAAAATCCAGAGTCAGGTCTCTCGTCTCTTGTGAATGAATCACAAGCACCATGCGCACGAGCTGGACTGCAGTTGCCAACTAATGAGATGAAAATTAGAATGTCAGCATAGCTTTCTACCATTGGTGTGAAAACTGGTATGCCAAAACAGGCTTGCAGATCCGAGCTGACGGGGCTCGCCGACTCAATTAGTTACTCACACTTCCAGCTCCCAGCATCAAATACATCTTCAAGCGAGCCACCCGAAGCAATATCAACGGGAGCGCTATCAGCATCACCAGGATGTCGGTGATGACCGCCCCGATAGCGTCAGATAGAAAGACCAGCCGGTAGTCGTAGCAGTTTGATTCTTCACTATAGTCCCAATATCCTCGTATCGGCCTGCACGTCATGATCTTAAACACAGTCAAGGGTACATGATAGCCCACCATGACAGCGACGAGGCCATATCCGACGCACGTAAAGAGCCTGTTGCCCCGAAACGCCCGCACGGCGATGAGGAGTAACGTACACTTGATGAAAAGGGCAGCAGGGGTGTGGGCGATCGAGTTCCAATAAGCAGTCTCCAGGAAGCTCTGGAGCTGTGGCACTGTGACCTCCCAGACGTGGTGGCCACCACCGTGCTCTGCGAAGACAATGCCACTTGTAAGGTATGCGATGCCGAATAGGACTGCCGCGGCGCAGGGCCAGTCGTCGACTCGCAGGGGAGATGAGAGCTTCCACGGCGTGTATATGCGCACCAGGAGGAAAGGAATGGGGAGAATGAGCGCCAGCACCGTTATTGCCAACCCGATACTGCGAAGCACATCTTGCCCCTGCGGGGGTGGTTCGGCGCCTTCCACTTGTGCTGCCTGCTCAGCCATGGCTTTTGGTTGTGCTGCCGGTCTTTTGGCAAGAACACTGTCGTTCTGAGATACTACATCGGTGGATGAAAGATGACCAAGATACTGTTCCAGCTTGCCATTTGATCTAGCTTTGTTCACGTCATAATATGGTTTCTATCACGAGCTTTGATATACATGTTGAAACGCCTGGCAGCGCACACGGACGGCAGCTTGATTCATGCAAGCAAAGCTTGAACGGCCTCGAGGTCGAGGCATCTCCAAGCACATGGTAGCCGTAAGATAGATAGATATACGAGTCATATTGGCGCTCGGTCTGGGCGATCGAAGTCTGTTTGGGGAACACATCTTCAACCAGCCCAGTAAGAAAGAAGTACAGAGCAAGACAAGACGATATGATACGGAGAACCCTGGCGGCTCAGAAAATGCAACGCACACTTTGGTGCCTTTGCCTAGGCTGCACTGGACGGTTGATCAACACACATGTTATATCTCCAAACCAACCGATATCAGGCGTCAGTAACGGGCACCTGGATATCCATGATCTGAAATTTTTGAGCAGCAATTGCCTGGGCGAGCAGCGTTGAGTGTGAATGAGACTACTCATTTTCGAAAAGCAAAGCCTGCTTGGTACGAATTGAGCGTGGAAAGCTCTATATAGGAAATGCCTTCCGCAACCAATGTTCCCGGTTAATGGGGATTTGGCAAGGTACCTAGGTAATCTGCTCATCCTCCATGGAAGAGCTGGCTGCGACGAGAGTACACTCAAGCTATCAACAGCAGTATGGGCGGTCGATGCAACTCGTCAGGTATGGAATCTCTGGGCCACATCAACACTGACAGCGCAACACAGTGCTCAACAGCCGGCGTATTGAGGCATGATCCGCACACCAAGTCCCCGAGGCTTGTGGACCGCAGACGGTAAAGCTCCTCAGCTTCGCCCGGCAATGGCGGGCCTTAACTCGCAGCCAACCCATACTGCCATTTCCTGCGAGCCAACTTTTAGCCCCAATCACTCCCTCTTTTCAGACTCCCGCAAGCCCACGGCGGTCAAGGCCCTAAGACCAGCGACAATGACCCACCCCGCGACGACCACCGTCACGGCCAATCTCAGCTCCCTGGCTACGCCAACAATAGCTGGACTGATGGTCACGGTGTGAATGTGGCTGATAGCTCCAGAGTGCTCAGCTGCAAGGGCGAATGACTCCATGTTCTGGAGTCCCTTCGTGTATTGATCTGGTGCTGTAATGCGTTGTTGGGTTGTCGATGTGAGCTTTGCCTCTAGATGACGTCGAATTTTGCCCGGGCTGGGATTTTGACCTTTGTAGAAGCTCAAGGCGCCGAGAGCCCCCCAAATTGAGTTCGAATGAATGAAGATATAGATGCGCGTAAAGGAGAGCAATTATGATGTAAGACGTGTATGGTTGAGCGAGGCTACGATGTGCAAGTGGGAAGGACATATCAATTGATAATGATCCCAAGGCTAATCGACACTGACAAAAACAGGGTTGGGGTTCTGGAGCTGGCTTCTTTGGGGGGGGGGGGACTGGACTGGTCTTGAGGATGCAGCTCTGTGCGAGTTGCGACCACTGGTCGTCGAATCAGTACTTCCTTCATGCTAAGTAACACGCCGAATAGCAGAGCAGTTTCTGGAAACGCGTTCGGTAAGACAGCTATGCCAGAATCTAGCCATGCCGTGCCCTCTATTCCCAAAAGCAGTAGAAATCCGCATCCGCGAAACTCAGCCAAGATTCTTCCGTTAAAACAAATTCCAAACTACCAGGGCCCCTTTCCCATGAGCCCATTCTTTGATTTAAAACAGTCCTCTTTTTCCGGTGCAACGCCTTCGGGACCACTCCCAAATGCTGGTGAAATTCAAACATGTTAAACTTTGTCGATGGCTTGTTGGAGGAGAACGCGGCTGTCCACGGTTGTGTATGTAAAGCCGTTTCCTTGAAGTAGACAGGAAGAATATAATGACAATGGAATGAGCGTCGTGAGACGTCAACATCTTTGCAAAGTTTGGCATCGACTGAGGCAGTAGTGGTATCAATGAGTAAGCTCGCACAGAGATTCCAGGACCTTGACGCCAGATCCTAATCAGAACCCCATTTTCGAAACGGCCGAGTGAGTATATAGTCTTGAGGGCGAAAAAGAAATGTCGGAGATTGGTGTTTGAGGTTGGGTTTGAAGTAGTAGGTATGAAGTTGGTGCAGCCGTAGCCCAGAGAAGAAGCGAACAGACCGATCACAGTATGACGCATTTTGGATGGTCCTTCTTCCTCTTCCGCCGCCGTCTCTTCCTGCTGTTCTCGTCGTATTTGTATCGCGTCTCGAAAGTCTCTTCGTCCATTGCCTCTATGGCATCATCTACTCTCAACATCTGTCGACATATATCGATGAAAACTTCGTCGACGTTTGCTGTTCCCACCAGTCAGCTTCTGATGCCACTGCTCACAGACAACTTGTGGTAGGCACTCACTCCTGGTCCTGGCGCTCGCCTCGTAGTAAGGAGCGCCCCAGTCTTGGGAGACGGAAAATGCTTTCGTACGCGGGACTTCTCTCTGATCCTCGAGGTCGGCTTTGTTGCCAATGATAACAATGGGAACTTGCTCCCTGTCTTTGATGCGAAGAATCTCTTCCCGAAGGCCATGCAGCTCATTCAACGATGATCGCGATGTGATGCTGAAGACAAGCAAGAACCCCTGGCCATTTTTCATGTACACGTCTCTCATGGATGCTGCAGCAGGTTAGGGGGGAGTTCGAAAATGTGACCGGGGGGCATGTCTCACTAAATTGCTCTGTTCCTGCGGTGTCAAGGCTGGACATGTGTTAGCCACGTGAGACTCAACAAGGCATCTTGTTCGAGACACCGACTCACATCTCTAAGACAACCTGGCGTCCCTGAACATAGTGTTAGTTTGATTTTTGTAGCAGGGGAGACAATTGTGTTGTGAAACACATACATCCACAGCAAGTTGTTTCTGGTAAGAGTCCTCAATCGTTGGATCGTAGCTCTCGATCCATTCATTGTGGACAAATTGTGCTACCGGTAGTGTAGCTGGTCAGCAACGCAGCTTTCATGTGAAGCATGACCCCGGGTGGGTTTGGACAGGGAGGTCTTGACAGGGGGGCTACATGTGATGCCCATGTTGATGGGCGGGCTCCACTCACCAGTCAAACAGCTCTTCCCGACGCCGCCTAGTGAAGAGAAAGACGAAGACCTCAGTGTCAGCCGAGCCGAGCGAGACCTTGGCCATATTCCCACGTAAAACCATGCGCACACACACACGCACACGCACACATACACATACACGTACGCACGCGCAAACAGCAATAGGGTGGGGTTCTGCAACGGGATATGTTGCGGGGCACGTGCTCACCTGCTCCGAGTACTACTACCTGGAACTCGCGACTTCGAGTCATGTCAGCGGGTGGAATTGTTCTAGAAGGTAGGGGTGGTTGGCAAGCAGTAGGTGGGCCGTGGGGTGACCTACAACGCTTGATATCTTGAGGGCGGCATGGTTTTCAGCCGAGCCTAGGAGCGCATGCATCCAGGCCTGACTCGAAGACGACGTTGAACCGAGTCCCCCGGCGAAGTCGAAAAGTCAATGCCTCAACAGCCGGCAAATCAGGACCGGACAGGCTTGCGACAGACTTCGCCAAGGCCTGTCACAGAGTCGCAGGGAGGACGATATGGAGATCGCTTGGTGATTGAGTTCAGCATCCAGAATCCAGCATCCGGCAGGCGTTTGCTGGAGGCAGGTCGGGGCTGAGAAGGTCGGGTTTGGATCTTTGGGACCGGCCTTGTCGAGGTCGATTGACGCCGAGGAAGAACCAGATGGACCCCCTGAGCCGCGGGCGCGGGCGCGTAATCCCTCCCTTCCTTCCCGGGAACCGTCCTTCCTCCCACCCGCGTGGGTTTGGGGGCTGGGGGCGACGGGAGGATCGAGGAAGAACAGTTAGGTAAAGCGAGAGACAGAGAGGGTGGGGGTGGGGAGGTAGGCTTGGTGTCCAGGGGCCGGTGGCAGTTGCCGGCCACCAGGAAAGGAGCGTGGTCTTCAACGTCGCAAAAGCAAAGAGATGCCCGGCGGATGTCGCCAATGGAAGTGAGACAGGTCGACAGTGCAGTACCCAAGTCGTGGTTGTGGTGGCACGGGGCGTTTAGACGGCTGGGGAGGTAAGAGAGGGCTGGCGGCACAGGCTTGACAGTGCAAGCTTGCTGCAATGCAGTCAGTCCTGCAGGCGTGGAGGAGCCGACAGAAGTTGTGGGCGTGGGCGTGGCCGTGGGAGTAGCGCGGCGCGGCGCGGCGTGCGGCGAGGCAGGGCCAAGGTAATGTTCCGAGGGCCAGGCCGGTCGGATCGAGGACTGGAGCGCCTGGGCGATGCGACTTGAGCGGCAGTGAGCTGGTTGGCGTGGAGAAGTGTAAGTGCGAGTGCGGGTGTGTGAGAGTGTGAGTGTCTTGTTCGCCGAGCAGGCGGCGGGCCTCTCTCTCTCTTTGAAGCAATCAACAATAAAATAACAACAAGGGTCGACCAGGCCGAGGTGTTAGCGCAGGCAGGTGTCGCACGCTCGGCAGTACTGTAGATTGACGAGGCCCCCTTAGGCAGAGGGATGTGGGATAGCTTGTACTCCGTACTAGCAGCAGCAGAGCTTGGCCCTGGCCCTGGAGGGGAGGGAGCTGTTTGAGTTGGGACGTTAGGACGTCAGGACGTTAGGACGGGCTTTGCGTGGTCCGTGGTCACCGTGTGAGCAGGGACACCAATTGACGCCCCGACATGCCCATGTACTTGAGTATTGTAGAAGGGGGCAAGCCACGAGACCTAAGCGTTGGCGGAGGGTGATGGATCAGCCCTGCGTGGTCGACAGAAGATCAACAAGGGTCAGGGGAAAACCCAGAGACAAGAGAGACAAGAAAAGAAGGGGTGGAGAGGGGGAAGAAACAAAAGCGAATGGAGAGGGCAGCAAAGAAAGGCAGGACGGGTGAGGCTTGACGGATTGGTATGCGATGTCGAAGAGCAGGCGCAGCATGTACCTGTGGCGCCCAGTCCCAGTCCGTAGTATTGAGTACGTCCGAGTATACTGTGTGCTCCTTCAGGCCTTGTTGCTGAGGAAGCAGGTAGGCAGGGGCCTTTTAGGGCAGGCAGCTCGGCCCATTCCAATCGAGGCAGCGTCACACCTTCAAGAGCCGGCTAGGATTCCAGGACGCAGGAATGCAGGTAGGGTACAGACAGGTGCAGACAGAGTGCAGAATGCAGGATGCAGACCGTTCATAGATCAATTGTGAGCGATGGGAGATTTGATCGCTTGCGGGTGCCGGAGTGGGCAGCCAGCCAGGGGGCGCGCAAAAAGGTGCTAATAAAAGTGCGAGGTAGGGGTTGTGGTTATGGCTGTATTTGCAGCCGTGGCCGCTGCTGCTGCTGCTGGCCTGCTGGCCTGATCGGCTCGCCTCGACTAGGTAATTTATTATCGCTGGGCTGTAAGTAGACTGACTGAGTCTGAGTGACTGACTGACTGACTGACTACCGAGGTACGGAGTACTATGTAGTACCCAAGTACTTTGCCCGTTGGAGCAGCGATGGAATTACATAATGACACATGAATCCTACCACGGGGACACAGCAAGCCCACGGCTTGGTTTCGAAACATGAGAAGACCTGAACAAGACGGGCCACGGTACCGAGTACACGCACGTCTGCCGGCCATGCAGACAGGACAGGCCGTCGGCAAAAAGACTCAGTCAAGCTGCTCGGGGACGGCGACGAGACACACCCACATTGCTGGTTCGCGGACGTAATTAACGAAGGCTGCTGGACTGCGCGGTAATATCAGCACAACACAGGTGTCATCTCCCACCTCCCTCCTCCCTCCCACCTCGCTTGCTGCCCACACACTCCTGAACCAGGCAAAGAACCACAGCTAGCCACAGCTTGTGCTTGTCCGTGTCCCCCTCGTGTCAGGCAGTCTCTGCGCCATGACACGCCTGCACAGTCAGCCAAGCCCCAGGTGCAGGTGGTCCTGAGTTCTGTCTGTCCTGTCTGTCTGATACTGTCAGTACATGGTACATCTGCCAGTGACCCTCTGGTTGGGAGGCTGGGGGCTCCCTGGGCGCAGGAACCGCTCTCCAGCCCGCACGGCCAATCAGAGGCTCTGGGTGCGGCGAGTCAGCTGCAGGCTGGCCTTCTTCCTGGCCTTCCCCGAGCACAACCCCCTGGCCGCCTTCTTTTTTCCTTCTACCGGGCTATTTCCAATCGCGTTAGTCTTCGGCCGCTCTTTTTCCTCGGTCCTCACCACCAGCTTGATGACAAGAACCACTTTCGCATCCACCTCATCCACTCCAGAACCCAGTCGCCATGCAGCCAGCACGAACCTTACGCCCCACTGTAGCCGAGCTCCAAGGGCACAGTAGCTCGGTTCTCCAACGTACAGTACAATCATCATCATCACCACCGCCAGTGTGTGCCCAGCCAGCGTCACGAAGGGCAGACTTGCGGTGCTATCCTCCGAATAGGCACGGCTACGGAGTACATGCTCACATACGCACCCACACCACATGCTACCCATGTGCGTACCACCCCGTTCGCAGTGGGTAGCTGTGACAGCTCACCCAGCTCCTCATCCTTGGGTTGCGACTCGAGCTCGCTGCCGGTTGCTTCTCCGTGACTCCCGGTCAAGTCGGACGTCGGACATAGAACAAGCCCAGCGCCGCTGCGGTCCACCGATGACGATGACTTCATCGCGACGACCACCGCAGGGCCCGGATGAGCCGTCTATTGGTCCCAGACACCGTCTCGTTCCAGCATGCCGTCCTGGTGCAGCGCGACTTTTCTGCGACTCTGGACCACGCGATGCCAATATATACTTCGGGGTCGTTGTTTCCTGCTTGCTGATGGCCTTACCGCCATCTTTCTGCGCAATACTTGTCATACGTAACCGCCTCGATGGCAACTGCTGTGGTCGAGACGTCGCTGAAACCACCACGCGAGTAGGATGTCTGTCTCGATTTGCCGTATCGAGTCAGCAGTCGGGATTCTTTCCGCCAGTATCCAGCAAATCAGGACGAATTGCGTCGCCTTCGCCGTGACGTACCGACAGGCTTGTTGTTGTTCGCAAGCCTCCGGCAAAAGTAGGGACTTCGCCGAATTCACTAAAACGCACATTACTAGGGCCATCCCAAGAGGCCGGGCCCTCGCGGGGTGGCTACAAGTGCTACTCACCGGCGAGAAGCTCCAATCGGAAGAGCCCTGGATCCTGACCCGGCGCATTCCCAGTGGAAGATGCGACCAGTTGGAAACCCTGGCTAATAAGTCTCATATAACCAATCCACAGCTCAGAGGTTGTGGATGCATGTTCCTCTGTAGCTTCACTCAACTACCAGAAAACCGCAATCTGTCGCGTCCAAGGCTATACCGACAGACGGCTTTGTTCAACGGGCCCACCCTTGTGGCGCGATGCCCCCCCCAGTCGAGCGGCCACTGCACCGTGTTCGCATTCCCGGCTGAGCGACTTACAATACCTACACATGCTCGTGGCGCTTGGCCGTCAGCCGGTCCGCCAGGCTAATGCAGCACATCAACGGCTGGGCGTCAAGCTGCATCCCTGTGCATACCGGATCGCCCACGCCTGCCACGCTACACTGCATCTACAGTCAAGCTGCTGCTCGCGTATCTAGTCACGAACCGATGGGGGTCGTTCATGGGAGGTGTTAGGCTGAAGTTGGGACGTTTCACTACTACGCTGTAGTCTACTCTGCAGTCTACATATGCATAATCTGTCACTCTGGCGATCCCTCCCGGACTATCGCAGGGTGATTCTGCGGCTCAGCAGTGCCACGGCGGATATGGATCCTCTTGGGGTGTCCTGCCCCCATGCTACCCCGGAACCACAGGTCACCCCCGCCTCCGCCTCTTGGTGAGCCAGCAATAAGAAGGTTTTCTCCTAATTGTGAGTCGTTTCCTACGCGCTAGCCAGAATCGCCCACGCTCTCGATCGCTTCGGCGAAACCACACAAAGCTGTTTGGCCAGCCGGCCAGAAGAATCAGGGGTCGGCGCCGACTCTTCGAACTGGGAAGGCGTCGTGGCTGGGATAGATGTTGTTCCTCGCATTGATGCTCATCCCAACCATTAAACGTGGCAATCCGTCCGCTTGGCTGGCTTGTCCTAACTTGAAGCCTCGCGCTCCTGACCTGCGAGAATTCAAGGTTCGTTGGCCACTAGGGCGAGCACCTAGAACGCCCATGATCCGTGGCTGTTGTCCGGGCGCAGATATGTGCGGAGAAGATCATAGCCGGGGCATATTGCAGGTATATCCAGTCATTACAGTATTCCATCCGTACTTCAAATGCCCCCCATCCGGTCTATCAAGGGAAGAAACGAAAGTCTTCCTTCCAGTCATGCAAAGAGGGTAGAGCTTGGCTTGACCCTAGGCCCCGGTCGGGCCCCTCTCCTTCCGAAACAATGACGCTTCGCTCGACGCTGGGACAGCCAAGTCAGTATTCTTCTCCACAGTCTCGTTCAAGGGCCTTTCTCTCGTGAGCCTTTCCCGGTCTGTCCAGCCCCGTGCTCCGGCGGGTCGTCCGTCGAACTCTCAGCTCCCACCACGGCCTACTACTGTGCCCTCTTCGGCATCCTTTTGGCAGGAATGTCTCTCCTTCCTGCTCTTTCTCTCTGCAAACTTGAAAGGGGTTCCAGTTTGCTCGTGCTCCAGTGCCATGTCATCAAAAGTCCTGCCCTGCTCCTTCGCCTGTTTCCGGATCTTGTACGTCTTGATGAGCCAGACGATGTGGGATGCAAAGATACCAAGCTCCAAGATCACGCTTCGCGATGTCCATTATTAGCTCTCGGGGAAAGCGTGCAGATGATGGGTGCGGACAGCCCGACTTACCAAATAATATACAGCACACCTCCGAGCACGTCAAACGTATCTTGTGCAACTGTGTTTGTTCTTGTTAGTCCTGAGTCCTTTTCCCAAAGCTCTATGAAAATCTGGACGGGACACAGAAATATACTCGTGCATACCAAGTGCCATGAGCGAGAAAAAGGCCCCGCTACAGTCCATTGTCAAAAAGATCTCCCGGCATGTCAGCTTCGAAGTGCTTCAGCCTGGGAACTGTTGTTACGGCGCGCGGAGAGAAGCACGAACCCAGTTGATACCGATTACCCTTCCTCTTCTCTTCCAGATCTCACCATAAGGGGGTAGGAGACCTGCAGCAAGCAGCACAGACGCCACTATACCGACAACCAGCACCGGTGTCTCATTGCCTCTTAGATAAATTGGCTGGCGTCTTGTCAGCAGCCATCCTATACCCAAGTCGCATTGAACGCAAATACGAGAGCATTATACACATCAAACAATTCTTAAACTCCCGCTACCCTTATCATTTATATGGCTCTATATGCCCGTCACAACCGAGATATAATATTGGGACTGCACTCACCCGCAAGGTCAGGATCAACGCAGCCTCGACGCCGGCACACGCAGCTGCGACAGCGATACCCACCAACGTCGCGGCCCAGAGGCGCCAGCCACGGCCATAGACGAGGACCTGGGCCCAGCTGACAAGGCAGAGGGCCATGAAGCACTGCGGCTGGACCTGAATGGGCACGTTGAAGTTCTGAATGATGCTGTAGGCGCCGAAGGGGACGCCGCACATGGCCCAGAGAAACACCATGGACCCTGGAAGGCCTTCGGTGGACTTTGTGCGCCAGTTGGTCCAAATCTGCGGGATGAGCTGGACGCACCACAGGATTGTACCGATCGTCCCGAGGACGTTCGCCGCGACGGGGATAGAGGACTGGGGCGCCATGCTGCTTGGACTGCTGGCTGGAAGAGGCGGGGAGGCGGCTGTGGTGGCATTTGTGCGCGGCCTGAGGCGCTGGCTTGTAGGATTGTGAACGGACTGCTGTAGATATAAGTTTCGTGTTTTTTGCCCCGGGGAATTGTGGGACAGGACGGTGCCGGATCGGCATGGGATTCCGGCCTTGGATGATGTTTAGGCAATAGAAATGACAGCTGCTATCTGATTCCAAACGATTGGGACCGCCATGTGGTTGTCAAGACCTCAAGAAACGGTCGATGAGTGTCGACCAGATGACGTTGAAGCCCGGTACCTAGGTAGTGCCATCCTCGGATGCTCCAGAAGATACGCTACACCACAGACCGAATTCCGGCCCATATACTATAGGTAGGTACCTGGCAACAGGAGTAACGCCGGCCGGCCGAAGAAACAACAGCAATGTATTGCGCCCGAGATAGTTTGTTGCCAAGGGTGGACTCAAACACCAGCACAGAAGCTTAAGCCATCTGGCGAGGCGGCCAGCTGCAGAACGGGGGGCGTAGCCGTGGTTGAAACGGGACGTGAAAGTATCGTGAAAGACGGTGATTTAGGCCAGAAACCTGCCGCTGAGCAGGGATTCACTATGGCTGAAGCTGTCTGTCATTTGACGATGGTACTCATGCACTTCCTCGTGTTGTTTTGGGAGTGGGAATCCGCGCCGCTCCCCCACGTGCTTTATTCTAGACTTCTCATGATCTTTACTCAATGCAGCCTGGGCCCCCGGCTGCAAGTCAATGTGCACCGGTAGAGGCCGTCCGCTCGCCCCACTGAGGTTTTGTCTGCCGGCGCTGCTCCGCGCCCATGCTCCAGTCTTTTTTTCTACCCTCGTCAGTTTTGATGATGACACTCGCTGGGACCCGGCACGGGTTTTCCGATCGCGGTCCGGGCTAGGAGATTTAACCCCGTGGTCCTCTAGCAAGAAGGGTGGGCTTGATGGAAGCGAACGAGGTGGGCCTTGTATGTGTACTGGGCTTCACCGAGGCATTGGAGGAGGAAGGATGAGCGAGACGTGAGGATGTCGTCAAGCACGCGTGCACCTCCTGTAAAAGTGCCATAGCCTACAGGCGGCTGGCTGGTGTGATGGCAACCTATCAAGTGTAATGATCCCCACACTGTGCGGGCTGGGCTATGGGATCCCCTTGGACCCTTGTCTCTCGTTGCCCATAGGCGCTGAAGCCCTGCGAAACACAGTCTGGTGGGTGATCCAACACAGTACACCCTGGGAATTTAGCCTTACTGTAGGGACGAATACAGCTCTCAAATTTTCACTGTGGATAGACAGACACTTACAAAATCTCATGTACCAGATTCACTCCATTTTCATAAGCCGTCTCACTCAACCCTGGTCTACAAGGACAACACAACAAAACCATACTTCGAAACTTGTCTCATCAATCTTGGTCGTCTTCACCATCTTCCAGCACCCATCTTTTCGGAAACCAAGCCACCCCCGTTTCTGTCAACAACAGGCAACATGTCAGCACCACCCGCTCCTGCGCCTTCGGCGGCGTCCAAGGCCAAGTCGAAGAAGAGGAAGGTGCAGGACGACTCGCAGCCGGCCCGCGCCAAGAAGCAAAAGGCCAGCAAGTACGACGAGGATGAAGGACTGCTGGACCTTGAGGCAGGAGTGAACACGGCCTTCGTCAGGATGGACCCTCAGCTCCTCGCAGACCACGTCGCCAGGCAGACAAAGCGGTTCGGCACGGACCTGAGCACCGTGGAGCTCAGTGACCTGTACATCAGCGCGAATGCCGTCAGGGACACGACCGACTTCACTCAGGTCAGAGTCAAGGAGAATCTGCCAGGCTTTCTGGAGGAGTTTGCGGCAGGGCCAGGCGAGAAGGACGCCAAGGCCGTCGAGAAGGAGAAGAAGAGGCTAGGGGATGCACCGCCCAAGGTCGGGGCACCTCACACCATCATCGTGGCAGGGGCAGGGCTGAGGGCAGCCGACCTGGTGCGGGCGACGAGGAAGTTCCAGAGGAAGGGGAATGTGGTATCAAAACTGGTAGGTGGAGGTGGGGTGGTGCAGCCCGGCGAAGGCAATGGGGCCCGTATCAAGTGCAGCTGCTGATTCGTGTTGACCGCAGTTTGCAAAACATTTCAAGGTCGAAGAGCAGGTGCAGTTCCTCAAGAAGAGCAAGACCGGCATCGCGGTAGGCACTCCCGCGCGCTTGGAGGCCCTTCTCGACAACGGTAAGCCCTGCCCTTTCCCTGCCCTCGGCCTGTCAAAAGAGAGGGCTTGCTAATTTGTTCGGAAGGCGCGCTGTCAATCGAGCACCTGAAGCGCATAGTGGTCGACGCCTCCCACATTGACCAGAAGAAGAGGGGAATCATGGACATGAAAGACACCATGATGCCTCTTGCCCGATGGTTGACCAGGAAGGAGTTCAAGGAGAGATACGCAGCCGAAGAGAAGCCCCTGGACCTTCTCTTCTTCTGAGCCCACGCGGCTGTCGCGATCATTAAGGACGGCCGGGAGATCACTTCCGGTGCCTCGGAACGGAGCATCGACTGCACGGCAGGTATGTCGCAGTGTATGCCACCCGCCGATGGTGTATGAGAGACCTGGAGGCTTCTTGAGCAATCTGCCCATGTGGCGGATGCAGAAGGACCCGGGTGCTGTACCGAGGGTTGCTGGGCGGAGGGGCAGGGAAAGCCGTCAGGTCGCCCAGCAGCCCTGCCTGCCTCCTTCTTTTCCCAGCAAGCCCGAGCCACACCTGCGGAAGGCAACACATAACACCTAGGTACCTAGGTAGGTAGGTATTGTTCGTTCTTCATGGCGGGAACAGCAGCGCCTTCCTGCAATGCACCCCGGAAGTCAGGGGCTGGTCAGCCACCTGACCTCCCAGCTTGGGCGGCTTCGACGCCCAAGGAACGCTCATCTAGACGAGCTGTGCACGAAGGACACACCACAGATGCTGTCAATACCAGATAGCAATCCCATTTCATCTATATGGCCTTCATCATCGACCATTCCTTGTTGGTACCGACGAAGATATGAGCAGTCCAGTACTGCCAGACCCCTACCTAGGTACCTACCTAGGTAGACAGGTATCATGGTGTCTGGCTTGAGATGCCGTTGCTTGTTTCGTCCCTTCCCTGTTGATACGAGAAGTCTGCTCGAACTGGGCTCCTGCCACGCCGAAACCCGCGCTTCACTCGAGGTGGTTTAACCAGCCAGGGGGGAGGCACGCCTCGTTCCAATGTTGTCCTCAAAACATCTTCTCCCAAGGAACTGTTCTGCTTCTCCTCTTCTCCTTTCTTCCCTCCATCCACATCCATCCATCCGCCGCCCACCATCTCAATCATCACAAAGACCTACAACCATCACGTTTATTGGACGTCACTCATTCTTGGCTTTTTTGAATCGTGTCTGATTGATTTTTCGAACTCCTCCCCTTCTCCCACAGGCATCGCTCGCTCTCTTGCTGCCTTGTTTACATCGACGCCCGTTTTTTGGAGATCATCTCTTCGCGAGTAGCAATTCGATAGATCTTCTCCTGCTCTTACTCTTTGTTGGACCGGATCATCCATCGAGTCCCACGCCTTTCAATATGCGTCCTGCCGCTTTCTTCACCGCTGGCAGTCTTCTCGTCGGCCAGCTGACTTGGGCTCAACCCCCGCCCTCCTCTACCACTGTCAAAGAAATTCGTGCGTCCTCTTGCCCAAGACCACTCTGCCAATTCTGACCTGTTGCTGACGCGCAAACCAGATCTTGAGGGAAATGATGTCACCAACACGCGGGACATCCATCCTGCCCAGTTTGATCCTGAGAGCCTGGGCTTTCCTCACACACTCGAGATGAACTCCAAGTCACCCGAAGTCCAACTTGAGATCAACATTCACGTGGACGCTGTCCCATCTGTCGACATCTTGAAGGCCACGTCGGACCTCACCGTCACAGCTCTCTCTGCACCCACTGGCTCCACTGTCACCGCATTTTCGCCCATGGCTGGTGTCGTCACTGTCTCACCCGCCTCCGGTCCTGTCCCCCCTTCCCCTTCACCTGCCAATGCTGCAATCCCAACCGTCCCAACTGGCCCTGTTAGCCTCTCCGCACACATCCGTGCCACCAACAACTCATATCTCCTGCACGATGCCAACCTATCCCCTGAGGGAGTGAAAGAAGTCTCTCACATGGCCGAAGACTGCAATAATGGCGGCATCGGCGGCCTCGGTAATGGAGCCGGGCTCGGTGGCCCAGGCGGCCCAGGCGGCCCAGGCTCTGGTGGTCTCGGCGGGTCTGGTGGTCTGGGCGGTCCTGGCGGGCTCGGAGGTGCAGGTGGGCTCGGCGCTCCCACTACTGTCACCGTTCTCGCCGTTCCCGCGGGCGGAAATGGCCTCGGCGGAAATGGCCTCGGCGGAAATGGCCTCGGCGGAAATGGCCTCGGCGGCAATGGTCTCGGCGGCAGCGGCCTCGGAGGCAACGGAGCTGGAGCCTACGGCGATGGCAATGGCCTTGGTGGCTCTGGACTCGGGGGCTCTGGTCTTGGAGGCGGCAACGGAGCCGGAGACTGCGGCAATAGCAATGGCCTCGGAGGCTCCGGTCTCGGCGGCAACGGCCTCGGAGGTGGAAACGGCCTTGGCAATGGCCTCGGCGGCAATGGTCTCGGCGGCAATGGCCTCGGTAATGGCGGTCCTGCAACAATCACGGTGTTGGCCTCTCCTGGGGGTGCTGGATCAGGTCTGGGAGGCTCCGGTCCCGGGGGTTTTGGCCCTGGAGGTTCTGGGCTGGGGGGCTCCGGCCTTGGAGGTACAGGTGGACTCGGCAATGGCAATGGCAATGGTCAGGATTGCGCCGGTCTTGGAGGTTCAGGGTCAGGACTCGGAGACTCTGGCCTGGGAGGCTCAGGTTTGGGAAATGGCAATGGCCTCGGTGGCAACGGCCTCGGTGGCAATGGAGGCCTCGGTGGACTGGGAGGTCTCGGTGGAGTTTCTGGTCCAGCGACAGTCACCGTTCTCGCCTCTCCAGATGGGTCACTTGGCGCTGGATCCGGTCAGGGAACTGGCAACGGGCTCGGCGGATCGGGCCTTGGAAGCGGCGGCAATGGCCTGGGCGGGCCAGGTTCCGGAGCTGGTGACTGCAACAACGGCCTCGGGTCAGGCGGTGCAGGCGGCCTAGGAGGTGGGCTTGGCGGCAACGGTCTCGGCGGCAACGGTGCTGGCGGTGCTAGGAACGGAGCAGGCGGAGCCATCGTCTCGACCGTCGCTGTCGTCACCATTCAAGGAGGAGGGATCCGCGCTAGGACGCTTGAAGGTGCAGGAGACTCGAATCTGGCCTTTGCAACGCAGGCGGCTTACTCTCCGTCGTACATCTCGCAATCCTCAGCTCCCGATGGACGAGCCGCCCCATCTCACCTGGCCCTTGCTGTCTAGGCCGCGGCAGTGTTCGGAACGTACACTTCACTGTCGACTCTTCTCGGAGTCTGATCACCACCATCCATTGCCAAAGGAAAGCAGCCTTTCTCCAGCAACAACGACGAGCCCTCGACGCCACCTTGGTCTCCTGCCGTACCCTGTCGGCTCTTATCTCTTATATGACAACACGACTCTGGCGCGGCGGATGAGATGGGTTGGTTGTTTTATTCTTCGAATCTTACGGAATGGAGAGCAGGGAGTGTCAGAGTAATGAGGAGGTTTCTCGTCGGCGGTCATGTACTTAGTTTATGGGTGTTGCTAAGTTCAGACCTGATAGACTTCTAGACACGCCACAACAATGTTAGATGTGCTGCTGTTTATGGCTATGAAACTGCAATTGGACCACCATCGGAAAGCCATGCAGATTGACTATGCCCTCTCTCTAGATGCTACTGCTCCTTGTTGTAGGTTCAACCATGTGATGGACAGCAAGCTCATTGGGTCATTGCCAGCTCTCGCTCTCAAGGCAGCATGATAGGCCACAAAGAGAGTACGGCTTCTTGGGGAATTCAAACGAAGTCTGGCCCGGTCACACGACCCAGCTATACTTGAATGCCTAACATGGTCGTGATCAGCTGCCTCGTACTGCAGCAAGGGGTTCATTGGCGCGAGGGCGGAGCCAAATTGTGAGATTCCAGCCATTCAAATGAACCCACCCACAGGAACTTGTTCACCAGGCCAATACAGCGAGCACACGATGATGCTGCGCTGACAGAGAAGCGCAATCGAAGCCCTGATGAGACTGTGATCCATGCTGTTGTAGTTGCGGCTAGTGGCCTACCTGGGACTAAACTAGCTGGTGGACTTAGTGGATATAGGCTTATCTTATCTAAACTACACCAGGAATAATTGCCCAGGAAAAAAAATCCTAGACAACTTATTTTCCTACACGACCGTGTTTCCTGCCTCGACTTATTCTCACCGGATTCGCAGATCGTCCAACCCCGTCCTTTTTTCGAATTCATTTCATTCACATTCTACCAGCCTTCTGACGACATCTAAAGGACGTGCTTCTCTTGAAATGGCAAGAACAGCAGAGTCTGCTGCCCTCAAGGCGGAGAGGTCCTCCAAGAAACGCAAGCTGAGCGACGTGGAGGACCCTGTCGATCAGCAGGACGCCGAAGACAAGGCGGCGCGCAAGGCCGCTAAGAAAGCGAAGAAGGAGGCCAAGGCAAGGGAGGCAGGCGAGCTGGCGACGAGCGACAAGAAGGAGAAGAAGGAGAAGAAGGAGAAGAAGGACAAGAAGGACAAGAAGACCAAGAAGACGAAGTCCGAACCCCTACCTGCCAGCGAGGAGGACGCAGGGGCGGAAGACGCTGCAAAGATAGAGAAGAAGAAGAAAAAGACCGAGAAGGCGCAGAGGAAGTCCGACGAGGGAGGCAAGAAGACCAGGGGAGAGAAGAAGTCTTCCAAGAAGGCCAACAAGGAGCAGGCCGAGGAAGACGACGAGCAGGAACCCGAGGATGCAGATGAGGGAGAGGACGAGTCTGCCGAGCAAGAGGAGGGTGAATCGAAGCGTGAGAAGTTTATTTGCTTCATCGGTATGTGTCTCCCCCCCCCTCTCTCTACACACATCACTCAGGACCTCAATATCTACGCACGCAATACTAACCCCGGTCGCCCTACGATACAGGCAACCTCCCCTTCACCGCGACCCAGGCCGACGTGGAGGCACACTTTGCATCGCTCAAGCCAAGCGCGGTGCGCCTGCTGACGGAGAAGGGCACGGGCAAGCCGCGGGGCATCGCGTTTGTCGAGTTCGACAACTACTCGCACATGAAGACGTGCCTGGCCAAGTTCCACCACACCGAGTTCGCGGACCCGCGGGGCGGCGGCGAGGCGCGGCGCATCAACGTCGAGCTCACGGCGGGCGGCGGCGGCAAGACGGCGGCGCGCCGGGACAAGATCAAGGCCAAGAACGCGAAGCTCAACGAGGAGCGCGCGCGCCGCATCCAGGCCGAGGAGGAGAACAAGGCCCTCGAGGGCAAGGGCAAGGGCAAGTCGGCCCGCAAGGACAAGGAGCAGAAGGAGGCGGAGCAGCAGCAGCCGCCGGAGCAGCAGGATGAGGACTGGGTCCACCCTAGTAGGAGGGCGCAGATGAATTCTGGCGAGGGTGACGACGCCGACGACTTTGACAGCGGCGCCCGGGGCGGTGGACGAGGCGACCGCGGCCGAGGGGGCAGGGGTGGCCGTGGTGGCCGGGGAGGCCGGGGAGGTCGTGGGGGGCGCGGCGGGCGAGGAGGCCGTGGGGCACGTGGTGGCCCGCGCCGTTGGTAAAAGGGGATTTTCTATGCTGGCGGTTCGTGGGGGTGACCAGGCTGACCGTCACACATTTCCCACCCTGCGGCCCGGAATCGGACGGGACTGGGGGACCTCTTCTTATTCGAGGTCCATCTACGCAAATACCCGCGGCATCATCCTCTCCTCCTCTGGGCTCCATTCTCCCGCCCTTCACATCCGCCGCAGTCGGTTGCGGCTGATGTGTCCTTCAATATTGCATGCATGCGAGGCGGCAAGGTGGCGAAAGGGAGAACCCAGGAAGAAACATACCTCAGCCTCGAGAAGCCAACAGGTTTGGGTGCGATCACTGGAGCTCATCTGGCGAGAGAAACTTCGAACGGCCGCTTCTCGAGTTCGAGGCCCGAACGATTGAAAGACCAAGAGCTGTCGGACGACAGCGGGTGGCCCAGTCCACCCGCACTCCAAATCCCTGGCTCATGTCAACTGCGCGGGGGAAACTTCGGCGCCCAGGGCATCAGGACCCCGATTAAAGTTACCCAGTCGCACAGCTCCGAAAGGGCTAGGGACGCGGTGGCGATGGTGGCCACTTGGGTGGCCAGTGGCAGAGTTCCCTGACAAGGTTGTTGGACCTGATGAATTCTGACTGTCCGTCTGTCAATGATACCCCTACTATCCTGACTTCGATTCGATAGACGGCATGTAATAGAGAACAAGACACGCGTAAACAAGATTTTAGGCGGTACTTGCCCTTCTACGAAAAACGCCTCCGAAACATCACATTTCCCTTCTGTCTCTTGCAGTGATTTTGGGGCCAAAGGTGGCGACAGTTGGGTTGACATGTAGTAGGTTCCTGTCCCTAATGACCATTTCCCTGGGAGAATAAGAGACAATATCGCAGCCCTTCCTCCATTTCCGTATTCCTCGGCTATCTACAGAAAAAGCAAACATCAAATCGTGGATATCCTTTGGTGACTGGCGTGAAATGCCCATTCTGCTGAACAGATCGCAAGAAAGCAAATAGCGACGGCGAGACGAGGTTTCAAGCCTTGGTACCTCGAGCTCCAGACGAGTTGGGCCCGGCAGAGCTGGGAGAGTGCGATTTCTGCAAGAGCCAGCGTGATGGGCAGAAAAGGGTGAATCCTGGGGGGCCGCGCGCATGCCTCTCCGGCGTACCGTACGCCGTGGATTGTAGTAGTATAACCTGGTTCCCGACCGTCCTCCATTTCTCTCAAGTCCAGCTCGCGGCGTGGCAGCCTTTTAGGAACATGCGACAAAAGCGTTTCGCCCAGACCATCCATTTCGCCCTTCTATTTGGCCGACACTCGTCATGTTCGACTCATCCGTCCTTTCTAAAGGCTTTTCCATCCGTAGCACAGAAGGGGCATAATTAAACAGTTCGGTCGACAGAGCGACAGGCTTCGGTTCGAAATCGACGCTTACAGGATGGTGCATTTCGACTTCTTGGGCTTGGTGGGTTGGGGCCTGGGGTTGAGGACGGCACTATATAGCGTTGGTCAGCGTTGGGCTCTGCTTGAGGGCCACGGGGACTCCATCCTCGCGGCTGGGCTTGTGCTGGCATACCGGATGGCCTCGTCGAAGACGCTTTTCAGGTTCCGCTGGGTCAGAGCAGAGCACTCGAGGTACTTGTGAGCCTTGATATCTTTGGCGCACTTGAGCGCCTCATCGTACGATACGGGCTCCATCCTCTTCTGTCGGAGACTCTCCAGAGTCTGGGGGTCTTCTCGCAGATCGAGCTTAGTGCCAACAAGTATGATTGGGATGTTGGGCGCGTGGTGGTTGATCTCTGGGAACCACTACATCATCTTATCAGTATGCCGTGCCATGTTACCTGGACCAGCCCACCGAAAGTGATAGGCCGGCTGACAGGGGTGTTGACGAACCTTGGCCCTGACGTTGTCAAAAGATGGCGGGCTGACGATGGAGAAGCAGATGAGGAAGACGTCTGTCTGGGGGTAGGAGAGAGGTCGCAGTCTATCATAATCTTCCTGTCCAGCAGTATCCCACAGTCCCAAGCTGATTGGCTTTCCATCAACCATCACACTTGCGGAGTAGTTGTCGAAACTGTTCCCGAAGCATTGTCAGAATCACGGGCTACTAGAATGGTTGGCAACAGGTGCGGAGCTGGAGTTGAGCGTCGAGATGTGACAAGGGGCGGTCAACAGGGGCGGGCAGCGGGCTGCGCTGGCGTCACGTACACTGTGGGGATGTATTCGCCCGGGAAGGCATTCGTGGTGTAGGAGATGAGCAGGCATGTCTGGAGGCACACAAGTCAGCATTTGATGGCAGGCGATGCAGACTGACAAACTTGACTGACCTTGCCGACAGCACCGTCACCGGTCACGACGCACTGCAGTTGATGGGTTTGCACGGTTAGCCCGACCTGCACAAGCCCCTCAGGATAGGAGGGGGCAACAGCCACCAGCCATGCTCCTATTCGTGGAGGGGTTTGGTGGGAGGTGCACAAACCTTCAGAGACTGAACCCCAGGTGCAGCCATGTTGTGTGTTTAAGATATGCACTGGGGAGTGCGACGATTTGCAGAAGTTGAGGTGGTGTCTGGCGTCGAGCTTCCAGGAGGTGGTGGGATGCGACGATGACCTTTGGTTGGGATGTGTCGGTCGGCAGGGTGGAGTTGAAGCAGGATTGGTTTGGGTTGGTTTGGGTTGGACTGGCAGAACTGAACTGGGCTGGGCTGGGCTGGACCGGACCGAGTGGACTGTGAAAGGCGGTCGGTCGCAGGGTGCTGGCAGGCAGGCTGGGTAAGGTTGGCAGGCTGGCAGGCTGGCAGGCTGGGTCAGGGCAAGATGGGGATGGATTGGAAAAAGGTCGAACAATCAACGTCTTTGTGTTGCAGCAGAAGATGGAGGAGAGGTTAAAGGGCCCGGAAGCTAGGTATGTCGTTGTAATAATGCAAATAGGTCAAGGGTCACTGTCAAGATCCAGGCTGGGTTGCTGCCGCATGAAAGTTAGAAACGTTTTGACACAGCCGGAACAGATGGGTGCCGCAGGGAGGACGGGTCTACTGTAAGGGCTGGTGACGGGGAGGGATGTGCAGGAGGTCTGCAGGTGGTGGTGTGTTTGGTGCGGGTGGTCAAGAGGGAGGACCCAGGGTGGTCGGGCCAGGTGGGTAGGGTAGACGACACGGGGGGTAGGTACTACCGTACCACAGCACGCAGCACGCAGCACGCCGCAAGTAGTAAGTAGCAGCAGCAGTAGCGGCGGCGGCGGCGGCAGGAGGAGGAGGAGCAGCAGCAGCAGCAGCAGTGAGGAGTGAAGGAGAGCAAGGAACTGCAGATGGAAACCGACCCTAGGCCGACTAGCGGGTAGCAGGACGGGTGGCTAGCGGACCACCCTGAGGAGCTCGAGGGGGTCAAGGCAACAGGGCGAGATAGCAATGTATCTCTTGACCGCAGTTTGTATGGCGGCGCTACCTAACATAGGTAGACCGATACGACCAAGGTGGGGCGAGGAGAGTGGGAGGGCGAGTGGGAGAGTGCGTGAACTCGAGGAGGGGGGGAGGGGGGAGGGGGGAGGGGGGAGGGGGCACCCCAAGCAGCAGTGAGCCTGTGTACTGTTGTACTGAGCAACTCACCGTACGCAGTAATAAGTGCTGTAGGTATGTTTGTTACGTTGGCGGCAGCAGATTGGTGAGGTCGGCGTGCTCCCTTTTCCTTGGGTTTGGTTGGAGGGGAGGAAGAGGAAGGAAAGGAAAAGCAATGGGCCCAGAGGAAACAGAACAAGCCAGAGAAAGCTGTGGCGCGGCGTGGCAGGTGGCAAGTGGAAGCGCGGTGCTATGTAGTTGCTGGGTACTACTAGTAGTAATAAGGGGCGAGCGCGGGCCTGGCTGAGTGATCTGTGAGGTTGCAGTTCGTCTCGAAACGGCCAGCCGTAAGGAGGCGCTGGTGGAGACGCAGTGCCAATTATTATCCTGCCCGTCGCGTATAACGGCTGCCAACCTTGGAGGCTGGGTGGTGTGGTGAGGGAAACAAATCGATGGGTTGCCTGCTTGAGCCCTCGTCGAGTCGTGTCTTGTCCGAGGAATTGGAAACTTCGGAAACAGAGCACAGTAGATGAACAACTTCGGATGGGCTGGCGCCCCCAACCCGCCGCCTCGCCAGCCCGCCAGCCCGCCAGCCCGCCAGCTCGTCTTACACGCCCGACTCTGGTAAAAGGAATGTCACGGAATTGTTGGTTGGGTGTTTGGAGCGGCCGGCCGGCCCCCTCGGGCTGCTTATTAGCTTACTGGCCTACCAAGAGGCCTCGTCGGAAACCTCTTTCGTCCTATTCTCAGGGTCACGGATTCCCAGGCCAACTTCAAGGGCGGCTGCTTTCTTGGGTCAATATCCGACCTGACGCACTGGTTTATTACTGTGGTAGTCTGACAAGAGCCTGGAGGAAGCAGGGACAACAAGTCATGTCCAGCCGTCGCCGTCGTTTATTATCATTACATGCTTGCATGCATGCATGCCTGCCTCGGCACTGCATTGGCCATGTCTTGTTGTATCTACCTCCAAGTACTTTGCACCACCCAGCACCTACGCCACCGACAGCAGGCTGGTGGGGCGCTACGCCGTCGAGGGCTGTCAGAATGCCAGGTCCTGGCGCGACTTGAGGCAAGTCCTGTAACAAGGCCCTCGGGCTTGGAACGCCGACCGCAGGGACCACCGCTCTCGCCCTGGTTTTGGCCCACCCAGGGGGGTTTTGCCGGGCTGGGCCGGCCTTTGTGCAGCCAGCCAGCCAGCCTGGGCCGTGGGCCGCGGCGGGAAGGTGCATTTCGTGTACGGAGTATCAGAGTATCTGGTATCGAGCATGCGTGTATGGCCAGCACACGGCACAAGGGTGTGACACACGACCACTGCTGCCCTGGCCCATCAGCCCATCAGCCCATCAGGGCTCCGGGTCCTCACGACCGGGTCGAGCCAACCTTCACCTCGCCCTGTCAGGCTGCCAGGCTGCCCAGGAGCCTCGACGTCGCAGGCCAGCACGTCTTGAGCACGAGAACGTACTCGGTACTGCGTGCTGTGTGGCGTCGCAGACAGAGACCGCCAGTCCCAAGACTTGAGCGGCAAGCCTGAGACAAGCACTCTTGGGACGGTTCCGGAGTACCATTTCGGGAAGACGCTCTCGCTCGGTTATGTCCGACGTCAAAAGGCCAAGGCCTGCTGTCGTCGAGATCACTGACAGTGATCACCGCATGGATCAAGCCCACAGACTGGCTCAGAGCAACATTTTCAGCCGAATTCAATTCTTGTTTGCTCCCTCCTCAAAAGTCTAAACCATCAGCCCGTCCTCGTGTGCAACTGTCTGCACCAAAGCCACCCAGGTCCGTGCTGTCGGTCGGAGCGGGCGGGGACTTGGGCTTCCGGGGCCCGGCGCTACCCCGGCGAAAGGACGTCCCAAATCGAGAGAGAGAAAAAAACCGAAGATGAGAACTTGATCGTCCCAAAGGCCAAATGTATGAAAAGAAGCGTCGCTCGAGCTACCTAGGTAGCGATGATATTGAGAACGACGGCACTGGCCGGGATTACTACTACCTTAGGTCTCCCCGAGTGACTCTTGCCGGCAGCTCATGGCCCGCGCGAGAAGTTATAAGCTCGTCTTCCGGGACAGATTGTAGTCAACACCACGGTATTTGCTCCTCCTTCAGGGTTTGCTCCATAGATTTCTTTCATAGCTGCCACACTGCCGCGTAGTAACTGAGCGCCGAGATCACTTGGAGCACCACCGCCAGGCAAGAGTCCTACAACGTTTTTGCAGCCTTACGAAGGGATAGTCTCGTTCCCCATGTCCCTTGAGATAAGAAGTATGTTTGCCGCCGCCACCGCCGCGAATGTATACTCAAGCGCTTTTAGCAGGCCCGCCTTCCATAGGCCGAGACGCCGCATTTCAGCTTGCCCATCACTGTAGCTAGAAGTTCAACTGGGTCGTTATATCTGAATACCACTGTAGACCAGACTACCAGCAGCCTGAGGCTGAGGAGGCAAGATAGAACTAGTTGATAGGAGCAGAGGAGCATTGTCTCAAGAGTACTAACACCAGTCAAGATATTAACATTAGTTGTTGTAGAAGCATCGCCTTCGCAGAGCCTTGCGTCTCGCATGTGTTATATATCGGTATCTTGAGTGATTTGTCCAGGTGACATGGAGATATTGGGACACGCTCCTACTTAGCAGCGAGGGGGGGGGGTTCATTGAAGCCAGGATGTGATAAACGAAATGTAGGTACACGTCATCCGAACGAAACGAATTGTGATAAGGACTCATTGGAAAACCTAGGGTGGCATTCATCGCAGCGCAGCTGAGGCCTAATAGTCATCAATGTCAAACGACACTTACTGAGCCAGCCGGTATCGTTTTCTGGTGTACACGAGGCTCCGAGAAAGTCTAAGGCCGCACCTTTCTCTTGCGAAACCCAAGCTGGATGAAATTAAGAAGAAAAAAGCCTTGCACTGAAGCATTGAGGTAATGGATTGACGAAGTCGTCATATTTCAAGACTTGGCGTTTCCGATGGATGACTCCCAAACAGATCTATCAAAAGAACCATTCAACTGGTGCATAACATCTCACTTAGATTCGGTCGGTCAGCAACCTTCTCGAACCGGAACGCCCCCCCCCCCCCAAAAAAAAACCGTTTCTATGGGCCAACTTGAGTAACACAGATTGTATATGCGAACGTCAAGTCTGACTGTAGTTAATCGCTTCTGGATCCGGTCAAATGAGAGGCAGCTGATCTCTGCTCTTCTCTCACTCAAGGAGATAATAATTTTCAGCCTCTAAACACACCAAGCCCAATCACCCACTCATATTTGAACTAAGCATAGATAAAACAGGTATTTTGTTAGGACTTTGGAAGATTCTATAAGGAAGATGCTTTTATAAGATTGGTGGCTCAAGCTTACGAGTTCTAAAGTTAGTTATATGCCACTATGCTGGTAAGTCTCAAAGCCTATTACTACCTTGGGTAGCTTCATGTAACAAACATAGCGTCCGAGATTAGGAAACACAGCAGCTACTCGAATCAAAGCTTGAACAAACCCTTCATAGCAAAACAAACCCTTCATAGCAAAGGCCCAACACTAATTTATCGACCAGCTTCCTCCTCCACAGCTGAGCGTCGAAAAGACTCGCCCGGGCGAACCGCAGTTCCGTGATGGCAAAAGCCCCGTTCGAATATGTGATTCTAAGTTGCTCCGGTGACCCCAACTCACCAGTTCATCCCGAGAGGAGGACTCTGAACCCTCGTGGGACCCCTGACGTTCCAAGGAACGTCCACGCTGACAGCTCACCCGTGAACAGTTCCGGCTGTGTCGCGGCCCACCAGATCAACATGCGCAATGGTGTGATCGGCGAGAAAACCGTGCGCTCACCGGTGATGAGGGTACAATGACTGTATAATGCCAGGTAGAGATGTATGTATGCACTAAAGACTAAAGTGTGTAGTGATAGTCCAAGCCCCACCAGAGCAGCCATTTGACACCGCTTTCCGTCAACTGGTGCAATTGCGATGTTTCACCCGTGACGAGCCACCCTCTCGTGATTCAGCCACAAGTGATTCATCAAAATGCACTTGAATACTGGGCATTGGCAACTCAATATGGTCGGTCACAAGACCATTTGATGTTGTCACGACTTCTCGCTTCTTCACTTTGCCTCCACTTGTGCCCACCCTTTCCACTTATGAGCGAAGGAACGTTCTTGAGAGTGTTTTTGTGACCTTGGCAGAAGATAGACACCAGGGCCTTATTTGAAGTGCTTTTCAAGGAGAAGATGAGTCAGGATGGAGGAAATTAGTAATTGAGAGGCTGGGATAAATCGAATAAGATAGTACGTCTGTGTCCCAAAGCATCCAGTAGTAAGCGTCTTACAGACACCCGCTCTGGTCTGGAACTAACATTTTGTTTCTGCTAATATTCACTTGGTGCGCTGGAATAGGCAATGCCCAGCATGAAACAAGAGTGCCGTCTCACTGTCCACGTGCGTCTCAATGCCGGATATACAAAACAACATGACGATTTGATACATCCCCAATGCCTTTGACCATAATTATCGTAGAGGGAGACACTTTCGAATGTTCCCAGAAGCCACGACTGGTACAGCAGGGATGTAATCGAGGTATAGATAGGCAATGAAATGCAGATGAGCATTAACTTAACAGGAATGATTACCTAGGCAAGGAGAAGTTCTGATGCTCAATGGAAGTGTCATTTGCCTCTCTGACAAATGCTTCTTCAGGCAGCTGTGATGGAAGATCTGAGTCTTCGAAATATTGCTCTGAATCCCTACTTATTGAATATAGGTCATGAGTTGGATGTTGAGAGCGTGCTGGCAGATCAGACGCGTGGGATGTGTCACAAGACTCACAACCAGAAGCGAGTTGAATACCTAGGTACCCTAGGGAAGGCATGGCCATATTGGGGGCCAAGATTGCCTAGAAGTATTTTAGGTCAGTACTTAAGTACCTAAGTAGGTAGGTACTTAAGTACATACCTAAGTACCTAGGTACTTAGGCGAGCCCCACCAATGCTGCGGGAGCTCAAGCTATGCACACCCCTGTCGTGAATCTCGCAGTAGCAAGGAAGAGATAGGGACCATGGAGCTCCCAGACGGACGCGTCAGGCGCGTCCCGTTGCACCCATCTGGTAGCACGTCAAGCGATGACGGACTACCTACACCTCCAGCTCCACACACACACACGCGCGCACTCGTTTTCACACCGTCAAGTGAATCACCGACAAGGACCCCCCACGGCAAAAGGTGGAGGTGCCCAGAATTTATGCCAATTGATTAAATGGCAGACGACCAGGGCTCCGGTGGGCAGCAGCTCCCACTCCGCCCTCGTTCATCGCGCCCCAAAATGTCGTCGCCAACTCGCCAGCGCAGCCCCTCCAGGGCGACACCCCGTCGCAGCTCGTCGCACCCGCCCAAAAATATCGATGCTGCCGCCAGCCAGCAGACCCCGAACATCTCTCGAGCCTCCGCACCACCCTCATCCGCCGCGCGCTTCTCCATCCGAACACCCGGCAACCAGGTTCTCGACTTCCGATCGTCACGCCACCTGCTCTCCGCCTCGGGCCGCAAGGGAGCAGGAGCAGGCAGTGCAGTCCCCACCCAATTCACCCCCCATGGCCGTGCCGCCATCCGCGCCTTGGACTCGCGACGCGCAGCTATCAACGAGATCAACACCCCGGGCCGAAACCGTCGGCGCTCCGTACGTGACCAGAGAGAGACGCCACGGGATGCGCTGCGAGCCCTGAGCCGTGCACTTGCGCCCAAGAGCAAGACAATCACGACGTCTTCGAGCTCGTCACCGGATGACCCTAACAACAATAGCACGCGCAAGCGTGGTGGACGCAGCCAGGGCCGTAGTAGGAAAGGCGGCCCGGTTACGATACCCGAAGACCCCGATGATAGCGATGAGTTCCCCATCGACAGACCGCGGCTGTCGCTGCCGATCGACGACGTTAGTGACGACGATCTCCGACCGCCAAGGACGTCCGGCCTGGAAGACCTCGAGGACAACTTCACAATGCAGAGCATAGAGCTGCCCCGCAGGCAGACCCTAGACAATCAGTCGAGGTATTCGATGCGCATGAGTGACTATGGACCTATGAACGATCTCCCGAGCGACGACGATGTCGGTGTTGACTCGGCCTTCTTCCCTCGGGCCAACTGGGATGGAGATGAAGGAGATGATTCTGGCATGGCGGGCCTCGGCGACGACGATGCTACTCTTGAAAGGATTGACGATGATGAGGCTGGTCGCAGGGAGACGCTGGGAAGCTTTGGGGCGATCGAGGTGAATTTTGACGAGGCCGACCAAAGCACAGTCATGCTGCAGCCACAGGTCGAGTCGAGTCCCAGGAGGGAAAGCTTCTCATCCCCACGGAATGAGGCTTTTGGGATGGATGACGCTCCTCTCCCTGAGGAGATGGAGGTTGAGGATGACACCAACCAGTGGCTGGGTCTGCGCGGTGACGGCGAAGCTGAAGCTGAAGGTGATAGTGACATTCATCTCGGTGACTTCGCCTCGGACGCAGCCATCGCAGAGGTCGTCGGACAAATGACAAAGTCATCAAAATCAAATCGATTCAAGAAGCCCGGCAAGAAAATCTCACAACACGGCATCGAGTACCCCTCGCTTCCTCCAGGAGTCGTCAAGCGAGTCGCCCAACGCTTTGCCGGCAAGTCCAAGATCTCGCCAGACACATTGGCAGCCCTGGTGCAGGCGTCCGACTGGTTCTTTGAGCAGCTCGGAGACGATCTATCCGCATACGCCAAACATGCGGGTCGGAAGACGATCGAGGAGAGTGACATGTTGACTTTGATGAGGAGGTACGTGTCATCCTTTCGACTCGCTTTGCAACAGGGTATCATTGTAATTTTGTACAGGCGTTGCTAACCGAGCCATCTTCGCCCCGTCAGACAACGGCAGATCAATGCCAGCACTACACCATTCGCGCTCGCACAGCGTTATCTGCCACGAGAGCTCTTGCAAGAGCTGCGAATGCCTCCTCCAGGACGAGTCAAGGCGAAGAAGCGCCAAAGGTCCCCATCGACTGGTGAGGATGGCGATGTGACATGAAGCGCATTGGGCCCATGGTCGATTCCGGACCATTTGCGCTGATCACCAGTGCTTGTTCATACGAACGCGCTTTGCGATGTCTGAAGGTGGCTTCCTGATGACCATCCACAACATGATAGAGGTGGCAAGGGACAAGCTGTACCTATGGAGATATCAGCATATTTGAGTCTCATAGGCACAAGTGACACGGGCGCCAAGCGTGAGGATATGATAACAGAATTAGGGGAGAGTTAGCAAGCTTACCAGGTGAAGATATACTGAGCGTGGTTGTTCCTCAGATTCACCTCAGCAGGCCTGCCGATTGGGATGCCCTTTTGCTCATACTCCATAAGCTCCATGTAATCGGGGTCTTTGAGGCAATGTCAGCAGGCAAACCTAGATGTACGAAGAAGCAGTGTCGCATCCTCTGGATTCCACATGGAGAACAGTGATCACTCACCCATGGTAGCCTCAATCCACACAGGCTGGGCTCCCGTCAGCTCAGCCATCTGCCTCACGTCTGGGAAGTAGAACTCCCCCTTGTCCGGCCTGTTCTCTGGCGTGAACATGTTCTTCTTCCAAGGCTTCCTCAGAAGACCCTCCACCGTCACCTCACCCGTAGGCAGGCTGTCCTTGGCCCGCGTACGCTGGTCCTTGAGCCTCTTTGGGATCCAGCCCCTGTTGACCAGGACGGTGCTCCCGTCGGCCCTCTCGAGAGGCGTGACGACCATGAAACCCTGCTCGCCGTCGCGCATGCGCGGGCCAATGAGCATCTCCTGGTCGTGGCGCAGCGTCCCGGAGCAGTAGACACGGCGGTAGTCAAACTCGTCGGCGATAACCTGCGGGTCCACGCGGGGCGGCAGGGGCAGGGGCTCGCGAAACAGCCTGTCCTCGCACTTGGCGATCAGGTCCGTCTTCCACTGCAGCCGCTGGACCTGCCATGACCCCAGTGCGAAGGCGGTGATGGGGATGATGGCGAGGATGATCAGCCCCGGGCCGTGGCGCCGCCCCGTGCGCACCAGGTTTGGCGGGTTGTCGAGGATCGACGTGAAGTTCGGGTCGTCTGCCGGCTGGGGCCTGTCGCACCGTCTTGTGGACTGACTGAATGGTCGTCTGCCGGCTGAGCCTGGTGGTGACGTTGGAGTGGTCCGAGGGGTCTTGGGGCTTGAATTGACGACGTTCCGGAGTGTGGCATGGGCCTGGAAAGGCCTTGCTAGGCGCGTGAAGGCCTTCATCATTGGCACGAGGTTGTGTATAGGTGGCGGACTGGAGCGAACCGACCGGAGCTTCGGCAGGCTCACTTGGAAAAGTTTCGGCGATGATGCAACGGTTTCTCTGGCGATTGGCCGGAGCTCTCCAAGCTCCAGGCCTACGGAGTAGCGCCCTTGCAGGACCACCTAAGTGCCTACCTATAGGTACCCAGGTAAGTAACCCAGGTGGGTACCTGGCAAAGGTACCTACTTAAGTACCTGCCTAGGTGTGTAACACCCTGCTGCCCAGCTTACTGGCAACTCATCACAACTCCCTGGGCAACCTCGAACTTGAGCGACATTGACGACAAAGGTCAACAGACCTGTTGTTTGTCAAGCAAGTCATTCGGGTCAAGCAAGCCTTCGAAACTGGCATTCGCTGGATTATTTGACTCGCGCTCAAGAATTCTCACCTTCACATCTACCGATCTACTGTTGCAGCTCCCTCGTTCAACGTGTGTTGACGAAGGGCTCTTCGGGATGTTTTTCACGGGCACGCTGCAGGAGGGCATCTCCAAGGCACTTCAAGAGAGCAAACTCGTGGTTTGCTTCGTGACAGATGAAGAGGAGGAGAGCACGACCTGGGAGAATGAGTTCCTCACCGACGAGGCCGTTGCGCCCTTGGTCGAGAAGGACGCCGTGTCCTTGCGGCTCAAAGCCGGTTCTCAGGAGGCGGGCTACCTGGCCGCCATATTCCCCCTGCCCAAGAACCCAACCCTGGTTGTCATAAAAAACGGAGAGTTGAAGGAGTACATTTCCGCAGGCACGCCCAAGGACGAGTTCGTGAGGCGCGTCAGCGGGGCATTCCACGCACAGGCGGCCGGTGCTACAACCACGACTGCCGAGACGCCATCGTCGGATTCCCAAACCCCCGGCGAGAACACACCGGCATCATCAAGCACCCCTTCATCATCAGAGCAGCAAGGTCAATCCTCCGTGGCGGCCGCCACTCGTGAAGCCGAAGTGCGACGGCAGGCGGCCCGCAAGGAGCGAGAAGCATCGGAGAAGCGCCGCAGAGAGAAGGAGGAGGATCAGCAGGCCCAGGACCCGGTGAGGGCGAAGCAGAACGACGCCAAGAAGAAGGCGGCTCAGCAGCTCGCGGAGCGCCAGCGCCAGGCTCGGGAGGACCGGGCGAGAGTGCTGAAGCGCATCGAGGATGACCGGGCAGAACGCAAGGCCCGCGAGGAGAAAAATCGCGTGGCAAGGGAGATGGAACGCAGGGCGGCCGCAGGTGAGGACGTTGAGGAGATCACCGCTGCCGCCGGAGAGCCCGCACCGACCGGTATGTCACGCATTCATGACCAATGCGCCCTGCAGGCTCGCCTGTTCGACGGTTCAACTATTCGCACACGGCTACCCGCGAAGGCCACCCTGAGCCGCGACGTGAGGAAGTGGATCGATGAGAGTCGCACCGACGGGAGCCAGCCGTACTTATTCAAGGTCATCCTCACGCCGCTTCCGAACCGATCTATCGATCCTGCGACGGAAGAGGAACAGACTCTTGAGGAGCTGGGCCTCACCCCGAACTCGACACTGGTGCTTGCACCTGTTGACCGGGCTGTGCCCGCATACCCAAGCATCAACGCCGGCCTGTACAACCTGATCTCGCACCTGATCGCTGCCGTGCTGGCGTTCATCGGCGCCATCCTTGGAAGCATCACTGGCGCTGTCACAGGCTCTGGCAGCGCTGGAGACAACGGTGACAGTGGGGCCGGACAGCGGACCGCGCCAGAGCAGCAAGACCGCAGCCAGGGCCACACGACTGGGCGAGACGGGACCAGTGCGAGCCGGATCCAGAGGTTCCAGAACCCGGAGGACAGGAAGAGGGACCAGCAGCTTTACAACGGAAACTCGGTGAGTTGGCCTACGTACCCCCGTCCAAGAGCGGTTGTGCATCGCATGGATAGAGTGGAACTAACAGGTCACAGCTGAACTTTGAGCCGAGAAATGACGAAGAGGACAAGGACCAGTGACGCCTGGGTCATGGTGACAGGACTGCTGCTGGCTCGGTGTGTTTTTACAATGTGTATTTACTGATTTTAGAAGCAAGCTTGGTAATTGCCGCGCCGTACCGCAGTGCAATGCAATCCAAATAGATGCTCTTCATGAGTTGAGATGCCCCAGTACTTCTCAGCTGTCCCATTACTCCACGGCCATCCTCCTTGCCATGTCAATGACCTGGCCTGTGATCCTCTTGCCGCGCTCGGAGAGTCCAGAAAATCAACGTGATGTGCCCGACCTCGTTGTCCAGCCGCCCGTCTTCCAAACCGATCTAGTACTGGCTAGCGGCAGCCTGGCAGGCCTTGAGCTGGTCCATGTACCAGCCGCAGATGGACATGTTGCCTTGGTGCTCGTCCATGCAGTTGGTGAAGCTCTTGGTGGCGAGGGAGCAGTTAGGGCCCCACTGGTCGTTCTGGGTCTGCTGTGCGGCCTGGGGCGACGCCTGGGCGGGTGCCTCGGCCGAGCCGCCACCGCTGAACAGGCCGCCGATCGCGTGGCCGATGGACGAGCCTACGGCAACACCACTGTAGACATTGTCGGTTAGCAACAACTTTCTTTTTGTGACGGACCAAGAGATGTATATCTGTCTCCCATCTGTTCCCAGGTAGCCGATTCACGGGTGCATCACTCGGGTCGCGCTGTCTCTCGGCGGGGGAACATCACAATGCTGATCAAGGGCCAGACGTACGCAGCTGTGGAGGCCATCTGGCCGAACAGACCCGGGCCCTGGGAGGCCTGGGGGGCAGGCTGGTGGGGAGCCTGGGTGGCGGGGGCCGCGTAGGTAGTCGCAGGTCGGGTCTGCTGCTGGGAAGTCGGTGCAGCGGGCGCACGCGAAGGGACAGTGGGGCGCGAAGGAGCGCGGCCGGCGGATCGTTGACGAGGCATTGTGGTTGTGTGTGTGTGTGTGTGTGTGTGTGTGTGTGTAGTTGTCGCGACGAGTGTAGAGAAGGAGGAAAGTGTTACGGTGGTTTTTTTTTCGGGGGGGGGGGATGTATGGGATTGAGGTTGAGGTCAAAGGTTGGAGAAAGACCCCGAGGTACAACTTACAACTGGATCGATATAATGCATTCGCCTAAGAAAAATCATGTTTAGGTAAGCCCGGAAACCAATAGAACCGTGCTGATTTCACCTGTGGACCCTGGGGCAGACATGGGGCCCAGGGTAGCTGCAGAGATGTATGTCATGCTCCACTGGATTCCCCGTGCATATGCCATTTCGGACCAGCCCCCTTCTCCAGGGCAAGTTGATGGAGAGACAGGCCACATGCTTGAATTCTACGCAGCTGTAGAGATTTTAAAAGTTGATTGGAATTTACGAAGGTCCCTAATTGTAAGAAAGAACCGCTCGGCAGCTTCCCGCAAGATCAAATAGAGTGAACTTCCGAGTCTCAGGTTCCACCACTTCCTTGGGGTCGACCTCGTCTCACGACTCTTTTTGGAAGTCTGACTTGTAGTACTCAGGGCCAACACTAGGAACATAGTACTCCGCGTAGGAACTTTTGTAGCCAAAGATAATCCTTCCGATAGTTGCCAAAGTAAACGTAAAAATGGCATTGACCAAGCACCTTACCTTGTCACCACCAGGCACCCATAGAAAGTCACCAGGCATCCAACAGTCTGTGAGGAATATACAGAGCTGCAACAAGCTTGGCGATACTCCTGCCACCCTGCAGTCGTCCAGGTAGGTCAAGGTGTTGCTGAAGAAGCGCCTCTCCATCTCATACCGCTGTGCATCGTACCGGTACAGAATCGACAGCGGCTCTGTGCTTCCCGGCACGTTCTCGAACCTGTGTGATACAAATCTGGGTATGGTGATGTCGTCTCCTGCCTTGAGATATATCGTTTTGCCTCGAAGATACCACAAGCCCTCCCCCGACTCAACGTGGAAGGATTCCGTCTGTAGCATATGGTAGTGGGCAATAGGGGCTTTGCTGATGTATCAGTGTAATGGTCTCGCTCAGACGGAACGCACTATGAAGCATGTATTTCAACATAAAGTAGCAGGACTCTAAACTATGAGATGATGGCGAATCTCCGCCATTCAAATCACAACCTTGGAAGCCCAAGTAACAACAGCAACAGAAGCAGAGAAGGCAGATCCGCACGCACCCATGAAACTGCGTGTACCATCTGACCAATTGTTATCTGGCGGAATGACCTGGCGGCCAAAGAATTTCGTGCCCGGGGCAAAAAATTCATTTACCGCACGACCGTCATCGTATAGGATTGGGTTTAAGCGCGCAACGTGGCTACGGGGCACTTCGGTGGGCTTCAGCAGCTGAAAGAGCGGCATATTGATTTGATGATTGATCAAGAAGGCTGGAACAAGTTGACAATTCGTGTGGGACAGCAGAGAGGAGTTCGTGAGTGTAAAAATATCTATGAGAACCTCGGGTCCGAGCTGAATTTAAAGCCAACCTCACCCTTCGGCGCTTGGCCGGGGGCATCGCGGCTGACATCCAGCGCTACTACTATAGTGTAAGGGCGCAGACCATTCCTGCGGGGCCATCGTGGAGAGTCGCATCGCGGGCACCAATGTGACGGGGCCAAGCACAATCTGACGCGACCAGAAGACCACTTGCCCAGAAAGGGATGAAAATTACCCAGGACGTGGTGTGGTGACTGTCTGCTGCATTCATTTTCAACTGCGGCGTCGTGACCAGTCACTAGAGCTACACGAGTTCGTGTTGATCTCGACTGGCTTCTGTAAGCTGGCATAAGCCCTTGTAATCAGATCACCCTTCCGGGTCCTCCAATCATTCTGCGCTTGAAGTAAGTGAATGAACGGCCGACGTGTCCGGCCGGCCATCCTTCAAAGTTGAAGGGTATCTCTTTGTCCAACCATGGTGCTAGACCACCCTGACCAGTATTCAAGATCAGGCCATTTGAAGCTTCGACCTGGGCGAGATGCCTCTCTATCTGTTGATGTATATTGTCAGTGACCGAAAATGAGCACTCGTCTATTGCCCGCTTCGTACCTGATTCAGTCATGATGCGCTTCATTCAATCTCAACTTGCTTGTAGCCGCTTGCCAGCGGAACCTTCCAAAGCATCCGATTGAGCGACGTGGCACACAGAGCAGGATTGACCTGATCCTGGCTCACTTCCTCTTGTCCTTCTTAGATTTCTTCTTGTCGCCCCTGCTCTTCCTGGCCTTCTTTCTATCGGGTTCGTTGACCTCTCCTTCCTCCGCGGCGCTGTTGGCAGCCGAGCTTTCGGCAGCGGCGGCTTTTGAGCTCTCGGCGGATATAAGATCGGCGACCGCGGAAGAAGCGTCAGAGTCCTCAGCGGGCCGCTTCTTGTTCATCCTGGCCTGGATTGCCGCTTTCGCACGCTCCTTTGCCAGCTGCTCCTTCAGCTTGGTATCGACCTCCTTGTCGTCACCAGCCTTGAAATTGGTCAGCAAAGAAGCGCAGTAAAGACGATTGTCCCGTTTGAAAATTCAACATGAAGCGAGTAGTCAACCCGCACCGCTCTCGTCCTCACTTACTAGGTCGGCCTTGATAAAACGAATGGCAGCCTGCGTATTCACGCTCTGCGTCCGCTTCTCGGGCGGCTCCTCTGCCTTCTTGATCTTCTCATAGTACTGACGCACGCGGGTGAGCTCCGTGAATACAGGATGCTCCTTGACGTCCGTGCCGTTGAGGCGCAAGGCCGAGAACAAGGCCGTCTCTATCGAGTACGTGGCGAGCACGTACAGCTTGGCCTTGTCTAGCAGGGGCAGCTTGGAGGCGACTTCGCCCAAGTTGGTCAGAATTGGCTTCAACGAGTCCTCGAGCTTGTCCAAGTCGCCGTCGAGACGGTCGAGATGGGGAGTTATGTCCGACACATCAGCCATGATGTGCGACCTCGCCTTGCCACTGCGAGGAGGTTTTGGATTCTCGGTGAGCCCAGATGGCTTGACAACTAACGATATTTGGATGTCAGTGACTCCAAGTGCGGTGTGCTTCGGGTCGCTGTCGTTGCCTTTCCAAGTGAAAACAAAGAGGGCAAGCGACCGAGGTTTGAAAAGTTCGATAAGACTGATTTGGCACATGGATAAGGTACCTAGGTACGTACTACGCGCAGTCTGTACCACCCGAGCAGCGGCGTGTATGTGGGCAGGGATGTGAAGGGTCGTTCCGGAGCAGTGGGTCGGTTAGATGCAAACAGACCCCTGCGCCTAAAAATTTAGAGGATCGGTCGGACCTGGACCGCATGGAAAATGTCGCCGTCATCCAGGCCGACGTCGAATTGAGACCTTTGCCCCTTGCGCGAGGTCGAATATTCCTGGCTTCCCTCTTTTGAAAGAAAATGACACAGGAGACAACCCCTCCTGTCACCGGATGACCCGACTCGGCAAGCACTGCCCACGCTGAACCGTATATCCATCCGTTCACGCCCATCCAAGCAACGGGCACGAGAGCCCCCCCTCAGACCTTCGAGTCCGGCACCAGGAGAGCACCTTTGACGCCTTGAGCTACTCGAGGCGCTTGCTCAGTCTCGACCACGCGTCTATTTTCGGGCACTACAGTACTATGATCCTCCAGTGGTTCTAAACAAGCCGTTCAATCTGTATTCCCTACGCAGCAGCCTACCGCGGTCGCGGGTGTTTGCGCGAATACCTCACAGACACACGTCATGGAGCCGCGGTAGCATCACTGGGGGCCGGGGGGCCACACGGGTGTATTCCTCAGATCAAGCCGTCGCCGTCGCCGCCACCGCCGCTCCCGAAACACCATCTGAATCCAAGCCTCAAGAAGACGCCCAAGACCTCCCGGACCAAGGGCGTTATGACCCCTTCTCGAAGCGTCCCAGCCTCCGAAAGTTGCTCGACGACATTGGCGAGCAGAGCCCGGATGAGATAGATTCGATTGCCAACAAGAAAGAAACCCCCATAGGACTGACCTATTCTACTGATCCCAGAGGGCCGCGACCACTACCGCAGGATGAAGAATGCAGGCGTGTACACATCTTAGGATACGACCCACGCGCATACTATATAGCCCACGAGCTGGCTGGAAACCCCCACCTCGACCCTGTCAAACTGCTTGTCCACAAAAGAAACGTCATGAGGTCATGGGAGCTGGAGGGTCAGCAAGTGAGCGTGTGGAAGGGGGTTGAGAGGAGCAGCCGCGGCCGAGGGCGCGCCGAAGCCGAGTGGATAGGACGGGGCCGGAACGAACCCAGCAGCGAGCACATCGACCAGTTGATCGTAACCCTCGCCTGCGGTGTGACCAAGAACGCTCTCGAGAACATCGTGCACAGGATCGATCAACGGACGACTATATGCCTGGTCCAGGATGGGCTGGGGGTCGTGGAGCACTTGAATGCAGCCCTCTTCCCAGACCCGACAACGCGGCCACACTACGTCCTGGGCCACATGGCTGCCAGCCTCGGCTACAACAAGAAGTGGTTCTTTGGGGCCAAGGTGAGGGAAACCGGAAAGCTGTACCTGCACGCCGTGGAAAGGGGCATAGATCTGGACCCCGTATTCAAGTTCCACCCGCCCATAGAACGGCGGTCCAATGCGACACAGTTTCTGCGCACTCTGGTGACGACACCTGGACTGCACGCGGGCGGGTATAACCTGGAGAACTGGCTCATCAAGAAACTCCCGGCACTGGTCTTCAACAGCGTCATCGACCCGATGGCTGTCATACTCGACACGACGTACGACAACCTCCCGCGCAACGAGCACGCGATCCAGCTCGCCGACGAGCTGCTGGACGAGCTGTTCAACGTGATTATGGCGCTGCCCGAGCTCACCAACTCGTCAAAGGTTGTGAAGCACTGCGGGCTAGGCGAGCTGCGCAAGAAGACCATCAGGCGGCTCTGGGAGAAGGGCTCATCGCAAAGCAACATGCTCAGCCGCGTCCGAGCGGGTCAATGGGTCGACATCGACTACATGAACGGCTATTTCGTCAGGAGGGGCCAGGAACTAGGCATCAGGGTCCCGCAGAACGAGATGGTGGTTGACATGGTCAAGGCGAGGATAGCGGAGCGGAGGGAGGAGATGAGCAGCAAGATCCCTTTTGAGTCCGACGACGTTTCGAGACAGCCTGCCTTTTGATGCCTGTTGAAGGCAAAGATTTATATAACGATTGGATCATCGGTCATGCATAGCGGGGACTTTGTTACGAATGAATGAAGGGACCATTGCACGCGTAGTTTAAAGTGCCCCCCATCGTATTACACCTCTCATGTCACAAGACGAATAGCAGCACTTGAGATATTATAAGCAATGTTTATTTTTACATGCCTCTACTCTCTGTGCAACTACCAGCCAGATCCCAACATCTAACTCTAGATGTGCCTAATGTATGACTTTGTGTCTACAATTTCCAGGCATGGTATGGGCAAGAAAAATCACTTCCTGCTCGATGATCGTGGCCCATTCCATACCTCCCCAGTGGCCTACTTAAGTACCTAGGTAGGCACCTAAGTACATAGGTAACTAGGTAGGTACTTAGGTACTTGACGCGGTAAAAGTATCTGACAGGGGTTGGTTGACCCCGCCAAAACTCCATGGTGGAGAGCATCGATGCACGCAAGCTTCCCAGGCATCTCCTCATAACTTGTCCCAACTCTGCCCGGTCATTCCAAAGCCTGCAACCATGGAAGACGCAGAACTCGAACAGGTGCGGGCGGTCTTGGCCCCAACCACTGCTGGCTGACTGGGACGTCCTTGCTCACTTTCCATGCCAACAGATCCGAAAGGCTCGTTTGGAGCAGCTCAAGGCGCAGTCCGGTGCGGGAGCCGGTGCGGGAGCAGGAGCAAGCGGCTCTGGTCAGGGCCAGGGCGAGCAACAGAGGTAAGTGATTGCGCGCAGGACAAGCAGTACCTCCTCGGGCGGCTTCATGCTAACGACCGTCCGTATTGCAGACAGCAAGAAGGTATGTAAATACTATTCCAGCAGGCGCACATCGCCTGCCTACCCTCGCACCCTCGCCCAACGAGCGGCCGTCACGCGACCCCTCGCACCAGCGCAACAACCAGGCGGATGGACCCCAGGCTGACTCGTCCCCAACAGCCGAGGCGCGGCAGTCCATACTCAACCAGATCCTACACCCGGAGGCGGCGGACCGCCTGGGCCGTATCCGACTGGTCAAGGAGGAGCGGGCAGCGGACGTCGAGAACAGGCTGATCATGCTGGCGCGGTCGGGCCAGCTACAGCAAAAGGTGACCGAGGCTCAGCTCAAGGACCTGCTGTCCGCCGTGTCGGCCAACCAGGAGAAGGAGAAGATCGTCGTCAACCGGCGCAAGGCATGGGCGGACGAGGACGACGACCTGCTGGATCTGTAGTGTGCCGGCGCGTGTGCACATGGACCCACGCCTCGACGGGTCGCCAAACAAAATCAAGAATGTCTATGGAGTCATTGGGACCGTGAGGCCCAACAAAACGCGATGCGATAATGATACCTTCAATGCGATGTTTTTCTGAGATGTTTTTCTGAGATGTTTTTCTGAGATGTTGGTTCCCCGGTGTTGGTTCCCGGGTGCGGTATTGATTGGTTCAGTGAGGATGATGTGATGGTGCCCGCATCTACGGTGCTATACACTGAGCACTGGCTCCCCCTCCCCAGCCGCCCTCAGCTCCTTGAGCCGCTTCTTCTCCTCCCTCTCCCTCTTCCGGATGGCCCTGAGGTCAGGCGGCTGCTCGACGCCCAGCCGGGCCCTCAGCCCGTCGACGTCGCTCTCGAGCTCCTCCTCCCAGTAGACATTGATGACCTCCTCTGCGCGCCATCCGTTGCGCAGCGCCCAGGGCAGGTAGACGGACGCAAAGCGGCGCCTCTCGCTCCTCTTGAGCGTGAGGGCGGCGAACATGCTGAGCCCCGTCATGGGCAGGCCCGTGTTGGCCCACTCGAAGGCCTTGAGCGCGACCTCGCCCTCGCGCACGATGGGCAGCCCCGTCAGCGCGTGGTAGAAGTCGTGGCACTCGCGGTAGCGCTGCATGACGTATGCGCACTCCTCGTCGTCGATGTACCGCACCGCAGACCGCGAGTCCGGCGTCACGCCCTCGCGGTCCAGCCACCCCACGTACGTCCGCCCTACTGTGTTGGCCGGCAGCGAGCGCAGGCGAGGGAGGTCCAACGACGCAGACGTCAGCCGCGGGCGGTCGCGCAGCATGCGGCGCCCCGTCGGGGAGCGCAGCATGGCGTCGCGGAGGCGCGGGATGAAGTAGGGCGTGGAGGTGGCCTCGGCGAAGGCGGCGATGAGGTCTGCGTGCGGCCGAGGGGCGTGGTCAGCTCCAGGCAGTTGGGTCGGCAGGGGAGAGAGTGCATACCTCCACGGTACGGGTTCACCAGCGACATGATTCCGGAGCCAATCGCCAGCCCTGCGCGCTCGACATGTGTCAGTGGCACGTGGCCCGGGTAGTTTGGCGGGGGCCTGTTGAGGACGGAAAAGGATCGCTGAGGGCTGCGCGTCGCGACGCCGACAGTGGCGGCCTTGCAGGCACCTTGGCTGCCCCGGCAGAGGGTCGATGCCCTCGGAACTGTCAACCTCATGCTGGTCTTATGGCTGGCCACTGGGCGACCATGTTGTGCGTTGTGCGTTGTGCGGGTGCAAGTTCGGCGCAGGCGGAAGCAGGCGGCCGAAGTGGTTCGATGATGCGCCGGGCCTGGGCAGGGAGCTCCGGCCAGCTCTCGGGGCGCCTGGTCCTACTACTGAGTGGGTACCTCGGTACTTACCTAGGTAAGTTAAGTAGACTAGCCTCCAGTACTCCGTACTCATATTATGTACCACCACTAGAAAGCCTTGACTCGAGGGTGGCACTGGACGAGCCTCCACTCTTCTTTCTTAACTGAAGCCCTCTTTTCCTACTATGCATGGCTACATTGTTAATTGTTCATGATGGATGCTAACCGTGAGTCACCTGGTGCTGCTGTACGCAACTCTTCCGTCTGATCTCGAAATACTGTATCTACTGTGGGTGGCCTCCTGAAAAGAGTCATTTTTTGGACCAGTCTCGGCCCTGTCTTCATCTTCACTTACTTAAATCCATATGCATGCCCATACCTTGAGTATTTATAACTGAGCAGCCACTCTGCTTTAACTGAGGTTCAATCCAACCTCAATCCCGGCCCCGAGTGCGCCGCAGGTAAGCATTCTGGACGCACCCATGCTCGCACCCTTCGGATCCATCACTGACCTGAGGCAGGGCACTTTTATCTTTTTGTTTCCTACAATACATTCCAAGGCTCAGGATGGCCCTGAGAGTGGAGGACAAGCTCGAGGAGGTCCATGAGGAACTTCTCACATGGGCCAATTCCATTGGTGTTGAGATCGACAGGATACGTCCTATGAGGATATCCGGTCGTGGTTTTGGAGGTCAGTCGGTGTTCACGAGTGTGGCAGGCACAGTGTGCATTTGCTTCGTCACGAACCCCCGGCCCCTACTCCCGTTCTCTCGAGCTGTGCTTGTGTGGATCGAGAAAACCCCGTCGCTGACAATTCACAGTCGTGGCTACTGATTACATCCCCAAGGGCACCGACATTCTCACCGTGCCCGTCTCAGCACTTCGGACAAAGGATACTGTGCCCACTGCAATCGTCACAAGTCTACCCAAGGATGTCACCGTCCATGGCCTACTCGCCGCAGACCTTGCCCTCAACCAGGCCGCAAATGACACAACGTACAGCAAGTGGCAAGCGGTAGTCCCGACGGTCCAAGATATCCAACTGTCAATGCCACTCACCTGGCCAGCCTCGTTGCAGTCCATCCTCCCCGCAGGCACCAGCCACCTCCTGGACAAGCAGCGTGCCAAATTTGACAAGGACTGGGACACCGTCTCGGCGGCATTCCCGATCGAGGCCAGGGCCAAGGCCAAGGGCGGCAAGGTGAGAAAGGAGTGCACGAGGGACGAGTACCTGTACGCCTGGCTGCTGGTCAACACCCGTACCTTCTACTTCGTCACCCCCAAGACGGAGAAGCTGCCCAAAGGGGACCACATGGTCCTACAGCCAGTGGCAGATCTCTTCAACCACACGGACCGGGATGGCTGCGACGTCACCTTCAACCATGCAGAGAGTTTCGCGTTCCGGACCACGCGCGACTACGAGAAAGGAGACGAGGTCCACATTAGCTATGGCTCGCACAGCAACGACTTTCTCCTGGTAGAGTACGGCTTCATCCTGGCGCAGAACCACTGGGATGAGGTCCGCCTGGACGAGGACGTGATCATGCCCGCCCTGTCTCGGCGCCAGCGGGAGGAGCTCGAAGACGTCGGTTTCCTGGGCAACTACGTCCTCGACAGCGACACGCTCTGCCACCGGACCCAGGTCGCGCTCAGGCAGATGGCTGTTACGGGCAGGTATGGAGGCCTGACCATGGACGAGTGGCGCAAGTTTGTCAGCGGGCTCGACGACGGTGAGAAGAACCAAGCCAAGGTCGATGCGCAAGCAGTCAGCCTGCTGAAGAAGTATGAGGCTACCATCAAGTCCAAGGAAAAGGAATTGAAGAAAGTGAGGATTCGAGACGAGGATGGAAATGAGGAAATGAACGAGAGCCGGAAAGAGACCCTCCTGAGGCGCTGGGGCCAAATACGGAAGCTGGTCAGGACTACGATTGAGCGCTTGGAAGACGAGTGATGGTGTTGGATATGTATGCTGTCTGAACTTCCTATCAATGGATGATACCCAGAGTATACAACTCGGGATTGGCCAGCGCGCTTGTGATAATCAGACACGAGGCCATGACCAGTACTAAGCCACAAATTTCTCCTTAAAATAGATATTGTGCTGGGACTTGGTTCTTAAGACGGCCTTACCCATACAGATTGACCCCTCCACTATCCTCAAACCGTCAAGCTGTCCGTCCGTGTTCTCAGCCCCTGAAGGCCGTTTGCCTCTCAACACCTATGAGTTCTTTGGTTTACCCAATCTCAATCTGGACAGTCATAGGCGGAGACTGTCAAACAAATTAACTCCCAAATGCATTCGTGTGTATTGGATTTAAGCTGTAATATCATTTGCAGTGTCCCTTCCGCACTTCTGGCCTCCTGGTAGTAAGTAAGGGAAAAGGAGCAACCTATCATTGATTGTTTCAATTGCTTTTCTGTTAAGACTCAAAATCCCCCTTAGACAGAGGGAATGCCTACTGTTGCCTGACAGACAACAAGGACTTTCTTTATCAGTGAATGTCCTAGAGTGAACCTGTAACTGATTTCTATAACACTACCGACTGCTTGCTTGTGAGAGGGTGTGCTTTGGTGGCATAGTATACTGCGTGGTGAGGATGTCTGCAGGTATAGTTGCATGTATCTGTACCTGGGCAGATCTCCTCTTCATACCGTGCCCTCACGGACTCACCATCGAGCTGCTGAAAAATACATCTCCAGCTCACCCTCCGCATGCTCCGCATGCTGCTAGACTGAAATCCTGGCCTTTTCTTTAGGGTTGAGCCCTGTCTTCCACAGTACTCGGCTATGCATCTCTTCTCAATACCTGCCTTTAAACGCCTTTGAACATGAATGTGTCGTCAGACTGCCGTATTCACCATGGTCAAATGGTACCCAAAACACCACTACACCACTATGCTTGAGAACAACAATTACCACCATACAATTTTACCAATAAAGAAGCAGCAGGTGGTTCAGAGGAGAGTTGCGGGCTCACCCACGATGCCACAGCAACCAGGTAACATCCGACTATTAAAATCATCGAATTTCCATTGCCTTGCCTCAGGGGAGCGAGGCTACCATGTACCATCACCCTTGAAATGCAAATTTAGTAGGAAACAAGTCAACAAGTTTACGGAATCCCTTGACCCCCCCTGAAAACGCCATTCCTTTGTACTGAGAAAGTGCTTGGGGGAGGTGAAATTGCAACTGAGGCACGTCAGCCGTAGGAATTCTAGGGCTCTGCTGACGCAATTCGCAATTCCTGTCTTGGTGGGATGAGGCGTGCAAGGCCCCAAAACAAGTAAAAGCGGGACGCCGTAATACGCGAAATCCCGTCAACAACCAAGTGGTCGAGCCCACTGATACCCCTGCAGTGATTGATGCTCAATATTCGACGTCGAGAGACGCGACGTGGCCAATGCGGTTAGGGAGTGTGCCGTGCGATTGAAATGTGCTGTGGCCCTGGGGCTGTTGATTTTGCAAGAAGAGCCCCGGGGTGGTCCCATTCTTGAGTCGCTGATTGCGAAATCGGAAGTGCAAGAACAACTCCGTGCCGCAAAAAGAGCGCACCAAGCTGCGAAACTTGTTCAACGCAGTCGAGTCAAACCCCACATGCTCGTCCACCTTGCTTCGGACGTGAGGGGGTTGGCGAGTTCCTCGATCTCATAGTAATACATTGTTGTGGTAAAGTTCCAGCGGGCTCTCTAGTACGCGGTTGTTCCACTGTTCGGGAGGCGTGAATAGAAAACCGCCGAGATAACCCCTTCGTCAGGGCCCGATGGCAGCGCAAGGTCGATTCGAACCCAGACGCGGTGGGAAAGCTATGCGGAAAGTGCGGACAGCAGAGGAATACTCTACTCGCCGCGCGGCCTCTTGGTTCCGTGAGGGTTTCCCCATTCGGCCCCTCCACCACCGCCACCACCAGCCTGTCCGCCAAAGCCTCCCTGGTTTCCGCCACCGAAGAAGGGTTGGGTGTACTGGCCGGGCATGTTGTTGAAGCCTAGAGACGCGGATTAAGGTCAGTTGCAAACGAACACACGAGGTACGACGGAAAGAGCGGAAGAATAGCAGGAGAACAACAGCAGAACACACTGAAAAGAGACAAGCGCGAAGCAAAACAAAAACAGGTAGCAAGAGCAGAGCGATGGGTGCGATCGCCACGTCAATCCAGGAGTAGTACCGCGAGAAGCTCATTGACAACTCCACAGCATGGGGGGACTCACCACCCATTGGACCCATCATGTTCATACCCATAGGAGGCATGGCGCCCATACCCATAGGCATTCCTCCCATCCCCATGGGCATACCACCAGGATTCCCCATCATACCTCCGCGACCTCCGCGCATGGGACCCCCCATTCCGGGCGTGCCACGGCCCATGCCGCCGCCGCGGTTGAAGCCAGGCCCGCCGAAGCCTCCGCCCATGGGGTTATTGAACGCGCCCATATTGTTGTTAAAGGCACCCATGTTCGAATTCCCATAGTTGGCATTGAATCCGCCACGCATCCCGCCACGGTTATAGCCACCTCGGCCTCCGCGGAAGCCGCCCTGGAAGCCTCCACTTCCGCTTGCTTGGAATGAATTCGCCTGTCCAATGTTGTTGTTGAAGTTGCCAGGGCCGCCAGGGGCACCGCGGCCAGCGTTCTCGCGAGCACGCTGCGGCGCATCTTTAGGAAGGGTCTTGAAGGGGTTGTTGCCTTGGGCATGGTAAGAGACGTTCGGGTGACGCTGCTGGCCGTGGCCGGATCCGCTGGTGTCGCTGCCGAAAAGCGAATCTATGTGTCGTTTCGTTGCGGTTGCAGCCTGACTCGATGCGAGCTCGACGTAGGCTTGGCTGTCGGACAAGAATTATCAGCCGGGACAAGCTCGTTTCGGTGAAGTGGAATGGGTCTTGACGCACCCTTTGCTCTTGCCGTTCACCTTGTGTTCACTAAACGTAATTTCCTTGAGCTCTTCCTCGCATTCAGCCTCATGGACCCAATTTCGAATTTCATCTTCCGTGTTCCACCACTGGAGCTCCGAGATCAGCAGTGCTGCTGTGGCGCCAGGGTCAACGGGGCGGTCGTCTGGCTCCGACTTGCGCTTAACACCATGGTGGGGAGCAGATGAGCCAGACGCTGCCTGGTCATTGTTCTGCTCGTCATTGCCGTTGTGACTGCCATCGCCATTGTGTGCTTCGTTTCCTGTATCGCTTAGCTCGGGTGCTCCGTTCATGGGAGTATTCTCGCCGTAGTCTTCCGAGCCGTCCTGCTGGTGTTCTTGACCGCCATCCTGCGCCTGGGCGTCGGCGGCCTCGTAGACGTCAAAGTCATAGTTCTCGTCGGCCATTGTAGGAAGCCTAAAACGCGATCAATTGGAAACGAAGAAAGCGAGATTCTTTGTTGAAAGAGGTGTATTGATAGTCTTGTCTTGCAGGGTCAGAAGTACAGGAGTCCAGTCGTCTGTGGTCGCCGCCTTGCAATCAGTAATTCGGAAGACAATAAGATTTCCGGCCAGGTTGCCGCCAACGTCAGAGCGAAGTGCAAGCAGGCTCGAGGATAAGAAGGAAACGGTGACACAGGGATAGAAAAACATGATGGGAGACAGAGTCATCAATACGTACACTCCAGGTTTCGACACACAAGACTTTGACCCCCAGACAACTCGACTTGAAAATCCCCTAGCTGACGATCCTTGAAACGATTCCTGGTATTCTTTCTTTCTCTGGAGACGAAGCTCTGTGCTTTCAACCTCCTCTCCAACTCTGACAGCCCTGGGATGTAAAGTGTGTACAGGCGGCCCTTGAAGCACTTGGGATCAAAAAGGTGATGGATAGCTGAGATTTTGCAGTGTGATACTTGTTGGAACCCCCAAATGCTGGTTGGAAAGCGTCTTCAGAGCTGCAGCGCCAACAGCTAGGCTTATGTTGAGGAAAGCGCAACCAGTGATTCGGACAACTGTGCCGGCAATGCTTGTGGTGAAGCTGGCTTGCAACCTTGCTTTGGCCTATGTGGGCTCGTGGATTCCTCGTGGAATTCGATCTGCTCTCGTCCAAGGGACGTTTTGAGAAGCGTGCTGTCTGGGGAGGCTGTCTGGGGAGGCTGTCCGGGGCGGCTGTCTGGGGAGGCTGTCCGGGCGGCTGTCTGGGGAGGCTGTCCGTGGAGACTGTTCGCGAAGGCTGTGACTTTGCGAAGGCTGTGACTTTGCGAAGGCTGTGACTTTGCGAAGGCTGTGACTTTGCGAAGGCTGTGACTTTGCGAAGGCTGTGACTTTGGCTCGAAGGGGGCAGTCGCAAGACCAGCAGTCTTGTGGCTGTGACTCGGAACGTTGGACGGCAGTTGGGGCTGTCAATGGCAAAAGACAATGATCAACTTCAAGGGTGGTGTAGTCGGCAATCGCTGGGAGTTAATACCAGTCCAGCCTCGTGGAAACAAACGAAAGGGCTGTCGGAGTCGATGAAAGGAGTCTCCAAGGGATTGGATTGAAGTCGGAGCTTGGAGCTCCTAGATGGCCTAGGCCTGGTCTGGGCCCGGAGCTTCTTCAAGTTAAGCAGTGTTCTCCCTGTCGGGAGGTGGGGGGATCCCCCTGCGTGTTCCGAGTTCACAGATCTCGGTAAGCCGGCATTACTAGTACTGGAGGTGGGCCTTGCTGCACTGCACCTACACCACTACGGGACTGCTTGCCAACTCAACTCAGGTAAGAGTAGTTGGACAAAGCCGGGAAACTTGAAAAGAATCATGCTTTCCTCTACACACGTTGATCCAATAAAAGTAATTCAGTGTTTTAAGCTTCTCCCCCACTTACTTTTCTTAAACCTACCTAGGTACCTAGATACCATACTATACACCTAGGGGTTTTTAAAAATAATATTCTTACTAATACTCTCTAGTAATAACTATAACTATTAATAATCTTTCCTTTTTTAACTAACTTTTAAGTAATAAAAAGATTTTTAAAAAAGATAAAGTTTTTAAAAAAATATTAATTTTTAAAATTCTTTAATATTATACTTTTACTTTAATATAATAATTAATTAATAAAGATTTCTTTTTTTATTTCTTTAATTATCGTTTTTTAAAATAAATTTTTAATTAGTTTTATATTTATTTTATTTATTTTAAAACATTTTAATTAACTTCTTTCTCTTTAAAAATATATATTTTAAGTTTTTTAAAAGTTTTTAAAAGAAAGGTTTTAAAAACTTTTAATTTTAAAGAAAGTTTAATTTTAAAATAATATTAATATACTTTATAATTATTATTAAAAATATTAATAAAAATAATTTTAAGGTATTAAAAACTATTTAAAGTATTATTTTAAATTAAAAGAAATAATTTAAAAATAATATTTAAAAATATTAAAAGAATATTATAATAATTATTAATATATTTTATAAATAAAAAAGTAAATAATTTATATTAATTATAAAAACTTTTAAACTATTAGTAAAATACTTTATAATTAAAATAAAAAATTAAAAAGTTAAATAAAATTTACTTTTTTTAATATATTTTATATAATAAAAAACTTTTAATATAATATTTTTAACTTTTAATATTAAAGATATTTTTTACTTAAATCTTTTATAAATAAATAGTAGATCTTTTAAAAGAAAATATATATTAATATTTTAATAGCTTCTTCTTTACTAGTTATAAGGGGTCTAGATGTGTTATAGTTCCTAGGTAAATATCTTATTGTTGTAAGAAGGGAAAAGGGGTCTAAGTAGCTATGGAGTTAGTAGTGAGTTGGTGGTGTTTATATTGTACACTTGCTAAGGTAGATACTGTGACAATATGTGAAGTGTCTCGAGTGTTCTGTGAGATATTTGCCTATTGTGGTGATATAGCCATCTCATGGTGCATTGTGTAGACGGCACTCAAGCAACAAGCAACCTTACCTTGCTGTGCCTCACATTAGGTAGACACTTTTCCCTCTCACTGCCCGAGGGTCCACCAAGAGTGGTGATGACAATACTTGAAATACAGATATACTCCATCTCTTTGGGACTATTTGAATGACTCCTTATACTGGAATTCTTGGCTCGATGGCAACTGTACGCTCGAAAAATAAACAACCGCTAATATTCCACCCCAAAGCTCTCTGCCCCAAGATGGTCGTTCACGCTCCAGCCCATCTTCGGATCATCCACGTCGTCCTCTGTATTCTCGTTCCACGAATGGACCGAAACCGAACCGTAGCTCCTATCAAACCCACCCCACGAAGACGCTGCCAAAAAGCGGGTTCAGTATTTGTCACATCACCTGTCTCAATGATAAATGTCCCACAAATGAGGGAACATGATCAACTTACCAGCAATGATGGGCGCATTGGGGTGCCAGTACGGCTCACGCACACAGCCGCGCCTCCCACTGCCGCCACCGTGCCTCCGAGTCGCCCTTCCCGTCGCCCTGGCCACGTCGATGGTGGACTTGAGCGTCGCGTCCATATTCCACACGTAGACCTTGCCGTCCTGGCTGCCGCTGTATACGTACCGCGAGTCGGTGCTCCCCGCGGGGCTGAAGTGGCAGCGGATGAGCGTGCCCTGCACCTTGTGCCCTCGAAATGTCACGACGCTGTTGTCATCCGGGTGCTGGAACCAGTTGTCCATATCGTAGTCCTCCATCCGGTAGTCGTAGTCCGTGTGCTGCGTGTGCTGTCGCGGGTTGAGTTCCTCGTACCGCTCCGTCGACATGGCCATTCTCAGGTCCCATAGCTTCATGGTCTGGTCCTTGCTGTTGGAGAGGATGTAACGCCCGTCGCCCTTGCTGTCGATGTACGTCAGACCTTCGATGTGTCCGACGAAGGCGCCCGCTTCTCTCCCATCTCCCATCGACCGCCGGTCCCAAACCTTGATCACCTGGTCGTCTGAGCCCGAGTAGATAATGTGGGGATCCTTTGGATCCGCGAAGCATACTGCATTGACATCGTCATCATGGCCCTGGATGTTGTGAAGCACACGGCGGGACTCGATGTCATAGACGATAATACTCGAGACGTTGTTGCCCGCAATGAGCTCCCGCCCGTCACCCGAGAACCGGATCGACCAGATGGCAAAGTGCCCCCGTGCCCTCCATCCCCCCCATCCGGTGTCCCTAGAGCCGCTGCCCAGGTCGAGCGTGTAGGGATCGCCCTTGTCATTCGGATCTGTGGGAGCGAAGCACACATGGCTCTGCAGTGATGTGTAGGCAAGCCACTTGTTGTCTGGTGACAAATGTGCGTCGGTGAGCGTCCATTGGCCCCAGGGATAAGTGACCGTCTTGTAATACCGCCAGTTGTACGGGTTGCTCGTGTCATACATGCGTACTTTGAAATCCTTTACGCAAGCGTAAAAGAAGTTGCCGTCCTCGCTGAACTGTCCGCAATATACGGGAGCATTGTATTGGACAATCATGTCCGCTTCTGAAGTAGGAATCATCTCCTGCGCCATGGCGGCCTGGTTGATCCGCGGGTTGCCGACGCCGAGTTCCCGGTCGAGGATGCGGCGAGCGAGTTTCTTCCTGTGCCGGACGGCAGACCTGTCTGTTGAGCCGAATGCGCCCGAGTTCATCAGCTCGGTACCCTTGTCGCTGGGGACCTTGGGGAAGCGATTAGGATCAGGGGGCTGCCGCCTCCGACGAGGTCCGGGCCAATCCTCGCCCACTTCATTGAAGAGTACGTGGCCGATGTCTCGGCTGTGGAAGAGGGCCATTAGTTGCTGTGCTGAGAGATGAGGTGCCCCAATCCGTCCTATTGATGCAAGTCAGCTCCAATGTGGCCGATGATCCACGCAAGATGCGATGAGTTGAGTATTTTAAGCTTTCTTGAAGCAACACTTACCCAAGAGGTTTCCGATTGAGATGGTCACTGGTCTTCTCTCCCCCTGCGCCGCCTCGTTTTCGGCGCCGTCGCCTTCCTCGTTGTCTTCTGATCCACCGTAGACAACTTCGACGGTGTAGCCGGTCTCGGCATCTGGCAGTGTGAGTGGGAACCCAGAGAATCGACGCAGGAATTGAGCGGCCACCACTAACCGTGAAATGCATCCTCATCATCCTCATCCTCGTCCTCGGCGCTCTCGTCATCTTCATAATCCGAATCGCCCTCCTCGTCGTCTTGGTCATCCTCTGTGACCTCTGTCGCCGGCTCGAAGACGTCATCGTCGCTTTCGGATGAGTCGTGAGGTTGAGCTCCGGAAGACTGCTGCAGGCTCTCACCGAAACCGTTCTCGTCCGAGTCGTCCTCGTGGGGGTATCTGTAGCTCATCTTGGCCAGCAATAGAAACAGGTCCCCAGGCCAGGGAATGGGTGGTTGTGATGTCGGTCGGTTGATCCGGAGTTGGCTTATATGATAACGGTCAGCCCCGGAGCTCTTATCGCAACTGAGACGGTTCTCGGCCTGGCACTTGAGTAACTCCAAGGCCCACTGCGGGGTGAGTGATAGTCAGCCAGACAGCGGTTTGTGAGCACCGTCAAGGCACGATCAATCACGAAAAGTAGACTGCAGCTCGCTTTATGGTTGAAGAGACAAAGTGACACCGTTTGTTGGTTTGTACACATGTCCTCTGCCAAAGCCTCAGGGTCGTTGACGACATTGCGGGATGACAGCTCGAAGCCCGAGTTGGGGAACCTGACATCGGATTTAACCCCGGATTTTACGGGCTGGGGTCAACACTTAATAAGTACCTAGGTAATGCATTTCCGATCCGATACTAGCAGAACACCAGAGAGCTTTCTCGTTATCACTCGTCCTTTGGAAGCATTAGACCATTGGACTGGATCGGGACAAGATATGCTTTAACGAGAAGCTGTTACGGGTCGGATTTCAGTGTTGGGCTAGCATGGTGAAGAGCGCGAAGCCGAAGGCCGGGCCACACTGATCTGAAGGTCATCCTCCTCTGCGGTGTGGAGGGAGAAGGGGTCCAATCGCCTTCTCAAAGCCCGGAATTGGTACAGGTTTGATGTGCCCAGATCTTCATCCGCCTGCAAATCTGACAGCCGACTTACACGAGCCTCAAAGCCGCAGAGCAGGTCACCTTGCTCGTGGGGGCTTCCCAAGCCCTACGCCGCCCTGCACCAGTCCTTTGGGCACCGTCAATGACAAAACTCTGTAGCCCAGAAATCTCCCAGCAACTTGGCCCTCATCTCCGTCTTGCCATATTGCTCAGCCTACACAGCCTCCTTCGGTCACCTGTGATGGCGCCCGTATCCGCTGGGGATCGACAAGACAGCACGGATAATTTGCTTTTGGGGAATCTTGCTGAGCCCCAGCCCAGACTCTTGGTGACGAACCGTTTCGCTCCGCGTTTCTCGTCCACGCTGAGCCCGCGTGGCCAAGATGGCCCAAACTCCAAGCCCGCCTCTCATTCGGCCAGGACTGCCTACCAACCTGTTGTGATAATCTAAGCCCCATGGTTATATCTCCGTGGCAGGAAAATGGTATGAGCCCTCGCAACTAGCCGATCGCTGCGTCTCCATGGCTTGGCTTGGCTGCGGACATCTTGAGTCTATTTTTGACGGCGTGTGGGCAAGGCAGGACGGAAAAGTCTTGGTCGCGTTCCTCTGTCTTATAATTTGTTCCCTCGTCGTCGTCCAACATGGCATGGAACTCCGTTTCACACCTCTGAATATTTGCCAAGAGCCTGAAGTCCCGAGAGCCCATCATGCCGGAACATCATGAATTAGACATCGCGGCCCTCCTCCTCCTGCTGGCAAAGAAGGCCGGAGCCGCAAGCATCGGAACAAAGCTGCAACTGAGACAAGATGACGACGGCATTGACACGCCAGATGACGATGACGATGCTGTCCCGGTCCCGGCCCCGGCCCCCACAACCACAGACCCAGCGACAGCAACCACATCCGCAGCCTCAACGAGCACCGATGCTGCGAGTTCGGCCCGATCACTCGACACGGGCTCCAAAGCTGGGATCGCAATTGGTGTGATTGTGTTTGTGATCTTCCTCGGGGGTGTCGTATTTATGTACTGGAGACGGCGGGGGCGAAGATGGGGGCGGCGGAACAAGAACAACAACAACAACAACAGCAACAACAATAACAATAACAGCAACAACAACAACCATGAGGGCCATTACCCTAACCAGCCCAACATGGCGATGACAGCACATAATGTAGCACGCAAATCAGTCAGCGACTCCTCGCCGCCGCTTGGTTCGATCTCACCGCCGTCGACAAACCCAGACGCCGGCCGACCATGGTTCGACAACGGGCACGGGAGCTCCGAGCTGCCCAGCCGAGAGGCCAGGGACGGGGTCGGGGGCTGGGTCTATGACAAGGCGGAGCTGAGTGCTCCCGAGGCGGGGAGTGCGCAAGAAGCACCGGGCCGGCCACATCCTCATCACCAGTACCACCAATATTCGAACTCGACAGAACTACCCACCGCAGGTAATCAGATCCACGAAATCCCGGAGGCCAGCGCATGCTCGTACGCACCGGTAGAGCTGCCCGCTGCCATGCCGGACCACAGCTTCAGGTACAGCGGCTTCACGGGGTTCAGCGGTGGTGAAGGGGAGGATATCGGCAGGAATGCCAGCACGAGGACCAGCAACACAGATGGGTCTGCGAATAGGAGAGAAAGCCTAGCGCCGACATTCACAGTGTCATCGCCGGCGACGACGGTTGCGGAGACTGTCTCTGATTCTGGCTATGGCAACCAGGTGTCACCAGCTTCTCCATACGCAAGAAGCGCGGCTGGTGGCAATACGATGTAGACGACTTTTGAATTGCGACATCTGGAACCTTGAATTTGACTCTGGCCTACGCCGAAGCGCAATGAGCAGAAATTGTTGAATCGCGGCAAGCATGCGAGATTTCATTCTCAATCGATTATTATTGCGCTTTCCGGAGCTGTTTGTGCTCCGCATTACTCGTCAGCCAGGTCATAGACTCCGTGGGGGACGTGGAGATGTCGAGAGCTTTTCCCACATGATCACCTTGTTGGGCATACATAGTAAGCCAGAGGAAAATGGATGCGCCCACAACCTCAAGGCGTGGATTCTTGGTATATGACCGACTGTTGGCAGATCGTAAGCTACCTAGGTAGGGTTTCCAACTTTCATGCAACCCAGATAGAATACAAGTATTGTCTAGTACGTGTTCCCAGTAGGGTTCCGCGCAACGGCTTAGCCAACCATGGTCATGCTTCGCAATGTGGAACTAAGAATTACAAGCAGCCTCCCTGTCTGACATTCGGCTATAATTATTCGCATCGGTCGAGGATCACCGGTAAGTTGTTATGATGATTCGTCCATAGTCGTGGGTAGATACAGACGCAGCTGAAAAAGTTCTTCACTGGATCTTCTTCGTGCTTGATACAGGATCATCAGGTCCAAAGAAACCTAGCAAATACGCCGTCCGTGTCAAGCAAAGGAAAGCCTCGGAGTCCGTCAGCAAGCCAGACGTCGTGTCACTCGGAGAAAAGGAGGCTTACCGTAGCACCTACGTTGCCCCAGGTCATTGAGTTCCATGAGCCAACATCTATGAACCTCTCAAACCCCAGGCCAAAATAGCACACCGCAATGTGGCCGATGTCTGCGATCCAAAGCGCAATGAGGTACCGCCGCACCACACGGAGCTCAGCTATTAGCGTTTGGAGTCAGCCATCACAGAAGTAAAGGGGTAGCTGTATACCAGTACAGGAAAGAGTCAGCCGCACGGTGTACGTAGCATGTCTTGAGACCTGCAGCCCGTGGAGTCTTTTTTATATTGATTAAGAATGTGGTATGCTTGTTCTAAAGGGGCAAAAACTGTATCGAAAAGCTGCTTACTGGTTGTGTACAGCACGGCCACGGCAGCGAGGAACAGTAGGCCGTAACAGTTGCCGAGCTGGAGCGCCACAAGTCGGGAGTTGTCGTCCACAGTGAGGCTTGGTGTTGAGGTCTGCTCCTTTACAAACCAGGACGGGTCTATCGTGGCTCCGGCCCAGCCGGCGATGCTAGATTGCGTGTTAGTTCTGGATTAAGAAAAGGGGCGCATAGCGGTCTCTTTTGGCTTACAGGCTGAGAGGCTCGAAGGTGGTGAAAATGAAGCGAGGAAAGGCAGGCAGGTGTGACGCCATCACGACTCCTACACGTGATGGAGGTATTGCGTGTTTGCACTGGGTGAGTGGGAGGCAACTTTGATTCTGGACTCCCCCAAAATTATGACGAGGTTGATTCGTCAACACTATGGTCTCACGATAATGTTGAAGGTGGTGAATGCAAATACGCTCGGAAGATATCTCATATTGGTTGCGTCCCAGCGGGCTTAGCCAATGGACAGGGCGGACGTCGTTTGAGATTCGAGGTGCGAGATGTTGAGTTACAAGTCCAAAGCAGTACCTGGGTGGTGATAGTGGCGCCCCATCTTGGCCCCCTGCAAGCCCGGGGTTGTGGGCGGGATCTTAGCAATGGACGGGTAGTGGGTCTGTATCGAAAACAGCCGACAACAGCACGTTTTCTCCAGCCCCCTGTGGCCTGTCAGTCTCCGACCAGACCATGCGTGACGACAAAACGGCCGCGTCGCTACAGGTACCCCTGAAGCAAAAGGCAACCTCGCCGTCTCCAAACACTTCTGAGAACAACAGCATTCAAGTGTAAAGACAGCTCCCCGGTTCGGGGAGATGTGTCTATTCTGGCCTACCGTCCAAGGACAGGAGTGCGTAATGCGACGGCCCCCGTACGACAGAGATGGGTCTCTGGATTGACTCTGACCCCTCGGCCCAAGGGCAGAAAGGCAAATTGGATGGGACTCGACCCTCGTGCCCCGGCTCAATCAAGGCTCCTCCCGCGATGAAGCCGCCGCCGCCGCCGCCCCGTTGCATTGCACGACTATCCCAGGGCCAGCCAATGTTGATTTTCGCAGAGGACCTTTGACTTTCCCGGGTTATGGACCCCGCGTCTGCTACTCCCAACCGCACGCCAGCTTCGAGATAGGGCGTCCTCCGCAACAGGACCTGGGGCCCCTTTCCATGGCTGCGAAGTACCGAATCCACGACCCCATTCTCGATCCTCTGGGTTCCTCGCAGCGGGCCTTGCCCCCTGTTTCCCGTGGGATGTCACGATGGCGACAATTGAACCGCGCTTGATGCACCTGCTGAATGATTCCAACTCTCCCGAGACCTCCAACTACCCCCCGCCCGATCTTCCCCCGATACAGAGCTTTAGCAGCTTTGCCAAGTCCTCGAATTTCTCACTGCCGCCGCTGGAGCCTGATGCGAGTCAACATGGGAGGAGTGACAAGTCCGCGTCCAGGGCGCCTCAGCACATACCGCCGCTGGCCTCCATCACAGAGGAGTACAATGGCCGCTATCCCGAAGGCGGTGCGCTCCGCCACACGGGCGGAGGCATCTCTCTGCGCATGCTCTACGACAACCCCGATGTCAACGACTCGCAGCTCTCGTTGAGCCACATCCTCGACGAGCCGCCCGAGTCGTTGCTCTCAAACGAGGATGCGACTAACAAGAAGCGCCAGAGGGCTGTTACCATCAAGGACGATATCATGCACCTGCCCCAGCCGTTGAAGAAGCAGAAGTCTGCCCAGAACATCGTCCCACCCATCATCAATGGCTTGTACGAACCCCCACCCAACGCCGCCGTCTTCCCTCCGATCGCGCTCGAGGATAATGAGAACCCCTCGAATATCCACCCATTGAAAGAGTTCACCACCACCAATGTGATGCCTAATGTAGAGCAGGACGCGAGTGAAAAGGCGCCGCCGCCGCCGCCGCCGCAACAGGACCAGATTGCAACGCCCGAGGCGGAAAAGGGCCTGGCCAAGGTGAAGAGGAAGGCTGCGAAACCGCGAAGGAAATGGTCAGAGGAAGAGACCAGGGATCTTCTGCTCGGCGTGAACAAGTACGGGGTTGGAAAATGGACGAGCATCCTGGACGATCCCCTGTACAACTTCAACGGACGGACAGCCGGCGACCTGAAAGATCGGTTCCGCACATGCTGCCCGGATGAGCTGCGCGTCTCGCACAGCAAGAGCAAGGAGAGTCTCAACCAAGAAGCCTCCGCGAGTGCTCCGCCTGCCGAGCCGAAGCTGAAAAGCAAGACGAAGACGGCGCTGCTGCTGGAGGACATCCTCGCAGATCCTGATGAGCCGCAGGCGTCATCTTGTGACAAGGAAACCGACCAAGGTGCCTCGTCGAGCCTGGCACAATCAGCTCAGCAAGACTCGGACTCGACCACAAAGCCCAAGAAGAGCCGGGCACACCGCAAGAAGCTGGAGGACCTCCAGAAGATGGGTATTCATGGCCCTTTCAAGAAATCCCACCGTCGAGAGAGACGGCCATTCACACAGCAAGACGACGATCAGATACTCGAGGGCCTTCAACTATATGGGCCGGCCTGGACGAAGATCCAGCGCGACCCGAGGTTCGACTTGTCTAGCAGACAGCCCACCGATCTCAGGGATCGGGTGCGCAACAAGTATCCCGATACGTACAAGCAGATTGAGGAACGGCAGATCCAGGCCAAAGAAACTGCGCCGACGCCGTCCAGGACGAGGAGTAACCTCATGGAACCCTCCGTGAACACGAGGGTCAACGAGAACTCGCTGATGACCTTGGAGCCCCACCTGAACAGGTCCGGGTCCAGGGAAGACATGATGGTTCACAGCCACAAGTGGCCTGGGACGGCCACACTACCCCCGCAAAGCTCGACAGCGACCAACAACCCTAACTGTGAGTTGCCTGGTCTGGACTCGTACGCGAAGGATTCAGCACTGGATGGAGATGGGCCTCTAGTCGCCATGGATATCTCTAGGTTGCTACTCGACTGAAGCCGCAAGAGCAGCAAGCCGTAGGCCGCAGTTTTAGGTGGGCCGCAGCAGCAGCAGCCGCGCGACGGGCTGACTCGGCAAGTTCGAGGTCTTTTGCCCTGAACCTATTGCAGCACCTTGTTCTGTTTCTAGTTCATCTCTTTATTTCTTTGGACATTGCAATGGGAGTCCGGCGTGGCGAGGGACTTTTGGGACCAGATAAGGTGGAATTCTGTCGTTACAATGGAGCGTGTCATCTTCAAATGCTGCGGTCGCAGGAGCCCAGTACGGAGTAATTGGAAGAGGATCCCGAGGTAGCCCACAGGATGCTGGTGCAAAATTGTCAGTAGGACTGTCATTCTAGAGTCTAGAGCAATCTTAGAATCCAGCGAAGCAATTTGACTGCAAAATCTTGCCCGCCCTCCAGCGTCACAGCAGCCCTTGGCTGGATGATTTGAAGTGCAGCCCCCATGTCAGAATTGCATCTAGCGCAATTGTAATTGTAGATCCCAAGGCTTCTAACACGACCAGGTGGAGGTGTTGTTGAAGCGGTGTAAGTCAGTTGGAACTGAGAGGCCCGGGGCGGCAACTCGAGGAGCACGGGCCAAGCCCATCACGTGGATCTGGCGCTAGGCTCACTAGCGCATTTTTGGGAAACGCACCCACAAGGTGCAAAATCTCGGGGGTGCAAAGCAACTTTTCAACCGCAGCTTGTCTTCCGTGAACTTCTTCCTCCCGCCAGCCTGTGCAAGACGACCATATTCGACAGCCAGCCACCAACAGACCGCAAAAATGGGTAGAGGACGTAAGTGACTGAACACCTCGAACCTGCTCACCCCTCTCGATGCCGAAGCCTACTTGATGAGCAACTGCACTGTCTGCAATCCTACGAATCGAGTGGGCTGTCGGCTTGGAGGTCAACTCATGAAGCACCACGGCGGCGATGCTAACTGCAGTCTGATGAACAGCTAAGAAGCACCAGAAGCGCCTCAGTGCGCCCAAGCACTGGCTGCTGGACAAGCTGTCCGGCACCTACGCTCCCAAGGCCTCCGCCGGTCCTCACAAGGCTCGCGACTGCCTGCCCCTCATCGTCTTCATCCGCAACCGCCTCAAGTACGCCCTCAATGGCCGCGAGGTCAAGTCGATCCTGATGCAGCGCCTGGTCAAGGTCGACGGCAAGGTCCGCACCGACACGACCTACCCTGCCGGCTTCATGGACGTCATCACCATCGAGAAGACCGGCGAGAACTTCCGCCTCGTCTACGACACCAAGGGCCGCTTCACGGTCCACCGCATCCAGGCCGAAGAGGCCGAGTACAAGCTCGGCAAGGTCAAGCGTGTCCAGCTGGGCCGTGGCGGTATCCCATTCTTGGTTACGCATGATGCGAGAACGTGAGTTCTTCCGACATCTGTCAGCCGTTGGACCAAGCTTTGGTTGAATCCTCCCATTTCGGCCAACCGTCGATGGAAGAGCGATTCTAGATCGGAGCGAGATCATCCGCGGCTGGTATGTCTTCGAGAATCCCCTTGATGGCTAACTTGCTCCCCTACAGCATCCGCTACCCTGACCCTCTCATCAAGGTCAACGACACTGTCAAGGTCAAGTAAGTCTATGCTCGGGTGGTCAACCGCCTCGGAGAGTCTCTCAGGATGCTTGCTAACTCATGCTCCGCAGCCTGTCCACTGGCAAGATCGACGACTTTGTCAAGTTCGAGATTGGTAACCTGGCCATGGTCACTGGTGGTCGTAACATGGGTCGTGTTGGTGTCATCACCCACCGTGAGCGTCACGATGGTGGTTTCAACATTGTCCACGTTAAGGATGCCATTGACAACACCTTCGCTACCCGGGAGTCCAACGTCTTCGTCATTGGTGCTGAGAAGCCCTGGATCTCCCTGCCCAAGGGCAAGGGTGTCAAGCTTACCATCGCTGAGGAGCGTGATCGCCGCCGTGCTCACGCCATCGCTGGTAACTAAATGCTTGATGAAATTTCTGGGTCAAAGGGTCAAAGGCAAAAGGGTATCACAAAAAGTGACAGCATGGTCAAGGAGTTACGGACGTTACGGCTTTGAATTTCGCTACGGTAGATAGCAAATACCCAACAGGTCGACCAGATGTCGACGGGTCAATCAATTCTTGCAAACGTCCTACCATCTCTCCCGAAGGCCCTGCTCCACCGCGCCATGCTACGTTCTGGTCCACGACTTGGGTGCTTCTGATCGCAGCCGAACCAGCCAATGAACTACACACATCCAGTGTCTCATCCGGCTCCAGGGGTTCGAGGAAGGCCCACGATATGCGAGCGTGTCTCGGCCTACAGTCAGTGTCTCGCACAAGGGTCGCCCGGTATGGTCGCCAGCTGGATTTAACTTTGCATTGAGCACACCAAGCAACCCTTCGCAAGCCGACGCCACCCCTCAAGTGTAAGAAGCATGCATTGAGCATGCCGTCGCGTTGCAGTTGGGTGTAGTGAGGGGGATCAGCAATAGTTTCTGGATGACGAGAGCGCATGTGAATAGGGTTGCTCATCTCACGTCAACCCATTTCCCCCCTTCCCAAATGCCTTGCCCTACGCTAGAGTTGCAACGCATGCTCGCTACAGGTGGCTCCTCACTCCTGACAGCAGAATGAGCTATGTAGGTACGCGGAGACAAGTTCGTCTGTGCCAGGGGGCGCAGGGACGGACGTGTACTGCAGCGTACAGGCGAGGCGGGAAGAGAAGGCGGTCTCGATGTGGATGGGCGGGAGGTTACCGCCTCAGCTTACCTCACTTTACTTTGATTACTTACCCCTCAAGTTCACGGTCAGCCTGGATGTCGTGCTACGCAACGTTCTTTTTTGGAGCTCGGCAAGCCGGTACATTCCTGGTCGGAGGTGCGGGTGTACGTCGTTCCAGTGTAGTTCATCATTCTTCCAGCCACTCAGGGCAAGGCTGGGATGTCCTCTCGTGACCGGCTGAGGGGAGGCCTATAGTGAGGAACCTTGGAAGCGGAGGTGCCGTGTGTGAGATTCAAAAATCGCCCTCCCTCCGTTGGGTGACTGTTCACTCCGTGTGCCTGCCAACCTTCTCTGGTGCCGCAGGCCATTGTGAGGCAGGCCAAGAGAGGCAGGAAGCACGATGTAAAGCACACCGACTTTGCCGTCGCACAGAAGTTGCCACAGGCGTGGTGTGTGCGTCCTTTGGTCACCGACGTGTGGGTGGTTAGGCGCCGACAGCCGGGCCCTCTCAGCCTTGATGCCTTGCGGCGCAGGCTCTGCCTCATCGTGTTGGTTGCACAACAGATGTTCAGGAGGGTGTCATATATGTCTGCCTGCCTGCCTGTCTGTCAAAGCGCAATGCAGGTTGGCAGTAGGATGGATGCACAATATCTGTGATTCTCGTATGCAACTGGGTAGTGGCAGAGAGGTCGGCAAGGTCGGTCACCCTTGTGCGAGCTGGAACTGAAGCTACGGAGATGGGACACTGTATAAATCCGGGGTTGAGGAGGACCGGCTGGGAGGAAGCTCGGTATGCCTGTTCTGGAAGAGGCTGGTGGCAGGCGGTGGGGCTGAACGAACACATCAGATGGACCTGGCCAAATCCAAGGTCTTCAGCACATTGACGACAACTCAGCCTTCCACAAAGTGGGACCGGTCTCGCTGTTAAAGGTTCCACCACAGGCGGCTTTGACTGGCACCTTGACACCTTTCCCCGCGCTTTGCAAAGTCTGGGGCAGGAAGAAGCAACAAAGCAACAAGGCGTACGGCTGTGTCACGTCTGCTTTCTCCGGGGCTCCTGGCGTATCTGCCGGCCGGGCGATCAGCTGGCACCTCGTCGTCGTTCTTGCTCTCTCTTGCAGTAGCTCGCATGCGCGCCGACAGCTCTGACAGGCCTAGCCCTGCGCGGGGGGTTGGATGTCAACCGCGAACATGGCCCCTCCTGCCCTCCCACCATTATTCTGCCACTGGTCTGGTAGGGCCGAGCGCATGGTCTCAGAGTCCCGTGCTTGGTAGTCCATCAGTTGCTTGTGTAGTGGACTTTTTGTACACAGTACCGAGTACGTCACTCGCTGGCCTCTTCTCGTCCGCTGACAAAACAGTAGAGGCTGACGGCTCACGCCGTCTCTCCCCCACGCGCCCTCCCCTCCCTCCGCCTTGTCCGTCACCGCAACTTCTGGCAGTATTACACCAGCTGTGCGCGTGGTAGGACGAAATGGGATGGATCTGCCGTGCGCTCTGGGGTCAGTTTGACGCATTCCGAGCAGCTGGGCCTCAACAAGCAATTCTCTCCACATACAGACAGAGGTCAGGCAGGGGGTAAGGGAGACAGGGCAAGCGAGGTCGGAATTCAAGCTGCTCCAAGAGCACTCGCAAGTGCTGGGCCGGCTTCCCAAGCCCCACAAGCATCCGACCACCCCGCGGGGCTAAGAGGCTTCGACCGGCACGAACCCTTGCTCGAGCCGGCGAAACACGCGGGATGCCGAAGTATGCCACAGCCTGCGTGATCCCTCTGCTTCGGCCCTCTTCCTGTGCCCCAATGTGTGACACTCACTGCCTTGTCAGTCCAGATCCTTCCATCACTTTTCGGCAGGGTTGCGTCCGTTCATCACCCACTCGGTGGCTTGTAGCCGTATCGTCTCCGCACCACGAGACTCCTTCTTTCCCTAATGTCTTGGACGACAACACCTGTCCTTGTCCCACCCAGCTCGCCGTGGCCCTTCTCTGCCAGCACCAACAGACGCCTTCCCTGTCTGTGAACCTGGCTGCCGGGGCGGGGCCCCTCCTTGTTCCCTCTCTCACCCCCATAACTTGGGTATATTCGTGGGCAGACTGGCAGAGTGGTCAAAGACCCCTCATGTCACCGATTGGGTCTTGGACCATCGTCTCCACCCACGGGACCAGGTCGGTCGCCCGTTGACTGCCACCCGGGCTCGGCTGGCAGTGTAGCGGCCTTCATAATGTGATATAAATGGGCTCGTCTACATCCCATTCTCGTGTCCGTCGGGCTGCCCATATCACGACGCTCCTATGAGCCACCGTCAAGTTCAACGCCGACCACTGTTTCTCTCCTCTCTTTGATCCGCATCTAGAACCGCATGCTCCTTGGCAGCACACTACCACCTACCTCCTCAAGGTATTGCCTTGTTTCCTCACCCCTTCCGCATCCAGCTCAGGCTGCCCGGTACAACGGACTGCTCCCTCCCACACCCCACGAGCCAATTTTGCCGTCATCTTTTGCGGCCCTACCCTGTCCTGCTTAGTAGATATCTAGCCTCCTTTCTTGGGTTGACCACACCACTTCGCACACCCCACATAAACGCCTTGGTGTCTAGCACGACATATCGCTTAAAGCCGCACGATTTATCTATTAGCGCTCTCCTTCTCCTCCCTCTACATCAGTCCTCACTCTTCTCCCAAACTGTGTCCTGTCCCTTTTGCGAGAGCTCTCGTCGACCTCGTGGCCGGCTCGAGGAATATTCCCAAGGGTTGTCTCGGATCTGCATCAACTGCCGTGGCATCCCCCCAGCCCTGAGCCTAATAGACTTGCATAAAAGCTGCCTGGCTCCCAATCAGAGGCCAAGATTGTGATACTCGGCAGCTGCACCCAACCCCGTCGCCTGCATGTCGGTCAGATCGGCCTGGAAGGCCTTGCCGCCTGCCTTCGCCCTCGGGCGCCGCGCTGCTGTCTCCTGCAGGGGAATTAACCTGCGGCCGTCGCTTGCATTGCCGATCGCGGCGAGGCCACACCAGAGAAGTGCTAGCACCACCAGTTCCACAGCCGCTACAAAGACCAAGCCCGGCTCGACTGCCGGGGGTGACTCGGCCCCGGCGTGGACCGGAAACGGCGTCCTCGGAGTTGCCGTCGCCGCAGGCATCCTGGGCTGGGGGTTCGCGACCCTGGCGACGGGCCGGAATGCAAAGGGGTCCACGTTGTTGGACAGCAAGCAGCCACTCATGCGGTATGCAAGCATGAAGGAGATGGAGATTGTAAGAGCCCACTTGGCTGGTGGCCCTTCCCAACATGGGGGCAATGCCTTTTCACAAGAAGGGCAACAAGCCGCCGGGCTAACAGACCACTGCAGGCCATTCAAGAGATCCGAGACGCCATAGGTTCCGACGAGGAAATCATCTCTACGGACCCGGATGACCTTCACGCGCATGGCTACTCCGAGTGGTCCACCGTGAACACAGAAAGCCTGCCAGTGGCCGTGGCCTACCCGCGGTCCACGGAAGACGTGAGCAAGATTGCGCAGATCTGCTACAAATACTACATTCCCATTATCCCGTATTCGGGTGGGACATCACTGGAGGGAAACTTTTCTGCGCCTTTTGGAGGTATTAGCGTCGATTTTGCCTACATGGACCAGATTATCCAGTTCAACCAGGAGGACATGGACATTGTGGTGCAGCCATCTATCGGGTGGCAGGACCTGAATGAACAGTTGAACAAGATGGGTAGTGGGCTATTTTTCCCGGTCGACCCAGGTCAGTCTGTCCCGCGGTTGGGCATGGGCTCCTAGGCCAGCTATTCCCAACTAAATTGCGTCACGCCGGGGGCTACGGGGGCTAATAAGCAAGATAGGTCCTAGTGCTAAGATAGGAGGCATGATTGGGACCAACTGCTCTGGAACCAATGCTGTCAAGTACGGCACGATGAAAGACTGGGTCATCAACTTGACCGTTGTGCTTTCTGACGGGAGGATTGTCAAGACGCGAAGGCGGCCGAGGAAGTCCTCGGCAGGGTATAATCTGAATGGTCTCTTTGTTGGGTCCGAAGGCACTTTGGGCCTGGTGACGGAAGGTAAAACAGCCCACCCATACCAAGAAGCCAGCATTCTTGCTTGTCTGACACAAGATCACAGCAACGCTCAAACTCGCCGTTGTGCCGGAGGACCTCTCCGTAGCAGTGGTGACCTTTCCCTCGATCCGCGACGCCGCGGCGGCGGCGGCCGAGGTGATGCAGACGGGAGTGCCCGTCGCGGCTATGGAGATAATGGACGAGGTGCAGATGCGCGTGGTCAACCTTGGCGGTGCGACGGCGCCGCGGGTGTGGGACGAGGTGCCGACGCTGTTCTTCAAGTTCTCAGGGACCAAAGCATCAGTGAAGGAGAACATCGGAAGCGTGCAGCGGATCACAAAGCGCAATGGGGGGTCGAACTTTGAGTTTGCCAAGGACTCGAGGGAGCAGAAGCTGCTGTGGAGCGCCAGGAAGGAGAGTCTTTGGAGCATGCTTGCGCTCCGGAAAGGCGGGGAGGAAGTCTGTGAGTCTACCCTCTTACCTCCCACCACAGTCACAGGCCCATGGACGCAAGCGTGTAGAGCTCGCTGACTTTGATGGTGGCAGGGAGCACCGACGTGGCCGTACCCTTCAGCAGGCTCGCGGACATCATCGAGGTCAGCAAGAAGGAGATGGATGAGCTTGGCCTGTTTGCCTCCATCCTGGGGCACATTGGAGACGGCAACTTCCACGAGAGCATTCTGTACAACCCCGTCAACGGCGAGCGGGAGAAGGTCGAGGAGTGCGTGAAGAAGATGGTGAAGCGGGCCATCGACATGGAGGGCACATGCACCGGCGAACACTCGATCGGGTGGGGCAAGAAGGACAGTCTCTTGCTTGAGGTCGGGCCCGATACGCTGGATGTCATGCGAAGCATCAAGGCGTCGCTAGACCCGCGCTGGATCATGTGAGTGTGCTCCTGGTGCTCCTTGACGCTTGGGTGTTGAGCTCTTGTGGCTGACGGCTTGAAAAGGAACCCTGGTAAGATCTTTGACCGCCAACCGTGATTGCACTTAGCGGCCCTGGGAGCAATGGGACTACCTAGGCACCTCGGTAGGCCAAAGAAAAGTCGGATGCACCCACACCTCTGACCGTGTGTTTGTTGTTTCCCTAGGTACCTAGGTACCTAGGTACTTAAGTATCAAGCCGGTTTTCCAACTACGGGCCATGGGTAAGCATTGGATTGGTCGACCAGGTGAAGGGACGTTGCTGGCATCTGAGATGATACAAGCGAAGTCGAATGGGCCAACTAGCCGGTCCCTCTGCATTGGGTTCTTCTTGGTTGAGCTTCTTGGGGGAGCCTTTTTTGTTGGCATACATTGGTGGGATGGCATGGGCTCAAGTCTACAAGGCAAGTATCGCCTGTTGACTTCCCTAATCGGTTGGAAGGCGCGCGCAAGTCAGCAAGCACGTTCAGAAAAAGAAAACGCATGGTTGACATGGTTAACGTGGTTTACTCTCAGGGCTGCTCCTGTGCGAGAGTCAGACGGCAGTTGGTTTACCTGCAAGTGGCAGAATGGGAAGGCGTCTCCCCGCGGGACCTCTGCACACCAAGCTATGCGTAAGTGAGGACACGCCTCCGTTGCTGTCGTCACTCGGTTGCTGCAGATTTCACAATAACAGGTGCAGGCGCAGTTTGAGTTGTGTTCATTGGCCCACAGCAGCCTTCGTTTGCTGGCTGGCAGTCACACTCAGGAGGACCTTCGACAAACGCCCAGACCTTCTTCTACCTCCTTCTACCTCCATCCCATCCTAGACTTCGAAATCCAATCTTCCTATTGTTTCCCATTCCGACAACACCAGCTTCTCCATACCTGACATTGTTCATTGTTTGTTGAACAATTCTTTTGGTCTGTGAGACTTCTTCCTCTTACCTGGTCCCGGACACAAAAAGCCAACAACCTCCAGCCTCTCCACCCCTCCCTCGCTCGTCCTCGTAGTTTCTCGTCTCAAGCGTCAAGAGCAGCCCCAACCGCATGAGCGTTCAGCTCCCAAGGCTCCTTTTGTCGCTAGCTGAGATTCAAATGACCACTGCCCATTGCTCGTCTTTTACCCAATAGCGCACTTGCATTTCAAACACTCAAATGCGATACTAGACCTCGCAAAAGTCAGCATGGCTCCTCCTGACAGGTCTCCAGCTTCACTAGACAGCGCTCCTTTGGCTCAGCCTACTGCCTCCACACACCCTTCGAATACCCAGACGGCCTCGATCCCGCATCCAAAGGGTGGCACTTCCGGGGTCTCCCCTTCTCGTGCCCCTCCTGTCACGGGTCGCATGGCCGGCTCCTCTCATGCCCACACCCAGTCCAACATGCAACGACCACCACCACCTCCTCCAAGCACGCGAAACACGCTTCATGGCAACTCGCCACGCCCAAGTACCAGCCCTTCGGCTCATCATCCACGACGCTCCGTCCAAAGCAACCATGCATCTTGGACAAACGGCGCTCGCGGGCCTCGGGCCTCACCTCACAATACATCTGCTGATATGCGAATTCAGCAGCATAGACAGCAGTCCCAGCAACAGCGTGCTACAACCGATGTTTTGGCGGGTGCGACTCTGAGCTCAGCACAAAGTCTAACTCTCGACTTACGTGGGCTTCCCAAGGACATCAAAATCAGTGAAATCATGGATACAATGACTGCCAAGCATCTCAGCCTCACCAGAGTCGACATCCATGAGAATGAAGACGGGACAAGAACAGGAAGGGCCAGAGTTGTCATCGAGCCAACCCCGACCAGATGGCCGACATGGACTGGACCTGGCGATTCCATAACCATCACCAGAACAGACCACTCGACAGTGACAGTGCCCTTCGAAGTAAGACCATATTTCCTGCGCAGCATTCGAACTCCTTGCCATGGGACGATCCCCCCACCATTCTGCCAGAAGAAATTTCCGTCCAAGAAGATGGTGTTCGGGATGATGGCCAGCGAATCAGCCATGTGGAACCCACCACAGTTCAGCTATGAGGGTGTTACCTTGGTGCCAAACTTTGCCAGACGGAGGTTCGAGGTTGACTTCAAGGTCAATGTTGGCCGTTACGGCTTGAAATTATTCAGAATACAAGTTGATTTCAGCCACCCCGGAAAGCTCATCTGGGGGCCCAGCGGCAACGGCGCCTGGGGGCTGGCCATGCTGCTGCCAAGTCCTCCCAAGCTGTATGGTCGCTTAGACGTCTCTCACGATGATGATCAGTCGCTGTGGCAGGAATGGGACAGGTGGGCCCGACAAACTCATATATCCGGCGAGCTACACAAGTTGAAGGAGCTGCCCGCCAGGCTTCAGAAGCCAGCTGGGCAGTCTGTCGACTTTGGCCGCTGGACGACTTATTATTTCGACTTTGACTCCTGTCTCAATGAGTGGGAAAGTGTCCGCACATATTTGGCAGACTACAACGTCAAGATTGCACAAGTCGACCATTTTACGCTCGTCAATACCGGTACTTCCAACGCCTGGAAACTGATCGACTCGACCGAGATGACTTTGGAACTCCTCGACTCGAGAAACACTTTTCACCTCGAATTTCCAGTGCGATACCAACTTGAAGTCTGCATTTCTCATGGTCTTCTTGATGAATACAGCATCGGTGCACAATTTCTCGAAAAACTTGAAAGCTTCGATGTCGATAGAGCCAGACTGATTCTCGAAGGCGTCGCTGAAGCGAACAGGCAATTCTTTGAGCCCATGAAGATCTTTGATGAAGACAGGTTTCTTCACTACTGGCCAAATGCCAGAGTTCCTCCACACGCAACACTGGTCCGCAGGGCCGTCATCACTCCAACAGCAATATATTTCAAAACCCCCACTGTCGAGTTGACCAACCGAATCCTCCGCAAGTTCTCTGATCTGAACGACCGGTTCCTCCGTGTCCAATTTACGGACGAACTTGCCTTTGGAAAAATATTCTCCTCACAGGATTCGACCAAAGATGACAACCTGTTCACTCGCGTCCACAGAGCCATGCACAACGGCATAGTCATCGGCAACCGTCATTACAAATTCTTGGCGTTCAGCAATTCACAGTTCAGGGAGAACGGTGCATTCTTTTTCTGCGACACTGATCATACAACCTGCGATTCCATCCGTGAATGGATGGGAGACTTCCGCCATATCCGCTCAGTTGGCAAATTTGCGGCGAGGATGGGCCAGTGCTTCACCACAACCCGTCAAGTCAATGGCATCAGTATACCCAAGATCCGCCTGATTCATGACATAGAGAAGCAAACTGGTGACCGCGTCTGGAACTTTACCGATGGAATTGGCAAGATATCATTTTTTCTCGCAACGTTGATCGCAAACGAGCGCGACTTACCGGAGACCCCTTCGTGCTTCCAGATCAGAATGGGCGGCGTCAAGGGTACCCTCGTTCCGTGGCCTGACGTTCCGCCCAGCGAGGTTCATGTTCGACCTTCTCAGGAGAAGTTCAAAGCTATCCACAACGGCCTCGAGATCATCAAGACCTCTGCGTTCTCTCATGCCACTCTCAACAAGCAGGTGATACCTATTCTAACCGCTCTTGGTGTGGACAAGTCCGTCTTTGTCAGCATTCTCGAGAGTGAGCTCAGAGCGTACAAAGAAGCTTTGAGTGATTCCATGAGGGCCGGTGAGCTGCTTCGATCACAAGTCGATGAGAACCAGATCACCTTGACCATGGCAGAAATGGTGGACACATTCATGGATTCCAAAGAGCCATTCCTTTGGACCCTACTTCGCTTGTGGAAGTGCTGGGTATTGAGGAGACTGAAGGACAAATTCGCCGTCAGTATCGAGAAGAGCGCCATGGTCTTCGGAATTGTCGATGAGATCGGCGTGCTGAGAGGTCACTCTCGAGCAACCGAAGGCAGGAGGGACAACAACATCAAGTTGCTCCCTCAGATATTCCTCCAAATTCCTGTGGAGGGCAGTGATGGTAGGAGTACGACCAACTACGAGGTCGTCACCGGACTTTGTGTCGTCGGCCGCAACCCATCACTTCATCCTGGAGACGTGCGAGTGGTTGAGGCAGTAGACGCTCCTGAGCTGAGACACCTGAAGAACGTGGTCGTCTTCCCAAAGACTGGAGACAGGGATATTCCAAGCATGTGTTCGGGAGGCGATATGGACGGTGACGATTACTTCGTCTTTTGGGACGAGCGACTCATCCCACTTGAGTGGTATCATCCGCCCCTGGATCACGATGCGGAATCGTCCACTCCAGGAGTGGAAGAGCCGGCAGATGTGACGATTGAAGACGTCAGCAAGTTCTTTGTCCAGTATATGAAAAACGACTCCCTTGGCTCCATTGCCAGTGCGCACGTTGCCTGGGCAGATCAATCATCCGAGGGTGTCAAGGACCCGAAATGTAAGCGGGTCGCAGTGTCCTCGCCCTCGGTAGAACAGACTGACAAAATTCGTGTAGGCATCGAGCTTGCCAAGCTCCACTCCAAAGCTGTCGACTATGTCAAGTCTGGAAAGCCTGCAGTTATGCAGAGGCGCCTTCGACCACGGACATTTCCGCATTGGATGGGAAAGGAGAGGAAGTCAACCTACCATTCCCACACAGCGCTGGGTCAGATGTACGACCAAGTTAAAGTTGGGGATTTCCATACAGCTTACGAGATGTCTTTCAACGAACAGATCCTGTCGCGCTATGCGTTGGACGAAGACACCTTGGCTCAGGCAGTAGAGATCAAAGCAGCTTACGATACCGCCATGCGCCGGCTAATAGGTCAGCACGAGGCACCTGTGACTGAGTTTGAGATGTGGTCCACTTTTATTCTTTCCAAGCCTCGTGTTGGCAGCGATTACAAGCTCCAGGAGAACGTCGGCCGGGATATAGCAGCTCTAAAGGATCGATTCCGAGCTGAGTGCAAGATGGCTGTGGCTGGGAAAACTCAAACACAGATTCTCTCCAGCTCCGTGGTCGACCTTGAGAAGCTCGACCGTTTCGTGGCGGCGATGTACACCGTCACCTACAGGGAGGTGAGAGCTTCAGCCAGGGAACGGCTGGTAGCGAAGCCAGATCACGATAGCGGACCAGAGGAACTCCAAATGCCGTTGATCAGCTTCCCCTGGCTTTTCCACCGAGAGCTTGCCCGTTTGGCGCTGGGACGGGGTGGCGACGTGCGTCCATTGAAGACAGAGACCGAAGACCTGGCGCTTGACGATGGGGAGTTCGGTGTGCCTGGTGTTACCGCGTCAACCTCCAACGACTCTATGGTGCCAGATGACAGCACTAGGAGCTCTGTTCCCGCATCGCCCCGGACCGGGCATAGATCCGAGGACGACGATAAGTCTGTCGATTTTGAGGAGGTGGGCGACGATGATCAGGAGGGCGACGAGGATGCACTTGAGGTTCTCGCAAGGAAGGTTGGCATGTGAGAAGCTGAGACATACATGAATAGAGGTCACACTACCCAGGGGAGCTTACACAGTAGCTGAGAGTACCTAGGTACCTGGCTAAGTAGTTACGGCACCGCACTCAAGCACGGACCAGGATCTTCCGCAGTTCCCCAAAGCTTCCTCGAGAAGGAATGTGGCGTCAACAAGCTAACACGATGCTGTTTTCAAGTGCTAGATTCATCAACAGGCTAATCACCCCACCTTCCTCTCTTTGACATACCCATTCAGGGCTATTAGATACCCCATGAGTTGAAAGACCGGATGACCGTGTTCTCGTCAACTGTAGATGCAGTAGCCCGATGCAAGATGGAACCCTTTCCCGGAAGGCCGTCCCGCCTGATCCCTTTTGGCACGGGTGAAGACAACAGCTAACATAGGATCTGCCACCTGACACCCAACTCCCGACACCTCCCTTGATGGGCGGGCTACACTTGACTGGCCTGAATCCGACTGGAATCTACTGAAATACTGGCGCGAATTCGCCTATCCCTTTCTTCAGTAGACTTACTTATTTTCCCCTGTGCGGCCCAGCATGATGGATACTCGCGCCGACCCGTCCCTCATCTACCCGACCGCATCCTTCCAGGAGAAAAAGGCTGCCGGCTGTCAGCTCTTCATGTTGCCCCTCTAGTTTCCTGGCGTCGTTGTGCGGCACATGAAAACATCTCCTACAAAAAGTCCCTTGAACATGGGCGTATTATTCTCTCCCCCCGACTCGCCTTTGAAAGAGGGCCGGACTCTACTGCCCTGGAAAGGGACCTCAAGATCGGCTCGTAGGAAGCAGAGGTTATTTTGGTTGATATGTCCCCTTTTTCTGACCCTGGGGTTGGTATACGTGTTATATCCATATTCTCGGGAGCCAAAGATCATTCTGCCGCCCCAGCGTGTTGCCCCCGCCGCCGAGGAGAACATAACATCGGAGGCGGTGGCTCCAGTTGACACAAGCTTGGGAGACAATGCCAATGGACACGGCAATAGTATTCCGCCCGAGCCGGTGGATCAGACGCTCTTCGGCGGACAGGATGGTGACGGACCTAGGATTTATGCCAAGCGTCCAGGTAGTGGCCAGGCAGAGAACTACAGGCATGTCATACCGGTCAAAGATACCGACGAGGCTCTCAGACGGGTCATCAATCTTCTGCCTAGCGAGCTGGAGGTTCGCGGCCTTCTACAGCCGCTGGACGGGATGACCGGAGAGGCACGCCTCCGGGAACTTGGGGTCCGCACACGCAGATACAAGGCGTACCTAGAGGCATGGGAGGACCTGCACTTAGTGCCCGACACCGAGGGTGGCACCTACATGCGCGACGACGTGATTCAGTATATCCACGAGCGACATCGCACCACCAGCGAGGAGGACGGTAGCAACGACCTCGCCGAGACGATCCACGCATACGAGTCGTACCGCGGCCTGCTAGTCCAGCTCAGTGACCTGCTCTTCCCCTTCACGGCGCCGTACTTCCCAGACCACATGACCCTCCGCTCGCACATCCAGAAGGGCGGCCGCGGTATCGCGCTGACGGCGGGCAACGACCAGGTCGCGTACCTACTTACGCAGATACCCATCCTGCGCAGGCTCGGGTGTAACCTCCCCATCGAGGTCATGTATGCTAGGGATTCCGACCTGAACCGCGACTCCAGGCAGGACCTTGAGGACCTCGAGGGCGTGGTGACGCGGGACATCGGCGCTATGGTCCGTGACAAAGGCTGGACGCTCGCGGGCTGGGCTATCAAGCCTTTTGCCATCCTGCTGTCCAGCTTCCGGGAGGTCATTTGTCAGTATAAACCTTGCCTCGTGCGGTGTCTTGATTCTCGAATGGCGGCCTGGGTCTAGTCAGCTCGGACCTGGAGACACATGCACTAATACGCAACCAAAATAACAGTCATCGATTCGGACAGCTTCTTCTTTCGGAACCCTGAGGTGATGTTTGACGATCCCGGGTACGTCAAGACAGGGGCACTGTTCTTCCGGGACCGGCTGATCATGCCAGAACTCAGGAGGAGCTGGCTGCAGTCTGTCCTTCCTCAGCCTGTGTCGAGGAACGTCAAGCAGAGCAGGCTGTGGACAGGGGACAGTGGACATCAGCAGGAGAGTGGCGTGCTGGTCGTCGACACGTACAGGCATTTCATGGCAATGCTCCTTGTCGCCAGGATGAACGGACCCGACCGGGATGGAAACCGGGAGAACCAGAAAGTCGGGGTTTACGACATGGTATATGGTGAGTTGACCAAAGGCCAGCCGTGTCTTATTTCGTGAACAGGCCGCTGACAACCGGGCCCAGGCGACAAAGAAACATTCTGGCTGGGGTTCGAACTGGTCGGCGACACAGACTACGTCTTCCACCAGGGCGACGCAGGAACCCTCGGCGTGATGAAGACCCGTGAGGAAATGCAAGCAGAAAAGGCCAATCTCCAGAGCTGGGCGGTGCTAGACAATAGCACCGACACCGGGTTTGACCCAGACCTCTACCCCGAATTTGATGCGGAGGAAGAAACCAACTCCTCCGACGCCGACGCCACCCCATCGCTAGATCCGCTGCCGAGCCGGCGGATGTGCTCGCCACAGCTTCTGCACCTGGACCTAGAGGGCAAGCCGTTCTGGTTCAACGGCGGGCTGGTCAAGAACAAATTCCTGGAGCGGCGGCGTTGGAAGTTTGGCTCGTTCGACAGCTACCTCATCGAGCCGCGCGACGTGCGGGAGCCCGGCGCCTGGATCCTCGGCGAGGGCAACATGTGCTGCCTGACCACGGATAACCACCTCTACGGCATGCTGAGTCCGGCCGAGAAGGACCTGATCGGCGAGATGATCGCACAGGCGAAGAGGATGGGCATCGCGCGAGATTAGAGCTGCTGCCTGCCTATCTACGTCGGAGGCATGTATGGAACTAATGGTGTCTAATAGTGCATGGCGTATGTAATTCATAGAATGAAGTTTCTCGAGTACTTAGATTTCAAATTCATTTGGATCTCGCAGAATCGTGCCGCATGACTTCTGCAAGGCCACCTGGTTGTTGGTGATGGTGGAATGTAGTCATGCAGTGGAACCTTTGCACAGTCGATTTGATAAATTGCCAGTGCTGGCACCGCTTAGCGCAGCAGCGCCCAAGTCGTCGGCGTCAATTTTGTAGCATTTCCAGGTGGTATTTTTACTTCCTCTGAGCAAAACTGCCATGAGATGGTCACACGACGCGTATAACCCCGAAGTTTCAGATCTCATCACACTCTAACTCAATCATTGTTTAATACGGCATCTCGGAGCTCTAGTCACCGCTTGAGGCATCGTCTCAACTGCAACAATTGCGTCAGTGCTTGCCGAGGCAGCACACCGTAATCATATCGTGGAGAAGGGTGATAAGATATGGAATGCGGCTGGCTGGAGGTTATAATGGAATGAAAGCTTGAGTGAGTGAACTGTCCCTAGAATCCTCGGGAAGTGTCTTATGTTCGTTTTGAAACCTGAGTTGTCCCGCGTCACCTGAGACATGATTATAGTTAGTATCCTGAAGTGGTACCAACGTCCTAGAGGTATTGTCAGGTCCATTATGTTCCATGACTACAAAATGTTCGACGACATGTAACCAATTGACTGCCACTGATGAGACGGTGGGAAATCACAATGATGCGCTGTCGGGACCAGCCAAGACATCCTCGGTAGACCACATCCCAGATATTCAAACGTATCCGTGAATGACTCGACTAGTTTGTGTCTTTGCATACACGATGAGATATTTTGCACCATCCTGGACGGTTTACTGTCCTTGCTGTTTACATACCTAGGTAGATACGGACTGCAATCTATATGAACCATGCTACTTGTGTGGTTTCCCACTTACAGATAGCGAAGAAGATCTCCAATCAACCTCATTCTAAATGATTGATGGGATAGTTCTATCTAATCATGATGGTTTTCCTTGGGGAAACAGACTTGGGAGTTCGGCTCTTAGTCTGAGAGACGTCAATGCTGAAATGCATCCACACGGTCGGGTCTACTCAACGCCTTGTTCACCGGAGTGTATGAAGCAACCAAGTAATTCACGCGTAGTAATGAACATGACGATACACTTTTAGCTGATTTGCACTATTACTGACTATCTTGAGAGCATCTGTACGACGGGGTCAGAAACTCCTGGAAGCCTCCCCGGGGTCTATCCACCAGTGTTCTGTCCTCGTTGACCAAGTACCGACTCCTGTCGAAAACCGTCTCCGCCCCTGAAAATCACTCTCACAAAGTATGCAAGACGACCAATATCACAACTCAGTCCCTGCTGTGTCAAGTGGGTTTGATCTAAAAGAGTTTGCGGTAACAATGTATAGTACTCAAGCACATCATGAATCGCGTTCGTGAGCATCTTTTCTAGTAAAGGATGAGTGATGACTGTAGGCGAACCGTTGCCCATCTGATAGACAGTGTTACATGTCTGAAACGTATCGGACCACTATGTGGCACTTTACAGCCAAAAATATGAACCGATGGACCATAAAGAGCACGACTGATCACATCCTTACCTACACATGGTAGCCATGATAGAGTATGCCAACACGGTACCGCATCAGTCTCAGCATTGAAAGATACGCCACCCATAACGGTACTGAGCGTAGCGAAGGTTTTACGCGGATAGATGGCCTACGTACCTAGGTACGGAAAGACTCGAAAATGCGAGGCTGAGCAATCGGGCTCAGGGACTTCAGGCCCCTGGTGAAGTCTACGAAACTCAGAGCATCCCGACCTCCCACACGCCCGGATTCAGGTCGGAGCCCGGCTGTGAAAGTAGGCCGGATCATGTCATGACATGCTTTTGTAAAGTTTCCTGGGAGTATCAGGCTCGGGATTCAATAATGCAAGTGAACCACGGATGTCTGTCAGTCGCCGAAGTGTGACCCGGGTGGTCGTGGGGTGCCGAGAAATCATGACGGTCGGCGGGTGTTTGGGCCGACGCGCCGAACATGACGGACCAACGCCATGAGGTATTAGTGAAAAGTCAAAAGAGGCGCAGGTAGTATCACAAGAGGCGAAGAGATATTCATCGACGTAGCATGCAGTCTCAGGAGTGACAACATCGGGGCACCGGAAACCGCACCCGTCTCGGAAATCTGCCACGGTACCTAGTGACACATTTACTAGCAATATTTATGCGTTCGGATAGCGTTAATGCATAGAGTCAATAAAATAAGGGTTACCCATACCGTGGGGGTGAAGAAGAAAAAAAAGGAAAACCACGTGTGACAAGCTTCCGCCGCCTCCAGAAATAGTGTCGTCGGCTGGCCAGCCAGTCCAGACAATGGCCCCGCGGGAGTTCCGACGGCCTCGGGATGCTTTCAGCCGTTGTAATTCGGGATCGAAAAAAGTGTCCGAACGAATCTCTTCTTTCGACACGGACAGAGCGTGTTGAGCCGCCCGAGGAAGTCCCCGAGATCCCCCAAAAATTTGTAGCCTCGGCGCCGAACAGCGCCGGAGACAGGCCGGCCCTCGGCAACGCCTGTTTAACCAGGCTCTATTGACATGTACGGAGTACACCACAATACCTTCACCTTGCTGTAACCTTGATAGACCGGACAGTTGCCTGCCCTGCGCATTGCCATGCTACCACGTTGCTGTTCGGTGGGCACGGAAGGGCAGGTGGCCATTCTGCAATGGCACGGCGCAGTGGCCGGAAATAGCCTCGGGCGCAGTTCGGCACGAGGCAGACATCACAGGCGAGGGCCGGGGGAAGCCACGGTCCCATCCAGCAGACAGAAGCGCACGGCAGTTCAGAGCGCATCTGTGTGGGAGGAACAGCAACAAGATTTCGGGGGGATCATCTTTCAGCCCTTTTGAACCCCGTCGACACGTGGGAGGTTGAGCGCGAGAAAAAGGAGGGATGGGCCCGAGGAACCATCCAGCGGGAAAAGCTTCAGGGGCACCGCGGGCCGCCAGCCAATAGTTTTACACGGATCATCGAGACCGGGGGCCTGCCGGGGCCGCGGGAGGTGAGGCTGCTGCAGCGGCTGAGTTTCTCGGGACCCCAAACAGGCGCTCGCTCGACAATGTATCGTGCTGGTTCCCCGAAGTACCTGTCAATTGCAACGCTGAGGAAGGCCATCGGCCATCCCAATCTCGTTTGTGGTAGCAACGCCTAATTATGCGAATGCGAAGCGAAGCCTTGGTACCCAGTCGAACAATCTGGCTGGGTACCGGACTCGAAGCGACAGAGTTTGTCTAATTTTACACTGGGTCTGCGAGATCACGATGGGGGATGGGGGAACACTTGCCAGAGTGAATTTGTGTTTACTCTAACTGTTTTAAGGTTTTCCTCACGGTAGTATCCGTCGCGGTTAGAGGGGCCAGCAGGTGCATCGAATTTTGGTCGAGTGCAACGTGCAAACCTTCATCGCCATGTGGCTGATCATCATCAAAACTCCACACCCTTGGCGCCAAATGCCCTTTTTCTTCCTTCTCTTGCTCCTTCACCCAAGACGGGCTGAACGGGACGCCTTACGGCCTGAGTCTCCCAGCCTTGGCAATGAGGCCACTCGAGGCGCAGGTACTCCGTAGACATGCCAAGACAGCAGAGGCCCGGCGAGGGCCAGAGCATGACAAGTAACACAGTAGGGCTGCCGCAACAGCACGGCAACATGAGCACGGCCCGGTGTTGAGGAGCAAGACAGACAGACCCCCTTTTTGGCAAGGATGCGATTTGGGACATGGGCAGAGCTCTGAGTCACGACCATTCGCGGGAAAAAAGCAACCGGCTGTCAATTCGCATTAACACGACGACCTATGCCGTGCAGAGTTCAACCGTCTCATTCGATTGTTTTGTCAACAAAGCCGCTGAATAACCGGCCAGTGGTGGGGGGCCCCTTTGATGGTGCGTCAAGGGTTTCTCGAAGTTTGTTTTTCTATAAATGGCTCCCGAGTGAAGTGGCCTTCCCAACGAGCTGATAAGGTTGAAGTTAAGGCGTGTCATGCGCTCAAGGTGCCCGACAAAGGCTGCCCGGAGGCTAACTACACTATTAACCCATAAATCAACCAAGAGCTTCCAGCAACTCTGCTTTTTAAGCTTTTGCCTGTCATATCCGCCGCCGTCGGCCAGGTCCATGGGGCAATATAGGGGGCAAGAAAAATCCACCATGATCCACCAGATTAATATATGCTCAGGCACAGGAGCCAGCCCTGTTGCTGCACGGACAGGACGGGTTTGTCAACATGAGGCAGCCCGTCAGATTTAAGCATACTAGTTGATGGGGCTCTCATTTCAGCACCGAGGTGTAACAGATTTCGCATGCACACACACAAACGGGGCGAACCGCCCCGGGGAATACGACTCTTGCAGTAGCAGCAGCCGCAATGAACCAATTTCACAAGCAAAACAAAACCTCCACAAAACGCGCGCGGCGGCCGATCACGGTGGGCGTCTGTGCGTGGGCATGAGATGAGCCGAAGAGATCAGCGCAGAAACGCGAAGCTTAGGTTCAACTATGCGCTGTCCTCCGCGGGGGGGGGCTGCTGAGTTTAGAGTTTCGGGGACATTTACACAGTAGTCATGTCGTGCCTCGGGTGGGCATTATACGGGGGTGCGTGCAGAGTGTCTGTCTGCTTGTGACAATGTTGTTGGTGCGTTTATGTCATATCCTTGGGGGCATGGGCCCACGAGATGGAAAATTCAACAAGTAGCACTCAGGAACACGCTTTCGCAACAGGTCGGCGGCTGTCGTTTAGTACTCGGACGCATTGGAGGGAGGTCTTCGGACAAGATGCAACCCCGCCCCGGCGGCCGGGAGGCTCCAGTGGCCCGGGTTGACCATAGTGCTCCGTACTACACCGTACATGTGGTGGGATCTATCCTCTTCCGGATTAGGACGGTTCTGCCTGGGCTCGGGATGACGCGAGGAGGAGGGGGAAAAAATCAGAAAATCCCCGGCATTTGTCATGAGGGCTCTGGACCGGGCTTGGACGAATTGTAATCCTACAGGTGGATGACTCCCAACGGCGTCAAGGGGCTGAAATGGCCATAAGTCCGGTCCAGCGACCAGGGGGGCGGGTTGATGCGTTGGCTTATTCTTGACCCACCGGAGAAAAGTGTCCGAGTCGGATTGGGGGTCTGCACGTAGTGCTCCGGATGAACTTGAAATCCCGAGGCATGCGGAATTTCGCTTCCGATGGCCTCTCGGGAGAAAAAGGGGGGGGTGTGGCTTGCCAATTCGGGATGCTGTTGGTGCCGCAATTGGCTGCAGTACGATTGACTTTGCACACCTGTTGGCAATGGCATAGACGTGTTGATACGCGGCTCGTGGGGCGTCAGCATCCGGGGACAGGACGAGTCATAATGGGCTCAGCGTTGGTGAACAGACAATCCCAAGGGGGGACAAGGCGCGGCGTGAAGCCTGTGGGGACAAAGACAAAGAAACTTGAAGATGCCTAGGTAGGTAGGTAGCCCCAACGGTGTCTCACTCGAATATGCTTCGGCCAGTGTCTATCGAAGTTGAAGGTCTACGCCCGCACAGTAATATCGATGCGAATGCGACGAGGCTGAACTTGGCCGGTGCGGTAAGCGCCACGCGTTCGTCTCCAGCAAGTCCTGCGCCGCGCTGCCAAGGCCCGAAGCAGAGCCAACAATGATCCATCCCATGTGTGTGTATATGTGTGAGTGTGTAAGAGTGTGTGCGCGCGTGAGTGGACGTCTGGCCCCCATACGGCGATGCCCGATACCAGATTGGGAAACACGGGGCCGGTAGAGTTGGGCAAAGGCATTGACAGCCCACCGGACCCAGGTGCCCAGTGCCCAGCTCCGGCCTCCGCTCCGCCGTCTTCTGGAAGCAAGCGCGGGGGGGAGGTGGCAGGGGCCGGGGGCCGTCGACGGTGCCATGGCTGTCCCTCACGCCCGCGCAACCAGAAATAGATAGACGCATCTAGTGTGGTACATGTGTGGCCGGGCACACGCCCTGAATCTTGCTATGGCATACGGATATATCGCATCCAGCATTGATGTGGCGTGCAAGGGGACTCCCGTCCCCGAAGCCCGCTCGCCAGGCACAGAACAAGCAAATGCTCACACAGTCAGGCACCCGGCCAACGTAAGAGGGGTGATACGGTGGCTTGGGAAAGGATCATTGGATCCCATAGCCCAGGTGAGGATCGGGGACTTGCCGTCAGCGTGGCCCCCTTGTTGATGACCAGTACCCGCAGGATAGGCATGCCTGTTGTTCGAAGTTGATGGCTGTGCCTGGACTATTTGCTTGGTTCCCATCCTGCTCAGATGTCCATTTCCACATCGGGACCCATCTGGCGAGGCAGGCGAGGCCATATAAGCCGGGGCTGGGTTGGACAAACGATACGCCTCACTGGCCCAGGGCGAGAGTATGCATCAAATCTTATCGCAGCACACGTGTGTGCCAGGTGACGTGACTGCTACTCGACCATTTGCGCCCTGGCATCCTTAGCACGCCAAACGCACACGTCTTGTGACACGACAAGGACGGGGGAGGGAAGAGCATGGTGATCGGCGACCTCGTCCAGTTGGACCTGTGACGGGAGCTACCGTCCCATGTTGACGCGCAACTCTATTCCGCACGAGGCAGGAAAAATGGAAAACACCACATGTGTGCGTGTCCAAGCAAGAGTGTTTCGTCCCTCGTCGTCGAGCCCCCAAGGGGGTGGCGATTGGCAGGAATAGAGTTTAGTCTCTGCAGTAGCTCCCGTCACGAGCAGCAAACAAGGGCCAAAACAACAGGCGGGGTCCGCAAGTTCAGAAGGGAGAGGTCGGGGTGAGAAATCCCCTACTTGTTATCAGCAGTGGTATCCGTATAGTTGCCGACACCACACTTGCGTAGTAGGGCTCCGATATGTTTTTGCTGTTGGATCGCGCCGGCGCTGGGGCGCCCACTCGTGACCACCACGCCCTCCAGCCAGCCAGCCTGCTCACTCCCGCCTGCTCTCGGCCGATCACTGTCTCAAGCTCGCGAGACATAGGGATCGTCGCCCTCCAAGCCCCCGTCCGACTCACCTGGGCACTCGGCAAACAGGCATTGCCACATGTTCGCCCAGGATACCAACATTGGAAATGAGAGAGAACACACACCCAAGCAGCCCGAGCCATTTCAGCCTGGCATGGGTTTCACCCGACCCCATGCGGTATCCATCTGGGGGGCTCACAGGGTAACAGGAGGTTCATAACAGCATGGCTTGCAGGGGATAGGGTGAACACCCGGTGTAAGTGATATATATGACCCGACTTGGAATACTAGCGTGCAGCCCTCGCATTGCCGTCGGCACCCAAGCACACAAAGAAACTCCAGCACCTGAGCACAAACCAGAACGGCTCGAGTGCTCCTGCCAACCGGCGATCGGTCATCATAAGGTGCCCGGGCCCCAGCAGTCTGGGTAGGTAGGTGTACGCCGTAGCTTGGAAAGGGTACGCACACAGCACAGCGTCGCCCCTTTAGCCTTGGCCCCAGCCCCAGCCCCAGCCCTAGTGAAAGAAGTGCGGATACGTGCGTAACATGCGTATTCGCGCAAAGGTTATTCGACCCCTCATCCTTACCTGTAGACCCCTCGAGCGAGTCAACGCAGACTCTCACGAAATAAGGCGATGGGAGAACAATGGGTCAAATTGTCAACCATTAGCATCGGCTGGTCCTTGGCACAGGGCAAGTGGTTCAAGCAGAATGACTCTCCTTAGGGGTCCCAAGGGGGGTGGATGGGAGGGGAGGAGAGGAGACGAAGGCTATTTGCGTGCACTGTCTGGTGCAGTGCTAAAGAACAAGTGCTATGTAGTAAGAGCGCGGTCGGGCAGTAGTCGTGTAATACGCCCGCCACGTCAGACCGGCGTGTCTGCACAGCACAGGCCAAAAGGACAAAGGACCGTACTATAGACTGTAAGACTGCAAGTGCTGTGGTTGTCTGGAGAGCCCCTGTTCGTCCAAGAGCCGCGGCCATACTGTAACGGGACCAGCCTCACGCCCTCTCGAGGGGTGCCTAGCCGGCGGGGATAGGCGGGTATGTACACTACTCGGTGAGATGGTGCACGGATGCTTGGATTCATGGTCCACAGTCTGTATCTCCCTGTCTCACTCCTTACTCGACGCTCACATGCATTGTCGCGAGCGCCGAGGGCTCAGTGTAGTGTATACCTACCTACCATCGATCCTGCCGTTCCATGCATCCTCTTGCTTTTGCATGCAGTAGCGCAGACCGGGAAGGTGGGGGGGAGGCAGAGCTGCGAGGTTCAAACGTGAAAGATGAGTTTGTTGAGGGAGGCAAGGCGGGACCACCTGAGCAAGAGCGCCCGCCAAGGCGTCTCGGTATCGCATCTGATTGCGGGTGCCGCGCGGGACAAAGAACGGGGGTGCAGCAGCACAACGTTGGGGCTCAGGGCTCACGGCAGGGGTCCGACGTTGTCACCGTGGTGGTGATGATGGTGGTGATGATAACAATAATAATAAGCAGGGCGAGCGGACTCAAGCTTTGAGAGGTCGCCGGCGCTGTGGGGGGGGGGGGGCGTGTGGGCAGCAAGACCCTGTTGCACGTTTCGCCTTGGGCTGTGCCCGCAGAAACTGCCCGCCAGCAAACTGACAGCGTGGGATTGATTAATCAGCCCTCCCCTGGTCGTCCCAGCGAGACAAGAGTCGCTCCGAACTGGACCCCGAGGAATCCCCACCGTGGCATTGGGCGCACACTATCCGTAACTAGCAAATAGGCCAGACACAACTCAACATGGACGTCTTCGCAGTACAGTAAGACGATAAGCAAGCGAGGGCAAATACGGAGGCATGGCACGCCGTTGGTTTTTGCTGACGGGGGTCTCCTTGGATCCTGCAAATCACCAACAGTCACCCACTCGCGCCTCCGCGGGCAAAAGAAAAAAAAAAAGAAGAAGAAGAAAAAGAACTACCAGAGCTGGATGGAATCCTCGCCTCCCCACCCCCACCCTTGCTTGTACCGCATAGTATTCCGTACTGAGCGAGGTACACGGTCGAGACAGCAGCAGCAGCAGCAGCAGCAGCAGCAGCAGCAGCAGCAGCGGCTTTCGGCGCCGATCCAAACGCCGTTGCGGTACGTACCGAGCTACCGGGTTTCGCTGTGCCACCTGTTTGGTACGCTATCAGCCACTATGATTTCGCGTTGCTCACCAACGACATGTCAGACCGACATGGATGCTGGCCGAACCTGCGCCCTTTCTGTAGTGGAACCCCTGCCGAGGATGTCTGATGGAATTAATCCCTGGTCCACTTTTTCTTACCATTTGCTCTTCACGTCGGACACGCGAGTTTGGTGCGAGGTTTCGGTGGGGACTTTGGTTCCTTCTTTTTTTTGGGGGGGAATCATTAACTTCATTCTCTCGAGCAGACGTGCTTCGACGAGCGCGCACCGGTGAAGGTTTTTTGCCCTCTCCTTCCTCAGAAGAGTTGAGAAGTTGACACATCGTACAATCAATACACCCTTGACCAGGTAGAACAAAAATGGAGGAAAAAAAAGTGAAAACATCGGCTCCCCATACCATTAGCATACATCCAATCCAACAAGCGTCTTGCTTGTCGTTTTTCTGGTAGGGGAACAAAACCCAAATACCCTGCCCTAGAGTGAACGCCTTGCCATAAAGCCCGTGAGTTAGGGAGAGACACCATCATCCGGCTCTTGTGACTCCTACTATGTCCAAGTTGATTGATAGACATGCGTCCCCGTCATAGCCCAAAGTGCCGCCTGCCCGTCCCGGTCATCGTGTTGCCCAGCCCAGCCCAGCCCAGCCCAGCCACTATCCTCGGTATCGTAACGTGGAAATCGTGTCCGGTCCCCGCCGTCGCCGCCGGCCCTTTCTCATAGTCGCATACCTTCTGGGTCAAACCCAGAGTAGATCATTGGGTCACCGATACCCAGCATTACTTCCGGATTGGGACATGACAGGACATGTGGCTTGATGGTACCAAATTCCGACTCGAGAAGCCCCTGGTTCAGCATGTCCATGCCTGCGAATGCCCCTGTTGTCTGTATAAACTGCTGTTCATATCCCATCGATGGCGCCCGCATCCAGGGCGCGAAGGAGGCAGGCACGTGCTGCGCCGGTGACGTGCTCGGGAGGCTGTCTGTGGATGGTGCTGAGTAGCCGTCGAACGAGTCGTACGTCAGGCTCGCCGGCGACAGGGTCATGGTGCTGCTTGCCTGGCGGCCACCGCCGAATGCTGCCTTGCGGTAGTCCTCAAAGTCGGAGTGGTCCAGGTCCGAGGAGCTCGCGCGGTCCGTCCTCGCGTCGTGCTCGGCGCCGAGCCCCGCCTTCTCATGCTGCTGTTGCTCCTCGAGCTGGCGTGCGAGTTCCGACAGGCCTTGCTCATCCTCTGGGAAGACGGAGTGGACGGGGAGGTCGATATCGCTGTTGGGTCGTATGCAGCCAAGCTTCTGGGCGATGTTGTGGATTACGGGCTGGCCGCGGTCGTTGAGGTCAGGCTCGCCGAGGTCCCATTGCTGGCCGTTGCGGACCATCGAGTACAGCTTGTGCACGGTGGCGATGAGGGCAAACTGAGTGTTCTCAAGAACCTCGGCATATCTGTGAGATATCGTGTGAGCCAGGACGCCTACCAACTGCGCGGTGGGGGAGGGGGGTTGTGTGTGCGCATACCCTCGAGGCAACTGCTTGAATTCCGTCTTCTTTCTCGTGCCCGCTGTGCACACAAGACCGTCGTCCTTGCATCTCTTGCATGGGAATTCACCATCACACTGTTCGCTGTCAGCGGGCCGGGCCTTGCGACATGGACAGGGATGAAATGAGATTTGCAATTTTTGTTTACCTTTGTCTTCTTCATTCTACACCTCTCACATGCCTTCCATACCCTCTTGTGCCTCGCATCAGCCATTGAGTGTGTGGACTGGCTGTCTGACGGCATTGGCGAGTGGATGTGTGAGTGGGACATGTTTGTGCTTGAACGCTTGGTGACACGGTGCGCGGGCTTGGTGGACTTCGCGCCGGGACTATGCCTCTTCGCCGTTGTCTGGTGTGGTTTGTGTTGTCCATCCAGGGGAGGACTGGGTAGACTGTGTTCCATTTTTGCGTGCGGTGTCACGGAGGGCCACTGTGGGCGGAGATGATATGAGATGTGAGGCGACGTGGAGCTAGTGTGGGCGACCCGTGTAAGTCGGGCCAGTCGAACCAAGTGTGCCTCAAAGACGGAGCTTCACAAGGGACAACACTGTGTGTATGATGTATGATGTGGTGATGATATGTGGCAATGGATTGGTTTGTTTCGAGGTCGAGTGGGATGTGTTAGAGAGAGAAGCAGTGTGAGATGTGGACGGATGGGGGTGGCTTGACGTGGGATTAATAATGGTGAGTGAACAGACTGCGAGGTGCGAGACTCAAGGTGGTGCAAAGGCGTTGGATGGAGATGGAGATTATGTGATATGTAATGGATTTCCGGGCTGGTAATAATGATGCTGTCAGTCAGAACAGCGAGGTACAAGGAAGGGTACAAGGGTACGGGGCGACAAGGGTACAGGGGTGGTGGAAGGTACAGCGGTACAGCGGTCCAGCGAAAGTTCGGCGCCGTTCGAGGGGGGGGTCCCACCCCAACCTTAAGCAGAGGTACCCCTGCCGCGAGATGGGGCCCTAGGCGTTGCTGGGCTGAGGGAAAAGCAGCTGGGGTGTGTGCGCAGCGCCTGGCAGCGCTGAAGCCCCAGGCGGGTTTTAACGGTCGGCGAGTTGTTTAAGTCCGAGAACGGACAGATTGAAGGGGCCAGCGGCCGCGCTGCGGACAAGTCCAGTAAGGTAGACTCGAGGTCACGCTGAGAATAACCACACTCCTGAGAAGCTTTAACGGCCAACAGAGGCCATCCTGGGCTCTTGTTTTCCGAAGACTCTGCTGTCCCCCAGCGACCCAGCGACCCTCAAACCCTCAATTCTGGCATGTGTCGTGTCCTCCCCTTGGGGTCTCTCGACCTGCGGAATTACGGAATTGGTGCGGGCTATTATGTTCCTGACTATGTAATGTCATGGTCAGACCGCACCGCACTGCACCAGGCCATAATAATAGACACACACAAACAAACACACACACGAGCGCAGGCCGAGAGAGTCACGGCCAAGGCACTGCAAGGCCCTTGGCACCACCACCACCACCACCCAGACAGGCTGTTGTGATTTGAAATTTGCAGATGCGTATAACGTGCTCAGATCGCAACGGGAGGGCCTCGATACCACGGTGTCAAACACGCACGTGGCCCACAAGTGGTGCCATTGGTGCCATCGCACCTGGGCTGCCCTTGGACGAGGCCTTCGCCAGCTCCAAGCTCTTGGAAAGGCTTGGGCGCCAAGGGCGGTGGTGGACCGTTGTGGTGCCCAGAGGCTGGCGGGCACAAGACGAAATGAACCTGCTCCCAATCAGGTAGGCAATGGGCAGGTTATGATTCTGCCCTGGCGGGTTCAGGCAAACTCAGCACCATGAAGCCCCCCAGCGCGCGGCCAAGGCTTGCAATGGTCGGCCTGGTGTGGCTTGTCTTGTTGTCTCCATCTGGTGGATGCGGTCTGGGCCTGCCTGGCTCACCCCGTCTGCCTGTCAAATCTGCCATGACGAGGAGGATTCCATGCGTTCCTGTCGTCGAACCTTGCGACGCCGATCAGTGGGCGAGCGACAGGTGCACCACAACCCGCCACCCCCCTGCCAGTGACCCCAAGGTACTCGTGAGTACGTATCGATACATCGGGGTGCAGGACGGAGCGGAGCCCGAGGCGGTACGGAGGACTGCGTACTGCTATCAATGAGTAAGCCCTGCAGCCGCCAAGGGCAGGGAGTCAAAAACCCATCTCATTAGCATGCAACAATTTTGCGGTGCAGACAGCTGGGGAATAAAAACAAACCCATCCTGTTTGCCTGCCGACCCCTGGGCGAGACTGTGTGTCGGCCAGAAGTGTTTGTCTGTCACAAGCCTTGGGGGCGGTAGTCTGTACTCTCACCATCGTCTATCATCATCATCATCATCATCGTGCCGAAACGAGTACGATAGCGACACCTTCACAGGCCTGCGTTAGCATCTCTCCCTCCTGACAATTGTCTCCGGAGCTCAGGGGGGTGGCCCTGTCAGGGCAGCGTCTCGGGCAGGGCATGACATCAATATTAAGGTTCGGCGGAGCATCTCGACCTCAGAGCCCTCCTTCCGCATCTTTGCTTGAATGCTGCAGAGGCCAGGGCCGATCGCGATGACAAGCAAGATCTCGTGGCCCGCTGGCTGCCAAGCGCGGCGGAGACGGGGCCATATCAGAGAACCGCAGAAGCGCCGTGGCTGACAGGGCCCATGAAGCTGGTCGACTGGTATGATTCCGGAGACAGCTCCGGCGGCGCGGTGAACCTTGTGTGCCCGGCAGAGGCACGTGGGAGACGGCCATGAGCAAGGCCCGTGTGGCCGATGCTGAGACTACCTAGGTAGTGTGGTTCAATGTTGTTGATGCGTTTTTCGTCCGGCCCAATCCCACCCAAGGCCTACCCAGCAAGAATATATCGAGTCTCGGGCCAGCCTGCTCGGTCCAGCCTGCTCGGTCGCGCGGTTCGGACACACTCATCAGTCAGCGTCCCGAGAGCCTGGTCCGCAAAGCTTGACGTCTCTCTGTCCTGAAGTCCCCTCGAGTGCTGTCTCTGCGCGGCCGAGCCCCATGTCAGCACGGCCAGATCTGGCAGTCAGCAGTGTGTGCCCTTTCCCGACTCCGCCATGCCCGTCTCAAATCGGCCGTGAGGCTCGGGGGTCCAACGGCCTGCAGGTGCCAAGCCTGCAACCGCATTTGAAATCCAAGACATGGGTTTCAACATTGCTTACAGATCGCAATCTTGTGCAGCTACGGACTTCACGACACGTCCTGCTTCCCCCGAGACCCCGACTGCCGACTACCGATGGGTGGGGGGTGGAAGGGGGGGGCGTGTGGTTTTTCTTCTAGTGTACGTGAATTTCTCACTCTTTTGTGCGCCCCTCTGATCTTATCCTATGGGCCATATCCATGTCCATGTCCATGTCCAAGCATGCCTTATTTTTCTAGACTACCTAGTGGGTGCTTGAGTAGGCATAAACAGGGACGTCGATGTTGTTCAACATCACCACCACAGAATACCACCCGCACCGCCACTCCCACGTGCCATACTCACAAAAGGTTCCGCGAATTTGTAATCCTTCGATCCCTTCTGCCGGCGACCGTGCTCTCGGGTATCACAGCACCCCGCGCCTTGGATCTTGGGGCCGCATTAGACTCTGGGGCGACCCAGGCCGTCGGTCAGGGCCGTCATGTCAGGTCAGGAGGCCAGGCCACGCACGTCCAGGGGCAATGACAGCTCCAAGCTGCAAGCTGCAAGCTGCCGCCGTCATCGACCCTGCACTCTGGAGCTGTGCACTAGTCGGCGGTCGGGGCCCGTTTCGGTTCCGCTGCAGTCACTTGCCTCGGCCCCAGAATTGCTTGTTTACTACTACTACTACCTCTTCTGCCTCTATACCTGGGTATGTAGGTACCAAGTATGTGTGTAGTAGATCCTTCGTTTCATGCTCGAGACTGTCTGGCAGTTGACCACCCTGCCCCCATGGATCGTGACATCTTGACCATTGGCCGGGCCCGCACCGGCCCCGGATCGGTACCGGGAGCGGATTGGCGCTGGGCTTCTGGAGCATGCAGCAGTCGGGCTCGCGCCTTTCCACGACCGCGAGCCTGGGCTGGTTGGTGCATGGCCGCGGTGTTACGGGCTGCTCCACGATCCCCTCCGCGTCAGAGGGGACCACCATCCCCTCTAACCCCCTGACCTGGTCAACATGTCCACGAGGCTGAATTAGGGTTGTAGCTCCCCCTTCCACCCGGCTTGTTGTCGTCGACAAGCCGGCCCCACCAGCCCGTGCAATCCTCAGAGCCCACGGCTCGTTTCCTACTCGCCAGTCTGCCTCCCCGAGTTCCATGCCCCAGGTGGCGAGCCAGCAGGTGCCAATCACCGTGCGATGTGTTGAAACCTGAGAAGCCTGAGAAGCCTGAGAGACCTCCCTCGGCCTCCGTGAAACGACCGCCGAGCTTTCGTAGATCAGTTCCGGCGGTGACCCCTGGGGACGGGGCCTGCTTGACCACCCTTGACTCCGAGACCCCAAAGCCGCATCTGGAAACCTCCAACCAGATTCCAATGCACACTTCACTTGCCCGTTGTCGTTGATCAATGATCCAGAAATGATGTTCTCCTCATGTTGCATTTCCCCAACAGGCAGAAAAGAATCCCACGACGACAATCAGATTCACGTCACTGTTACCTCTTGATCGGCGACTGAACTTGGAATCCCGTCCAGACATGACTCGACTGGGGTATGACAGTCCGCTCTGTCGATGCGCCCACACATCGAAAATCGCACGCCCACCTGCATCTCCGCCTCAAAAGTTCTACGTCAAGCTGTGACGGGATGTGCAGTGCGACCGTCGCTCTACGCACTCGGATCCCGCTGGAGGCTGCCAGCGGCTGGCACGCCATTCGGTCCAGATGTCCAGCCAACTACGGAGTAAGCCTTGAGGCTCTTATGCATACGCTCAACCTGTCATCGGCTCATTCGAGCCTGACATCAAGGAGTCAGTCGGCTGGGTTCGTCTCCTCCGAGCCTGTCCTGGTTTGACCGCCCGATACCAAATCCGGAGTCCAATGACGGGTACATAGTCGTCTAGCCCTGACCATACAGGCCCGCAACGGCAAGCCCATGCAACGGTTTCATATACTTCTGTACCATTTCCTTGGAACCGAGTGTTGTGGTTATAACCCCGGCCCGGGGAATGTTACTGGCGCACATCGATGTTTTGAGGATCTTTCTTGCTGAGGTCCACTTCGCCATGCTATTTCAAATATTGCAACCATCGGGGTTCGACCATGTTATCGGGATGTCCCACTGGGCATGTGCCCGACACCAACATCCAGAATGCCCGGGAAACATTTCCCGAAAGCCCAAGTCAGGCTTTTGCGGTGGTCCCTGAGACCATCCGGGAAGAGGTTACTTGCCAACAAGCCTGGATCTGGCATAGTGGGTAATGGGGACGGACACACCCCACTACTCATTGTGCTGGTTCAGAGTGGACCTGACATCGCGATCGTGGGCTCGCAAGGGCGAACAGTCGCTCCCCAATCCTGATTCTGGATGGAATACTCGCACTCGCCACGTGTGGGCAGAGCGCTGATGGCCCACGAGTCTCGGCAAGTACCGTGCGTCACCCTGAGGTACACGACTTTCTCGTCGTCGTCTCATGCCCCCCTGGTGTTTGGGTGGGTCTGACAGTGGCTAGGCTCCACTGTTCACGAACACTTTTGCAAGATCCTCTTTTCCACCAAAAGTACCCCCTATCGCCGAAGATTTACACTGAAATTTGGTGCCAGAGCTGACAAACATGCCAAGTCTATTTCTCTCCATACGGGTAAACCATTCACCTGGGCTGGCTGGGCTAATTGGATGCCGAGCGTCATTGGTGAAGCATTCTCAAAACTGCCAGCAGGTAGGCCGGATCAGGCCAGGGGGAAAATGCACTCGAGAAAATTTGCGTCGCTTTGGCAAGCGCGACCATGGACGCGAAGCCGACGTATGAGATCTGTCGCGATTAACCGCGTGCACGCTGTGGGGCCATCCCAGAGCTGTCAACTATTCTGGGAAAGTGAATGCCGCCATCTTTTAGGAGATTACTCGGCAGTCTGCTGAGTGTTCTCGCGCGTCATCATCTTGTGTGTCGTAGTCGGCTTGTTTCTGCCGGTTTCTATCTGGTCTCCTACACGTGTGGTGTGTCTTTCTAGCCTTTTTAGCAGTTGGAATTATTTTTGATGGCCCCATAACAACGACATGGATCCTAGATGTTACCCCTGATCGACTCAGAGTGGGACCATTCCCGTAGGGCAGCACCAGGCATGGTGACTTCACATGGGACGACTTGCCGTCTCTGTAACTGTTTCATCGGTAGACATCCGCGAACAACACCCAACACGGTTGATCCATTGCTACTTGTCTCCCCATACCCGCCCTTTGCGCTTAAAGCAGCCAATGTCCCACAAGATCTCGCTTGTTCTGCGCGGCTATAAAGTTAGCTCCGTTGACAAAGTGCGGTTTTTCAGGTATAGGTGACACACATACAAGCTGGGAAACCATTGGTGCGGCCTCTTTCTAGCTCTTTCTGCTCTAGCACAATGGAAAAGACCGTGAGGACAAACCTATGCATGGGAGAATCACGAGGCTGTGACACAAACATACAAGGCTTCTACCGCGGAATGTAAATGGCGAATGATTAATTCGGTGGTATGTTCGGGTACAAAAGTGTAGCAACAGACCCGAACGTGTAACCCGAAAGCCTGTGTACCGGGCTCGGATCTGCGTGGTCGGGATTAGCTCTCCAGTACGTGGCGTCGTAAGACACCCGCGCCACTCAACGGTATTGCCGTGCCTGGCACGGGCCGAGCTGATCCTGACAGCATAAATATCTCGAGAGACCACGGGGCTGCAGAAGACAAAGGTGTATCAGCATAGACAGGACCAGTCACCAATTGAGGCAAAGCACCACTGTGGTTCAGGCTTCGATTCTATGATATTGTGGATGTGGCTTGCGACAGTAGTGCAGCCTAGGGAGGTATCCAAAATTGGGTCGTTAAGTGCAAGTTGCACTAATCCGGCAAAGTAACAGCAATAAATAAAGAGCAGAAAGTGAGGGGCCTTAGTTAAGCTTTCATTTGCTCGCATGTGGATGGAAGAGAGTTGAGCGTCTAGCACCTTATACCTAACTCTGCATCTGCTCTTGCAACAAAACGAAGCATCTCTCAACCATGCTGAGCTGAGCGCTCAGAATCAACGAGCGATATACCAGTAGCTCTTGAAGGCTGTGGACCGCAGGGCAAAACCACAGAAATATAAGCAAATACTCCAAGACATTGTGATCTTTCCTGTGTAAAAGAAAAAAGAGACCAGCAAATGATACCAATACTATATTGTTAGATACGTCCTATATCTGAGCGTGCCTAGGCAACCATGGCAGGCTCATTCCCTGCATTCTGCTCAGGTGCACAACATAAGAGCTGTGCCTTGATTACACACGTTAGCAGCCCGCAGTTTGCAGTCACCTGAGCCACCACGGAAAATCATGGAGAGCAAAAAGAATTCTAAGTCCTCTCGGGATACCAGATTGGAGTTAAAGGGGACAAAAGAAGAACGAGTGAACCGTGCAGGGATCGAACCTGCAATCTCCTGATTCGTAGTCAGACGCCTTGCCATTGGGCCAACGGTCCTGTGATGAAATTCAGTCCAGATTTGAGATTTATGATTTACAGTAGACATGAGTCAGCCAAAGAGAGCAATCTGTGCGCCTGTGTCCACTATCGAGCAGCCAGGGGGTTTTCCGCAAAGGCCTCAGGTCTATTATCTTTCCAATTAACATATTTATTGATTTATTTTTTTAAAAAAATTAAAAACTCTTAGCTCTAGGTTTTGAACATCCTGAAATTACGGGCCATGAAAGTATTTACATAAATCTGTGTTCGACTCGTCATCTATGGATACTTCTCGGGCGTTTTACTCTGAGTCGTTCCCCAAACCCGACTTCACTGAGCCCGGTGCCGAAGGCTGCCCTGAGAATGCGAACGGCAGTCGGCCTTCCGAGTCACCGTAACCAATCGCTCCTGGGTGACAATGCTACAGTCTCGGATTACAGGTTGCGAATATATCACGCAAGCCAAGCCAATAGGACCACACCCAACCCATCGGCTGGCCCCGAGATCCCTCGCTTCGGGCTCGGACCCTCAGGGATTCGCATCTGACGATCATCGAGTCGAAGGGTTACATTTCTCGGCACTCGCAGGACGCGAGTCCGAGGGCTCTTTTGGCACGACACTCAGCATAACGCTTGGGGAATTGGCGTAGACAAAGTTGGTGGAATCCCGGTCCGAGAGGCATTATGCCCTTGTTACGGGCCCCTCACCAGGACATCAAATCACGACAACAGCCCATACCATTACCAAATAAGGACGCGCGTTAAACTTAAAGGGATTTGCATGTCAACCAGGAAGTGTGGCTGGCTGTATCCCAGCCTGGTCAGGTACACACTTCAGGTCCTAGTTAGTCTATTTTCCTGGTACTGCTCGGCTATGACCCACCCCCGAGATTCTGGCTCGGCCCTCGGAAGTCTGGCCACAGATGCCCAGGGGTGTGGACTAGAAGGCATGTCGGAGCCAGCAAATCGGCACCGACAAAGATTATGGAGAAGCAAGCATTCATGCAATGAGTTCTCTATGTAACCTCAGGTCTCTGAGCGTCTTTGGTGTCTTACGCATGAAGTACATCATATGTTATTTTCGGATACTCTAGCATAGCTGGTTTCGCTTCTATTCCACATATATCCGAGGATATAGACTACATGGGGCTTCGACCACACTATATTTTTCCTTTACACTATATAACCACTCATTTCTTCCCTAATAGTCTAGAGCTTATACATAAAGTCTTTAATAGCTTTATATATATCCTTATAGTCCTTTTAGAAAGAAACTTTAAATCTACCCTTTTCTTTATTTTTATTATATTTTTCTATATTATTAAGGAGTTAATAATTATTAATAATAAAAGTATAGACTTAAAGGAGAATAAACTTATTATACCCTCCCTTTATCTTTTTATAAATTACTTTTAAGATTCTCTTTAAAAGTTTTAACACTTTATTATAAAAGTTTTAAAAGTAGTATATTATAAATTATTTCTTTATCTTAAATTCTTTTAAAGTTAGTTATATATTTAAATAGAGGCTATAGTACTTATTTAATAAGGGTTTTACTATAAGGTATATATATATATATATATATATATATATTTAAAGAGATAATTTTTAGCTAGCTTCCTTTAATATAATTTATTTATATAGTAACTATTTTTAGCCTTAATCTTATTATATAACTCCTTTATAATAACTAAACTATAAGCTACTTCTATTTATAATTCTAATTAATACTATTATTAAGATAATACCCTTTAACCTTATTTATATATTATAAAGCTAAGGTTATAAATACCTATTATATTATAACTATTATTATTAATATTATATTCTTTCTAAATGCTAGATTTTAAATACTTACTACTATATAAAGGCGCTATATATATCCTTAGATATATATAGAATAGAAGCGAAACTATATAGACTATATAGCGCCTTTATACAGGTGGTTTCATTTTTAATCCCCATGTATATAAAATGTATGTGGCGCCTTCATACACTTGTAAACGCTCAAGACACAGTGTTTGAGGAGGGGGAGCATAGTGCCAATAAAAGTGCCGAGAAAATACAATGTGTGCTCCTAACCTCCTGCACTCTTCTTCACATTGATGAGCCCCTGCATCAGGGATCCTCATAGTTTCATTGGTACATATGATCTGGCTGGCTGGCCAAGAGGATGATGACTTGAAGTTGACGGGTGAGCCCAGCAGAGTGCGCAGGTGTCTTTCAGGGGCTGGCTGGACTTCGCCAGAGCTCATGGCCGCCCATGCTAAGGTGAGGTTAAAATCCCATGCTTGGATCACGCAGTGACTGCCATGATCTTGATGTGCAACACAATGCTTAGGACCTGAGATCTTGCTACACATCCATTCATCAAGCCGTATTGCCCCACCCTCATAGCGATTAACAGTAGGTATTTGTAAAGAGTTGATCTCTTCACATCAGGCATCACCAACAGATCAGCACACCAAGGACTACACTCACAAGGCTCTATGTGTTTCGGTTAGGGATATGGTTCCCAGTATGCTTGTGTAGCTCATCTATTAAATAAAGTACTTCTAATTCTCCCACTACAGTCATTTCAATGATTTGAATCAAGCTTTTCAACCAATTTTGTGGCTCTCAACTAGAGTTGAAGCGGGGCAGTGGTGCCTAAGTCTGCCTAATTGGTTTGGTTCCTATTCCATTTACGTCCGAAGGTATACATACACAGCAGCTTCATGCAGTGGTAATAAGTCTGCCTAAGGATTGAAATGTCTGATTGCTTCAGAATCTTGTGAACTGTTTCATTGTAACACATGACACAGGAGGCCACTCTACTCCTTCCTCTTGACCAAACATCCCACAGTGCTCCAGTGACCATCTTTGCAGTACACTGGCTGCTTGATAGGGCATTTTAGCTTATCACATTTACAACATACCATAGGTCTACTGTGTGGTCTATTCTGATAATGAATTTGCAGAGTCAGAGCAACATATGCGGGCTTGCAGAGATCAGCTCACACCCTCCCCCCTGGACGTCCTGATTTTACAGCCACCCCCAGCTCACTGTCTCCGCAAGCATATTGAGCTCCAGGCCTTCTAGACAAGCCCATCTGCAATTGAATTCGGCACCACTACTTCCACAAGATCAAAAATACACGAAGTCCACCTGACTCCTGGTTTTCGTCAACAAACTCACCAGGACCTTCCGTCTACAGCATTCCAGGACAGCCTTGAGGTAAGTCACCATCCTCACTTGCTTTTCCTCTTCTCTATCCTGCTTAGCCTTCTCGGCACCATTGGCCTTGTGCATTTGAGGTTTTTGATGTGAGCTTGGAGCACAGAGAAAACCTCCAAAACAATGCAGGCGGCTGCCCGCTCTCATCCCCCATCCCCCATCCCCCCCTGCGCTTCCTGTTGCAAACTTTTGGCGGTTCCGTTTCATCAGCTGTGCAACCAACACCTGTGGCTAACCGATTTCAAGTTACCACAATCCACCATTCATCAAGAGGACAACAAACAAACTTCTCAATCATACTGAACATCGTCAGTAGCCTCCTCTTCCCCCGCGTTCCATGACACCTTACCTTCACCGTCTACCCATCCACTTGAAGAGAATCCTGCTCGACCCTTGCCCCCAAACATGCCCCTTCAAGCCTTGCATTTCTCAGCTGCTGCGCCAGTCGGCCGGCCGCAGAATGTGAGACTTGACGTCATAATACCTACCTGATGCTAAAGGCAAGCAGAATCAACAATGTCCTCTAACGAGACATTCGGACTCAGCGAAAGTGAAGTGAGAGTTGCACTCTGCGCTCTCAAGGTCATTCTCGCCAATACAGCCCCGAAGGTATGAATTCCCGCCCGGCTCTGTGTGTACTGAATGCAGAGCCACGCAGACTGTCCTTTCCTAACTTCATAACATCCACAGGTCGAGAAGGATCATCTCGCCAAACTCACTGGCCACAATAATGCCGACTCCGCCATTCGCGTGTGGAACATGGCGAAAGCCAAACTCATGAAGGATTCCCCTTCCGAGCCTGGCACCTCCCCCAAGAGCGCTGACACCCCGACCAAGAGCGCCAAGAAGACCGCGGCCAAGACGCGCGCCCCGACTCCCAAGAAGCGTGGCAAGGAGGAGTTTGAGGGCGAGGAGTCTGGAGATGAGCAGGTTGAGAAGCCGGCCAAGAAGCGCGCCAGAAAGGCGGCCCCCAAGGACGCTGATGTGGACGTGAAGGGCGAGGTCTAGTCCTCCCAGCTTGCAAACTTCCTGGGCAGGGAACGGGCTACTATGCAGCATTCAGCTGCTCATGAGGTCATCACCGTGGAATTCAGGCGCCCCTCCGCTCTCTGGTAGAGAGCTTCTTGTCACGTTCGTTGATCAACTTTGGTTCTTGTCATCTTGGAATTCCACCCAGCTTCCTGACACTATTACCATAGGCAACTGGTAGTCGGGAGAAAATTCACAGTGGCTGCGCATACCGGTTGACGTGCTGCAGCCTTCACAAATGAAATCTTGATTGTCACAACTCTCAAGTGTATGTGATATGACAGCCTGAATTTCTTGCCTGTTGGATTCGTTTCCATCCGTCTACGTCCGAAGCCACACGTGCGCCTTCAAGCAGTGATGAATTTCTTAAGCTCTGATAGGTTTACCAGTCCCTTCCCTCCCACTTCTTGCCGACGGGTCTCACATAGTTACCTGGCTAACCGTGTGTGGAAACATTGAAATGGGCGTCCACCAACCAAATGAATCGCTTCCAACTGAGCGTGCTGAGGTATGGTCATTCCATCATTATTTCTGCTGTGACTTAGTTACAGCATGGAAACACACCTTCTCCTCGAGAGGCTCGCGAAATTACATATGGAATGTGTTGCTATATGGCTTCAGTATTTTCAGGTTCTACAAATCAGGCATACTTGAATCCAGAGAGCAGTGGCAAGACCACGACAATAGACAAAAGAACAAGTAACCCATTGATGTTGCCAAAATCGACCCTGTCAAATGCCATGGAGGATATCTTTACTTGAAACCTGTGCTGTGTATTTTTGCCATGTCAACCAGGAGGCCTGCCATTCAGGCTATCTTCAGTTCAAGCTGTCTTCAGTGGACAGCAGCTTGTCAAGCAGCAGTATGAGTTGGGTGCTTAGCCGCGCCCGAGCCACTCCAGCCTCGTCCTCAGCCGCGTCTTAGTCCCACAGCCTTCTCTGTTTGGATCCAAATTTGAGACCTGTGTACCTCGTTTCTGAATCTTTGCAGCTGCTTACATCATCTGCAGCCCACATTGATTCGAAAAGCCCTCCATCCTAGCCTTGTTTTGCAACTCCAACAGCTGCAAACCATTGTTGTTCGTCCTTCCCATCACCACACAACTCAACTGTCTTCCAAAGTTCATCAGGACACTCCACTCCGCATCAGCATACTCATCAAATTCTTCATTCACAACCAAATAACTACCAAACAACCCACCAACCAAGATGGCTGGAGCGTCCAACAAGGGAAACGCCCAATACTGTGGCCTCACCCCTCGTAAGCACAACATGTCCTTCCACCACTCCCAAATTTTCAAGTGGTCAAAAGTCCCAGAACATACCGCTTTAGAGCTTGTAGCAGACTATTAACACAAAGTAGGCGAGGTTGAGTTCACCATCAAGGCCATGATCACCGTGCTTGAGTCTGGCGGCAAGGTAAGCAAAGACCGTCCAGTCCTCCTCTATGGCTTCGCTTGATACCATCTCAGTCAGGATTCTCTCACGCTGGAGGCGGGACTAACGTGTTGCTCTCTGATAGCCCGATTTCGAGAAGCTTTCCCGAATGACCCAATACCAGGATGCCAAGACTGCCAACAAGAACTGGAACTTCGTCAAACTCAAGCTCCTCAATGCCGCTGGAAGCAAGAACGATGGCCAGGCCAGCGGCGACAACAAGGGCACTGGAGAGAAGGGAGGCAAGCGCCAGGCGGTTGACGCTCTTGCCGCGCCTGAAGTCAAGCGCAGCCGTGCCCGCAAGACTGTGAATTAAAATGAGGAGGACACCTCCGGCGTGAAGGTCGAGGAGGACGAGGATCTTGACGGCGAGGTTTGAAATGGGAGTGTGCCACAGTGTACGCCACAAGTGTTTTCCACGGCGGTTGAACGGTTTCCCGAAATTGATCGCGTTGATTCTGGCCATAGGCTTCCTGCAGAAAAGTTCATGATCGTTAGGGCTAGGAATACTCTATCATGACAGACCAAAAATGAAAGTCAACTCGGCCATGACATGCATTCTCTTTCCAGTCAAATTTCCTCGGTGGTCTTTCTGCACGTCTCAGACAGGAAGGAACCGGAATGTCTCTGCAGCTTCGTGGTACCTACTGCTAGACTTTGGCGTTAAATCAACAAGCCACACGTGGTAGATGAGCCTACAGTGTCACTCAACAGTCTTATAAGCTTGCACCACTCAGCTTGCGGTATCAGCGCCGGCTCACCTTGTCTACCCACCGCACTCGATCGCCCATTCATTGAAATTTGAATCTGGTCTCAATGTGCTATGAGATTATAACTCCGCTTTATGAAATGTGTTCGGCTCTGCAAGTGCTGGGTTGTGGTTTGCAATGAAGTAGTTAGCGAGTGATGGACAGCACTTGCTCCACCAACACATAATACGCCAACCCAAATACATGGCCCGTGACAGTGCTACCAACAAGAAATTCGTTCAATTTTCATGTTCGTCTCCCAATACTCGATGATGTTTCATTTCTACGGCAAATTATGGGCGAAGATATCCCCTCAGCCCCAAATGGATTCAATCACCGGACAACAGGAGTTGCGACTGGAGGTCTCGCCAACAGGCCGAATTTATGCGACAGTCCTTTGAGAAAAAGAGATGGGAGCGATCCAGTTCCATTGACCCATTCTTTGGTCGGTGCTCTGTGGCTCGGATCACCCCCGACTTGTCTTGTCTGAAGAAGTGCTCCTAACCCTAGTAAGCTCTGTGGTTGGCAGGGCGAGCAGCTGTGCTGACCCCTCTATCGATAAGGTAAACTGGTCGCCAAGAGGCGCCCGTCATCCGTCGTCATCCGCAGTCAGTCACGCCGAGGCAATCGTCCTGGTGCTGTTGCCCTACACTATCAAGCCTGCGACTCCTGTCCCAGGACGCTGTGGCAATTCGTATATCCCTCACTGCCCAGCAAAGTCTGCCGCTGCTTGCCAGGCCACCATGGCGACGGATCCCAAGAAGCAGGACGATCTTCTTCGTCGGCCGCTCTACCGTATGTACTTGTGCTTTCCTGAAGGATAGATTTTTTGCTGCGCATCACTGACACAAAAACACACTGCAGTCTATGACCTCCCTCCAGAAGTCCTGGCCACACTCAAGCTTAAGCTAGAGGCCGAGGCGCAGGAACAGCCAGACATAGAGACACCCTCAACGTCTGCCCACGAGCCGTCGCAAGCACCATCCGAGAACACAGTCGGTTCGCCAGCCTGCTCATTATGCGGTCTCACATTTGTCACTGTGCTTGACCAACGAGGCCACCAGAAATCCGACCTGCACAACTACAACCTGAAACAGAAGCTGAGGGGACAGAAGCCCGTGTCAGAGGCCGAATTTGAGAAGTTGGTTGGGGACTTGGACGAGAGTCTGTCTGGGTCAGACTCAGAATCCTCTGAAGACGAGGACGACGAGTCCAAGAAGGACTCAACGTTGACAGCACTTCTCAAGAAGCAAGCTAGTCTCGCTGAGAAGCGCACCGGAGAAGATGGCGACGACGCAGAAGAGTGGGGCCGAGGGAAGCGGAAAGGCACTGGACAGCCGCCGATGATGTGGTTTTCATCCTCCACACTGCCGGAGAACAACTATTTCGGAATCTACAGGGCGCTGTTCACGAGCGAGGAGCTCGAGAAGGAGGACAGCATACTAGACGCAGTCAAGAAGCGCCAGCTGCAGCCATTGGCAGCCCCAAAGGCCAGTAAGAAGGACGGGGCTCAACCACCTGCGGCTTACAAGGGGCCACACGTCTTCCTCTGCATGATCGGAGGCGGCCACTTCGCTGCGATGGTAGTCGCGCTCTCGCCGAGGCAGACGAAGTCCGGGTCCGGGCCCATGAATCGCGAAGCTACGGTCCTGGCGCACAAGACTTTTCACAGATACACCACGCGAAGGAAACAAGGTGGCTCACAGTCCGCAAATGATAACGCCAAGGGCGCCGCGCACTCGGCAGGTTCAACTCTGCGTCGATACAATGAGCAGGCCCTGGTCGACGATGTTCGGCAGCTCCTGTCCGACTGGAAAGGTCTCCTGGACACAGCAGACCTGCTGTTCATACGGGCGACTGGAGTTACGAATCGGCGAACGCTCTACGGCCCGTACGAAGGGCAGGTCCTGAATGCAAATGACCCACGGATACGCGGGTTTCCCTTCAGCACGCGGCGGGCGACACAGAACGAGCTGATGCGCTCGTTCATCGAGCTGACCCGGCTCAAGGCGAGGGAGCTATTACCAGTCGACCCAAATGACACCACAGAAGCAGTCGCAAAGGCGCAGACACCACGTAAGCCTCCCAAGCCCGCTCCAGCCAAACCCACCGAGGAGGAGGAGACGGCTCTGCTCCACACCCAGCAGATACAGGCCCTTGTCCGCCGGTCGAAACTGCCCGCCCTACTATCATACATCAAGACCAACTCCCTTGAACCAAACTTCCGCTTCCAGCCTTCCGATGTGAACCACCATGCCCCGACGCCGCTGCACCTGGCAGCGGCGCAGAACGCAGCCGCCCTGATAGTGGGCCTGCTGGCCCGCGGCGGTGCGGATCCTACGCTGCCGAACGGCGAGGGCAAGACGCCCTTCGAGCTGGCGGGCGACCGTGCGACACGGGACGCATTCCGCGTGGCTCGACACGAGATGGGCGAGGGCGTGTGGGACTGGGAGGCGGCCAAGGTGCCGCCGGGGATGAAGAAGGAGGAGGCGGATCAGCGAGGCGAGCGCGAGCGGAAGGAGGCAGAGCGAAAGGAGGTGGAGAGGAGGAAGGCTGAGGAGGAGAGGCTGAAGACCCAGGGACCCAAGGTGAACGACAGCGCGAAGCGGAAGGGCGGCGGTGTCCTCGGGGGCAGCATCGAGAAGAGCGCCGAGGAGAAGAGGCAGGAGGAGGCCAGGGGCTTGACCCCCGAGCAGAGGATGAGGTTGGAGCGGGAGAGGAGGGCAAGGGCGGCGGAGGAGAGGTTGCGGAGGATGCAAGCTGGTAGTTGAAGGGGGGGGGGTGCGTGTTCAGACGATGAAATGAGTTCTCGTCCACCAAGTGAGATGCAATTCTTCACTGTCAATAGTCGACGGGTCCCCATCGGCGTAGAAGGCCAGGCCTGGAGATGAGGCTCCTCCACGGGCGAGCAATAGTTTTCGGGGCCACTGCCGAGGCAAGACTCACGGTAACCGGCTTGAGAAGAGCAATCAAATACTGGGTGGGTCTGGAGCCTCGCCAGTGGGCACTCTCACTACGGTCCGGAGTCTAGAACCGGTGACAGAAATGCTCCAAATCTCGATGGTGCAACAGGTGCAGTTGTGTCCTGGCTGGCAGTGAGGTATGCGATCGCATCGGCTTGTGTTGATCAAGCAAGTCCAGCGACGCCATCCCACGGAAGTGGGAAGTGTACAGGCCTGCAGAAAAGATGCTCCCCGGCGGCCTCATATCTTGCAGCGGCCTAAGCCAGCCCGTTCGAAACCTGAGTAGTCACACCGCACCATGATTCGGGCATGAAAGCCCTTGACATCTCGCGCAGAGGCTCAGCCACCTCCAAGGTGTAGCAGAGAATATTCGACAGGACTTTTGGGGGGGCCTCCATTCTAGTGTCCCTTGCCATGTTCTTCGAAACACAGGAGGCACAAGGGCTAGGGGTCGGTGAGGGCTCGACGTTGCATTCAGGGACCCCTGCCCCCCTTGATCGGGCGAGGCCGCCATGGGATAGCGGAGACCTTTGCCCGGCCGCCACTGTAACAAAGTTGTGATTGTGACTTGGCGTGGGTTGACAGCCAACTCACCGAGGAGAGCGCGACAGGTGCCAAAAAGGACTGCTATAACAATAATTGTTCATGTTGGGTGGGTGTGGATCGATATACCGTCGTCGAAGGCGGTGCAGAATTGTGGGACGTTTTGTCCTGATTTTTCTACGCGCAATTGGAACTGCATTAGATGTTTAGATGAACCCCAGCCAGATAAACTTTCCGATCAGCAACACCGAGTTTGTGGAGTGCTGGGAAGATCCTCCGCTGTTCGCTAGATAGAGCCGCATCGCATGGAATGAGGATCTGCAGTCGCGAAGAACAGGATGCCCCTACTACTACTGGTAGTGAGACTTTTTGCCGTGGTAAACAAATGACCCGCGACCCCGTCGTATTCCGCCCGACGACGTCAGCACCACGTCGCCTGTCAAACGACCTGATCCTTGACTGTATGTAGTTGTTATTCATGGACCCCTGATTTATGGCCTGGCTTGCCCTCCCCGACAAGTCCGACGCCACTTGGGCTTGCTCGAGTGAGCTGTCACGCTCAAGTGCGCGTGCGACATCGCTGGTCCGACGAGATCGCGACGCCGTCCCATCATGAGGCGCAGTTGCTTCAGAACTTAAGTTCCCAGGCTCTTCAATGCCGTTTGCAACCCATCAGGGGCCATTCCCCTTCTCACGTGTGCCTTGATCTGACGTTGCGGGTCGATGCGCCTATGCAGTGTGACAGCGCCAGTCAAGGAAAACCCTCGTGCATGTGCTTGCCGCGGCGCCTGCAGATTCTCCTGATTACTGCAGGCTGATGAAGGGGATACTAAGTCATCAACGGGTGTCCGACCGACACCCGTTAACACAACGGAGCACGCGCAGGAGGTATTTGCTCAGACCTTGTCTTCCTGTGTGAATGCTGCCAGATCGATGCACTGCATTTCCACTACGAAGAGAATATCAATTGGATGTGGTCTGTAAGAAGGACCGTCAGCAGCGATGATTCAGTCGCACGGGACGAAAGCATCAACCAAGACCTGCTTTTTTCCGCTGGGGGGCATGTTGGCATGGGTGTACCTGTCGATCATCTCCAGAATTTTCCGAGCTGTTGGGCGGCTCCGTTCTACTCGCTGATCATCCCCGTGGTATTGTACGGCAACCCTTGGTGTATTCCTAAACTTAGTTCAGTCACGAAAAATATCCAACAGGCTTCTTCCTTTCTCTAAATCGACTCTGCAGGAAGTCGACACAGGTCTATCCTGTCTGGCCGACCTGGGAGGGTTGGCACACGGCAGGATGCGCCGGACAATAGGTCAAGTAGAGTTCGCCCTACTTACAAGGAGGCCTCTGTGTCCGCGACGAAGCAATGTGAGATTTCCATTTGGCGCTGGAATAGAATAGGGAGCTGTCGCTTTTGTAGTAAGTGGTATGAAGGCCACCTCGCGCAACCGATGGAAACCTGGCCGGCAGACTGATCGGGGATACAAGGGAAAAGGGTAAACACTTGGTCTGTTGCTGCTTCGTGATGCCTTGCAATTGATATGTGATTCAAATTTATGTGACAAGGTCGAGAAAAATGTTAGTAAAAGTCATGGTCTTGTCGTCCCCTCTCCCGGGGGATGCTAAGCCTTCGAGGCTTGGCATGATGGTGACAGCTTCCAGGTCATCCGAAGTCGTTGGGCGAGATCATGTAAGCTGTTGGACGCTGCGCCTTCGCTCTGCAGCCGGCAAGTCGTTCAATACCAATGACTAATGCCCGCCGATGGCTTGCGCCATCTCGTGCACCGAGGGCCCCTCCGACATCGACGGTGTTGAGCCGGTGCACAGGACTCGGAAATTAAAGGGCGTGACCACAGCCTCGGGCCGCAATGCACTACTCCGCAAAGGCTCGGACTACTTGAAGTGTGCTCCAACCCGGCCCACCGTAGATTGCTCTCCCATCAATATTGATTAGTATATAATCGGCTGATGCGGAAGGTGGGGCATATGCAGCACAGGCTGCCTGTTCCTACTTTGAATTCTGTCAAGCGGTTGGCAAAAGTTTTGTTGCCAAGATCAAAGATTGCGTGGCCGCCGGCTTGCCCTGACTGGGGATGGAGTCATTGGGCATGCATACCCGGCCTGCAAGCCCCCAGGGGCAGGAAGAAGGAGAGGCCAGAGGAAAAGGGACGGACACGGGCTGACGGGATGGCTGAAACATGAAACAAACTGGCCAACCCTGGCGAGGCGCATCCAAAGGTGCATCCATTACCACCATCACCACGGACGGCACTAGCGGGAGTCAGCTCCAAAGAAGTTAGCCGGGCCTTGGGGAAGTGCTTGTGTTGAGCCGAGCAGCCTTTGGTGGGCTTGAGCGCGAGTGGTGTTGGTGATGGATTGACTCGATATCCCTCGATATCCTTGAGGAACTCGTCCTGGCACGGGATTATGGCCCTCCCGCCCCCATAACCAGATCCGTAGCCACGACCACGACCGCGGCCCTCGACATTGCATCCGCCGATTCTTTTTTTTCTCTTTTTTTCTTTTTCGGGAACACTCAGATCCCACAGATTCCTGATGGGCGCCGCAAATAGAAATGGCGGCCTGCCGCAGAGTCCGAGGCGGGGTGACGAGGTTCGCGGTAGTGTTTACCCGGGCCGGCGGGGGATTTCCAGTGACATCTGATGATATCAGGGTTGGTGGTATTGACGACTAGACAAATACGAAGTCGGCTCGGGGACCCTCTCTGTGGGGAGACTGGGAGACTGGTGCGGGAGAGGGTCGTCGTAGCGAGCACTGGATGTGGGCCTGGAGTTCTGGAAGCAGGACATGGCGCCGTTGCAGAGGTCGAAAGGGGAATGGCTGCCAAGACAATGTGGCCCACGATTCCCTGGTTGTGCAAGGGCCAAATTCCCCGATGAAGCCATGACGGTCCCTGCAACCTCGCGGACATCTGGGCATCGTGCAACGACGATGGCCCATGTATCGGCCGGGTCTGGCTGTCTGGCTGTCTGCTGGCGCGGCCTGGCGTGGCCTGGCCGTGGATGGAGTGGCCCTGCCTGAGGGACCGACGAGACGAGGGCTGGGCAGATGAGACATGTGGTTAGCAGGTTAGTTGAGCCACCAGAAACTTGGACTGGGGCAGCGAGTCCCTACTGCGTGTGATGACAATCGTGGCTGTGGACGGTGTCCGGGCATGAAGATATCCTGGGGGTTCTGGGTCCGACTGGCCAGGCGAGGGTGGATATTGGCACGACATCAATTGATGGGAGGAGGGCTGCGGTTGGCCCACAGCTGCTTGCCGATCCCCACTGGCAGCTGGTTGTTCCTGCATTAGCGCAAGTGCTGTGTGCCGGCAAAGCGACAGCAGGACAGCAGGGCGGCAGGGCGGCATGGCTGCATGGCTGCATGGCTGCATGGACGCTGGAGTGGTGGTTGCTGGTGGCTGAGCAGGTCGAGCTTGTTTCAGGAGCCCCAGAGCCGTTCCTGTTGGTCAGGACCTCAGGCCCTGCATAGCACCCAGCACACCGTTCATTTTGGAGCCCTTTGACCAGGCCGATGCTCAGGGCTCCCATTCGACCGCGAGAAAAGAGAGCCGTGTGCTGCACCACATAATGGGCCCCCTTTTGCCTCGTCCTCGGAGACAAAACTGGCAATGCCTGTCTGTCTGTCTGTCTGTCATGATGGCCGGAGTAATCATCTCCCAGTAGTCGACCTGATGGGCCCGCCTCTTGTGGATTACCGAGTTGGGAGATGCAATATTGGAATATCTCCTGCGTGTTCGGGTCTCTCCAGCAAACCTGGGGTTGAAGCGAGATGCGCAGGTTCCGTGCACACATGGGATGGCTGGATGGGTGGGCAGTTGGCGCATCGGACGGCAGCAGTCAAGGAAAAAGAGGAAGGCCTCTGGACCAATCCTTGTGGGTCTGGGTCGCCCGTGTAAGCTGATTCGGCAATCTGGCCCCCGCCCCCCTGACAAGGGATGGGCGCGCAGAGGGTCTGGATCCCAGGTACCTGGTAGCTTACCTATCTACTTAGCCACCTTGGGTACCCACCCGGCCACCTAGGCACTTACCTAGGTAGTGCAGAACCCCTGCCCACCACCAGAACGGGTGGTTACGAGCGGCTTGCCCCTGACCTGTTTGTTTGACACCACCTGAATCTGGCAGACAGAGCCGCGCGCAACACCCCTCCCCCCCTCCCCCCCACCTGTTCAGGCAAGGCCTGGCTCTCGTTCTGGTGGCAGAGGCCGACGTGCACAGCAATTGCAGCACTCGGACCCTCACTCTTGCCCTCACCTGCTCCCCAACCATTGATCCCATCTCCGTCCACGAGCCCCAGTTCGTCCGATCCAGAGATTACCTTGCCCTGTGCTCTCGAGAGCTTGTCTTGGTTGCCGGTGGCTGGGCCATCGCCAACGGCGGCCGGGCCTCGAGCCACCAGGACTCGACATCAGACCGAGACTGTACTGTGTGTATGCTGCGTGTCGTGTGCCTGTCAGCATGGCTCGTGGCTGCAGGTGCCCGCGCTGCTATTTTCAATCGCCTCCAGGTGCCTCCTCCAGGTGCCTCCTCCAGGTGCCTCCTCCAGGTGCTCATTGGCCGGTACCACAGTACTGTGTACCACTCTGGCCGCCCGGGTCGCAGCTGCCATTCCCTATCGAGCATCAGAAACACCCGGGGCTACACTTTGAGCCTAGTGCCAGTCCTCCCGGATGCCACGGTCGAGTCCCACAGCAGTGCAGGAAACATCTCTAAGGGAAAATACCAGGGATGCTTCTGCGTCTTGGGAACCCCCTGGCAGATATTCGACCCACCGCGCCACCCTCATGGCCATGGTCATGGTCATGGTCATGGGCATGGTCATGGGCATGGCTGCTCCTCGGCCCCTCCTATGTGACCTCACCTCCTACCGCTGCCGTCGCCCGTCGAGTTGACTTGTCTCCACACGCGCCGTGCTCGCAGACTCTGCATGCAGGTGCATCTGTATATATCTGCTTGGCCTCCCATCCACTCGTATTGTGTTTGTGTCCTTCTCCCTCAGGTTTCCTCTCCATCAACAGTCGGCTCCTTTCTTGCCACAAAACAACTGTGATTATTTCCTTTTTATTTCCTTCTTCTGTCAAGGAGTATCAAGTCACTCGCTATACTTGCCTCCGCCTACCACTCTTTACCCACACTCTCACTCGTACTGTACTGAGTACAAATCGACTATATCTTCACTGTCTGGCATTCGCTGCTACTTTTTGTCTTTTACACCCAAGTAAACACACTCGACATCTACACAATATGAAGTCCGTCTCTATCCTCGCCCTCGCGGCAACCGTATCAGCCACTGTAAGTCTCGTCACCTGCACATCACACGATACCCCGGTATACTAACCCATATCTACAGGGCTGGAATGACTTTGGAGGCTTCAAGTGCCCGGAGAACACAGACAACAAGTGCAACACCCAACAGCAGAGTGGCTGGGACTGGAGTGACCTGCAGCTCGGCTCCGTCTCGTCCTACGGAGGCTTCAGCTTCGGTGGCTTCTCCTGTGAGGAGGGATACGGAAGGCGTGAGCCCGGCAGCCGTTTCGCCCCTCGCACCCAGAAGTCCCTCAAGGGAAGCTGTGGTCACTCCAAGGAGAGCTCGCCCTCGTTCGGCTGTGGCCAGGGTTCCGATGTCGAGGCCTTCTCCGTCAGCACCATCGATGTCATCACCGAGTTCGATGCCGACCTCGAGTTCCACTTCTCCATGGGCGATGGCTCGACCTGCAAGCAGCGCAGCTCCTGCTCTTCCCAGGGCTCCACCGTCAAGAACACCCAGTGCGGTGGTGCTAAGAACGTGACCATCGTCTACCCCTCTGGCCAGTCTGGCGACAAGGTCCCCAAGGCTTCCTCCACCTGCGGTGTCACCATCCCCACCGTCTCCTTCGACTGCTCGTCCGCCCAGAGCACCACCACCAAGTACACCAAGACCTCCTCCACCCAGATCCAGACCTCTTCGATTGCAACCACCACCGCCGTCCAGCCCTCTGCCACTGGGCCCACCGGTGGCAAGCCATCGTCTCCTGCTGAGACCGGCCCGGTTGGACCCTCCGGCCCTAGCTCCAACACCGCCCCTGTTGCTTCCCAGACTTCTCCCACCCCCTCGTCTCCCGCCAACGCTACCACCATTGAGTCTATCACCTCTGCCGAGTCCACCTCCTCCGTCGAGTCCACCACCTCGGTCGAGTCCGCCTCCTCCGCCGAGTCCATCACCTCGGTCGAGTCCTCCAGCTCTGTTGAGTCCACCACCTCGGTCGAGTCCTCCAGCTCTGTTGAGTCAACCACCTACGAGATCACCAGCACTGCTATCACCAGCTTCGAGACCACCTCCACTGTCTACAGCACTTCCATCCAGACCATCACCAGCTGCGGTCCCGAGGTTGTTAGCTGCCCTGCTGGTTTCACTGAAGGCCAGACTGCCACTACCACCGTTGTAAGTTCCATTCTGACTTCATTCTTGGCCTCCTCAGACTAACGCCATATCCAGGTTGTTGCTATCAGCACCACCATCTGCCCTGTGACTGCCACTGAGACTTCGGTCTACACCACCAGCCACGCTGTTACCCAGAGCCAGGTTGTGCCTCCTGCCGAGACCACCCCAGCTGGTGAGGCTCCTCCTTCTGGCGAGGCTCCTCCCGCCGGCGAGTCCGCGACTTCCGAGCTGTCTCCTATCGCCAGCACCACCGACGAGAGCCCTGCTCAGCCCACCGAGACTCTCCCCTGCCCCAGCATTGTCCCTGCTTGCATCAGCACCTGGAACTTCGTCGTGGGCTGTGTTGACAACGCCGATGCCTCCTGCTACTGCCCCGACGCCACCTTTGTCCAGAACGTCTACCAGTGCCTCTACGCTTACGGTGACTCTGACGAGACTGTTGCCGAGGCCATCCAGTACTTCCAGGGTATCTGCGGCTCCTACGCTGGCAACAACCCTGCTGTCGCTACTGGTGCTTCGCTCACCACCTACCTGACCGCCACTGCCACCCCTCCCGTCTCTGCTACCACCATCGTCGTCCACGAGACCACTGTCGTCCCTTGCACCAACGAGGCCGGCGAGACCATTCCCTCGTCTTCCTCCACCGTCGTTGTGTCGACCGTCATGACCGTGCCCCAGGTTGCTCTGACCACTGTGGCCGGACCCTCGACCACCGAGGTTGGTGTCGTGCCCGTCCCGACCTACCCTACCGCTCCAGTTGAGTCCGCCGGAGCTGTCGTCCCATCTGGTGCCGCTCCTCTCTACCCCACTGGCAGCGCACCTAGTGCGTCGGGCGTTGCCCAGGGCACAACCGCTCTCGTGCCCTCCGCCTCCCAGACTACCGTCGTCACTGCCGGCGCTGGCAAGACCGGAGCCAGCCTCGCCGCTGCCTTCCTGGCCGTCGCTGCTGTTCTGGCTCTGTAAAGGGTTTGAACAAGGGCGATATGTAATAATACCTGTACCCACACACCATGCTGCCTCAACGGCGCGACTCCTTAGCCACACAAATCATACCTGATTAGCATCACAACCAACATTTCCTTCTTACGATCCTTATGATAGAGCATTTACAGTGGTCCTGGTTTATTTTCGGGAAAGCGCATCACGGTCTGGGATACCAGGTGCAAGGAGCATTCTGTCTTTTGCACACAACACTTATACATGTAATAGAGACGAAGGACTCTGACCCCGAGGTTCCTCACTTGCAAAGCAAACTTTTCCTTTTTCTTTGGACAGTCTCCCAGATGGAGGACAAGCGACGGGAAGGGGAACATCAGAAGAGACCAAAAGTGGTTGGGTAGCAGGAGTCGTCATCTGAAAACATGTAATAATAATCAAAGAAACAACAATGGTCAAGGACCACCCTGATTTCAAGATTCCCTGAATCGTTGCAGTCTCCTGAAGTGACAGACCATTGAGGAATACGGTGATGTGTGGGTGAAAAGGCATCGGACCACGTAATCCTGCTCGGATCCAACACCTTGCCTGCAGGCCACCTTCTCGGCAACTTGCGGCGACTAGGCTCGACTGCCTCAGCCATAATACGCGTACCGCACTCAATCTAGACATAGTCAGCTCCGAAGCTTGCAGGACACAAACACTAACTTGAAGGGTCCTTTGCCCCCCCCCCCCTCAAATTCTCCATCACACATTCGAAATAGGTTTACGGAATCAACCAAGAGACCCTCACACCTTATCGGTGAGCATTAACAAACACCTGAGGGAAGCCACAAAAGTTATTGTGGCCCCCAAGTCCTCTGATGAACTGTGGATTGGCTCTGTCTCTGCCATTCCTCATGGGTAATAGTCAACTAATATGGAAATGCTCTGAACCGCATTTATTCGTTGGCCTTCATTCCGTGCCTGATCTTGGAGCAGTGTGGTGTTTTCCGGCAGGTTAAAAAAGTACCTAGCCGACATCGTTCGGACTTCACGGTTGCTAATTGCTGATACCATCATGTTCGTGGGGATGAATCTACCAGATCGACCTTGGAAGTATGGAACGGGGGTGAGGACAAAGAGCTGTTCCGTTCTTTGACCAACATTTGTCTCTCTGAAGATGAGTACCTAGTAGGCATGGGCAGACTACTAACCTTTTTGACCAAGATCTCTCGTGGCTATGTCGGAGCGATCTCTTCAGAGTTTGGTGAATATCACTCCCATCATCAGATTTATGCAGGACCCAAGTGGTAAGAGTTGTGATGCATCCGATAGTAGGTGCCAGCGCAGCTTGCCCACTCATTGGGTATGACTTGAAGAGGCGCAGCGGCTGGATCCTAAACGAATGCCAAGCCCGTCTCTTTCAAGTCGTCATCAAAACTGCGCGGCTCGCGGCGCCCTGGCGCTACGGCCCAAAGGTTGAGCCGCCTCCAAGAGCCCATTGAAGCGAATGCGAAGCCACAGACCACAGACCACAGACCCGTTCGGCTGACGCAGGCAATAGCGCACTAGTCAGGCTCGCATCATGGTCTCAATTAGTGTCAGATACATTGTCTGGTACATTGAGTGCGGCCAGCCGTCCACACCGCAGCAAAGTATCATGATACTTAATCCTTCGCATCCTTTCAGCAGGCGGGCTACTGAACGCTTGACGCGGGAACAGGCCTTTTCATGGCGTGTAGGGTAGCAGCATTGTTCCGACGAGAAGAATCAAATATTGTCCCGGCCCGATTGTGTTCGAATTATAACATGAACACATGGCCCATCACACAGTGTCTACTGTTGCCGTCCCTCACTTGAGCACAACCAACTGTACGTCTCAGAACACAATACCCATTTCAAGTTCATTTCTAGCAAATCAGGTCATACTTCTCAAAGTCCTCCACAGCTTTGCAGGGACACACGACCAGAGCGTCATGGCAGATTACAGCCGCCTCCCCCCTGATGTTATCCTATTCGGACCCGATGGCAACTGCACGCTCGAAATCTGCCCCATCGAGGCCAGCCTCTATGGCTACAGACCCAGCATGGGCGCGAGCGTCTCTTTTATTGTCTTTTATTCCCTGGCAGCATGTGTCCACGTCTACCTCGGCTTGCGGTGGAGGAAATGGTTTTTCATGACCTGCATGACTCTGGGCTGCCTCAACGCTATTGCGGGCTACGTCGGACGCATCATGCTGTATAAGAATCCCTTCGACTTCTCCGGATTCATGCTCCAGATAGGTAAGGCCCGCTTCCTTAAATTCCTCATTAAAGATCGGGGATCGTGAGCTGACAGTGCTTCCTTGTTCTCAATAGTCTGCATCACCAGCGGGCCCGTATACTTCACTGCAGCCATATATGTATCACTGGCGGCGACGTACGTTCAATCCTGGTGTCATCCTTCCGACAGCACAGCGTCCCGTCTAGTCCTGAATCTTGCTGACAATCACTTTCTTACATAGGATCCAATACTTCGCTCCCGAGATATCCCGCTTCACACCCCGCCTCTACTATTGCATCTTCATCCCAGGCGACCTAATATGCCTCGTGATCCAGGCCGTAGGCGGCGCAATGTCGACAAGCTCCAAGGGCGCAAGCCAGACCGGTGTCGACCTGGCCCTCGCCGGCCTGGTCCTGCAGGTCGTCTTCATGGTCATCTTCTGCGCCCTCTTCGCCGACTACCTGATCCGATATGCCCGCTCGTCGCGCGCGGGCGCCGGAGGCCCAAGGTTTACAAGGCGGCTGCAGCTGTTTTTCGGCTCACAGGCGGCTGCAACCCTGCTGATCCTCACGCGCTGTGCATACCGTCTGGCGGAGCTGCACGAAGGTTATGGCGGGGATCTGGTCAGGGACGAGGCGCTGTTCATTGGGCTTGAGGGAGTGTAAGTCCTTTCCCCCTAATACAATATTTTTAATTGATCGAATTTGTGGGGAGACCATTCACTGAAATCATATCGACGGCACAGGATGATCGTCATAGCGGTCTACTTCCTTATGGTTGGGCACCCGGGACTTGTCTTCGATAATGACAAGAAGGTTGGTGGGGGTATCATTACCCCAGACTCCCAGATTGTCGAGCAAAAGCCATACCGTTAAAGTCTCCAATCAATGTCCCGCCCATCACTCTCAAAGCTTGTGGCTATTCTGTTGCTTGGCATGCGATGTTTGGTAGGGCTGCTGGGCAGAAGCGCGTTTCTGGAACTCCCATTCAGTCCATGTGAAATCTGGCGTCATTTACGGTATATAATTCTTTGAATAAACTCTGACCTGTACAGAACTTCTGCTTCTTTCCTAGGAATTGTAGATTGAAACAAGGGTAGCTGACCTCTACCGGCATAGTGCAGGTAAGACAGAAGGCATTGGAAAGATGCCTTCCAGCCTTGTCTGTGCGGTACGAGGCTCAGCCACGTGCCCACGTACTGTGTTCTCTTCCTACTGTTATTTGGTACTGTATTTCTTCAAACGCTGGGTCTTGAGCGTTTACCACTGTATGAAGGCGCCATGTACATTTTACATTTATGGGGATTAAAAACGAAACCACAAGGCATTGGAAGTGCTCACCTGTAAATTTACTCTTACCCGACATTTTTCGGAGAGAGAATTGATTCAACTCGCAACGGCATTGAGGCTCGTGCTTTTCCACTATGTACTACATATTGAACGCGCGAGTTGTTCAGTCTGGAGCTATTTCAACCTATCCTGCCATTCAATACAAAGGTCGACTACCCTGAGCCTCGAGCCCTGTTTGCAAGTCGATGCTGCCCCTGCACTCGCGAAGGCTTTCACGTGCTCAGTGACCTACGCATAGCACACAAAGGCAATACATAAAGCTTTCTACTGATGCTGGCCATTTGAGTGATTAGCCGCAGCTGCGTAAACAACATGATGTGATCACCGGACCGAAAGGACCTCCACAGTTTGGGCTCTCATTCTTCAACCCGTGTCTTGGCTCATTACTCTGTAGCTCTTCCATGCATACAAAAAACCTGTGAAGTTACCAACCCCTGAACAAGTAGTTGATATCTCCATCCTACGAGTAGATTTCTTCCAGTCCAGCCCACGCGCTCTCGTCGCCCTTGCCGGCCTTCTCTCTCTGCTCCCAGTATTGACCATTAAACTTCCAGTACTCCTCGCCAGTAATCTCACATCTCGCCTTGGTGAACCATGCGGGCATGAAATCCTCACCCCTGGCCTCACGTTCCCTCCTACGAGCGCGCTGGCCCTCCTCCAGGCGGTTCTTCTCCGTCGCAGCAAAGTCGTACTCGCCCTCCTCCATGGCCCGCTGGTCAGGCCTGAGGCGGGAGTCTGTCGGTGCGAGCCACGGCTTCAGCTGGTCGTCGATGTGGTTGAAGGTGAGTACGAATGGCGTCAGGTTGAACGGAATGCCCTTGGGGCGCTCGTTCGCCTGCCAGATCAGGAAGGCCTTGTTAGGATCAGACTCGCCTAGGCTACCCTTGTAGATGGTGTCATTGTCGTTGGCCGGCGCCTCGACGGGAGCCTCATAGCCAGGTGTGACACGAGCGTAGAGCTTGGAGTTCCACTTGCCGCCGATGCTGACACGGACACGCCCATTGGCGTCTACAATCTTGCCAGCGATCTGGTAAGCGGATGTTTCCTTCCAACCACGCTGCTTGAAATCTAAGTGAGCCACTTCACCAGTGTTCCAATTCTTGATTTCCATAGGACCGTAGTTGTCGACGACAGGGTTGCCAGTGATGATGCCAACCACCGATGAAGTCACTTTTTTCCACGTGTAGAGCTCCTCTTCGCCACCTGAGGCAGGGCGAAGCTTCAAGAACCACGTGCCAAGCGGGTTGATGTCGAATGACCGCCCGTAGAACTTGGACTTGACGGCCGACTCGCCATAGTACGTCCACTTCGGAGACTCTGCCCAGGCCGCACCGACAGGCGGGTGGTGACTGACTTGCTCGATGAAGAAGCGGTAGTTTTTGTCAGGTCGCACATACTCAAAGGTCTCCCCAAGGAGCGGGTTGAAAGGCTTGGCCACACGGCCGATCGTAGAAGCATACTCACTTGCCGCAAAGGCAGCAACATAGAGAAGCCTCTCGATCGAGTCAGTGCGATCAGCAGCGAGATCCAGAAGGTCGGCATATTCCATGTCCTCTCCGCAGCGATAAAGCAGCGAAGTGGGCTCGTTGAAGGTCACAGGCAGTGTCATCTTGGTCATGTCCTTGCCAATCATGGATTTCAAGATACCCTATAGGATATGATTTTGTCAGTCTTGTGTGCAAAACCCCGCAGCAAAGGTTGCCTTACCCAGAGAGAAATCTTCGGACGGTTGTCCGCATCCATCTTCAGCCTCGTCCGAATGCCGTTCTCGTAACCATGGAAGGAGCTGCTGATGTCGATACCCGTTGATGCCACGAGTTGCTTGTTTTCTTCGTCGCCAGATGTGGCCGGGGGCAGCGGTTCGGCTTCGATTTCTCCCGCGTCGACAGCGTCGAAAAATTCCTCGTCGTCTTCGGACTCATCTTCAGAGAGGTTTGCGATCTCTGTAAGCACGGTCTCGTGGCGGCTGAGCGGGATACTTCGGGCCGGCGACTTTTGGTCCTTGGCTGCGGCATCCTCTGTCTCTTCCCGAGTGCCGCCACCAGGAGCAAGACCGGGGGAAACCGTCTGGCTTTCCGCCATGTTGTTACTCACTACCTCCTTCAGCATCCGCTTTGTGTGTTTGCGCTTCTCCTCGGCCTCGCCAATCTTGGCCTGCAGCACCTCCTGTTCCTTAGCAACCTGGGCCATGCTCTCTTCCCACATGCGCCTCATGTCAACCTCCCGATCCAGGCGGTATTGCCAGTACGAGTCTCTGTCGCGAGAGATCCTCATGAGGTCGCCGGTGAGCCCCGCCATCGATCGGATGGCAGCATCGTAAGTAGCGAGAGCTCCAGCCGTCTTGGGGTCCGATAGCTTCACGTTGGGGTTCTGACTGGCCTCTGCGACGAGCGCCGCGTTGACTTGGGCCATCGTCTCGAGCTGCAACTTCAACGACTGCGCAGTGATATTGAACGCATCCTTAGCGGCACTCGGCTGTTCACGACCGCTTGACGCGTCGCCGTCATCATCCTCCTCGTCGTGCATGACGGACATGCCCGCCCTCGTGTCACGGTCTGTCTCGTCCTCCTCGGCGATGCTGCCCCCCGTGCTGGTCAATTTGCTGCCCGACTTGCTGGCAGACTGCAGCCGTGAGAGCTGTGTACTAGCCCGCGGGCCAGGCTCCAGCAGACTGGCATTCTCACTCGGCGCGTCGCCGCCCGAGCCGCCCTGCACATGCTCCTTTGCCTTGCTCAACAACTCGGCCTCCGTGGCACGCTGTTTGCTTTCTTCTTTGGCCTGGTCCTTGGTCCACTGTATGGCATTGTTCAATGCCCAGAACCACCTTTTCGCCTCGACTTCGTGGTTTGCCTTGAGTGTGTACTTGACCGACGACTTGCCAATAATCTCAAACTTGGTCTTCTCATCAGGACTCATGTTGAGCTTAGCAATGCGCATGTTGATCGCGCCGCGGCAAGCAGAACCAGAATCGTCCTGGTGCTTGTAGTAGCTGAGGACGCCGTCTTCGAGGACGAACCACCTCAATTGGTACCCCTTGCGGTAGTTGGTCCACTTCTTGAGGTACCCTTTCATCTCCCTGGCTTCCTTGCCCAGGAGAGGGTCACCGGGCGCTGCGGCTGCAGCTTGGGACGCGGTCCCGAGGACGGCCTTCTCCTGGATGCCTCTCTGGGCGGCGACGGCGGCGGGGGACTTCTTGAGCATAGCACGAGTCACGTCATCCTTGGTCGCGTCCTGGGGCAGCTTGCCTTTCCGGTCCCGCCTGAACGGGTCCGCGCCGTGCAGGAGCAAGATCTGGATAAGGGCGGTGTTCTTGCGACGGGCGGCCTCATGGAGAAGTGTGCCGCCGGCCTGGGCGGTCAGGGGGTCCAGGACAAACTCGGTGCTGTTGATGTCCAGGACAGTCTTGAGGCGAGTCTCCTCGAGCACCTGCTCCAGGGCCTTGTAGTCCTGCTGGTTGATCAGCTCCTGGACCTGCTTGATCTTGGACTCTGCGAAGAGGGACCGGGACAGCTGCAATGACTGGAAGATGTCGGCATTGCGGGCCAGGTCAAGCGGCAAGCGGCCTTGGTTGTTCGGGATGGCGTCATTGATGTCCTTCTGCTCCAGAAGCAGCTTGACAATGGAAGTCCGCCCTTGGCCGGCTGCAATATGCAACGGTGTGTTGCCGTCTTTGTCTCGCGCGTTGATGTCCACGTAGCCAGCACCATCGGATATGACATATTCGACGACGGGGAACTCGGCGACCTGGATAGCAAGATGGAGGACAGTAGTGTCGTCCAAGGCGCCCCCCGATATGGTGTTGATGGAGGAGGTGCTGGGCCGGGGCGCATTCTCCGAGGTTTCGCGGATGGCCTTGGAGATGGAGGCGGTATCGCCGCTGCGCAGGGCCTCTACGATGCGAAACTTGCGGACGGACTGTTCGATTGTGTTGCCCTTGTCGTAGATGGAAGTGGTGGCAGCCTTGGGGGTGGTTGGCGATGGCGACTGAGCTTGGGGCGCGGCTTGGTACGAGGGCACACGGCCGCTGACCGAACCGGCCAGGGAGAGCCTAGAGCCCTGGCTCCTGTTTGCTTGTTGGTGCGACATGGAGACGGTCGGGGCAGCCGCCGGGGGGTTTGCAGCCACTGGGGAGGAGCCAGAGCCGGCAGGGCTCTGAGGGGTGTCGTCGGGTTCGCGGACACGTCGAAGGAGGGACAGAGCAGCTGCCGATCTGGAGCGCTTGTGGGAACTGGAGAACCCAAAGAAGGACCCACGCGTTAGCAACAAGCTCTCAGCAGGGGCCGCTCACAGCCAACGACAGCCAGCGACGAAGACGACCACAAGAACAACAATCACAACAACAACAATAGCAGGGAGCAATGCAAGACAGCGTCATACCTATCACCGGACTCGGACATGTCAGGGGGTTCGGGAGACTGCCGTAATCTCAAAGGGTCTCACAAGAATGCCGGTGGTTGGAACTTGATTTAAGAGTAATGCTGCGGTGGCCGTAGTATATGAAAGGGGGGGGGCGGGCAACCGGCGGGGTACGGTTTTGGTGGCAGGCGGATCAGGTAGCAAGAAGGTGGAGAGCAAAGCCAAGAGAAGGAAATGGGAATGAGAATGAGAATGAGAATGAGAGGACAGACTGCAACGTCGCTGATTAGGGTGGTGTTAGTGTGGAAAGGAGGGGATGGAGACGAGGAGGCGAGGTAATGCTGCTGTCTGTGATAGTTGTAGGTCTAGAGATGATATGATGGACGGCGAGATGGCTATGCCACGGCCAAAAAGTCAATGTTCCATGTGGAATTGCAACAGAAAAGGAGTGCTCGCACCCAAGATCTACCTGGCAAGGAGGATTGTGCCAGTGTGCCAAAGAGAGCCGGGTCCTTGGACCTTGGAACTTAGCCTTGGACCTAGGCCTTGGACCTGGAGCTAGGGGCACGGAGGCTTGGTTCGCCTTTGGAAGCAGCCCAGAGTCGAGGCCGCCCTCCCTCCACGAGGGGAGCTGGGGGAGTGGTGAGGGAGATGACGTTGATCCACGCGCTAAAATTGGCCCCGCCGACCCCACAGCACGAGCCAGCCGTGATTGGGTAGGGGTCATCCTAGCGGCCTCGTCCAGCCAGCCGACCGGCCTGTGGCTCTCACTGCTACTTAATGCAGAGGCAGAACCTGCTGACAAGCGAGCAGAAGTGGTGGTCAAATGGGCTCGGGAACATGGTCAACGTGTTTCGTTTCAAAGGTGAAGGGTGGAGGGTCAGCACATCATGGCCACGAGCCCGCCTGCACCGTTTCAAACAACATTCGGGACGGTAAGCAGCAGCTCGAGGGTGACGGCCAGCAACGAGAGCCGACTCTGCTCAGTTGTCATGTCACAGCCCGCCGTCGATATGCATATGCGTCTGTCTATATCTGTCCACGTCTGTCTTATACCCTAGACTCGGCATACTCCAAGATGTCATCAATGCGGAGCATCTCAAACGGCCCCAGGTCCAGGCCCAGGCCCACCTCGTGCTGCTGAGGCGTCCTGACTGCCGTGCAGGTCATGTAGTCCGGCCCCAGCGACCGGAGGCACACGTTGGCATCGTCGACCCTGCTGCCCCTGAACCAGATGTCGTGCTCCTTGACCACGTCCGACCCGTCCTCGTTGCGCGACTCAAAGGACGCCGTGGGCTGCGGCGGCCTGAACTTCCTGAACTCGAGCACCTTGAGCCACGGCGCAAGCAGCGCCTCGCCGGTCATCTTGACATACGCCTCGCGCAGGCACCACAGCGTGTAGAAGAACCGGAGCTTGACGTCGGTGACCTGCTCGGCCGTGGCCCCGGCCGGCAGCCCCGGGTTCGCGCTCAGCACCTGGTACTTGAGGTAGTTGGCCTCGGACGGGGCGAACACGTCGGCGTGCATGTCCACAAACGACGGCCACCCCTCCCGGCCGATGGCAGCGTGGTCGCGGTCGCGCCTCTCGCTGACGCACACAATGTCGACGCCGACCTCGACGCCCCCCTCGACGCCCCCCTCGACGCCCCCCTCGACGCCCTCGCCGCCGTAGGACGCCACCAGCGCAACCAGCCCCGCCTGGTGCGTCACGTTGAACTCGACCGGCGACCTGCCCGTGGCCGGGTCCACGTACACGGGCTTGGTCTTTGCGTTGCGCGTGATCTTGGTCTCCCACCACGGCACCCCGCAGAACCTGCTCACGACGTAGTGCTTCAGCAGCTGCGACGCCAGCGACATCTTGGCGTCGCGCACAAACAGGTACCGCAGCACTGCCTTGCGCTCATCCTCGGTGAGCAGCGCGAGGGCCCTCGCCGCCTGGTTTGTCCCCGCCGCCCCGTTAGTCTCCCGGCCAGCACCGTCTTACGTCTTGTTGGGCCTCAGCAGGGATGCCTCAGCAGGGATGCCTCACATACCACTGTCTCGAGCTGGGCCGTCTTGTCGGCGCTCGGCCATAGCTCCCGCGTGTCCACGATCCACTGCACAATCACGGGTTTGTCTGCTGTCTGCGCCATCGGTCGGCCGTGGGAGGTGTCTGATAGGGACTGGCCCAGGTTGGAAGACGGGCTGACCGCGGTTCAAGTATAAAGGCTATGTATGTATGGTGCTTGCTCCCCCCGAACCCGACAGTGGGCCCGATCGCGCTGATCCGCTGATGCCGGTCGAGCTACGGAGTCCGAAAGGTTGAGCCTCAATGTCAGCTGCAAGTCATAAATGAGACACTCTACCCCACTAATCAATCCACTCGAGTTAAATCCAACCTCACCTCTTACAGACACAGACACCCCAAATCCCTGTCGCCCGAGCAGACCTGTGCGGTTCACTTCATACAACGGGTCAGCCTCTGCCCACATTGCCCGCTAGATCGAAGCTACTGTAAGCACGTGTGAACTTGCAACGGCACGGCCCGGGTCAAGAGCGTCTTGCCCAGTATTGCAGACCCTCACCAGCAGGGCGAAGCGATTGTAATAGCACAAATCCACATCTTGCTACAGGACCTTGCAACATTGCAGTATGCCAGCTGGGTCAAAGACAAAGGTGCTGTCCTACCTAAGTCCAAGCACCCACACGCATCATTAGTACCTGGGTAATACTTGTGGCACTTTAGCTGCGTCTCAGGCACGGCCCATTCCCGACTCTTTGGATTCTGACTGGTCACCTTGAACATCGAGCCATGTCATCGTTGCGAACACCCTTGTCTTTTATCAAAGTTTGAGTATGTGTATGGTTGGTTATTCTCTGCACAAGTGTGCATTACAAGAATTCTGAACAAGGCAGCTAGCCCTCTCGCTGGCAGACAGCACATTCAGTCGGTGGTGTCAACGGAATTACATGCATATATGCTATACAATGCGCCGTTGGACACACCCTAACTACTTTTTAAAAAATCATTAATTCTGTCCACGGAAGCTCGCCCGTGATCGCTGTTGTGTCAATTCCCCAGGACCGCTCCTCCTGCAAGTGTTTCCAAATCCTTGTTGTATCGGCTCCACGACAGCTTCGGCATACGGGAAACATTCTCTGAAGTGTCACTACAGGAACCACTCTCACGTGGCATCCATCTCAGCGGCTGCGGGAATTCCATCTGGCATCTCCCGCGGGCGTTGTGGGCTGGAAATGTGTGTCTGGCTCAACGACTCGCATCTATACTCACGAGTCCCATACCTCGCCGCCGCCGCCGGCGGCTCAGCTGCCTGGTCTTGTGCGCTCTTCCGCTGCTGATAAGCAGAGTAGACAAGCTTGGCTCTGGTCACTGGACAGGGCGGTGGCTTGGGAGTCTGGCTCTGCACCCTCATCCACGTCGCAGTCTCCGGAGGCCATTGCGGGGCGAGCCCTATCGCACGCTGCCACCAGAGTATCTTCTGCCTCCGCTCCCACACCGCCCACACGGCTAGCGCGATGGCTACGCCGAGGAGCGAGACGCCGAGGACGGATCCGACGGCGATGGCATCTTGTCTCTGCGCGGAACAGTTGTTTTGGTCCGCATCGGCGATCGCTGCTGGTCTCGTGTTGTCACTCGTGTCGGCGGTCGAGTTTGACGAGGAATTCTCTTGGGCGACCGAGAGGCCAGCAACTCCCATCAACGGTGTTCCATCTAACAACGTGAAGGTGGGACTTCCATCAGTACACGCCAAGGATGGGTTTGTCTCAGTCGTGTTGGCATCCCCACAACAATACTGTGTCGCGGTCGAGTTTGCCTCCCATACGGACAGACGAACATTCGTGCTCGCATATTTACTGCCTTTTGAGGACATGTGAGCAACACCACCACCACGGCGGCACCGAGCCACACAGCTACACCGACAACCCTGGTGAAATGTGCGCTCATCGAAGGACGTCATACTTACCAAGGCATGCTTTGGGGCAGTTGGCTCCATCCCAGGTGCTGTCAGTGCATGAGCCTCGCCAAATCGCAAAGGGTTGCACAAAGTCCATGCAATATCCATTCGACAGGCAGATACCGCCGGAACGGCTACAGCAGTGCGAGTGCTCTTCGGAGGCACATGGAGCCGCAGAAATGTCAGTCGTGCCGTCGGGATGAAAGCAGGGGCGAGGGCGCAACATGGATGCGCCAGTTGGTCTCTGTCGAACTTCAAGCATGATCACACGCACTGCGATGAATGCTTCTGGTACTCACAAAAAAGGAATATTTGAGTTTTGCCGCAGAATCAATAGAACGCTCTTTTTTGCTTCGGATAAGGTCTCCAGAATATGTTATGAGAATACGCTGCCCGGGTAGGAACATGATCAAATGTTGAAAACACAACATGATGTGTCTTCAGGCAACACTGGCCCCCAAGCGATACCAGGGGGGCGAAGACATCTTGGTGTGACAAGCATCCATGGCTAGGCGGATGTCGCCTCTTTCCTACAATACTGTCTCATACAGTGTCTCTACAACCGGGAGACCCTATTGGGGGCTACGTTTCTAATTCCATACGGAATGGCCACTCCCGCATACCTAGGTAGCCTTACGTCGATTTCCGCCTGCCTCGTCCCAGACAAGTTAGTTAGCCACCCGCCTCTAATTCGCCCACACCTCACCACTACTCCATGACACTCCATGACACTCCGTGACACTCCGTGATATTTAGTGTATAAATCCTTTTAGCCACCCCTCTAGCCCTATAGACACTAAGATCTAGTCATTCCCTCTTAGAAATTATTCAACTTTATACGATTATTATTATATAGCTAGTATAATAGCTATATATAGGTGGGATAAGAGGGCCTACTTCCTAGTAGCCTCTAATCTAGTTACTAGCTACTTTACCGCCTAGCTACTAAAGTCTAATACTTAAGGTTATAGATATAGTTACTTTCCCTACTCCCTCTTCTTCTTATTCTCCTTCTCTCTCCTTTTATTCTTATCCTTTTTATCCTATATACTACTTATACTTTAATAATTATATCTATTATTTATTAAATTTTATAATTTATTTTTATTAAATATTTTTAAATTATAAAATTATAATATTATTTAAAATTATTAAAAATTCTTTAATAAAATAAAAATAAATATTTTAATAATATTAAAAAAATATTAATAATTTTATTATTTAAAAACTCTTATTTAAAATTAAATAAAAATATTAATATATAATTAATTTATAAAAATAATATATAATTTTATAAGTTCTTTTATTAATTATCTTTTAATATATATAACTTTATTAAAGAATATATTAAAAATAAGTTTAATTTATATAATATGAAGTTTTAAAGAATTTTATAAAAAATTATATTTAATATTAAAAGTATAATAAATAATTTAAATTTAATAAAAAATAATTAAAATATATTAAAAGTAGTTTATAATTAATTAATATTAATAAAGTTTAATTATTTTTAAATATTATATACTTTTCATATTAATAATATATTTATTTAATTATTTATTAAAATATAACCCTTTATAATTAACTTTAAAATTATTTAATATTTTAAAATAAAAGTAATATTAAAGTAATTAATATTAAATAAATAAAAAGTTTAATATAAAAATTATTTTATTTATTTTAATTATTAATTATAAAATAATAATTAATTTAAATATAATAAACTTAAAATATATATTTATATTTAAATATATTTAATAATTATTATTTATTTTTTATAAATTAATAAATATATTAATTAATTTCTCTCTTTAATATAAGATTAAAGACTTATAATTATAATTTTCTAATTAATCTTTATTTAATTAATTTCTTTTATTATAATTTAATTTAATTTCTAACTTAATTTAAGCCTCCTTTTAAGTTATATAAATACTTTTATTTCTATAAATATAAATATTAAATTAAAACTTTTAAATTTAAATTTAAAATTTTTATAGATTTTAATTTCCTTTAAATTAAACTTATAATCTCTTAACTTCTTTAAAAATATATTAATTATTATAAATATTAATAACTTCTTTTTAAAGTAAAGATCTACTTTTATATAATTATAAACTTAATTATTAATAGTTATTTCTTTTCTATTTATATAAAGTTATTAGAACTATAAACTTAAAGTAATAATAAAGTATAGTTACCTTATTTAATTATCTTTTAGTTTAATAGTATAGTAGGTTAAGTAACTACTTTTAAGTAGTTTTATTTATAATATAGTAAAGTTAATAAATAGGTGTTTATTTAAATAAAGCTAGAACCCTAATTAGGAAAATAGTAGCTTTATCTTCACTTATTTCAACTAACTTATATTCATTTAAGTCATATAATAAATTTAATACTTATATATAATACTTATTAGTATTAGACTAAATAGCCCGTAGTTTATAATAGCCTTAACTTTTAACATACTAGCTTGACCCGGTACAGCCTAGCGTATTAATATAGGAAGGTATCTTTTAATAATAGACGGTATTATAAATATAATAGATTATAAAGTTACTATAAAAAGTTTTATATAATAAACTTAATTAAGTTAATCTTTAAAAGATATATTATATTTTATTTCTTTAAAACTTTAACTATTTATTTTTAATTTAATAATAAAATTAAAAAAATATAAATAGTTTATAATTTATATTAATTAATTTAACTTATATATAAAAAGTAGTGGAAGTAGTATAAATTAATATTAATTAAAAGGTTTACTTAATTAAATAGTAAAATATTTAGTTAAATTAGTTAAACTTATTAACTAATTTTAATTTATATATATATATAGGCTACTTATAGTAGTTAATTTACTATAGTCTATTATTCTTATATTAATAACTTTTAATTTTTAAAATTAAAGTCTAAATTTATTTATTCTTTTAACTAATTAAAAGCTTTATTTATTAATAAAGTAAGTTTTAATTAAATTATTAAATTACTTAGAATTATTATTAAATATATAATTATAATTTACTCGATTTAAACGCTATAAAACACTTTAAATTAATATTTTATAAATTGTTTAAATTATTTAAATTTAAATTACTTTAATAAGTAAAATTAAGTTTAATTAATTAATTAATTATTTATTAAGTTATTTATTAGTTACTTATTAATTATAATTAATTATTAGTTAATTTATAACTATTAATTAGTTTAATTAATTCTTTAATAATTTCTTCTTTTATAATAAACTATTATTTACTTTATTAGTTTTTATTTTAATTAAAGGTTTCGTTTTTAGTTTAGTTAGCTATATAAATAGTTATAATATTTTCTTTTATTTAAATAAAGTTTTAAATAAAGTTAAATAAAGTTTAAAGTAATAGTTTAATATTAATATAAACGTTATTTAAGTAAAAGTTATTATAAAAGTTTTTAAAAGTTTTAATTTAATTTATTTAAAATATTTCTTAATTTAGTTTTAAGATTTTATAAAAATATTAAAAGTATTTATTAAAATAATTATTTAAAAGTAAATTATTAATAAAGTTACTAATAAACTATTAAATTTTATTATTATTAAACTTAATAACTATATATTTCTTTTATAAATATTATTAATATACTTTTTAATTTATTCTCTAATTTAAATATCTTTTTTATTAAAATAATATAAATAAAAATATTAGTATATACTTATAGTAATTATAGATAATTTTATCTTTAAAGAGGATTTAAAATTATAATAATTATAATATTAAAGTGTTTTATTTAAGTGTTATAAAGAGAGAGAAATAAAGATAGAAGTTAAAAATATATAAAAGTTACTTACTTAATTAATTATTTAAGTGATGTAAAGGTAGGTAGGTAGGTAAATAAATTAATTAATAGGTAGTTAAATAAATTAACTAGTAAGTAATTAGTTTAAAAGTTTAATAAGTAGGCTTAAATTATTAATTTATAAGAGAAAGAGTTATTATAAAAGAGTTATAAGATTTATTTAATAAAGGGGTTCTATTTATTTTCTATTATTAAAGAGAGACTAATTAGCTTAAAGGTCTTATATAAGCTTAAGTTATTATATAAAGTTATCTTTTTATAGTACTTAAATAGTTTAAACTTTACCTTCTTTAAATTATAATAATAATAGTAATATTATTAATTTATTTTCTTTAAATTATAATAATAAAATAGTTTTATTAATTTATTTTTAAAGGATTTAATATTTAAGTAACTTAAATAATTTACTTTATTATTAAAAGTTAATTAATAATTAATTAATATTAATTAATTTAGTTTATATATAAAAATAGTGAAAATAGTATAAATTAATATTAGTTAGAAGGTTTACTTAGTTAGGTGGTGAAACGTTTAATTAAGTTAGTTAGATTTATTAATTAAGTTTAATTTATATATATATATAAGTCTACTTATAGTAGTTAATTTATTATAGTTTACTATTCCTATAAAATATAAACTTTTATATTTTTAAGTTTTATTAAGTTAAAATTTATAATTAATTTTAAAAATAAAATATAATTAAATAAAATATAATTAAAAAATATAATAAATTTATAATTCTTTTATAATTTATTTATAATTAAAAGCTACTATTTATTATTAATAATTATAATATTAAACTATATTTAATCTTTATTATTATATATATTATATTAATATTATTAAGAAATATTAAAGATAAAATTATTATAAGTTATAAATAATTTAATTTAATATTATTAAATATTATATAAAAGTATTATTATTATATAATTTTAGTTTTAAATTAATTAAAATAAATAATAATAAAAGTTATTACTTTTATAATTAAAATTTTAACTTTATTTAAATATAAAGTTAATAATTATTTAATATATATTTTAAACTTATTTATATATAATAAAGTTATTAACTTTCTTTATAAAACTCCTCTTTTATTATATTCTTTATATATTATATAAAAGTAAATAAATTATTAATAATAAAATAATATATTTAAAGAGAAAGATTTAATTTTTAAATATTTAAAGTTTTACTTTCTTTATATAATATTTATTTAATATATAATAAATAAACTTTATTTAACTTTTTAAAAAGTTTTAATTTTTTATAAAATTTTATATAAAATAATTTTTAAATAAATTTATTATTATAATATTATTATTTTATTAATTATATATTTAAAATAAAAATTATAATATATTTAATTTATTTAATAAAAGTAAATTTAAATAATTATTAAGTATATTAATAAAGAAGAACTAATTTATTAAGTTTTATATTATAAGATTCTTTTTTATAAAAGTTATTTTAAAACTCTTTTAATTATATTATATAACTATTTTATTAGTTTAATAAATTAACTTTTAAATTATTTATATTAATAATTTTAATATAATATTATTAAAAGTAATACTTTTAACTTTATTTATATAATATAAAACTTAATTATATATTTATATATTATATTTTCTTTTATTATTATTAATATTATATTTATTATTATATAAAGGTACTATATATATTAAATATATATAAAATTAAAAACGAAACTATTTACTTATATTACTCTAAGTATTATATAACTTAATTAAATAGTAATTTTATTTTAACTTACTTTAATTATAATAAAAATTAAATAAATAAAAGGATTAAAAATAAGTTAATAAATTAGTTTATATATATCTCTACTAATATATATATATTTTTATTAAAAATTAATTTTAATATACTTTATTTAAATTTATAAAAATCTTATAATAATAAATTTAATATTATTAAATATTAAACTTTTATTTATAATAAAAGAAATTTAAATAATTAATAAATATTATTATAAATTAAAAATAAATTATTAAACTTTAATATTTTTAATTAAATAATTAATAATTTATTAAAAATTAATTAAAATATTAAATTTTAATTTTATTTTAATTAAATAAAATAATTATTAAGTTTTATTATAAAAATATATATTATTATAATATTTACTTATATTTTAAATCTGTTTATTTATAGAAATTTATAAAATTAATTATTAAAGATTTAAAAATAAAGTAAAAAATAGAGGAATTTATTTTACTTTTTTAAATTTTAATAATTAATTCTATTAAATTTCTATAAATAGAAATATTTTAAATTTTAATTCCTATATTTTTAATAGATTTAATATATATAATAAATAATATATATTATTAATAAATATTTCTTTATAATAATTTAAAGTTTATAAAAATAATTTTATATTTAATAAAGAAACTTTAAAAAGATTTCTAATTTTAAATAAGTCTTTTAAAAATATTAGCTTTTTATTTTCTATATAAAGATTATTTTATATACAAATAAAATATAAAGATTTTAATAAAATAATTTATTTTTTATAAAGTATTTAATATATTTATTTATTAATTAAAATATAAATTTAATATAATTTAATTTATTATTATTAATATTAATATTTATAAAATAGTTTTTACTTTATTATATACTATTTATATACACTAATATTATATATTTAATATAGATTTTTAAAATATATATAGAATTAATAATAATATATTATATATTTTAGAAATAATGTGTGTTGGTGGGGTTGTGCGCAGACCGGTGCGCTGACTTACTTAAGCTCTGCCAACTTCTGCGCATCTTTCTTCCCAACTTCAACTGCCAAACACACGACAGTCCCAATACTACTCGTGTCCTTCCTTACCTTTTCTGTTATTTTCGGTTTGATTTCCGTTATCCGACCATGGGCCATTTCGATAACTGCACACCAGACCAGCGCTTCAGTGTGACGCATGCTGCGGGCTGGCATGAGACTGGCACAGAAAAGATCATCATTGACTGGGACCAACGGCGTTTCATTGCCGTTGCCACGCCATGGAAAGAGGAAGATGAAGACTTCTTTCTTCATGCACTCGCCGAGCATATTGACGACATTTCCTCGGACGTTATACAGATCGAGGTCGGCGAGGACGGCGAGCTACTGAAAACCACAACCGATCTAGTTGTTGACCCTACCAGGATTCCATTCTATCCCTCTCCATTAGATTATATGACCCAAGTACAACATATTAGACGTGATGAGCTGATTGAGGTCAGTCGCATGGGCGTTCAGGTTGACCTGTGTGAGCACACTTCTACAACTGGCTCGCCACCGCAGCAGGTTGCGTTTAAATATTATTTCAACGAGGGCAACATGGAAGCGATATGGGATGAGGCGAATTGTCTCTCTCGCATACCTAGGCACCCCAACATCATTCCCTTTCATGGTCTTGTTATCGACCGTGTTGAGGGCCAAGACAACGACAAAGTGGTGGGCTTCACAACCCCCTTCGTGCCGGGTGGCACAATTGAGGACAATATCTCGAGACCTTTCAAGCTCAAGCACCTTAGACAGCTCACCTCAACTATCGATTACCTTAACCTTGAGCTGGGAATCTGCCATAGCGACATCACGCCATACAACCTCCTCATCGACCCAAGAACGGACAACATTATCATATTCGACTTTAATCTCGCAGCCAGGCTGGACTGGGAAGAAGAGCATCCTGAAAGACAAGACTATGACCCGGATCGGGATGACGTCAAATTCACCGCTTTTACGCTTTACGAGATCATTACCCGAGACACGCACCTAAGGGATGAGAACGACCCCCATGAGCTGGATATAGCCATGGTACTCGACACTCCAGCTTGGGAGAAGCACGAGGAAGTTGTCCTTGACGCTCCCGTGGCCGATTACAGGCGACAACTTGATGAGTGGATGACAACGCGACGGGCTAGGTCGGGTGACGGGGCGCAGGAGGAAAAGCAGCAGCAACAGACACTGTCACTCTGGAAGCAGGCCCCCGGTGCGTT